TTTTCAAATATTTTTGTAAAATTTTTAGATGTAATTTAAACCTCTAATTCTCTTTCCCAATTTTTTTACTAAAATTTCATAAAAATGGCCAGTAAACAACAACAACAACCACAGACTTCCATATGGTTAAACAATCCATTGACAAATTTATTTAGGAGATCAGGCCGAAAACCAAAAAAGGAAGCAAAACGAGAGAATGAAGAAAATTATGTTGGAATAGTATCTGGGGATAAAAAAACAAAAAGGGTCATAATTAAATTAAATAAATAAAAATATTAGTATTTCTTTTAGTCAGCATCTTGTGATACTTTACATCAAAGCAGATTATCTACACGTTTTGTAGATAATCAAAAACAACAAAGAAAAACCCCAGAATTATTTATAAATGGAAATTCAAAAAAAGAAAAGTTTATTTTCTTTGTTAATTATCAAAAATTGTAAATTAAATTATTTAAAGATCTTCAGAAATGAATTCAACAAAAATTAATAGAGGAGGACTTAATTCTTCATTTTCTTCTCTTCTTCATCAAAGAATTTTTCTTAGTAGTAGAGGAGCAAGGCAAATTTTATAAAAAAATTTAAATATTTTATTTTTAGTCCACTTGTTCCAAACAAATTATACAAAACAAGCAAAAGCGAGGCACAAACACAAAAGCCAAGGTTACCCTCAAAGACTCGTTGCACATCTAAAAGTCAACAAAACATTTCTCGGTAGGAGAATAAAAATTGTTCAGGAGAAATAGAAACTTACTAAAATGAAGTAAATGAGTCCTTTTCATTAGAGTTGAGCTGGATCGGGATCCCAGCCTAAAATCGGGATCAGTATTCAAAAAAATCGGGATAATCCCGCCCGATCCCGACCGGAATCCCGATCCCGCTAAACTCTACTTTTCATGTGATATTTAACGTTTTTAGTACCCCGTTTAATAACAAATTAATCAAGTCCCATCTCTTAATTTAAAACATTAAATTCAACAAACTTTCGAGTTATTTGGAAATACTTGGATTTTTTCTTTTAATCCGCTCATATTTTTCCAAAATTTTTTTATTTATTATTTTTCTACAAAAAAAACTTTCCAAAAATTATATGATTAATAAAAAAATAAATTTCTTTCTTTTCTCTTCTAGTCTAATCGACACAGAAGAAATAAATGTCACAAACACAACAAGACATTCCCGTCGTGATCATTCACTTGGAGCAACCCCTCGTATTTCTACAAATTCCCAACAAATTATTCGTCAAGTACCCATTAATATAACAGAAAAATATTTAAATAATTTTGAAGAAAATAAAAATAAATTTTTATTAAATACAAAAACAATTAAAAATAGTATTAGTTTAACTAAAATTATAACAACATCTACAACAACTTTAATTTGCCCTATAACTGCAAGTAAAGAATGTCAACAACAGAAAGAAAATTCTGAATATTCTAGTAATAATAGTCAACAACAAAAACACCAAAATTATAATGATAAAATTAAAGAAGAACGGAATTTAGCATTAGAGGTGGGAATTTATATTTTAATTAGTTTTTTTTATATGTACCGTATTTTCTCGATTAATTCCCCTCCCTCGATTTATTCCCATGCTAGAGTTGGGTTGAAACAATAATTCCCTAGGGGAATTAATCGAGAAAAGACGGTATTTATTCCCGTGTCGACGCAGAAGACCCACAGACAGAAGACCCAAGGACAGAAGACCCACAGACAAAAGACCCACAGACAGAAGACCCACAAGGACAGAATACCCACAGACAAAAGACCCACAACTATTTTTTGTTTCCCTTTTATTATGCATAAATTTTGGCGGAGGGATCTTGTTAATTCTATTTGTTTCCACAATACGGGGTTGATCCAACAGCGGGAAAGTTGTTTCAATATTAGGGAAGGTTGTTCCATCAATCTGGAGGTTGTTCAAGCAGTGTGGGACGTTGTTCCAATAACAGGGAAGTTTGTTTCAACCACGGGCATGTTATTTTAACGATGGGAAATGTTGCAACAACGGGCAAAGTTGTTCCAACGATTGGAATATTGTCCCAATTACCGGAGAGCTTGTTTAACGAAGAGGGATCTTGTTTTCCGGATTATCAGGATTTTTATCCGGAAAATCCGGTACATGTCGTGTCAAAAAATCTGGATCCGATCAGGTTCAGATATAAAAAAATAGTATAAAAATAGTTAATTGGCCTTCCAAAATTTCCAAAATTCCTGTCTGTAACGATGAAAGGGAAAAGTAGATCAAAGGGATATTTAGAATCAAGGTGTATTTAGGATTAACTGAATTATAGCGAGAGTCAGTTAAGTCCACATGGAGGGATATAGAAGGATTAGAAGCGATCAAGGGCATTGGAGATATGCAATAATATCGGGGATCTTTGGGATAGTAGAGATTACTTATATTTCTGAGTAACATGGAGGGATATCTGTGGATAAAAGCGGATTAGTGGTAAAAGCTTAAAAGGTTTACATCCTTTGAAATTCCCTGACATATCCGATTTACTGATAATTTCCTTCTCCTGGTTCCTGTTATACACAATTCACGGATAAGAATAGATATAGGCGGATTCGAGATTTTACTCCTATATTCTCTATATCCCATGCTATTCATGCATATCCTAATTAATCACCCGACTTTTCAAATCACTTTCTAATTAAGTGATCTAAATCGCACTAATCATAAAATTTAACGCTAAAAATTCTTTTGATTAACCTTATAATAATTTTTTATATTTTAAAATTTATTAATTTTGTGCCTTGAGAAATTGGAAATCTTTTTCAGAAATTTCAGAAAATTTCTTCTAAAGTTTTAGTTAAAAAATTTTTCTTGTGGGTCTTTTGTCTGTGGGTATTCTGTCCTTGTGGGTCTTCTGTCTGTGGGTCTTTTGTCTGTGGTTCTTCTGTCCTTGGGTCTTCTGTCTGTGGGTCTTCTGTCACTACGCCATTTATTCCTATTATTAAATTAGATTTTAAAAATTTATTTGAGATATTTTAATCGTGACCATGAATTTTTCCCATAAAAACTAACACTAACTTAAAAACTGAAATCCACAAACCAGCCACGGTTACGTGTATTCTAATTTATTTGCTATTAAATGGTACAAGTCAGAAATTATGTTTAATATCCCAAATAGATTTAACTCTCGGCCAAAAGAAGCTTATCTAAATTAGTTTGAGAAACTAAGAATTTACTAATAAGTGTGAAATAAGAATAAATTTTCTCATTCCTTATCAAAATTTAGAAGTGGATGCTGACTCAGCCTATTTCGATTAGAAAATATGAAAAACATGAAAGAATTCGACTCAAAATAACAGGTGGGGGAAATTTTTTTATTAAATGGCGGATTTGGTTTTTGTGTTTTAGAATACAAAAGTTATCTTTTTTAAAGTAGGAGAGATCTTGTTCTTTATAACATTTGATCTTTTGGGTTTAATCAAAGAAAAACATTGTTTGGGTCAATATTTATGTAAAAAAGTACAAAAGAACAAATACTGCAGGTGTTGTCAAACAAAAAAAATTCCACATTGCACACACCTTTTTTTTCAATTTTTAAGTAGGTAACGAGAGAAACAAAAAATTAGGAGAAGAGTGTTAAATCCTACCACCAAACGACAATTTACATTTACTTAAATTTAATTTTTACTTAAAAATTTAAATTTTTCTAAAATATTTATTATGCGTAAAATTTTCTGGCTAATGAAATTTTGTTGAAATAAAATTCCGTAAAGGTGTGCTGAGAGGGGGGGGGGGTAAAGAACTGTATAAGAGTAGAAAAAATAAATAAATATATCGATATGTAATGCAAAAATTAATAAAAAAAAGGCAAACGAGGTAAATTTTAAGGGGGGAGCACACAGCCAAGCGAGCGTTTATTTCCTACTGCGGTCATTTGGTTTTCGATCTGTTTATATTGATATTTTTTAATAAAAAAATTCTTTTTTTTTTGTCCTAAATTATGTTTTTTAATTTTTTAAATTTTGTATGTTTTTAGGGAAATTTTAAAGATATTTTAAGATGTTTTATGATATTTTAAGGTATTTTCATCCTTAGTTCCTTAATTCGTATTAGGTATACCGTAAATGCTGAAATAATTACCCTCTCTCAAATAATTACCCTCTCTAATAATTACCCCCTAGTTATTTTACTCAAACTTTAAAAATATTCAAAGAATTACTATCAAATTTGATTATTGGAACATTTTAAGACTCAATATCAAAAAATAAATCAATTTCGCCCCAATTGGATTGAGATATACCCTAAATCCAGCACATCCTCCTTAATAATTACCCCCTCAGCGAGAGGTTGAAACAATAATTACCCAGGGTAATTATTTCAGCATTTACGGTATCCTTAATTTCATATCTTTTACTTAAAATAATTTTCCTTTATTTTTAAACAAGTTCCTCTATTATCATAAGACTATAATTTAATCATTTTTTACAATAATCTAAAAATAACATAAAAATCTAAAAAATATTTAGCTAATAATTTTTGTTACTTATCCATTACTTTTTTTTATAAATCCCTGCTAAATCTGCACTCTTGCAATTTTTTGTCACTCTCTCGTTTCTCATTTTTATTTTACTACATTTTTGATAATTACTTTCTCTTTTTATTAAAAACACAAACATTTAAGCTTTTCATCCTTCAATATATACTAGAAATTTTTTTAATATCTAAGTAAAATGTGAACAGAAAGAAATAATTTATTTAATAACCGGAACTATATTTACTTGTATTTTTTATCAGAGAATATTAAAATTTCCTCTTTTGATCAATTTAGTCTAGAAACTTTATCTTTGACTCATTTTCCGAAAGTTTTACTTATTCTAAACTACCTTTTTTTATCTCTGTATATTTAATTACTTTTAATTTTTAAATTTTTTAACTTTATTTTTCACCATAAAACCACATTAAAAAATAAAAAAAACCAATCTTTCTCGATAAACAAAAATAACTAAAAATAAACAATGACTCACATTCAGTTATTTTGATTAAGTTATTGATTTAATAGCCAAAATTATTGGACATAAAATTGTGTTTCCCTTTCTTAATTTTAAAAATTTATTTCATTTACTAATATCAACATCAAAAAACTCATTAATTTTTCTCATTCATTTATTAATTTAAATATTTAAAACTTGCCTTTAAACTTTTATTTTTCCTTCAAATTACCCCCATTTTCTTTATTTTTTTCAATTCTGCGCGCATCTCTCTCGAATTTAATTTCTTTAATTATATGTATACCAAAACACCTACATTTAATATATTTTTTACTACTAATCTACTTTCGCAATCGAAAAGAGTTTTGAGAGAATTTAAAGAAGATACACGTAGAAGAGCATTTCAATTGACATATTACACCTTCTTTACATATTTAAATACAAAATATTAACCATCGATTTGAGCATTTTATAACTGTTGCAAAAAAGTATTCAAATAATAAGTTTAGAGCTGGCAATTTTATTTTCTCTCTCTCCTTTCCCTTTACATTTTACAACATTTTATAATCAAAAAAATTTTACATTTTTATTAGATTTGTCGGCTTTTTTTTTAATTTTCTCTTTTTATTTTTATGTCTTCCTTCCATTTATGTCGATTCCAAATTTTCATCATTTAAAAAGCGATAATTCTACTAAACAGCTGCAAACTAGTCCGGTCGGCTTTTCAAATGTTTCACGATCATCAACATTCCATTACTGTTTTTCACCCCCAACATTAAATAATGAAAGCTCCTCGGTAGTTGTTTATTTTATATCAGAATTTTTTCCCTTTTTTTAAATAAATTTATCTAAAAATAACAAATGGCAATCGTTAAGAATTGGTTTCATTTAATTTATTTAATTGTAATATTAAAACATGTTTTTGATGTCATCTGACTGGGAAATATAATTAACTGAATAAACATAAATTTTACCTTAAAAAATTTATTACTGATATTTAATTTAAATATTAAATTCTGATTTTTGGGAATTTCGAATTCCTTCTTTTTTTGTAGAAAATATTTCCTTGCCCAATTACAATTCTTAAATATTTTTTGCCCAATTAAAATCTTTAAATTAAATAAAACTCCAAATTCTTAACAAGCCTACATACTTATAATTAGATAAATAATAAATCTCCGGTGATTCCAATTTGTGACATCTCTTCTATTAAAACAAATTCTTTCAAATCCACACCTTCTTCTGATGATAACTATAATAAAAATACTGTAGAATCTTCTTCTAATCATCAAATGCAAAAAAATGTTTCACATTCGACATATGCAGAAGCTATTGAAAGCGAATGTTTAGAACATTATGAAATTAATTTGGAAAGATATAAAGGTGGTTTTTGGGAATTTTTTGGGTACTTAAATAACTCCAAACTGCTTCTATCTTCCTTATCCCTCAAAGAGTTAATGAGAGGTTGAGGTTTGGTAAGAAGTCTCTCCTACTTTATTGTTCATAAGAATTATTTAAAATTCCAATTCCGCCATTTTTAAATTAATTTTTTAATTTTAACAATAATCCCCCCAAACAGATGAACGAGATGCCATACAAAAGAAAACTTTTACAAAATGGGTAAATCAACATTTATCAAAAGTAATGTACCTATATTTTTAGAATATTTAAAATATATTTTTATTTTTAGACAAATAAAGTAGTCGAGGATTTATTCTTTGATTTGAGGGATGGAAGTAATTTAATTGATTTACTTGAATTATTATCTGCTGAAAATTTGGTGAAATTAATTTTTAGCAAAAATTAAAAAATATTTTTCAGTCAAGAGAAAATGGAAGGACTCGCTTTCATCGAATTCAAAATGTCCAGTCTTGCTTGGAATTTTTGAGGCGTCGAAATGTGCCGAAATTATTTAAAATATTTTTATTTATTTTATTCTATTTCAGATAAGATTGGTAAATATTAGGCCTGAGGATATTGTTGATGGAAATGGAAAGTTAACACTTGGACTTATTTGGGTAAATATATATTTTTGTGGATGTTTTAACACAATTAAACGATTTTTAAAAAATTATTTCGATTAAATAAAAATGGTCGGTTTGAGGAAATTTTAGGTTTTTCGATTTGTTTTCGAACCCTCTTTTAATAAAAAATTATTTCATATTAAATAAACTTAAAATAATTTTTATCAATTAATTTTTCAGACAATAATTCTGAACTTCCAAGTTTCTGCAGTAATTAATTATCAACAAAAAGCACAACGTCGGCAAGATATTACCGTTCATATATCAGCTACAACTTCTCCAAATAATAAAATAATTAATTCACAACAAGATGAAGGTGTTCATTACAGTCAAACAACTTCTAGATTGGTAGGTTATTTAATTTTAAAAATAAATAAATCTCTCTTTAATCACTTTTCTTCATTAAATTTATTCTTAATTATTCCTAATCATTTTTAATTCCAAATATTATTGTGTCTAATAGCTGCGCATTATTTCCTTTATTATTTTTTTAATTTTAATTAAAAAATACCAAAAATGTTTTTTAAACAAATAATAGTTTTAGAAAATATTTTTAATTGAAAAATTTTTTAACATTGGTTAATCATCATTTCAACCACCTTTTTTCCATTATATTTATTTTTCTTTTATTTATTTTTTAACATTTGTACAATTTTTTTAAATTAAATTAATAGTATTAAAAACCCTACAAATCTCTTAAAATTAAATATATACAATTTACAAAATTTAAAATTTAATCAAAAAATATTTTAAACAAACATTTTTCACTCCAAACATTTAATTTTTGTGTTTTTCTTTCAAATCTTTTCTTTCATTTTCATTTATTTTATAGCAAAATAAACACACATTCACCCATGTTTGGGCTATCCATTTGATCGATCTCCCACCTCCGTATTTTTATTTTTTATTCACCTTCCTCAATGCAAAGCTTGTTGGTATATTTTTAGTTGTATTTCTATGTATATTAAAGGAAGGAAGGACGAAAAACTATTTTTGATTAAAATAAAATTACAAATTTATTTTTTAATTTTAAAATTTTTTTCTATTTTCCAGAATTACTGAAAAAATAATTCAAGTTTTTAGATCAGAAACCGATACTCAAATTTTGAGAAAAGCTTAATCTGTTATAGTTTTCTTAGGAAATACCCCAAGAGCTTTGTTACTATCCTTACTTACCTTTGACTTCAATCAGTAATTAGATCCAGAATTTTAGGAGTTCTATAACTTTGGAAATTTATATTTTTTTATTTTATTTATTTGTCTTTTTATTCAAAATTAATTTTTTTAATCTTAATTATTAATATATAACTTAAGAACCAGTTTAACTATTTTCTATCCAAAAATTAATTTTTTTTCATTTTTTTTGTCTGAATGTTTTTATTTTTGTCTTTTTTAAATATTTGCAACTTCCAATATTTTCTTCTTCCCAAAACATCTTCCGACCTATCCTTCCACTAAAAACCATTCTTATATAAATAAATAAATTAATGGCGGCCCATAGCGACTTTGGTGGTGAGAAGAATGGAAAGGCAAAAATTGAAGGACACGTCCCTGAAGGTGTGCGCGAAAACGACTAGCACAACACATTTAACTTTGCGCGATTGATCAACAGGCCATTCTACATACATTCCTCTGTCTTTTTTTAGTTTTTACAATTTTCTATGCCTCTTTTAACAAAATGCAGGCAAAAAAAATTTTTTATTTTTAATTGAAAATATTTATTAAATTTTTTTTAAAGGGAAAACATTTTTGACTTAAATTACACTTTTTACTTTTGGCCCTCTACCAAATGATAAAATTATATAAAGCTAGATTTAAATTTTTGGATTCTTTTATAAAAATGACTAAAGAAAAATCACAGATTTTTACCTTTGAATACTTAAAATAATATTTACCTCTATTTTACTTCTCCGTGATCAATTAAGCCGTCTAATTAAACGGCTTATTGTTAGTTGATTCTAGTGCACCCGAATTATTGTCTTTTTAATATTTTTATGTTTTATTTCTTTTATGTACATGAGATGATTACGAGATTCTTGAATTGTTTACTAATTTTAAAAAAGGAATTTTAAAGTTAGGTTCCTTATTTATCGCAATACTTAAAATTTTTTAAACTTTCTTTTCTTACTCATTATTTTCAATTAAAATTCCTTTAAAATTCCAAACTTTACAAAAACCCACTTAATATTTAAGTGCATTGTTGTAATCCCTCCCCCAGGAACCATAAATATTTATAAAAAAATAACAAAATAATCAATTATTTTTAACTTATTGAAAGCGAAAATTTACGTCTTTTACCACCAAATCATCCATCTATAAATAATTGCGAGGAATTTCCTTCATTAAATATAAACACACAAATTAAAAATATTTTTGTTTGTTGCCGCTATTTTGCGGCGTAATTTTGTTTTTTTTATTTGAAAATAAATTTTGGAAGAATTTGTAACGCACATTTCATTATTTGAAAAAAATAAACGGCCAATTTAAGAAATAATGAACTGACTGAAATTCCTATACATACAATTTATTACAACTATTAAAAATATCTTTCAAAAATTCCACGCAAATTAGTCAATCTTTAAAAGGCAAAAAGTTGGCAATAAAATTTTATTAGTTTAAAATTTTATTTCTACAAATATTTGCTAAATTTATCTGATACCTGGGATAATAAATAACAGTCATTCTGAATTTCTATCAGCCCTAATCTTTGTCGAGTATTGTTAATATTTTGATAATCGAACCAATATTCTCCATTTCCTGATCCTATTGATTATAGATGATCTAATGATAATAATAATTATTATCCTAATCTTAATGTTCATAATGATGCTAATCCATTTTTTTCCAATTTAAACTTTTATTTTACATACGAAATTTTACATATATGTATATACATAAATTACAAAAATCCTTCTCTATTGTTTGTCTGAACAATATTTAATTGAAATATTGTTATCTTAACCGCCTTTATTAATACCAGTTTATTTTTATGAATCATTTCCTCTTTTCTATCAAGATTTTTATTAATTTAATATGACATTTTTATTCTATTTGTTTTTTTGGTTTAAAGATTTTTTCTTTCACTTTCAATTTAATTTTATAAATTTCCCCCTCATTCCAAAATTTTTAAAATTTTAAAAATTTATAAAGGTTTTTTTTAAAATACCAATGATTCTATCCCTTCTCTAGTAGTATTTATACATATTAGTTCTCGTTACATTTATACTTATTTTCTATTAAAGGTAATCGCTCAACCGCGCGTATATATTTATTTTAACCAGCTGCCGGTCATGGAAAGAACTAACCAACCACCCACCCCCCCTTCCCCCCCCCCCTCCAATTCCATCCGCCACCCCAAATTTGTCTTACGCATCAACCGCCTACTTTCCCCCAAAATTGACCCATCAAAACTTCTCTTTCTGCAATCAAATAACAATTTTGTTTTGATTGTGTGCGTTAGGCGTTTTACTTTACTGCATTTTTCATACCACCCATATTATTTTTAAATAGCCGGTATTTTTGCCCAGAGACGAGTAAATTTACGAAGAATTTTTTTTATTATTTTTATTGTTTTTTTCACAACTTTAAGTAAGTTGAGGAATTTATTAGTTTTAAAATAATTTTTTTCTGCCTTGATTATAAAAAAGTGTTATGTAAATTGTTTTTTGTTATCTTATAGTTTTTTGAGATAACAAAAGACTTCAATTCGCGCATCAAAAAAGTTCCGTTCTAAAGTTTTATCCTTTTCATTCATACCCCTTCCCCACAACGACATTATCTTGAGTGATTCATTTTTAGCTTTTTTTAAAAATCCAATTTAATTCTATTAGCATACATACATAAACTACAACTCGCGCATCAAAATTAATTGAAATTCCATTATTATAAAAATTCTGCAGTATGTATAAAGTTCTTCAAAAATACACGAAAAAACATAAACACGAACAGCACGGTTCTGGTGCAGGAGAAGCCAATGAACATTACAGTCGTTCGCGGTCAGAGGGATCACATTTGAATGGTGCCGGTGGTAGAGGATTATCCCCACCAGCAGCCACTAATGGATATTATTCTGCAAGTCGGGAACAACATAAAACTAATGGTGGTATACATCATTCGGGTAAGGAATAAGGGAGCATTTAAAGCATTAAAGAGCTTTATTGAGTATTTTTACAATAATAGGCTCTCAACAACAATTACGCCGAACTGAAGAATTTCACGAGAGAAGTCGAAGTCGTGGCGGTGATTACCGAAATGGTTATAGTGGTCGTTTTGGAGCTGAAAATGGATCTTTGCCTCGAGGGGCTGTAACTGAACGTCGAAATTTTTATGATGCAGCAACGGGGGCACATGGGTTTTCTGAAAATTCGAGTTGGGAGACTAAAGAACATTTTGAGAGAAAAGTTCAGAAAGGAGGACAGAAGGCGGCTGCAGGTACACTTGGTTCTCGAGCACGCCTTGATCAATGGGGCAGTGGAAGTGGACTTGCTATTGAACGTGTAAATAAATGAAATTATTATTTTTCTGGGGACTAATTTTGATGTCATTTTTGTGTAAATAGCAAATGCGCAGCTAATTTTTTTATGTTATTAATTGTTTTGATCTTTATTAATATTCTTTATTCTTTATCTCTATTTATCTCTATGTGAAAATATATTAAAGGATAAGAGATCGGATTTTTGAGTAACGAGAGGATAAACAGTAATATTTTGTTCTCTTGATTTTTTGAATTCTGAATTTCCAATCTCTTTTCTAAAATAAAACTAATTTAATATTTTTAAAAATATTATGTAAATAGATTGCTGATTCTTCTGCTTTACATCAAGAACGAGAAACATCTTCACCAGAACCATCTTTCTCATCAGAAGCACGTACAACAACATCAGCACGAGATGCACTTTTGGCTTGGGCTCGACGTGTAATTTCCACTTATCATCCTGAAGTGGATGTACAGAATTTTTCAAGCAATTGGAGGAATGGTTTTGCTTTTGATGCTATTTTGCATTATTATCGTCCGGAGTTGGTCAACTGGGAAAAGGTATTTTTTGGAATTTACAAAAAATATTTTATACAGTGCTGTTCATAATTATAAGCGCACTTGAAAAAATTGAATAACTCGGGGCTTAGTTATCCAAATATTATCAAATTTTGATCTAAAATACTAAAACGTATTAGAAATATGTTGACATTAAAAGATTTTGAAATTATCCATTTAAATTCGAAAAATTCAAAATTTTCAATAAACGCGCTAAATTTACCTGTTCAAAATTATAAGCGCACTTTGGATTTTCGTCTTTCTAACATTAGGAAAAATCTACAAAAATTTCACATAACATATTTGTATATAATAGGAAAAAATAAAACAGAACTAGGCCCATATCTCATTTCAATGTCGAGATCTCGATACCCTGAAAATAGGGGTAAAATAGGGGTAAGACTCTTTAAAAAATATTTTCGACCCCTTATGGATTATTTTGAAATTCCTATTTAGGCTTATTTGATAGCCCTTGAAATTTGCTACAAGATAGCCTTAATCTTATTTAGCAGAAAAAATTTTTCGATTGGTTATTAAGAGTTAAATTTTTATGTCTCCAGAAAACACCTAAATGCCCCATAAAATGCCCTTTACGGTCGCTTCGGAAGATTAATGTAATATATCTCTCAAATGAATTTTTTCTGGTAAATAAGATTTAAGGCTATCTTATAGCAAATTTCAAGGGCTATCAAATAAGCCTGAATAGGAAATTCAAAATAATCCATATGGGGTCGAAAATATTTTTAAAAGAGTCTTACCCCTATTTTACCCCTATTTTCAGGGTATCGAGATCAGACCTGGGCGAAACTCCAAATTTTTTTCGGACGAAACGAAACGAAACAAAAATTTTTAAAAATCGTTTCGTTAACAAAACGAAACGAAACAGTCAAAATTTAACGAAACGAAACAAAACGAAACATTTTAATTTCGAAAAAAATCTCAAAAATCTGGATTATTTTATTAACTACAAAATTTTAAGCATGTTAATTGGCCAATAATGACATATAAGTGATCATAAAATTATGTGGACCATAAATTGTGGTCCCATTAGCCAATTTTTCTCTTAATCTCACCTAAATCTAGAGTTTAGCGGTATCGGGATTTATAGAAAAACCGGGATCTGGATTTTGGAATGGTGATACCGATCCCGACACGTGATCGGGATTGGTCGAAATTGTCGCATTACCGAATGAGTAATTGACGACAAAACTTTTGGATTATTAAGCCAAGGTCCTTCCCTTCAAAATATGCAAAAAGATTAATCTGCGGATACTTCCAGTACGGGCTCTAAAGATATTAATAAGGGGGTCAACTCTGTACCCCCTCATTAGCTCTGTTAATCCCACAGATAGACTGATTAAACTTGTAAAGAGATAAAAGCAAAAAATTGTGTTGATCAAACGTTTGTAAGACTTCAGGGTCAATAGGTCATCAGTGTTTAGGTTTACAAGGGGGGTCCTTTCTGATCTCCGCAGGCGAAAATATTGAGAATTTTGAAGGCCAAGAAGCCAGATTTCTTCCTTTTTTAGCGCCGCAGGCGAAAATTTTGAGTATTTTGAAGGCCAAAGGGGAAATTTTTTTAGTCTTGGGTAATATTTTGGCTTAAAAAATAGGTAATGTTTCGTCAACGAAACACAGGTGTTTCGTTAACAAAACGAAACGAAACAAATTAAAAAGTGTTTCGTCACGAAACGAGACGAAACAGGAAAAAACATAACGAAACTAACGAAACAACGAAACGAAACGAAACGTTTCGCCCACGTCTGATCGAGATCTCGACATTGAAATGAGATATGGGCCTAGTTCTGTTTTATTTTTTCCTATTATATACAAATATGTTATGTGAAATTTTTGTAGATTTTTCCTAATGTTAGAAAGACGAAAATCCAAAGTGCGCTTATAATTTTGAACAGGTAAATTTAGCGCGTTTATTGAAAATTTTGAATTTTTCGAATTTAAATGGATAATTTCAAAATCTTTTAATGTCAACATATTTCTAATACGTTTTAGTATTTTAGATCAAAATTTGATAATATTTGGATAACTAAGCCCCGAGTTATTCAATTTTTTCAAGTGCGCTTATAATTATGAACAGCACTGTATGAGTTAAAATTTTCAAATTTTAATTCTTTCAGAAAAATTAACTTAAAAATTAACATTTTTGGAGAAAAACAAGCTTATCTTGTCTAATATTATTCATATACACTTTTTAAAGGTTCTCCAATTATCCGCTCGAGAACGATTACAATTCGCTTTTGATACATTTGAAAGTGAATATGGTATTGCAAAATTGCTTGATCCAGAGGACGTTTGTGACGTTGAAACACCAGATGAACGTTCTTTAATTACTTATGTTTCAATGTTGCATAATAGATTAATCAACGAGCCAAAGGTTTTGTTGTCTTTGGGCGTAAGTTTATCTTTGTGGCAATCTTTTTTGTTTTTTTGCTTTTACAATCATCTCATTTTATATTTTACTTTCATCCATTTATTCATGCGCATTTGTTATTACAAATTTTTTAAATTTTCCCATGTCCAATCTCTTATTTTTTGTTCTTTTAAAAATTTTTTATTTATTTTTAGGGAGGCTATGATGATGTTATTTCACGTCTTACTCGTGGAATTGGCATAACCAATGAAAAACTTGATCATTTACTTGTACGTATTGATAATGTAAATGTAGCTGAAGAACGTGGTGAACGTTTTGAAATATTGGAACGTCAAGTTCGAGAAATTGTTGATGATTTGCACCTTCTGAAACCTCCAATTGATGAACTTTTTAGTGATGTTGAAATTCTCCGTCAACAACGACATTCGCAAACTGCTGATTTAAATAAGCAGTGAGAGAATATAATTTAAAATATTTTTAAAAAATATATATTTACAGAGTTGTTGGTCTAGAACAACGTAGAGCTGCATATTTGGGACGATTAGAAGATGGAATAATGACTAGACTTGGAATTCGCCCAAAAACACAATTCGTGACTGAACGTGTAACTTCAACAACAACTGCTGATGGAGGGTCTTTAGCTTATAAAGGAAATGCATTCCGACGTGTTGAGGATGCCATTCAATGGATTAGAGATAGAACGGTAAAGAAACTTAGTTTGAGTATTTAATTGAATTTTTAAAATTTATAGTACAAGCTAAATACAATGCAATTCAGCGAAACTTTAGAAATGCTTGAACAAATGTTTGAAAAACAGAAACTTGACAATAGAGACATTCAGGCAATTTTTTATATAGAAATGCTTGACTGATTGTAATCTCTCGTTTATTTAAGGATTTCCGTCAGACTGTTGATGAATGTATTGCCAGACAGGTAAATAATAATTATCAAATATTCAATTAAAAATTATTTTATCAGGCTGAAGTCTCTGCTGAAGATTCCTATGACTATTTTGAATTGCTCAAAATTCTTGAATCAGAATACCAACAATTACGGGAACTTTCTGCTGGAAGAATGGTTGATTTGGTAGATTAAATATATTCCTTCTTTGAATATTTTTATTAATTTTTTTAGGATTCTCTCATTGCTTTTATTCGTGCAGCACAACTTGAACTTGTTTGGATTCATGAAAGAGAAGAATTAGAAGTTACTCGTAATTGGTCTACAGTACAACAATTAGATATTCCCATGCTTCAAAATTATTTTAAACAAGTACTTCAAAAATTTGTTAAATTTAAAATAATTTTTAATTGTTAAGTTACTCCATGAAATTGAATTACACGAAAAACAATTTAATGATGTACATAATCAAGGAGCTGCTCTTATTAATCAACGACATCCGGCGGGAGAAGTTATTGAAGTTTATCTTCGCACAATGCAAAATCAATGGGATTGGTTATTAAATCTAAGCAAATGCCTTGAAGGTCATTTAAGAGATGCTTACAATGCCAAATCGTTTTTGGAAGAATCAGATCAAATTGAACAACAAATGCAACAACAATTGGTGAAATAAAATGTTTTGAATGTTATCTTAACTTATTATATTTTTTGTAGAATCATTTGGATCAGAGTTACAACCGAACAGATTTTTCTTTGGACGAGGGCGAAAGGATGTTACGAGAGTAAGAATTAAGAGATTAATAATAAGGATGTCCCATAGTTTTTATCAAGTATATCCTGACCTTACTTTTTGTCGTTTGCCCTACTTTTTATCAATCTCTCATTTTAGACTTGATTCAATCCGTGAACATATTCAACAATTACATGCTCGACTTCTTTCACTTTCTGAACGATGTTCACAAATTTCACCATTATGGCAACGTGGTGAAAGAATTGGAAGACCAATTCCCGTTGTTTCTCTTTGTGAATACAAAAGTAAAGAAAGCCATGTTAGACAAGGCAATTCAATAATTATTTTATTAAATAATTTTTAAATTTAGGGGACGAATGTACTCTTTTGGATAATCACGATTTATTACATTGGCGTATTCGAGGAATGGATGGTGTTGAAGCTAGCATTCCTTCTGTTGTTTTCCGTATTCCTCCACCTGATCCACGTCTTTCTAACTTACTTAGCCGTTTCCATGGACAATTTGAAAGATTAAGAAAACTTTGGGATCGTAAACATCATTTGGTAAGAAAAGTTGATTAATCTTTTGGGCATGAGTTTTGATAACTTAATGAGGAGACTTGGCATTATTTTCTTAAGGGGACACATTCTCTCTACTTTCCTGTAGGCTATATGATTAAATCAAAATAAATTTCCGTTTCACATAATTATAAATTTTTAATTCAGACACGTTACAATATGGTTTTGTCAACAATGCGAACTGTTCGTGGTTGGGATTTGGACACTTTTCTATCAATTCCTCCCGACCAACGAGATGAAATCATTAAAGCATTAAATGAAGATGTAAATAAACTTCTTGCTGAATTAGATCCAAATGATCCACTTGCTCGACGTCTTAAAGATGAATTAAGATTAACAAACGAACATTTTTATGATTTATTGGGACGTGCCCAGAAAGGACCTGAGCCAAATTATGCAAATGAATTTGATGCAGCTGCTGTTGAGCTTATTAGAAAATTTGAGGATGCTTTTAAACAACTGAGTGAACGCGCACAAATTCGTATACCAAGCAATTTGGAAGAATTAGAACATCAAATTAGAGAACATAAAATATTCGAAGATAATTTACAGGTAATTATTATTTAAGATTAAAAATACTTTTTTTCTCGTTTAAGGCTTTGGATGTTGATGTTTCAAACGTAAAAGAACTTTTTCGACAACTTCCAAGTCCAACACCTAATCAACGCGCCAAACACGATTTAATGATTTCTAGATGGGAAGAAATTTGGGATTTATGCCGAATGTATGTTGAACGACTTAAAGCACTAGAAAATGTACTAAAGAGTGTTGATGAAGTTTCTGATATTGTTCGTCGACATGAAGTAACACTTTCTTCTTTTGATGATATGCCTGCAGCTTTGGAGCGTCTTAGAGGAGTCCATGCACAATTAGTAGAATTATTAATGGTTTTGCAACAACAAAGAAGTATTGTTGAAAATTTGAATAAAGATACTGCTCAAATACGTTCACATGTAGCAAGGACACGTCTCGGAGTTCAACAGTGAGAGAAATAATTTTAAATTTAAAAATCTCATTTCTTTTTTTTTAAAGTCACTCTGATGTTGATCAATTGGAAGAATTAGTTACTAATTTAACCGTTCGCTGGGACAATGTAAACAGTCAAGTTACCGATCGTCTTCGAATTGCTGAAGAAGCTCAACAAACGCAAATGGTCTATAGATCACAATATGATGAAGAACTTCAATGGCTTGATAGAGTTGAGGCAACAATTAATAGCCTTCGTAGACCAGAAGATCTTCGTCCAGAAGAATTGCAAGGTCAATTGGATCAATTAACTGCAGAATATGCTCAATTACAAGAACATACAGCAACAATTGAGGCAATAAATAAAGAAGGAGGAAAATTCATTCGTGATGCTAGGGTAAAAATTATTAAATTTAATTTTATATTAGTTAATAATAAACAAATACTAACAGAACTCCAAATATCACCGAAAAATTTGTCAAAAATTACCGATACTCTAATAGAAACCCACCTCTAATTCAAGCCTATCTGAGGAGACCCATTGGAAAATATAAGCCCAGGGCTTCTATTAGTCCTCTCTCACATCCTAACCTTTTAGCTAATTCCATATGTTAATTCTTTCATTTATTTTTCAGAGTTATGATATAAAACTAGCACAATATCACGATAACATAATTAGTGCCCATGGTCAACGTATCAAAGACGAATTTCGACGTCAAATACCTCAACCAAAGAATGGAGCTCAAATAGTTACAGAAGAACTTGAAGCATTAAACCGAAGATTTGCTCAACTTTCCTCTGTAATATTGGAAAGAAAGAATATTGTTAATGTTTTAATTCAAAATTGGCGTCGAAAACAACAGGTGGACAAATTATTTTTATTTGAGTTGTTATTAATGGTTAATTATGAGGTCTTAAAAATAGAGTTAAAAAGGTATTTTGGTATTTACCTGATCTGCTTCTCTTTACTTCAATTAAATAATTAAAGGGAAGGTTTAAACTTGAGAGCGAAAAATGAATAAACCTAAAATTTATTCAAAAGTTTTTGTTGGGCCTGCCGGCCTCAACTCAACATTAAATATTATTAACATTTTTTTAAATTTCGCTTTTTTGCTTCCTCTGTTTTTTTAAATTTCATATGGGGTTTTTTTGTTAAATATGATTTAATAATTTATTAAATATTGGTGATGGTGCTTTGAGGGTTTTAAATGTTATTAATTAAGAGTATTTTTATTTTTAAAAAATACGTCTTCTCCATTACAAAATTATTTCAAATTCAGTCCCTAAAGAGAGTCACTTTCTCCTAATTTAATTTTTATTTCATTTATATTAATTTTTATATGCTAGCCTTTTGCTATAATCCTTATTTAGCATATTATAATTTTTAAAACTTGGCTAAGTTTATTGAAAGTTATCGCGCATTATATTGTTGTTCAATATTGCTTGCGCCATTTTTTCGCGTTTATATGAAAGAAGGGATAAACTTGTGTTACAATAACAACTATATTGATGTTTATTTATGAAATTGGTGGACGGCATGGCCCAACAAAATTTAAGGTAAATAATAAATCTGAAAAAGTTTGATTTTGCTGGATCCTAGATTAATCTTTAGCCTAATTTTGGAGTTTTTAAAAATATCCAGTTCCATGGAAAATTCACCTCCCTGTAGTAGTTAATATTTTTAAACAAATTATTTAAAATGATCTGTTAATTCTTAGTTTTTTAAATAATTCTGTATTATAAGTAGTTCCTTTTAATTTAAAATTTTTTCATGGGCAATCCCTTTGAATTGCTTTTACCTTTTTTATAAGTATTATGCAGTGTGTTTTTTATCTAATTTTATTTGTGAGTCGCTGATTTTCTAGGAAGAAGAAGAACGCATTCGTCTAGAAGAAGAGGCGAAACGACGCGCCTTTGAAGCAGCACGAGTAAAAGCATTGGAAGAAGCTGATAGACTTAGACGTGAACGTGCGGCAGCTGAAGCTGCACGCCGCGCAGCGGAAGAAGAAAATAGACTCAGGCGCCAACGTGAAGCATTAGCTGATGATGAAGAAAGGCGTCGAAAACTTGAAGATGAAAGAAGAAGAAGGCAAGAAGAAGAAGATCGAAGGCATAGAGAAGATTTGGAAAGATTAAGAAAAGCTGCCGATGAAGCAGAAAGGCGCCGTTTAATTGCTGAACAAGAAGAAAGAGATGAAGCAGAACGAAGAAGAAGACGAGAAAAAGAAGCTGAAGAAGAAGAAAATAGAAGACGAAAAGCAGCAGAAAAAGCTGCGCAAGATGAAGAAGATCGCCGTAATAGGCAGAAGAGGTGGGAAGGACAAATTAAGGTAAGAGAATTGCTGTTTTGTTTGCTTTATTTTTTGCCGTTTGAGTGAAGTTTTTTCTTGTAACTTTTAATTTTTCGATTTTTTGTATTTTTTGAAGTTTTAGATTTTATAATTTTTGAATTTCTATATACGTAATTTAGGTTTTTCTTAATTTTTGCTTCTTTGGTGTTTCTAGCCTTAATTTTTCGGATGATTTTTATTATACGTTTTTGGATTTACTTTAAAAATTTTTTTGTAGATATTGAAAATATTTTGATAAAAAACCATATAATTTATTTTAAACTAGGTCTTGTCCAATTTTTCTTTTCTAGCTTGGATTTTTAATGCTTTTTTTTTTCACAGGCTGCCCAAGTACATGAACAAGTTCCAATGCAGCAAGTTGAGGAATTTCAAGAAGTTAGACGTATACCTGAAGTACCTAAATTAGCTGAACATGAAGACGAACCACAAATGTTTCAAGAAGTAAAATTTCTGAATCTTAAAGTTTCTCTTTGGAATAAAACCAGGGCTCTCATAGACAAAATGCAACTCAAAAGTATCAAAATCTCGATTAAAAAGTATATAGGGAGAAAATTTGCAAATAAAAAGTATACTCAAAATTAAATTAGAAAATATTTATTCGTCCTCAAATTTTTCATATTTCCCTCTTAAATTAATCTTTTCTAATAATTTCTTGTTTCCACTGAGCATTTTGCGCATTTCAATGCGTGACATGTCAAAATTCGCTGATACAAGGAGTAAAGCTCTGACAGTATTTACCTCCATTTTTTGCGCCGCAGGTGAAAATTTTTTAAATTTGGAGTCCAAGAAGCCAAATTTCTCCCTTTTTCAGCGCCGCAGGCGAAAATTTTCTGAAATTTGGACTCAAAAAGCTAGATTTCTCCCTTTTTCAGCGCCGCAGGCGAAAATTTTGAGAATTTCGAAGGCCGTAGGCCAAAAAAATTCACTTTTTTGCCCATTCCCTTCCCCAATTTCATTTTCAATACAAAATGTTGATTTAAAAGTAGATACTTTCAAAAAAGTATAAATTCAATTTCGTAAGCATGGAGGTCGATTTAAAAGTAGAATACTTTTAAAAAAGTATAAATGAGAGCCCTGAATAAAACTTTACATTTAAGGAGACGGTAACAAAAACCCAATTTTACGAAATGGAGGGGATACTTCACAAACAAACAGGCGAAATACTTACATTTGTTGAGGCAATTCGTCAGGGTCTTCTTGATCTAAGTAGCGGTGGTGAATTTTTTGATATTGTTAGTGGATCACGTGTTTCTTTAGACAAAGCGGTACTTTGCATATTTTCTTTATTAAATAAATTGAAATTGAAATTCAGGTTGAGATGGGTTATATTAGCGAGAACATAACAGAAATACTTAATGGCAGGCATGGAATTAGACATCCAGAAACTGGTCAAGAATTAACTTTGATGGAGGCAATTCAAATCGGTTTATACGACCCAGACTCTCGCCAACTACGTGATATTAAAACTGGCGAACTTCTTTCGCTTTTTGATTCTCGGCATATTTGCCCAACAGATGTACAACATCGTCTTATTAAAATGGGCGTTTTAAAATTACCCCCAATGGAATTAGAACAGGCATTAAAGAATGGTGAGGAGTAGAAGCTGATCCAATGATTAATTCAAATAATGTTTTAAGGTGTTCTTAATCCTCAGACGGGCGAATTCCGAGGTAAATTTGTGCAAGAAGCTGTAACTTTCCGTGATGCTCTTGCAAATGGATATATTCAATTCCCAAGTGGACAACCCTTATTAGCTCTAACTTTGACTGATTGTATAGAAGATGGTTTTATTGACTCTCATTCTGGAGAATTTATTGACAAATCTGGTAAAAAATATAGCAAAATCATTTTTGACATTTTTCATAAACAGGAGAACGTTTTACACTCAGAGAAGCATTAGACCGTCAACGACCTTTGATTAGAGATAATACTCGTGAATGTGTTAACACAGCACTCAATCAACGTGTAACCGTTGCTGAGGCAGTTCTAGCTAATGCTCTAAATCCAAGGACAGGGAAATTCACTGATTTACAAAGTAGAATTGAACTCAGCCTTAAAGAGGCTCATGATTATGGATTGATACAGGCAAGTTAATTAATTATGGGCTATTTTCTTTATAAGTAAATAAATATAAAACTTATTACATCCACTATAATTCTAATTATTTTCAAATTTCAGAAACCGTTGACATTGACGGAGGTGAGAATTTTAATGAAAATATTTGAATATTACTAAATTTTTTATTAAATATATTTCTAAATTTATTTTATCATTTGTTAATTTTAAAAGGTTGTGGATAAAGGTCATTATGACAGCAATGGACTTTTCCTTGACCGAGGCAATCGTTTTACTCTTCTCGAGGCCATCAATGCTGGATGTTTGTTTTCCCTCTCAGCTTTTACAAAATCAAACAAATTGTAATTTAGGGCTTGATCCAGATGTTAGACATATTGTTTCCGAACAAGATCAAGAAGTTATTTCGATTGCTGATGCATTGGAACGTGGATTGCTTACACCTGATGGTCGTATAAAATTGGATTCGACAGAAAGCGCAGGAGCTCATGGCAGACAACTTGATTTATATGACGCACAAAGACAAGGCTTACTAATTCGACGAATACGCCATACTATTTTCGATGTAAAAGGAATCCGAAATACAGAAAATAATGCAAACTTGAGTTTTAATGAAGCGGTTGAAGCAGGAATACTTCAAGTAAATACTGAAAGTTATTTTGAAATATTATTTATTATTTAGTTGCCTTCTGAACGTGTTGTTGACCAGCATCGTCGACAAAATTATTCTTTATCTGATGCTGTTCGGGAAGGAATACTTGATTCTGCTTTAGCTGACATTTTAAGTTCTCCTTCTGGTCTTTCTGAAAATGGCGTTGAAGTAACACTTATTCGAGCTGTAGCTAAAGGATTAGTAGATGCAAAGAAAGGCGTTATAATTGACCGATCACAACGTGAACTTTCTGTTCGGGAAGCTTATAGCAATGGAATCTTTGGATCATTGCGTGCTGCAATGAGATTGGCTGCTTTATTTGATGTGCATCCATTGTTGATGACTGCAGTGAAAAAACGTCACCAAACTCGAAAAAGAATTCACCGACCTGGGACTGTTTCTGGCGGAGCATTACCTGAAGATCAAGTGGGGATGGAGAAAATTCTAGGAAAATTCTTGTTCTTAATTCTAGGTAAAAGTAACGTTGGCTGAGGCAATGCGAATGGGTCTTGTAGATGCACGAACACAGCGCTTCCGACAGGGCAAGAACGAAATGTCTTTGGATGATGCTTTGCATCAAGGATTAATAGATCCACATAGTGAATGGATTGGTAGAATTATTGTCTTATAATTTTATTCATTATAATTTTTAGTTCCATCTCGAGCATCAGGGGTTGGTCCAACCATTGAAGAACGCACCCAAGAAACTGTTACAGAAACTGGCCAACAATTGGCTCCAAAAATTTTCCCAGACAAGGAATTACAAGAATCAGTTCAGACTGTTCATCGCGTCAAGCGTACAGAAACAAGCGCTGTCGGAGGACCTGGAGGTGTTAGTGTATATCGTGCTGTGACTGGAGGAAAAGATTCTATTGAAGTACCTGAAAATGGTTTTCATGTTTTGGAGGCCGAACGTAAAGGGCTACTTGATTTAAATACTGGAATTGTGCGACCTCCTGGTTAACCAATACTAAAATAGTAGTTAAGGGAAATTTCATTTCAGGCACAGATAAATCTCTCAATTTGGAGGAAGCATGCCTTTTGGGAGTTCTTAACCCTTCATCAGTCTCAATCCGTGATACACAAAGTGGCCGTAGTCTTAAAATCGATGAAGCTTTAAAACAAAAGTTGATTGACAGACATGGTTTTGTTGAACATCATGGTCGTCGACTTTCTCTACAACAAGCAATTGATGAACGAATTGCACATGTCGAGCCAGAACCGCCAGCTCTAATCACTGGGGCTAAAAAGAAGTTAATTCAATTTTCTTCCGCAGTAGGTGCTCCTGTAGCTTTTCGACCTGTTGGACACCCGGTATATAATTTTAATTATTTCGAGTTTTTAAAATAATTTATCTCAGGTTGTTGAAGAATCTGAACATGCTTGGACCTTCGATTCAAACCGTGGAGTGTTCATTGACTTAAATACTAAAGAAAGTATTCCATTGGATTCAGCAATCCGTTCTGGCCATTTATCACCTGATGATTTGCGTGCCAGAGATGCGTTAACAGGAAGAGAATTTACATTGACTGAAGCTGAAAAATGGGGAATTGTTAATATTCGAGAAGGATATTATCTTGACAAAACTGATAATAAACGTTATTCATTTACTGAAGCTGCTAGACAACACAGAATTTATCCGACTGGAGGAGTTCCAGAGAATGCTGTGAGTTTCAACTCAGATACAGATTTCTAAATAAAATCTGTCTTATATTTTTAGGCAGATGCTCTTCAAACTACTGTTCGAGTACACAAACGTACTGAGGTTGCAACGAAAGAAGCAGTCCCCACTACTGCTTCTGGAGTTTCTGGCTTTCACTCCCCAACTGATTATAATCTTAATCGTTATGTGGATCAACGTCATTTTGAGCCATCAACTGGTCTTTTCACACATCCAGACGTTCAAAAGCAGATGACTCTTAAAGAATTAATTATCAAAGGGCTTCTTAACCCCTATAGTACAAAAATTGTTGATCGTGTAAAGGGAACAGAATTGAGATTGTTGGATGCTATACAAGAGAATATTGTTGATGATGTAGCGGTGAGTAGAATAAATTGGATAAGATTAAAATTTAAATATTTTAAGGGAACTGTACGTGACACCCAAACAGGGAAAGTTTATGATTTTTCTGCGGCTGTTAGACAAGGTTGAAAATTCGAAACAATCATCAAATTTTTATTTTTAATTTTCAGGTCTAGTGAAAGAAGATCTTCGCCCATTAGCCATAGAATCAACTTCACATGTGCCGGTTTTTGAGGAAAGGCGAGCCAGTCGAATATCCGCAGGCGGCGGCTCGCCTAAATTAGTAGAACGCAAACTTCAACTTACACCATATGCCCAGGAGCCGTTCCGCCGCAGTGCTGGTGAAAGTCTTTCGCCTCCCTCTGTTCGACGTAGCGGAAGCGCTGGTGGTGGTTCGCTTGGTGAGACTGGTTTTGGGAGTGGACGAGGAACCTCAACATGGTCAATTGGAGGTGGAGGACCAACTCAACCTAAACAACATCGTTTAAGTGGAACCGTTGCTGATTCTTCGCCTTCATACTTTGGGCGAGAATTTTCTTCTACAACTGCAGCACCTACTGGTAATTCATTTTTATTGCTTTCAAACTTACATTGTTGTTTTATCAGCAGGCGCCGTCGTTAGTGGCCCTTTGGGTACTTTAACTGGTCCAAATGAAAGAATGGTTGATTTAGGCGGAGGAAAGACTGTAAAAGTTAATGTGATTCGTGGAGCAGATGGTTTAGAAAAAGGCGAATATTTTGATCCAGCTAGCAACATGAAATTTACCATTCAACTTCACGGAGATCCTATTACTACTCAAACAAGCACAAAAGTTCGATCAACTTCGGTATTCATTACTCTACAATTAAATTATTTATCCTATTTTTTATCATTTAGCAAGTACAATCAGTTGAATTAGAACCTCATGCTCAATTTGTTGGCATCGATCAAATCAAAGATTTGAGAAATGGTCGTGTTATGTCTTTAGCAGATGCTCAACGTCTCGGACTTGCCCGTGTTGACCGCAAAGGACGACTTAGCACTAGGGAATATAGCGCTTTTCGGTCAAACATTGAATTGGCAGTTAATAAAGGAGTGATGAATGCTAGAGGAGAAAAACTTTCTTTGGAAGAAGCTATTAGACAACGATTAATTGATATTAGGGAACTTAAGGTTTTAATTTGAAGTGAAATTAATGGCAAATTTCATTTCTATATTTTTAGTACATTCATCCACGAAATGGTGAGGCTATTGACTTGAGTAGTGCCGCTAACCAAGGACTGGTAGATGTAACATTAGCGGAAACATTGCCCAGTGGAATACACCATCCTGGAACTGGCGAAAAAATAAGTGTAAGAAGAGCTATTGATCTTGGAATTATTGACGCAAGAACTGGTGCTGTTCGACATCCTTTCACAGGCGAACCTCTCAGTTGGGTGGATTTAACGAGAAAAGTTTACAACGCAATCACTCAAAATGGGGTTTATGATCCTCGAAAAGGATATGCCATCCCTGTAACTTCTGCTTTAGCTGATGGATTGATTGATTCCCGTTCTGGAGGAATCTATATTAATCCAATAACACAAGAACGTCATTCATTAGAAGAAGCTAGTCAACGCGGCATGATTGATTCTCAAACGTTGAGAGCGTTGACTGAGCCTTGTCTAACGGATTATCAAACTCGAAGAAGAATTAATTTGATACAGGCTGTTGAGGCTAAACTGATTGATCCACGGTGGGGATGATTTTTTTTTGTTTTGAAAGTCAGATCGGGGTTATTAGAAGTACCAAGTGGATTCCAGATTTTCTTTTCCATTTTTACCTTTTTTTATTTTTTATTTTAACAGAGCCAAAACAGTTCAATTATCAGCTGATAAAATTGTATCATTACAAAAGGCCATTGAAGAAGGAGCAATACCTGCTGAAGTCGGTGACCATTTGCGCCGTGTAGATAAATTGACATTTGCCGAAGCAGTAGGGAAAGGATTGATAGATGTTGCACAGGACCGATATACATGCTCTGAGACAGGAAAGCAAATGACAATTGCCGAAGCTGTTAGCCAAGGGCTTATTGACACTGGAACAGTAAAAAGTGGTGATGAGCCTGGAGAGAAGACAAATTTAGCTAGAGTAATTGCTTCGGATGAATTTGAAGAAAGATCTGGAAGAGTACAAGTGGGCAAATTTTAAGAAATTCCAATTTTTAAATATTTTTAGGACCCACAAACTCGTCTCTATCTTCCATTCAGTGCCGCTGTTAGCCAGCGTTTGGTTGATCCTGATTCGTTATTGCATGATTTAAATTCTTCTAAAACAATTACTCTTCGTGAAGCACTCAATTTAGGACTTATAGACTCACAAGTAAATTATCCCGGAAAATTTAAAAATAAATTTCCTTTTAATTTTAGGGTCGTTACGTACCTAAAACCCAGCCTGGACAGCATACATCAATTTCTCCTGTTCCTCTAAAAGAGGCAGTACAACGAGGTCTTATTGCTCTAATTGGTTCTCCAATGCAAGCAGCACAGGCGGTCAGTGAAGCTCTAAAAAGACGTGATGCTGAAGGCTATAAATTCCGTCTTGAACCGCTTGATGATGCTACTTTACAGCGTTTAAGCACTGGAAGTGGTAAAATTTAGACAAAATTTTTTCAAAAAATTACATTAAAAATATTTTTAAAGGTCGCTCACCAATACAAGAGGAAACAATTATTCGAACTCGTCGACCACGAGAGCCCAGCCTTTCTGAGCGTGTTCGTTCTTCAGGAGGATACTCCGGTGATGGGGATGTTTCACTTCGCGGTTCACGTGTCCGTTCTGGAGATGTTGATCCATTAGCATTAGCAGATCTGCAAAACGATTTTATTGCATTATTACAACAACAAGGCTTTGATGTAGATGAAAAATGTGTTGAAAATCCATCTACAATGAGAATGATGTAAATTATTTTAAATTTTTTTGAAAATTATTTTTTACTTATCAGGTCAATTCGTGAAGCTGTTGAATCTGGTCTTTTCGATGTTAGCACCGGAAATATTGTAAATCCAATATCTGGTCGTTATTATCCGGTTAATCGAGCTATCTCAATGCGTTTAGTTCAAACAAGCCCTGAAAAAGGCCAAAAAGTATATTGAAAAAAAATTTTTCTTTACAAATTCTATTTAAAGTTGTCTGATGCTTTGGCCCAAGCACATGAAAAGTATGGAGGATTGCCTGCTTTTCGTAGAAGTGAACAACAATTCTCTCCTGGGAGTGTCAGTCTTGGAAGCTATGCTGGAGTAAGTGATCCATACCAGCGGCGATCTTCTTTTGGGATTGAAGTAGATACGTAAGTTGAAATATGGAAATTTTTTTCTTTAGATTTATTTTCAATCGAATTTTATATGAGCTACTTTTTCCCAATTTCCAATCTTTTTCTTAACTTCTTGCTTTTTACTAACATACATATTTGACCATCTATTATGATTAAAATCTACATATTTTTCCATTCATTGCAAACTCAGTTTTATCTTTTTTTGATTAATATTCTATTTTTTCTTGTTTTTAATTTATATTTTTCGATTATTAATTATGCATCAATTTTATTTTTATAGTTCACCAACTTCTCTCCCTCCAATAAATAATCGCCTTTCTTGGTCATTTCGTAATGTAGATTGGAGAGGTGATACTGCAGAATTACGTTCTCGTCCCGAACTTGCAGATGTTCGTCATGCAAGTGTTGAACGTGGTATTGATGGTAATCTTCCTCCAGGAATGCCTGTTCCCTCACCAACTACTGTTATTGGCCAAACAGTTATTAAAAAATGAACTTTTATTTTTTTAAATTTTTTATAAAAATTAGGGAACAGATTTTCACCGAGATATCGAAGAATTTCGCCGAGGAGAGCCGTCTGAAGGCCCTTTAAATATTGATCGTACTCGTACACATATTTCTCCTGATGGGCAAACTCGAACAACTACACATTATACACATCACCGCAGCGAGTATTGAAACAATATTTTTAGTTTAGGATTTCTCTGTTAAATGAGAAATTTATTTTTTTTTAAATAATTCTTATAAAAATAATTTTTATATTTAAAACTTTAAACATCTATTGATAACTTAAAAACAAGCAAAATAATTATTTGGAAGAAAACCTTGAATTAATTATTATCTAAAAAATTAATTCTCGTATTTTTTCTGTGTTTAAAGTTTTTCTTATTTTTAATTAATTTCTTGCCGCATTTATTTTTAATTTTTTATATATTCCAAATTTTTATTAATTTCAATTTAAGCCATCATTTAAACAATCTTTTAGCCAATTTTTTCTTTTAAAGTTTGCCTCACTTTATATTAACCACTTAATATACCACATCAAAACATATCATTTAAAGTCATTTTTATGAAAATGATTTAATTATTTTATTAAATCTTTAGTTTAATTAATTTTTTTATTTTTTTTCACCACAAAAGCTGGAATCAATTTAATTAACCTTTTGTTTGTTTTTAAATTTAATTTAATTCCAGCTATTATTAATAATTAACTGACCACTGCTCACTTAACGAATTATACATTAATTAACTTCTCTGTAAATTTAACAAAAAAATTTCTTTTACCACTTAATCTTTCTTACCCATTATTAAAAACACTACCACAATAATACGCAGGCATTTTCACTTTCCTTTTTTTGATTTTTATTTTAATAATTTTATTACAAAATTATTTTTTCACTTCATTTTACTTTTATTTTTTTAATCAAAGAGAGTTAATTTCAAAAAAAAATAATTTTTTAATTTCAGCTATTTTCGAAAAAAATTTTATTAAAAAAGTTGAAATTATTCTCTCCTATGTACATTTTATACTCACCACATTATTTACTTTTTAATTAAAATTAGGGTCTTGCTACTAAAATTTAAAAAAAGGAAAAATAAATAATTGAGTGATTTCTAAAATAAATTAATTACAGCTTGACTCTAATTTATTTTTATTTTACCACTTATTTTTTTAAATTAATGAGTGCCTTGCGTGTTAAATTATAATACCTATATAAATTACCACACCAAATTAATAATAGCAAAACTGTGTTTAAAAGCAAATGCGAGCGACTTTAAAGCGATTTTAATACAATTTTAATATTTTTTTTTAATTTTGAACTACAAGATTAGATTAAAGTTTAATTTAAATAATTATTGGAAAGTGACTCTTTTTAAAAAGTTTTTATGGTAAAGGTAAAAAATGGAGAAGGCGTATTTTAAAATGTATTTGGGGATTTTTAAATATTTTGGATGTGTTTATTGATCCTTTATAGGGGATAATCTATTATATTATTTAGAAAAAAAATATTTTCTCAAGTTTATATAGATGTTATCTAACAAAATGAAAATGTTTTATTAATTGAAGTAAAAGAGCAGATCAGGTTTAATTATAACTAAAATTCTTGGTAGGTTTTAACTGGATAATTGGAAGGAAACTATATTTTTATTTAAAAATTATTAATAATTTTGCAAATAAATTTGATTTTGAACAAGTTTAACTTTAATTTTCTCATAAAATAATCCTTAAAAAATGGGTGTTCATCGCCAAACATTTTATTTCCCTTCTCAACGTTTATTTCTCCCTTTTAATCAGGATTCTCTTCATTCTGAATGTTTACGCCGAAATGCAGATATTCATTCACTTATTTCTCAATTGGGACAATTACAACGTTCCCAACTCGAACAAATTCAGACAATTCCACTCAATACAGAAAAAGAAGCTAGAAGTCATTTTGTGGTAAATTATATTTAATACTGGAAGATTAAATTTAAAATTTAGGGGATGAGAGAAAAGCTTAATTCTTATTCAACTGAAGTGGCAAAGCAAATAGCTGAGGCGGATAGGTTATGTGTTGAATGTGCGGATTCGCTTAGTCCTGAACAGTTTCACCTCCTTAAGGTGCTTATAACTATATTTACCTTTATACATATTAACTTTCCTCTAAATAGCTTAAAAGTGTTCTTTAATTTCTCTAAATACAATTATTTTTGAAAATAAAGTTAAGAATTTGAAACCCTTATTCGTTAGGCAAAAAACTTGAAAATCATATAAGAATTTTTTTTTAGGAAAATCGACATTGTTTACAACATACATTCGAACGTTTAGAACGACAAGCTGATGCTATACTTGCTCGTTTAGATTTAGCAACGGCTCTCTTGTTAGAATTTACTTCACGTGCAAGCTCATTTCAATCTTGGGTTTTTGAACATGGAAGGCAATTGGATTCGTTGAGAGCAGAATCAGGCGATCCAGAAAGATTGGATTCCATAAGAAGAGCATTTGAAGATTTGAATGAGCTAATTTTGGTGAATTTTGTTTAAATAAATTACTAAAAATCAAAAATCTTAAAGCTTTACTTGTTCGGGATCTAATCTTTCGGGTCGGGTCGAATAAGAGTTGAACCTTGAGCCATAACTAACCAAAAATAAGAAACTACTCTATAGACAGTGATATTGCTCGTTTATCTAAGTAATGATTCACTTATTCCTGAACAGTGCTTAGATTACCAGAGCAAATTTTATGTGTTAACTGATAAATTACTTAGACTACTAGCTCTAAAATTAAGGAAAATTTGTTTTTTTAATGTCTGTCAGTTTTTTTTTCAATTTTTATTATTATATTGTCCATTTTTTTCTAACTAAAAAATAATATTTGCACAAACAATTCCCTTCTTTATTATCTAAATTTTCCTTGACATTAAACTAAAAAAATAATAATAATCTTTTCTTTAATAATTTTTAGTCTAAAAGACCGGAGTTAAACTCAATTGAACAGTTGGCCCAAAGAATTGAAGTTGAAATAGCTGCCTATGTTGATGAAATAAATGACCGGGGAGGCGGTATGTCTTCACCTATTTGTGAAGGTATAGCTTTGGTCACAACAACACAGCTGTTACAACAACACCAAGTTCGTGAAACTGTTTTGAGGGCGCAAGAAGATTATGAGGTGTGTTTAGGATTTTATTATTCCTTTTTTATTGAAATAATATTTTGTTTTAAAATTAAAATTTGATATATTTTTTTTCTAAATCTGCTTCTAAATTTATTACAATTTTTAATATTAAATAATTTAATTATTACACCTTTTGATATTTTTTTACAAAACTGTCTATATTTGAACTAAAACATTCTGTTAATTATTACGAATTATTATTTTTAGTCATTATTATCTGCAAAGCAAGAATTAGATCAGTTATTACAAGGATTATCTAGTAATTCAATGCAATATCAACAAAGACTTGCAGAATGGTTAAGCCATGCAGAGAAGCAAATATTACTTTTTAATGATCTACCAATTCATCCAAAAGTGAATTTAGAAATTTTTAGAATATTTGAAAAATTTTTTTATAGGAATTAACAGAACAAAGTGAAGAGTTAGCTGATTTTGTAAACGAAATTTCAATACAGGCACCGCTATTAGGTAAGAGAAAAATACACGTTAAAGGGTAATAATGCCGGAACAAATATTCATAAGCGTAGATTATCCCTCGGTTTTCTACTTCCACATTTTAGTACCTAGCATTTTAGAATATTTTTTAGATTTATTATATTAAAAATGAAATTTTTCCACAGTAAAATAGGTTAAAGAGACATAATTATTTGTTTTAGTTGGACAAATATTTTTTAGAAAACAAAATCCTAAAAAATTATTTTTGTAGAGAATGTTATTGAGAACACCCGAGAATTGTTTGCACACCTTGGGGGAAGTGAAGCTATAGCTTTACAAATGCGTACAGATCAGTTAAAACAACGTTATAATAATTTGGCTGATGATGCTGATTCAAAAATTGCTATTTGGGAAAAAGCACTGACTTTAGCCGAGAATTTGTTAGATGGACAGACTGAGTTAAAGTTGGGGTTTTTTTTCTAAAAAGCTTAATTATTAAAGAAATACGGGCAAAAAAATAAATCCGACCTACATATTTAATTTAACGAAGAATTTTTTTTTCTTTTATAAATATTTTTTGAAACTTTGACCTAACATTTTTCTTAGCTAGGAGATCTTTTTTTTTGCAATCTTAAATTTTCTACCTCGGACATTTCCCTTACAATAAAATTAATTCTATGATTTTTGCTCTTCAAAATTATGGAATTTTTTAAATTTATAATTTTTTATTTTAAAATATAATATTAAAAATTTTCTTAATTTTTAAAGAAAACATTTGGAAGATGTTGAAGAAGACTTACAAAATTTATCTCAAGTTTCTCTAGAAGAACAATTTCAATTAATTAGTACAATAGAATCAGATTTGGGCCCAGCACGAGAACAATTAGAATCTATTCAATTAATTAGTTGTGAACTTCAGAGATTAACCACAGAAAGTAGAGCTAATCAATTGGCAAAAGAAAGTGCTGAATTACTCAGATATTTTAATTCTGTGGCAGATACAGTTACTAAAAAGGCTGAATTGTTGAGTAAAGTAAGGGAAATTATTTTTTTTATTATTTTATTTTGGATTTTGGAGGCTTTAATTTTAAAAATCTGAACCTTAAGGACAGTTCAATTCAACAAAAAATATTAATAATCAGTTTGATAGGTTATCACAATTCCAAAAATTATTTTCATACCGGGGAAATTAATGTAAATAAAAGATAAGAGAGATTTTAATCTTCAATTTTTACACTTTCATATTTGTTTTTAAATGAGAATATTGTTGTAATTAATAATTCTTTAGCCTTAAATTACACTCTTGATCATAATAATTTATAAATTTTTTTTTCTATCCTATCTATAATTTTAAAATCAAGAAAATTTATTTCAAAAATAAATTTTATTTAAATTTTCAGGCCGAACGCCAATCTCGACTAATTTTTGACGTTCTCGATTTTTGGATTGACTGGTTTAACGAAGTTCAAGAACAAATAGTTAATGCAGAAAAGCCGGCTGTAGATATAGAACAATTAAAACAACAATTAAAACAACAAAGGCAATTAAATGATGAAATATCTTCTGAAAGAAACGGATTGAGAGATATGATTACTGAAGCTTCTAAAGTTGCTAGAGATTTAAATTTAACATTGGGAGGGCAAGAAGGACAAGAAGCTTTATTAACTAAAGTTGAAAGAACTAAGAAAATGGCTGAAGAAACGGCTGAACTTGGAAGTGAAAGAACTGCTGAATTAGAACAAGTAAAATAGAATATTACGTTATTAAGTAAAATACAGTCAGATTTTGCTATAAAATACACCTTTGAGACATACATATGTATATGAAGTATTTTAATATAAATTCTTTTAAATTTTTTTTAAACTTTACTCTAAATTGAGGCACCTTATATAGTTGACATATAATTAAGTAGCTTATATTTTTGGCCGACTTTATAGTTATTCTCACCTTTTCGATTTTATTTTTTATTTTATACCCCCAATTTATTTTCAGGCTTTTGCCCTTGCAAAAGAACTTGATTCGGTTTGTTTTAACTCTTTCCCTTTAAATTTCAAAAAATTTTATTTAAGGAATATACAGAACTTAATGATTATATGGATGGATTTGAACGTGAATTATGTGCTTGTGACCCAATAACTACAGGAATGCCTGCTAAAGTTCTTTTAGCCCAACAACAACATAATAATGTAATTTCAAAGAATTTATTATTAAAAAATAATTTTTTTAAAGAATATTCTTCAACAAATTCAAAGTCAACGTCCAATGGTTAATAAATTTGAAAGAAATGTTGCTGCATTGCGGGAACTTTGTTCTGAAATTGATGAACAAAATTTAAAACAAATTTCTGAAAATGTTGCTGAACGTAGGATTTTTAAAAAACTTTTTTAAATAATCTTGTCGTCGCTGTCTCCCTTATAAACATAGTATTTCACTTTAAGATTTTTTTTGGATTTTTTGAACATTAATTTTATCACAATAAATATAATTTAATAATCATTTCACTATTTTATCTAAATTTACCTGCATAATTTTTTAACAAATATAATATTTACCTTTTTCCTAAAAATAAATATGACAATTAAAATGAGATTTTTTGAAATCTTTTTCAAAATGCTTATTTTTTTCAGGTTTCGAAGAATTAGTTCATGCATTTCAAGAACGTGGTGATGTTTTAACTTCTTCATTAGAACATTCTGCACATTTGGGAGACAGATTAAATATGCTTTTGAGTAATTTAAGTGCAGCATTAGAGCAATTACATTCTCAAGAACCTCCCTCATCTCGCCCACCAATAATCCGAAGACAGTTAGCTGAAATGAGTGCTATGTTTGATTTATTACATCAAAGAGAACCTTCTTTCTTGGCAATGAAAACACAGTGTTCTGAACAGATTGAACTTGCAAAACAACAAAATTTAAATTCTGGACAAGAACCATCAACTTTAGCAGAAATGCACCAACAAAGATTGGCTGAATTGGATACTAGATGGACTGAACTTAAACAAGCGGCTGAAGGAAGGAGATTACAACTAGAAACGATACTTCCTTTAGCTGAACGATTTTGGGTAAATTAAATAATTTTTTGGACTTTCTTTGAGCATTTTTTAATATTTATTCTATCTTTTAAAAAATCTCTAGCTTAGGCATTTTATCATTCAATTTTCTTTAACCAACTGTATTGCGTTATTACATAATTAACTAAATATTATGACTCGAGACTAACTAAATTAATGAATTACAATAGAAATTGACGTCTAGGTGTTTTTTATCAGTATTATGTCTAGTACTAGAATTCACCGAAGCTTTATTTTCTTTACCTATTCTCTTTCTATTACGTAATTTCTATTTATCATTAATATGATTATTAATTTTTATTTAAGTTTTTTTCAATTTTTAGATTCAATTAGACCTTGCCCAACAATCTGTTGTCCAAATTCGTCAACACACTGATCAATTTGGAATGACTGCAGCAGCAGAAGATTTATTTGATAGTCCAGTAAAGCAATTACAACAAAGACAAAATCAACTTCAATCTCTTCAAAATGGAATTTCTGAGTGTTCTCAGGGTGTTCAACAAGCACATTTGGGTGGACTTGCATTGTGTAATGAATTGTTGGGTGCTGAAGAGGAACAAAGTTTTGTACAACAACATTTAGCTGCATTGCAGGCACAATGGGATGCTTTTCTTGCACATTTTACTCAAATGAGTAGTTCTCTAAGTTTGGCTGTTAATCAGGCAAGTTTTTTCTTTAAAATTCTTTTTACTAAACAAAAAACACGAATTTTTTTGGAATTTTTTCGAATTTTTTTGGTTTAAAATTTTTTCTACAGTAACCCACTGTTTAAATAGAAATATGATCTTTGTCGTGATGTTTGTATAAATTTTTTGTTAAATATGAAAGCATTTTTGCTAACTAAATAGAAAATAACCCTAAGTAAATCAGAAGCTCAGACCTGGCTAAAACAAAACAAGTCTGACTATTCCAGACTAGTCCACAATACAGGGGAATGGGGATTCTTCGACAGACTATTGTTATACCTAAATGTATAACTTTTTTAACCTGATTGATATAAATTTTTAAATTTTCTTATCAAAATACTTTTTATCAATTAATATTTACCGATTATATTTTTTTCAAAAATTATTACGTCCTCCTTAACTTTTGTTCTTTAATCATTTAGTCACTTCAATTCCACTCTTTACTGCAACAATTAACTTCATTCTTGGCTGCAAAAGAAAATCAAGCTTCTAATATTATAACTGACAATCCTTTAAATTCTGTTGATTCTGTTAGAGAACAACTTCAAATTGTTGATATGTTACGAAGGGAATTGGATGAAGCAGCAATTGGTCGTGAACAGTTAAACCAAATGGGAGCTGAATTATGTGCTGTTATGGCTGCTACAAAAAATACATCTATGGGGGATACAGGTAATTAGAATATTTCTTACTTTCTTGACTTATTTTTAAAGATGATCCAACTCTTTCAATTAGACAACCACTGGGCGAACTCAATCAACGATGGAATGTTCTATTAAAACGTCTTTTGGATAGCCAACAACGTTTAGAACGTGCACTTCTTGATATGGGACAGTTCTCTCAAGCACATGCTCAATTAGTTGATTGGATTGATAAAACTTTATCAACATTAGATGGGGTAGAAGGAGAATGGCGCTTATATTCAGATAATGGAACAAGTGGTTTAAAACATATTGAGATTGCTTTATGCAAATTAAGGGTAAATTTATTAATTAAATTATATTCTAAATATTGTCTGTATAAAACAGGCAGACTAAAAAGTCTCTCCGCATATGTCTTAGTTTTTATTTTTGAAAAATATTTTGGGCGATTCTTGATATAATAAATGAATTTTAAATTAGATACTTCAAAACGACATTTCTGCCCATCAACCAAGTTATGAAGCTATTTTAACTGCTGGAGCACAGATTTTACGCCAAGAAGATTCTTCTGCTGCAGCTAGCACACAGCCAATGATTGAACATTTAGTCTCGAATTGGTCAAAACTAGATGAAAGAACACAACAATTATATAATGAATTAGAACAAAATAGGGCCGAATCCACTTCAAGAAATAATGATATGGAAAAATGGCGTTTATGGCTGGCTGATTTATTAACTGAAATGAGGGTACCCCTTTTACACATAAAAAATAATTATATATTTCTTCAAAAATAGACAAATCGTCCGATAGGAGGTCTACCTGAAACAGCGATTGCCCAGCTTGACGAGTTTCGAGTAATTCAATCAGATGTTGAACAAAGAAAGCCTCAATTTGAAGAATACTTGAATTCCCTAGAAGAATCAATGGAAGATTTGAAAAGATCTGAAGTCAAGAATGGAAAAGAAGACAGGACAATTAGTCAAGTTAAAAAGCTTCGAGCAGATTGGAAAACTCTTCAAGTGAATGTTTTGAATATTTTTTAAAGAAAACTGAGAATACATATAACTTGAAATTAGTCACCATTCCTTATACGTTGTCTTTTTAATTGGAATTACCGATTGATCCTTTTCAGAAAAACTCACCTTCGGAATAATTAAACCTTACTTTTACCACATTCTTACTTTCCAGGAAAAATTAGCTGAACAAGAGAAGAAGCTACGACAAGCACTTGAAGAAGCATTAGAGCTTTCCCAAGGGGTAATTATTAAGTAAATTATTTATCAAATCAATTTCCCTATACCAATTAAGATGCAAGAAATGCAAGATTGGTTACTTGAAGCAGAAAATCATTTGGCAATGGTACCTCCAATCTCAAGATTAGTAGAAACACTCGAAACACAATTGGGTACTCACAAAACATTTAATGATTCTGTCCAAACAAAATGTCAATTGTGAGGAAATTTTGAAAGAAATATTTAAAAAATTTCTTAAAATTATTTTAGTATGAAAGAGCTAAATAATAAAGGTATTAGAATGCAATTAAGCTGTGAAAAGAAGGATGCAATTCCTATGAAAAATAAATTAGTTTCTTTAAAACATAGAACAGACAAGCTTGCACAAAGAAGCAATGAACGATTACGTACATTAACTATTGCATTGGTAAACAGAAAATTTATTTTTATTTGGAATTGATGAAAATTTTAACATTTTAGGATGATTCAAGGCTCTTTTTCGTCGCTCAACAAGAATTAATTGACTGGATTGAAGAACAACTTAAATTACTTGATGAAAAGGAAACTGAAAAGATGGGGACTGGGGACAGAATAAGGGAATTATTAGAAGAACATAAAAAATTACAAGATCAAATAAGACGGAGAACAGGACTTTTTGATGAAACTAGGCAATATATTTGCTTTAAATTAACTTTAAAATTTTTTATAAAATTTTTAGATTAAGAGGTAATTTGTTGGGCGAACATGCCCCGCCAGCAGAAAAACGAAGAATTGAATCCGCAAATGATCAATTAGGAAATGAATGGGCAGAATTGGGGAAAAGAACTTTGAAAAGGCAAAGAAGTTTAGAAGAAGCATTAATTCAAAGTGGACATTTTGATGAAGTTTTGGCTGAATTACTTGAATGGCTTAAAAAGGAATTACCTCCAATTGAGAATGAACTTTTGACACAAAATTATTTTGGTAAATTTTATTTTCTTGTTTATTTAATATATTTCTAATTTTAACATTATTATTAATTTTCACTAATTTTTCTATTTTAAGGCGATATTGATACAATGAATACTTTAATGAGAGAGCATTTTGAGGTAAATTATTTTTTATTTTATTTTAAAATTTCGTCATCATTTTAAATTTTGACTATTATTAAAGAAAATCTTTTTAATTATTTTATTAATTTTTAGTTAGTAGAACGTGCAGATACAAGAAAACCAAATGTTTTAAAAGTCCAAGAACGAGCAAAAAAAATTCTGGCTTCAAAAGGTGGAGATCCTCAAGAATTGGATAAATTAGCTATTTCGCTGGAAACACTCGACGGGCAATGGAAACGTTTAGAAAGTTCTATTGCCGAAAGAGTAGTTCAAAACTAAAATTCTTTTTAAAATTTAAATTTTAGGATCGCCGATTTACAGCAGCATTGAAGAAGGCTGTTGATTTGTCTGAAATGATGTAATTTAAATAAAAATATTTTAAGAATTTACGGCGTTGATTGGAATTATTATACATCTCAGCTTTATGGCTAAATTTGTGCTTTAACTCTCAAACGTTTTTTGACCTCCTATCTTTAGACATACTTTGGATTCCATACCAGAATTCTACAGCTTTACCAAATTTAATTAATATAAATTTAAGGCATGAACTAGGTACTACTCTTCAAGACATTGAGGGCCGAGTTCGCCGTTTAGGATTACCTTGGGAAGAACAAGATGTTTTAACAGAACAAAATCAGTTAGAAAAACTCCAAAAAGAATTTATGTCAGAACATCCAACATTAGAAAAGCAATTAGAATTAGCTAGAGAACTTCAATCTCGTAGCCATCCACGTGCAGAAAAACCTTTAAAAGAATTAATAACAACAGCAAATACTCGTTGGGAATCTTTGGATGCACTTTTAAATGATAAATCAGAAAAGTTAAGGTTAAGATTGGAGGAAATTCGTAAACATGAAAGACAACAGAATGATTTATTTAATTATTTAGAAGAAAAGCAAGGGCAATTAGATTATTATAGGTATTAGATTGTTATAGCTAGGGTTTTATTTTTAAAATTTTAGAGGAGAATGCCATGATGAAGGTCAGCAAGCACGATTACAAACATTAATTGACGAACAACAAATGTTTAAATCAGATTTACAACAACGTCAACCAGAATTCGATGAAGTAATGAAAATAGCTGCTAAAAGACGTTTACATAGTGGAAGACATTCTGATAATTTTGGAATTCTTAGTGGAAATAAGGGAGGAATAAATAATGAAGTTGAAGAAAGGAAAGATGAAGTAAAATAAATTTTAGAATTTTAAAAATAATATTCTTTTTTTCTCAACAGACTGACCAACTTCTATCACCTCTTCTTTCTCCTTCCAAATCTTCCCCTAAAAGAGGAGCATCTGCTGCCAAACAAATTAAACTTCAAGAAAAATTACAACAACAAGAACAACAACAACAATCATCACTATTACGCCAACAAAATAAAACAAAAAGTGAAATTTTGGGAGATTCTTGGAGGAAATTATGGGCAGATTTACGTTTATATGAAGAACATTTAAAGCAGGTATTTTGAGAGAAACAACTGAAAATAATTATTAAAAATAAATTAAATTTTAAGAGAAAGGCTCATTTGGATGAAATTGATAGATTGAAGAACTTTACTTTTGAGGTACTTGAAAGAATAATTTTTCATTTTACTTTCTTCTTTACCTTTCCTTTCTTTCCTTTTCTTAAACTTTTCCTATAACATTTTGTTAAATTAAAAAAAAAATTTAAATAAAAGGAATGGCGTGAACGTTATCTTGCTTGGAATGATCATGGAAAAGCTAGAGTTTCTGATTTATTCCGTCGAATAGATAAATTGGGTACTGGACGTGTACCTCGACAACAATTTATTGATGGAATAATTTCTTCAAAATTTCCAACAACTTTATTAGAAATGAATAAAGTTGCCAATGAATTTGATGGAGGGGATGGATTAATTTCTTCAAAAGAATTTATGAATGCTTTGAGATATGATCCAAATAAAAGAATACCTCCAAAAAGTGAAACAGAAAGAATACACGAAGAAATTGCTAGGGAAACGGCTAGATGTACTTGTGTTAGACGTTTTCCTATTTTACATTTAAGTACAGATAAAGATAAGGTAAAAAATTAAAATTTTTAATACTAAAATTATTTTTTGCTTTCTACTTCTTTTTTAAACTTTTCTCTTTCATTTTCTTTTGAGTTGTCTAAGTTTGGAGTAATTTTAAAGCTAAGGACTTTTAGTACTATTTATCTACATACCTAATTAGTAAAGACTTTACATAGATATTCTTTCTGGTTCCAAATCTTCTTCCAGATTTTCTTTATTTTATTGTTCCAACATCTCATTTTTAAATAAGATGCCAATTATCTTTTTTTCAAACATGCCAATTATCTTTTTTTCTTTTTGCTTCATTTAAAAATTATTTTAATATTTTATTATATATTTTACTTTTAAATACTTATTTTAGGTCCAATATGGTTTTGGTTTTGGAGGTTCTATGAAAAGAATGGTGAGAATTCTACGTAGCACGGTGAATTCAAAAAATTCTTAATGAATAAATATTATTACATATAAAGGTTATGGTTCGTGTTGGTGGTGGTTGGGAAGCTTTGGATGGATTTTTGTCAAAACATGATCCATGCCGAGCTAAAGTAGCATCTTCATCTATTTTAATTTAAAAATATTTTTCTTTTTTTAAAGGGCCGTATAAATGTCGATTTACTTCCTTTAACTTCTGATTATCATTTGAGGCCTATAGGTGCTATTGATGCTATAGGGGAATTTCATAGAAAAGAATCAACATCTTCTAATTCTGGTATTGGTCCTATTGCACAACCTTCTTCTTCAAATGTTATTGAGAGAGTTCTTGGATATAGTCCTGGACAGCCTGGGCCTATTATGAAGGTAGAATATACCCTCAACTACTAAAATTCTATCTACAATCTAAATTTAAGATACGAGAAAAAACTGAGCGTTCATTGCCAATGTTCAAAAGATCAGCAGATAATAATAACGGGTCTACTATTTCTATTCCACAACTAAAACAATCACAATCCGATCATTCCTCAATTATTGGTTTTATTTTTAATAAAAACAAATTTTAATTAATTGTTTTTCTAAAGATGATATTTATGGTTCTTCTCGCATTCCCCGGCCTGCAAGTTCTCGACAAGGAGGTTCTGACATTGCTTCTACCCCTTCCAGACCGGCCAGTAGATCCTCTGATATTGGATCTGATATAATTACAAATCAACCTAAAGGTGTTCGTTTTACGGGAATTAATACACAGTAAGTTTTTTGTGGCTGTTTTGTATAAATAATAAAATAATTTTTAAGAAGTTCAAGTAGCAGTGAACGTATTCCTTTCAGGCCTTAAAAATAAATTTAACAAATATTTTGAAATATTTTTTAAATTCCTCTATACAAATTCTCTCTCTATAAAATATTGCATGGTTTTAAATTAAGTGCATTATTCTTATTATTGTTTCTGTTTTAAATTGTTTTTCTTAAAATAATTATTTTATATTTATTTCATTTTTTAATTTTTGACCAAAAAATATTTAAAATTTAAAAGAAGAGTAAAATTATTTTATATTATTATTAATTTAAAAATATTATTTTTTTTGTTTTATTTTTTAAAAAAAAGTCAGTGCCTGTTGTCCTTTCCCTCTTTATTTTTCATTTCTTTTAATGCTCATCAATTTATTTTTGTTTGTTGATAAAGTTTAAAAATATTTTGGTTGAATATATTTTGTTTAATGCTTCAATAATTTTATGTGTTTTGGATTTATTTTGGAAAAAACAGAAAAATTGTTGTTGCCAAAGAGGAAGTGGTTTAATAAAAGTTTTGAAAAAATTTTTAACTTAAAAATTCTTTAAAACATTATTAGATATTTTTTTAATTATTATTTTCTGGGACGATATTCAAGAAAGCGGGTTGGAGAACCTGGTAAATTTACCAGGTTCTCTTACCCGGGTAATACATAGAACTCTCAGTTGAGGGTTGACCCTTATTCAAAAAAATCGACCCAGAACATGGTGTTTACCCGCAGCTGCGGGTAAACTAACCCACAACCCTCTTCTATGAATATCACCCCTGAGTTTTCAGATGCATATATTACACATTTTTTTAAATTTTTCCTTGATATTGTTTATCGAAATTAAATGTGGAATTCGATAAAAAATTAGATTTGATTACAAATACATATTTTCCAATATTTTAAGAAATATTTTAATCTTTGATATTAATATTTCTAAAGTATTTTAATCTTTTTAAATTCAAAATTTAAAATCCTCTTTCTTTTTTTTAAAATTTCTAAGAAAAAAGAAGAAAATAAATACTTTTATTAAGCTAAAACAACTGGCTTTACTCTTATTATGTTTTTAATATCAAATTACATGTAAACTAAAAGATTCTTTTAAAAATCTTGTTTTAAATAATTTTTAAAGAATTTTCTGTCTGATAATTTAATTGCAAATTTTCGTTATTAATTTATTTCGTTTAATTAATGATTTACTGATTGTATGTATTTTAATGAAAGGTGCATTATCAAAAGGGATTTCCAGATGGTGTTTGCCGATTTGATTTATTTTTTCGTTCATCTGACAGAATTGTTAATCATTTTAGAGGTTGGGTCCGGGTAGTTAAGAGGTAATTTCGGCCTTGAAGGTCATATGTAGGTTCGAACCCGTTCAGGTGTCAATATTTTTTTAAATCAGTCTTTTTCTATTTTTAATTATTTTTTGAACTTGTTTCCAAATAAAATTATTTTTTTTTGTGTTTTGAGCCAAAATTGAATATTTTATTAATTTGAATTAACACAAAATTGAAACAATAAACTAAAATAACTTTTTGTTTCTAATTTTGTTTTTATCTAAAAATAATTAATTATTACATAATTAATTATTATTTACATAACTAATAATTTTCTTTAATTTAAAAAAAATAATTAAAGTCAAAGAACATCATTGCATGCTACAATAATTTTTTCTTAAAATTTTTTTTCCTTTTTTAGAAGATTTTTATATAAAATAATTGCTTATTTCTCTTCTTTTTAAAATTAAAGATATATTCATTTAAATTAAAAATTATTATTTAAAGCTCTATTATTTCTTTGAAAAATATTTTTTTCTGAAAAAAAATTTTACGTTAAATTAAACAAAATGAATATATAAATTTAGTTTCCTTTTTCTAAAAATTTTATTTAAATTTTATTTTTAGTTTTTGTAACAATAAAATAATGAATTAAATATATTATTTGCGTAAATGTATTTAAAGCATGAAAAAATTATTTTGGAAAATAAATATTTTTTTAAATTTAAGGAGTGGGATTTTTAAAAGAAAAACATATGTATTTACATGTTTACATATATTTATATTTAAATTCCCAAACAAATATTTTGAACACTCAACTTACTGCCAGTATCTAATATTCGTACCTGATAAGAAACAAAAATTTCAACCACTCGAATAAGACTGTGTTAATCAGGGCTATCCGCAATTGCGGATTGCGGAATGCAGATTGCGTAAATTGCGTGGTTTTTTAGACTTGTGGACTACGGATTGCAGCTGCGGAAAAATTTTTTTACTTGCGGACAGCTCTGGTGTTAATCCAAGAATTCAATTGAAATTTAAGCTAATCTAGATCACGATTTGAAGTTTGTTTACGAATTCTCTAAATATTTAGCTTTACAACTCTAATAAGTAAATTTTAGTCTGTTTAATTTTTTAACTACTATTTTTATAATTTTTGGGGTTTTTCAGCTTTTTTCTTCAATTTTTCTTTAAAAAAACTTTATTTATTTTTTCTTCTCAATAACATCTTTTTATTCAGTTCCACTTGAAGAATTCTATCCAGTAATTTTGTTGTCTCAAAATCTTTTTATTTTTTTCTTCATATCCTTCCTTACAAGTACATTACATATAATAAAGTGCAAAAAAAATTTTTTTCTTTTCATTATTCTCCTTTTCGATTTTTATTAAATTTAATTTTCTTGTCTAGAATAAAAAATTAATTTTATTTTCTTTTGTAAATAATCTCGAGATTTTCTTTAAAGTTTCTTGTTTAAATTTTCTTTCAATTAAAATATTCTTAGAGGAAAGAATGGAGGGTTGTTTTAATATTTTTTTATTCAAATTTTTGATTTTATTATTATTAAAATCCTTTTATTTTCCCACATTTTAATTATTCTATATTTACTAATTTTAATGTTTAAACAATAAACACAATTTATTCTTTAACCAACTGTTGCTTTTCGGTTTTAAATAAATAGAAAGAAAAGATTTTATTTTTACTAAAATATACCAAAAAAATATTTTTTTGTTCTTTCAATCAAAAAATTTATTTTTTATTTTTAGCTATATACATATAAAATATCCTCATTTTTCTATATTTAATATTTTTTTTGCAAAAAATATTATTTCCAATGGGTGCAAGTTGTTCTGGACATTCTTCTCCATATCATTATGGATTCCCTGCAAGGAATAGAAGAACTGTTATCTCTGGTATAATTAATAAAATATTCTTTTAAATAATTTAATTTTTCTAAAGAATCAGATTCAAATCATTTCAACAAAAATTATTTAATTGAAGGAACAGAATTTTGGTCAGAGAAAAGATATCGAGAAAAGAATTATTTAAGAAATGGTAAAAAAGGAAGATATGATAATTGTCAAAATAAATGTAAATTAATTAAATAAATTTTATTTTAAATTTAAAAAATAATTAAATAGCAATATAAGGCTAGTAGGGATATTTAGTAAAATATTTTTGAAATAAATTCACTGAAAGATTTAGTCGACCAAAAAGAAATTCTCGGTTACTATATTCATCGGAAATGGCAGGGTACCGGAAATCGGAAACGGAATTCGCCTTGATATTTATGATTATAAAAATATAATTATAATTTTTATTAATTCTTAAAAAATATTTTTTATTTAGCGGATAATATATACCAAAAAGAGCAATGTGATTATTACTGGACTTCTTCAATTTCTCCAAATAACAATAATATTTTAACAAAACAAATATCCCAAGAATTAAATAAACAACCAAAAATAATTAATCAAACAAATTCTTTAACAACACAACAATTTGGACAAAAATTAAATAATAATAATACAAAAAAGACTAGTTTAGTACAACCATATGGAATTCAATCTAGATATTTACCTATTAATATTTAAATTGTTTTTTAAATTTAAAGAATGTAAATAAAAATTGTTGTTTTTTATTAAAATATTTTTTAAAATTAACCATCACTCAATTAATGTTGAGATTTTTTGTGTTATTAGGTTATTGGTATTTTTTTTTAAATTCGATCGGTTATCACTAAATATATCTGTCGATTTCGATTTAGCCAAATTCTTTTGTTAACCAAACCTCCCCCGATAATGTAACGTAGACGTTGTCATAACAGAAAAATCTGATAAGACTAACAACCCTAAACCATAAAAAATACTTATAAGGACAATGAAGACAAATGAGTGAATGCTCTAATAAAGATTAATTATTCCAATAAAGAGGGAAAAATAAACAAAACTTTATTCATTAAAAATTAAATAAATAAATTTGTGGGTATTTTACAACTATCTGGATATGTATTTGTTACAAACTTTAATATATGGCTAACTTTATTAATTAATCCTTTCTTTTCTAATATATGCATTGCTAATTGGGAATATTTCTGAAAAATAATTTTAAAAAATATTTTAATTTAATTATAAGTATGTATGTATAAGGGAAAAATGTTTAATTAATTTTTAGATTATTTTACAACTTTGGAATCTTATTACTCATGCATAATTTCCTTTAAATTAAATAATAAAAAAAGGGAAAAAAGATAAATGAGAATAAAATTTTCACGTCTTATTCAAATTTAAATTATAAATTTCAGAATGATTCTTGATGTGAGGGGAAAGACTATCTAATAAATAATCTATTTTACCTGATTAAAGGTAATCGGATCTCTCGCAATTACTTTAATAGGATAATTACAATTAATACCAAGAATTGCCCAATCATAACGTTTCTCTTCATTTGAATAACCGGCATCCAATATATTTACTTTAATTTATTTTTTTAAATAAATATTTATTTAAATTTATCTAACCATTAATTTCTTCAGGTTCATTTGTATTTTTTAAAATAATTTGTCCAGGTCTGGATAAAATAGCATGTCCAGAAATTATTTTTGGTTTTTGTAAATTATTTAAATTTTTTATTGGAGGAATAGAAAATTTAACAATTTCAAACAAAGAACCTATTCTATCTGTTCGATTTGTTTTATATATTGGCCTAAATGAAAATGTTGTACATTCTAATGGTGCAGAAATTAATGGGCGGCTATACATAACCTGGAAAAAATTAAATATTGTTGCTGAATAATTCTATTGTAAGCTAAAAAGCTGCTTTAAAAACTTTTAAAAAATTTTGACAGAGGTAACAAGAATACGATCGGCGCAAGTTAGGCTGTCCAAAATGTTTAAATAAAACCTAGATCTTTTGGATTGTTCACGATGAAATAAAAAATTAATAAAAATAATTAAATTAATACTTTAAGTTAATTTAAGAGATTTTAATAAAGTGTAAAACAAAAGTATGAAGAAAATGACAGACACCAACTCGGCGGCGCCTGGTTGTCCAAAACAGCGTCTATTACAAAACTTGCTACCTGAATCCAAAAGTTTAGGTTTTATAGGGAAAATGTTCTAGACAGAATGTTTTGGATTTGGCGTTAATAAATTTAAATTTTTAAGAATCCTTAATTAATTTAGTTAAAAATTAATTAATTTACTTCAAACCATTGTCCCATAAATGCATCTAAATTAAAATGTTCAATTAATTGAGGAGGTGAACTACAAAGAGGTAAAACAGGTTGACTAAGTAAACCTCTCAATACATCATAACTACTTGTATTAATTCCTGCTCTTTTATCACTCTAAATTTTAAATAATTTCTTAAAATTAATTTTTATTTTTCTAACTTTGCTAATATATTTAGGTGTATTTTCCATTATCCAGTCAGTCAAAACTTTGTCTAATTCACTTCCTTGTAAATATTTAACTCCAAAAAAGTCAAGTAAAGTATTTAATATTCCTTGCTGCATATTAGGCTTTGCACCATACTGTTTAAAAATTAATTTAAATAATTTAAATAAATTTTTAGCCTATCATAGTCTTATATTTTTATTTTCGGAAAAGTTTCTTTAAATAATTTATAATTTTCAGTTATAAATAGTGCTCGCCACCCGACCGGACGTTCCCAAATCCAGGTTTTTTTCCGGACTGGATTAATCCATAAAAATCCGGCTGGATCCGGTCTGGCATGGGCGAACAAACCAAAATCCGGGGGCACTAGTTATGAATTATAAATTTAAAAACATACCTGATATTCTTCCATATTTATTAAATTATTATTATCATTATTTTCCATAATTTCATTTATTTTATTTTCTTCTTTATTTTTATTTATTTTTGTATTTATTAATTCATCTTTTTCATTATTATTAAAATTTAATAAAGGAATTTTTGGAATAAATGGTTTAGTTTTTGGAATTCCTTTAATTGAAGAATTTAATTCTTTTAAGGTATTATTTTTATTTTCAATTTGTTTTTCTTCTTCTTCTTTATCTTCTTCACCTGATCCTTCAATTTGTTCTTCTTCATGTTCTTTTTCCTTTATAAAATTTAATTCTTTAAAATTAAAAATTATTGTTAGTTTTGGTTAATTATTTTAAATTATCTTCTGATATACCGTATTCCTTTAATTTCTTCAACCCCCTCGAATAATTTCCCCTTTACCGGTAGGTTGAAAAATAATTATAAAGAACTGTAATTACTCAAGACAATAATAATTCTATTAATTTACCCAATTAACATTTAAATATAAAATCTACTTTAGGAGAAATTAATTAAAAGCTTAAATTAAATTATGGTTACCAAGTAATATTAAAAAAGTTTGATAACTTTTAAATTAATTAAATTTACATGAGTTTGTGTATTCAATGTTTCATTATTTCTTAATTTTAACATTTTCTCTTTTTCTAATAAATAAGGAATTCTTTGCATTGAACGAAAACGTCCATTTAAAAAATTGTCCAAACTATTTTTTAAAATTTGTATAAAATATTTAAATAATTACTTCACAAAAAACCTTAATATTCCATAATCAACAAATTTATTTTTCATTATAGGCCTTGTATAACTAAATGGGGTAGTTGTTTGGACTAAATGATCAGCTACTGGGCCTAAAATTGAACGAAGATCCATTCCAGTCATTTCTTTAAAAACTTTTTCTGGAGAAGCTTCCAATGAAAAATAATTTAATAAAGGCTGAAAATTTAAATAATTAGTTAAGATTAAAAAAATTAATTTGTGTTATTTTAGGAATTTAATTCAAATTAATAAGATTCAAAAAATAGCCAGGGATTATAGCCAGGGATTTAGCCTTCTTTCAATAGCTATAGCTCCTACAAATACAATTGACTCTTTCACATCGGGCAACCCTTCTCAAAAATGCTAAATAATGGGTATTAGAAACAGAGTTCGTGTTGGGATTAATCCTATTTCAAAGGTGGGAGGAAACATCATCAACGTTCTAAGGGTACTGATAGGTATATGGACCCACGATAACCAGATTTTGTTGCGGATGTGGAGTTTGTTTTCCTTCCCTAAAATTGTTCAGGCCAATCTATCAAACATTAAAATTACTAGGATTCGGGAAAAGAATTGGAGGATTGTGGAGTTTCGTCTTCCTTCTCCAATACTCTGTTCTTTATAAATATTACCAACCTTTCTAAATAATAAATTATTTCCCAATAAATTATTATTATTATTAAATTGTAAATTATTATTTTGATTTTTCTTAATTTCTCTTCTCCAATTAGCCATTTCTGTTCCATAATTTTGTTGTGCAAAACGAGAAGGTTTTTCATCAAGAATATATCGTCTATAAGGACGTATTTTAGTATTTGAAATAATATTTTGTGGAGGTTCATCCAAAATAAAAGAAGGGTTTAAATTATAATTATTTTCTTTAGAAATTTCTTGTCCATTTATTAATAAAAATAAATAAATAAAAATAAAAAATATTTTTTTCATTTTATTTAAAGAATTTAGAGAAATATTTATTTATGTAAAAATAAATAAACTTTATATTAAAAATGTAGGTGAACGTTTAAAGTTATATTATTTAGGAAGGTCATTATCGGAGATATTAATAATAATGAACTGAAAACAAAAATTTTAATACAAACTTTAATGGATAATGATTAATTATTTTTTAATTAGATACATACTAAATATGTAGAGCCCGCCATTTTAGGTCTGAAATGTTGAAGAATAGGTTCCTTTTCTAGAATTCCTTATAAGTTAAGACTTGGAAGTTGGAAAAAAAAAGCTGACAGTAATTAATAAAATTTTAATTAAACAGTTAGAATTTTATGAAAAAAATTTTAAACAGATAAATAACCAAACTTAAATGAGATACCTTCAATTTCATAAAAATATTCTAAAAGTTTTGAAAAGAATGCATATAAACAAGAATTTTCCTGACGCCAAAACAGTCGGCGCCAAAATGTTCAAATAAAGCCTAAACCTTTGAAAGCCTAAACCTTTTGGATTGAAGACGGTTTTTCGGCGCCGCCATTTTTTGACGCAGAGTATTTTCTTGACCAAAACTGTTCTAAATTTTAGATTTTCTTAAGAAAAGAATTTAGATATGTGTGTGCTTTCATTAATTTATGAAATTTTACTAAAAGTATTTGAAACAAAAGTTTTTGGTAAATAAAATGATTGGCGCCAAATCGGCAGCGCGCCTAGTTGTCCACAACCGTCTCCCATACAAAACTTGGAGCATTTTTAGGCGTAAAAACTTGAAACCAAAAGGTATAGGTTTTATGGGGGAAAACGATTTTGCCATTTCGGCGCCGACTATTTGGCGTTATTTCTTTTTCGAATACAAGTATTGTACATATTTTCTGATGTAGGGTTGTCGGTTTCAACAAATTCTTCGTTTAACCGAACTGACAAACCGAAACGCAAATCTTCGGTTTTTCGTTTCGGGTCGGTTCGGTTTCAAACCGACAACCCTATTCTGATGATAAATTTTTATCAGGATATTTCTCTGTTATTTTCAACAACTTTTGTTTGTTTTTAATTTACATATGTATAATTTAATAAATTTAATTTTCTAAAGAAATCAATGGTTTTTTAAAATTAAATTTACTTTTTTATTGTAACAAATACACATAAAAGCAAAACTATATAATATAAAAATATTGTAAAAGAGATGGCCAGAAAAGATAAAGGCTTAATGCATTTAAATGTGATCATCAACATTAAAAAAAGAGAGATGTAAATGAATAGATGGATAATTTGAAAAGGCAAAGTGTGAATAAATGTATGTGTGAATAGTTTTTTTAATGTTGTTATATTTTATTTAATATTTTTTTTTTGAAATAATTAAATAAATAATTTTTATTAAAAAGAAAAATATTAAAATTTATTACTCGAATTATCATATAATTTCCGATTATTTACCGCTAGTCTAAGATAGTTCCTTCCATATGTTATGTTTATGCCCCTATTTTTAATTTATCTCTTTTTCTACTCTCCTTACAAAATATTCCGAATATTCCTAATTTAATTACCAAAGTCTATTAGTTATTTTAAAATTTTAAGAAATGGATGTAATTAAAAGAATTGCCCAAAAAAGACTTAAACCTCGACATGAAGAGGATATGGTGGACAGAGCAAATTATATGTAATAAATAAATTTACATTTATTTAAAGTTTATTAATTAAATTAACGTATTGAAACATATTTTTGTTTACAAAATTATTGAAAGCATTTTTAATTAATTTTGGCCACTTTATTCCCAAAAAATATACATTTTATACATTTTTTGCTAATTATTTTAATAAATAATTTTAATTTAATTTAAAGGACAACTTCTTTTATTTTGGCTACAGCAGCAGTTCTTGTTTTTACAAAAGTTTTCTTTCACCAAATAAATTAATAAGTAAATAAATTAAGGAATTTGGACCATTTTCCGAACCTATTTATTGCTGGTCGCAAGCTGAATGGAGTGATGATTGGTTGGAATATGCACATGATTTTTGGTAAAATAAAAAGGAGGAATTTTTATTTATTAAATGAAACTTAAATAATAACTAGGGATGGGATTTATATGGATTTCCATATTTTTTTCCTGGCCTAGTTGGGTCGTGAAACGCACGAAAAACGTTGTTTTAGCATATGTTGATAAGACCGATAATAAGTTGTCAATCCATATTTTCCATATTTTTCCATATTTTGGCTTTCCGTCCATATTTCCATATTTTATCCATATTTCGTCATTTTTTGTAAAATTTTGCCAAAAATTGGCCAAAATTTTGAAAATTTTGGCAAAAATTGGTCAAAATTTTCAAATTTTGTTATTTTTTTTGTCAGAAAAAAATTTTTTTGAGAAAATTAAGAAAAAATTTTTGAAAAAAAATTAAAAAAATTTTTTGGTAAAAATTTTTCAAAAAAATTTTCTGAACAACCTGGGAAACACTTTAAATGTACCTTTAATTGACAAAAACACTTTAGAAAACACTTAAAATGACCAAAATCAAATTATTTATTTGTAAAAATTCATTTTTCCATCAAAAATTTTCATTTTTCGGTCCATATTTGATTCATATTTTGGATTTTAGTCCATATTTCAGTCCATATTTTGAGATTTTTAGACCATATTATATGTCCATATTTTTCGATTGATAGTCCATATAAATCCCATCCCTAATAATAACTAAGATCTCTATTTTTTCCCATCAATTAAAATTTAAGTGAAATAAACTTAATGATATCACCATTCGCTAATCATCTATTTTTAATTTTTTGAATATCATATTTGGGGTTAGAGACTTTGGCAATCTCTAGTTCATTTACAAAGTTTTGAAAAAATTCCTGATCTAACTAAATCCTATTTTAAAACGGAAAGTAACATAAAAACTAGGAAAAGCCTTCAGAAGAAGATCCAGGATTAATTTAATCTCTAAATTAGGAAAATGATTCTTTATTTAAAAATTCTTTTAAAGTTTCATTGAGTCGACTTACTATGTTCCCTCTAATAAAACAATGCCAATGAAAGGTGCAAGAAATAATCATATTGACCGTATTTCTTATTATCAAGTAATTTAATTTTTAAATTATATTTTTATTTTTAATTTAAAGTGGGTTCCATTTATTTTTGTTCTCCAAGCAATTATTTGTCAATTACCTAATTATTTATGGAGAATTAGTAATGCACTTTCTAGTGAGAATTTTAAATTAATTTTCATTAAAAAATAAAAAAAAGGTAAAAGACTTCCATCAATCCTCAATCAAGCACACAAAGCTGCAGGGAAAGATTGTGAAAATAATGTTGCTGCGGGTATTGCAAGACATTTAGCTTCGGTTTTGTTAGATTCTGACATAAATAATTTGGAGGATAAAGAATTGGGGATTTTTTGGTAAAAATAAGGAGAAATTAAATTATTTTTAAAAAAAATATTTTTTGAAGGAAATTTGGGGGTATTTTAATACAAAATACACTTAGTTTTGTTTATTTATTAATGAAATGTCTTTTTCTTTTTGTTAATATTGGACAGGTTTTTTTGTAAAATAAAAAATTTGATCTTATTTTTAGTTAATTTTTATAAGTTTATTTTTGGGTGCAAATAAAACACCTTTTTGGGGAATTCAAGTAAAATTAATTTTTAATTTAAAAATTCTTTTAAATAAAGATGTTTAAATCATTTATTACTTATGGGTCTGCTTGGGAACATAATGGATTATTTCCACGTGTTAGCCTTTGTGATTTTAAGGTTATTAAATTAATTAGAATTTAAGAATAAATTAATTTGTAGATAAGAATGTTGAATGATTTATTTGCTAATTTTACTGTTCAGTGTGTTTTAATGGCTAATTATGTAAAATTTAAATTAATTAATATATTTTTCTAGCTAAATTAATTTTTAAAAAAGGTATTAAAATTTATTGAATATAGCAGAGTAAAATAATTTACCGTAAAAATCTTTCTAAAATAAGCCCCGGGGCTTATTTTTTCGATCGATCTCTAGAGGGGCTTATTTTAGAGGATTTACTTTTTAATTTTTAATTTTAAAAAAGGTGTGTAATCCTATTATTAAAATATTTTGAGATTCCTAAAAATCAATGATTTTTTTGGTAGCTTTCAAAAAAATCCCAAAATAACCAGAAGATTTTCAAAAAATTTTTATATTATTTTTAATAATTTAAGACTAATTTATCTAACCTTTCACTAAATTAATTTTATTTTTTTAGCTAAATGAAAAAATTTTCTTTTTACTCTATTATTGGTTTGGTAAGGATATAAATATTTATTTAATATATTTTTAACATATCCTAGCTTTAATGACAGTCCTCACATTTTTAAATACCTTACGTTGGTTTTGGCTTCTTTTTCGTCCATCAATTAATTATTTTCAAAAGTTTTTTTATAATTTTTTTCTTAAAAATTATTTTTTAAAGGCAAGTTGAATTAAGTACAACACAAATATTTGTAAGAAAAAATTATTTAAAAATAAAAAAATTTTTATTTTTATATTAAAGTTTGATCAAATATTCTTCCAAGAATTAGAAGAATTAAATAATCAACAACAAAAAAATTATAATTTAAATATTTCCCAATTTTTTGAAACGGACAAAATATTTAAAAATAAAAATAAAGGGGAATGTCAATCACCTTCCACATTATCTTCAAATAGCCAAACAACTACAATGACTACAGCAACAAGTGAAACTTATAATTCTTGTATTAATGATTTGGAAAATATTAATTTAATTAGACAAGAACAACAAAATTTTGATAAAAAGGGAATTGAAAGGTTGAAATTTTGATTTTAATTTTTAGAAAAAATAATCCTTGGGATAAACAAAATTTCAAAACATGCTAGATCGTAGAGGATCTGAATAAAGATATTAAAACCATATATTTTATTAATAAGTTAGGACAAAATCAATAAGTATGTAAACTTAGCTTTGAACTACAGATCGAGATTTATTGACATGGGCCGGATCCTGGGCCTCCAGGAAAACCCCAGGAATGTCAAAAAATGCCTGGACCTGGACTCTGAGTACAGGGAAATCTCAGGCCTTGGTCCAGGCCCAGCTCGATCTCTACTTTGAACCAATACACATATCCCCTATACTTCTTATACTTTTATTCAATCCTATAAAAAAATAATTAATTAATTATATAATTAAAGCAAAGAAAATTCAATTTCTACAATTAAAATGCCAAATAATTCATTTCAACAAACTTTAAAAATAATTGAACCAAAAACAAAAACCGGATGGAAAAATAAAATTATGGAACAAAATTATTTAAATTTAGAAAAGGCAATTCATCGATATAAAAGTATAAAAATAAATTCGAAAATAAATTTATATTTATTTTTTAGATAGTTTTGTTGAGAAATTGGGCATGGATGGAGTTTTAATCTTTCAGTAAGTTTTAAATTTTAAAACTGAAATTTGTTTAAATTCCGCCCATAATAAGACTGGCTAAAAATCAAAAGAGAAAACTGATTTTGAGAATTTTTAAAAACCTAAAATTAATCAGATTTAAACCAGTTTTGAGCTACCCTAATCTTTATTAACCTTACTCTATCAAGAATATTAACTCTTATGTTTTGACATTCCTTTTTTCACTTTCAAAAAAATTTTTTTAATTTTTTGTTGTGGGCAAAATACATATAAATATGTACAGCCAACTCTTCAACCTTTCCCTTTTTTTAATTATCATAATAAATTTTAAAGAATTCCGGATAAATTTCCTAGTTTATTATTTAAGAAAATATTTTTTTCCATTTAAAGATTAATAAATGATAATGCTGGGCCTCGAATGGTTAGTCTAATAATTGGTGAACTTTTTAAGATTTATGTTGAATTCATGAAAAAGAATGAACGTTTTTAAAATAAAAATTAATTTTTATTGAAAATTTTAAAATTTATTTTTATTTATTTTTAAATTTTCCTTTTTTTATTTAAATTTAATTTTGACCTGTTTTTTACACATAAATATTCTTTTAATTTTTATTTTTTAATAAAAGGATATATATTTAAATATCTATATTTTAGATTAATAAAAAGATATAAATCTAAATATTAGCACTAATAAATTTTTTATGAACCAGAAAATATATTTTATATCCAAAACGAGGAAAAAGTCAAGAAAAAACTATTTTTTCTTGTTTTCCTTTATTAAATTAAAAAAAAAATTAATTTTAAATGATCAATAAGTGAATTAAAATTTGATTATAATACTTTTAGAATAATTCTCAAAAACTTTTGTTCCTTTATTTCTACCAGCTATTATAGAGTAAGGTAGCTGGGCTATAGCTATTTCTCTCCATTAGCTAGTGCAAAGGCTAAACTACCAGCATTTTAGGTTGACCGACTGATCCAGTCAACCAAGCCGCCTACTGCAAAGCCTTAGGAATTAAATAGCTATATATCTTACAATAGTTTGCAAAGCTCTAATCCAACTTCTAATAAGCATTGACAACTTTAGAATACTTTATTTGGTACCTAAATCTAATTTTAACTCAATCCATAATTTCAAATTTATTGCCCTTTCCCTTATCATTAATTTTTAATTTTAGAATAATTCTCTTAAAATATTTATTTTTAATTAAATTTTAATGGCAATAAAAGTGCGTAGTTCAACATCAATTAAAAATTATGTATTTTTTGCTTCCTGTATTTGCTTTATATTTGTAGTTTTTGTCTATCGTTCTTTAAGTTCATCAAAAGATTCCTATTTTGCTGATTATTATGACAATAGTTCTTTAGAAGATTTATCTGAAGGTTTAATACCTTTTACAAGTAAAAAGTATAAAATTTAACAAAAAAAAAAGATAAAAAATATTTAATAATATCACTCTCTCACCTAAATTCTTCGAAAGATCAACTCTTCTAAATTTTTAGGATGTGTATTTTTCCTTAGATCTGTTTTCTAAAATAGGGCCGATTAAAGTTTGTATTATTTATATGTGAATAGGGTTGTCAGTTTCAAACCTAACCGAACCGAACCAACCCGAAAAACCAAGAATGTCGGTTCGGTTTCTATTAATCGAAAAATTTGTTGAAACCAACAACACTATATGTGAATAAATAATACTCTCATATATCATTTTTAATCTTAAAAATGCAAAAATAAATAACAAAAATTAAAATAATAATTTCCTAATTAAAAAAAACAATTTTAAAGGTTTATCTAAACTTCTTCAGGTATTTTTAATTTTAAAATTATTTTTATTCAAGAAAAAATTAAATAGGCATCTTGTTCAAAAATTGATCGTATTGCTGAACACAATATTTGTTCTTATAAACATTTAGATGATGAAAAGAATTGTTTGGTAATTATTAATTTATCTTTAAACTTAATTTAAATTTTTTTTAATTTTTAAAGGTATTTTCTGTTTCAAAAAATTCAGATCTTAAATTTGAAGCAAAAATTTCAAAATTATTAAAAAAATGTAAAATTCGTGTATATGACCATGTATGTTAATTTAAAATAAAATTAGATTGTTTTGAATAATAAAAATTAGAATTAATTAATTAAGTCTGAGTTAATTTTTATAGAAATAAATAGAAAAGGAATTAAGAATGTCTTTGAAATAGGGTAGCACCCCGAGACCCCGAGCCTTCGGGGACGGGAGTGTCAGGTTCCGGGGTTTGCCGGGGTAGAGCCTTCGGGGTTCGGGTCGGGGTTTCGGGGGATGGGTGCTACTCTCCTTTGAAATTAAGAATGTCTTGAATTTAAACTGAATCTTGTTTAAATTGGCTAATTTTAATTTGGCTATTCTAAAGATAAAATTAAAATAAATTTACGAATGTTTTAAAAATTATTTTAATTTAAAAACAATTTAGGGAGGAAAAGGAGGCAGTGATTTAGAAGTAAATTATAAAGTAATTAAAAAATTGAGTGGAAATAAATTTGATGAAAAATGGTTATCAAAAATATTAACGTCAGAAAAAAGAAAAAGTAAAATTAATTTGTTGAGACTTGAAGTTGGAGGTTTTTTAAAAAAATATTTTTAAATAAAAAATATTTTTTAGATCAAACAGATAAAATTGTTCAAAGTAAAATATTAAGAGAACATTCGGTAAAAATTTTTTTTTTAATTAATGAAAATATTTCTTTTCAAAGATTTGTCATTTATTATTAACTGTTAGTGGACTTTCAAAAAAGAAACTTGAGACTTTTGTAAAGAAAATGCAAAAATCTTATGGGTACAGTCTTTATGCTGCATATAGAATGGGGGATCAACCGGTAAATTTTTTAAATTTTGTTTAAAATTTATTCACAACCTTTGGATATAAAAAATGATTTTTTAAATAACAAATCAAATAACTTTTGGGAATTTATTTAGGAAAAGTAACGCTAAATATTTGGGAGTATATAATTAATATAACAGTTTTGGGATATCCCAAAGCTGTCAAATAAGGAAGCAAGATAAATTAGAGTTGACAAGGTTAAATAAAAAGTTGTTCACTTGGTTAAGAAAGTTCCCTAGTCTACATATGTATTGTAAGGCAGAGAAAGAGAGAAAGATCCAGCTGGCTAGCATTTAAAACGCTGACTGCGGGGGTTTAAGATCTAATAAAAGAGAAGGTGAAAGCAGCGTCCCGGTAGCTCAGTTGGTAGAGCACCTGTACGTGGTGAGCGAAAGCGCCTAGCAATAACTGCCAGGAGGTCGCAGGATCGAAGCCTGCCCGGGATTAAACTTTTACCTCGCTCTTACTGGTGCTCCCAGGCGGCAACCCCACTTGCTTCCAGCTGGATCGCCGGTTGATCGGTCTGGGCGCAAAGACCGAGGGACCGGTCTAGTGTGGGGATGGAGATGTAAGGCAGAGAAAGAGAGAAAGATCCAGCTGGCTAGCATTTAAAACGCTGACTGCGGGGGGGTTTAAGATCTAATAAAAGAGAAGGTGAAAGCAGCGTCCCGGTAGCTCAGTTGGTAGAGCACCTGTACGTGGTGAGCGAAAGCGCCTAGCAATAACTGCCAGGAGGTCGCAGGATCGAAGCCTGCCCGGGATTAAACTTTTACCTCGCTCTTACTGTATGTATGTATACACAAAATTTTGAATAAACCTCAATTTTACTTTTTCCATCACCAAGAGTTTATGTAAAATTTGAGATCCTAAAGTATTTTAATTATTAATTAATATTTTCAAGACAAGTATTAATTATGAAGAAAGTGCAACAAAAGATTCATTAGATGCATTAGATGAAGATGCAGTTAATTTATTAGAAACTCCAAAAGAAAAGAAAGCTAGTTTAAAAACTAAAAGAGAAGCATTAGTAAAAGATAGAAGATCTGCAGGTGTTTATACAATGAGTTTTATTTCTAAAAATTGTCAAAAAGAATATGGAGTTAAGTGGATTGATCAATAGATTATTTATTTAATTTAATTAATTTTTAAATAAAGTTAAATATAATTTGTAGCAGTTCCACCGGGGTAATTTTCTCAACAGTTATAACTAGAGTCTGTAATTTTAACTCTTATTTTAGGACTTTAAGGCCTAAATTAGGGCAAAATGATCTGAAAAAACTCTAGTTATAAGTCAATAAAAGTTATGTATCTAGATTTTTTAAATATGTATTTTGATAAATTTCAAAAATATCTACATACATATAATGGTTATACTTTCGCTCATTAACCTGTGGTTAATAAATAGTAAATCTAACGTTGGAAATATAAATTTAGAAAAAAATAAAAATGTCAAAAAAATTTCTAAAAGGCATACATCATTTTTTACAATACTCTTTAAACATTTTTCTAGAAATTTCAATATCCAGGTGCCAATCTTGGTGTAGGACAATGGTCACAAGACCCACCGGCCCCCAACGAACCAGGGCTACCTGTGGGTCCGGTTGGACCGTTAGGTCCTGGTGGTCCTAAATAATATATTTAGTGATTTTTATTTTTCATTTTAAGTTACCTTTCTGTCCAGGTTCTCCAGGTGGTCCACTAGGACCGTTTTCGCCATCTTTACCAGGCTTGAAGGAAATTAAGTTTTAAAACAGATTAGCTGAGTAAATATAAAATACCTGTCCTGGCTTTCCAGGTGATCCGGGAGGTCCCTTTTAAAGAATTTTAAATCTAATAAAATTTCAAAATCAAAAAATATTACAGGCCGTCCTGGCTGTCCAGGAGGTCCAGGTGGTGGTTTCTCCCCAGGTATTGAAATGCCTGGTTCTCCAGGGGGTCCACGCTGACCTAAAAATTTGGATAAATTTAAATAAATTAATTTTTCTACAACCAGTAGGTCCAGGCTGTCCCGGAGGGCCAGGCGGACCTGGAGGCCCTTGAATTCCTGGATGTCCATCTTCTCCATCTAAAAATTTAAAAAATATGCACATCTACTTAAATATTTAATATACTTTTTCCTGGCAATCCTGGCTGGCCATCATTTCCAGGCGGCCCTCAAAATTTAATTTTAAAAATATTTTCCAATTTTTTCGATTACCCGAGGGACCCATTGGTCCAGGCGGAGCTTGACACGGACATTGTGGTGGAACAGGCAATAAACGATCGTGTAGTTCAGCATCTTTCCCAGGCGGTCCTGCTGGTCCAGGCCCTTCACCTGGTGCCCCGTCCTTTCCTGGCTCTCCTGGTGGACCTTAAAATTTTTTAAACAAGACATTTACTTGAATTGTTTAAGAATTAAAAAAATTTACCGTCTGGCCCTGGTGGTCCTTGTTGACAAGTACAGCATAATGAATCGTCTACGGCCTCTCTTCGCCTTCTTTCATTCAATCCAAAAAATTCCAAAGGCAAAAAATCTTTTTCATTGTTTTGTAATGTTCCCTCTTCTAAATCTATTGTAGCTAATTCGACTTCAACCTAATGAAGTAAATTAAATACTATAATCATAAAAATTAATTTTGTAGGGAAATTATAAATTACTCTCTTTTTTCTAAACTACGTAGTTAGTTAACTTGCATAAATTAGCTCCCGTACGAGTATGAGCAAAGCCCCCCCCCCCCAATTCAGCCCAACAATTACAAACTTGTTTTTGTTTAATATTTCTGTTTACAAATAAATTTTTTCTTTAATTTTTTCAATTAAAAAGATAGGTAATTTTAAAAAATAATTTTCAACCATTTGTTGCCACATATCCTTTTCCCTAATTTTACAATAATCAACTTCTCCTTGCACAGAAGCTTGTAATTTTTGTATATAATGAAATACTAAAGGAAAAGAGAGAAGACAAGCTGTTACAGAAAATGTTGAAAATACAACAGAAATAAATGCAGCATTTCGAAGTTTTCTTTTTTTATTATTTTTAAATTTATTTTTTTCGGTTGGAGAAGAAAATGAAGAAGTTGGATAAAATAGAGAAGACATTTTTATTTAAAAATAAAAATTAATTAATAATTATTAGAATTGGATAATAATTTTAAAAAAAAGTCTCAAATTTATGGACTTGCGGGGACGAGTACAATCCTTGGATTTTTAACAAAAAAATTTAATGATAATTCTATATTGTACAATTAATTTAATTTATAATACAGGGTGCGGCTAATTTTCCGCCACTTTTGTTTTAGCCTTATCTCGCTTCAAACTTAACAAAAATTAATAATTCTTTTTTTATTTAACCCCAAGACTGAGAAATTTTTTGACACTAAACAATGGAAATTTAGTTTGAGAAAAAATTTATTCAACTAAATTATAAAATTGTAAGGCGATTTTGGTATCAAAGATAACCTTTAGGATTTTATGAAAAAATTCAACCAAATCGGTCATCAAAAATCTTAGAGAAAACTCGATAAATTTGTTAAGTTTATAATTATGAATTAAGCCTAAATATATGTATTTTCTTTAAAAAAATAAAAATCAAAGTCCCACGCAATTAAAAATAAAAAGAAAATAAAAATATATTTAATTGTGTAGAAAAGAATAAAAAAAGAAAATGACTGCTTTAAGCTATTATTTATATTTTTTTGTAAGATGGAATAAAGGAAGAAGAAGCTAAAAACAAATCAAAATAAAAATTGTATGAAACACCATTTTGTACAAAAGATGAAGGAAAGAAAGAAATCTGAAGAAATTATTTTTTGTAAAAAAAGGAAAGAATTTTAAATTAAAAATAGTTTTTAAATAAAAAGGATTTTTAATCAGAATATTGTTAAGGAAATTGTATTGGCATCAAGACTGATTTTTGTATGAATTTAGGTAATTGAATCTAATTACGAGTGACCAGCGCCAGACCGGACTCCGGCCGGATTTTCCGGAGTCAGGTCCCAAATCCGGGTTTTTTGAGATTCCCGGACTGAAACCAGACCGGATTAATCCGGGAAAATTCGGCCGGATACGGTCCAACTTGAGTGTGAAATCCAAAATCCGGTTTCCGGGCCCGGAAAAATTATTTTGCGTGTCAATACCACATAATCGCCTATCTAAAATAAAGAATTAAAAAGTTTTTAAAAAATTTATAATAACGGCACTTTTTTATTAAACTATGCCAAATCAAATAAATTTATAAAGAAGTAAAATTATTTTTTAAATCATTATATTACAATATTTTTTAATTAATTTATAATAAATTCTTTATCTTCTAAAAAACAAAAATTATTAACCAAAAAAAATTTAATTTGTAAAAAATATCACAGAATTTTAATTAAATTATTTATTTTGTTTTAGTAATTTCTTTGTCTATTAAAGTAACTAGTATTTTGTTTTTGTTGTTGTTCAGTCAAAAACCCTCCATTAGGTCCTAATCCAAAACTTCCATAATCAAAACTAGCAAGGAATGAATAAGCATTAATTATTGGGGATGTTATATTTGGGTGCTGTTTTTGTTGTTGTTGGGTAGTTAAATTATTAGATCTTAAAATAATTTGTTATACTTACATACAATTCGAAGCTTTTTTAGATTAGAAAAATATAGGTAATTTAAAAAGAATGGAATTTTGGTATTTATGGTAAGGTTTGGATAAGTTAAGATTTTTTATAAATATTTTTTTTTGCTAGATTGATAATGTCGGGGTGTAATAGTAAAAAAGGAATTTCTGCCCAATTTCTTATTTTAATGTTTTAGTCTAGTTTCGATAATAATCATTTTATTAACTAACATAGAATTAGCATCCCTATCTAACAATCTTTCTTCTACAGTTTTTGTTGGCATTAGAGGTGGTGGGGGGAGTTGTTCTCTTGATACAAAGAAAAATCCTTTACAACAACATAATGAATGCCGAAATTGTTTACTTGTAAAACTACAAATAAATTAATTTTTAATTAATTATTTAATTACCTATAAATAAGTAATTTAGAAGAACCTCCACCAATTGCTAACCAAGTAAAGGCCTTAAAAATTTAATTTTTATTTCTTTAAATTTAGACAAAAAACTAAACAAATTTCATAACACCGGCATCATTATTGTCTAATAATTGAGAAGGTAAAAATTGAAAGATTATGAGAGGCAGCCATGATAATACAAATGATATTAAAATAAATAAAGCTTTAAATTAAAGAAAATATTATTTTGTGATTTATTAATTTTATTTAAATTTTCTAAAATCCCGGTTTTGCCAAAAATACTAACATAAATAATTCTTTTTTGCCAAATATAAGAAAGTTTAACACTCTTGATAATATTTCTCTCTGATAATTTTAGGGGAAAAGATTTAATTAATATTTTTGTTCATAGGGAGTAATTTTTAATTTTTTTCGAGTGGTATTTTTTTAATATTTTTTTAAAAACCCGCTCAGAAAAAAACCAACTTATTCCACACTTATTAGAATATTAATTTAAAAAAATAATTTACTTATAACAAAATTTTGATCAGTTTCTAAAATACTTCTTTGTATATCCTCTAATTCATCAGGTTTCTGCATTGCTGTAAAAATAGCACAACCAGTAAAGGCAACAGTACAAAGTGAAGGTAAACAAACAAGAATACCGAGAGTTAATGAATAAGCCTTTAAAAAAAACATTTTTAATCAAAAAATTATTTATTTTTTAAACTAAAGTAGATGAAGACCAATTGAGCAAGCACAACTCTAAATGAGATGAATAATTTGCCTCCATTTTTGTTATTAAAACAGGACATGCCAATAATAATGCTGTTATCCAAGAAAATAAAATCCAGCATTTACAACGAGTTAAAGTATGGACTGCCTCGTATCTTGAAGGCTAAAAAATAAATTAAAATTATTTAAAAATTATTTTTTGCCTTCATAAAAGCAGCATATCTGTCAACACTTATCCAAGAAAAAGTGAATAAAGTTGAGGTAATTAAACTTAAAATAAAATATTATTTTTTTAAAAATTAATATTTAACATACACTAAATGTAAATAAACAGTACATTTGCATATTACTATAAAATTTAAAAAAATAAAAAAGTATTAGATAATATCATTAATTACAAGAATTATCTCCAGCAAATGCCCAATTCGGCCTAACAGAACTATACAAACTAAAAGGAACAATCAAGAGAGAACATAATAAATCAGCTATTGAGAGGCTAATCTTTAAATTAATAAATTATTTAAATTAATGTTAAATAATTATTTTATTTATAATTTAAAAACAGTCGAAATTATTAAGGGGTTAAAGAATTTTTGAAAATTATACGAATAAGGATTTGTGTAAATTTATAGAAATATGAAATAAAATTAATTTTCAGGTCTGTATCTAGTTACATATTTTTACTTCATTTAACGAAAATAAAAAAAATCCCCAATAAAATAATTTTCCAATAATTTTCTTAGTTTTAAACAGAAAATCTTAAAATATATACTACACTCCAGACCTGCTCATGGATACGGATATGGATACAGATAATATCAAGATGCCTGCGGACATCCGCCTGTATCCGCCGTAAATATCCGGATACCAAAATCAGTATCCGTGAGCAGGTCTTCTGCTACACTTACCAAATAATGGCTAATAACATCATTAAATCGACACCATAAAATAATTATATTCTAAAAATATATGCATATAATTATTTAATTATTAATTAAACCGATAATGCCGTGCAAAGTAAAAGAATAAAAACAGCCAAAATAATTGCCCCTTTCAAAATATTAGCTAAAGATAAAGGATGTTCTGAAGTTGAATCTCCAAAAGTTAATTCAAAACTTCCAAAGCTTCCCACCATTACATCAACGTTGGAAATATCTTTTAAATTATTTAAATTTTTTAAAAATATTTCAAATACTTTTTTCTAAGGCGTTCTCGCGCCACAACAACAATTCTTCTTTTCTCTTTATCGTCTTTCAAAGCTTTCAGTTGTTCATTTTCGATTGTTTAGTTAACACAAAAGGCCGTTTTTGAATGAGCAAAATGGAAGAATGGGTTCTTGTCTGGCAATGAGCCGAATTTTTTAGTTGGCAGCAAAAAAGGAGAAAAAGGCGGGCAAGGCTTCTTTGAGGCGCACCAGAGAAGGTGCGCCTGTCCCTTCCACAAACAACAACAACCTTGCAAAATATGCAGGAACAAATAAAAGAAAATACTAACAAGACTCTCAAAATTACAATTATGTATTAGGTAATGGACTTGAAGTAAATGAAGTATTAAAATGGAAAATTTTTTAAAAAAAATTTTTATTTTTGTTTCCTTAAAAAAAGTTTTTTAAAGTCACATAAATGTTCAATGTTTATTTTCTCAACTTGCATATAAAATAAGGGAAAATGGTGCCTTGGGTTTTTTCTTCAAGTTATGTTGTTCTTTTTACTGGAGGAAGAAAAATGTACTAGAAAATAAATAAAAGTAAAATATGCCGTCATTTAAAATACTGAAAATAGAAGCCAGTCGAATTTTCTTTTTTTTTCTTCTCTCACGGCATTGGAGAGATACAGGCAAAAAACAAAAAATAATGCCAAAGAGGGATTGTTATTGGAAAGTGTGACTGGACTGGTAAATATAGCAACGTGTGCCTGAACGAGAGATGAGAAAATAGAAAAAAAGGCTTTAGAAAGAATATAAAGGCAACAAAAAATAAATGCCACAAAAACATTCAGTGACTGCTCCCTCATTTTTTCCCTCATTCATTCATTCTTCACTACTTCTTTCCTCCATTCTACTATGTATGTTCTCCTCCACCTCAACCCCACTTCCACATTTTTTTCTCCCACTTCATTTACGGAGTCCCCTTAAGCACCTCATTCTATTAGTGACAGTGGGGGCTTTAGGAAATGGACCAAAAGAGAAAAGAGGACATGAAGAATGCAAAAAAATATAATAATAAATATATACAAAATAGCTCAAGGCTAATCTTCATCCGTTATGTCTTTTCCACTCATTCATATGCTTCCTTTCATCTCTTGACTGTCATTGTAGAATAACCCCCCCCCTCCCCTTCCCCTTGTCCCCTTTCTCTCTTCATCCACTAAATGCTAATTTAGTTAGGCCCAACATTTTTTTCGGAATATTTTAAGGGATTTTTCATAATTTTTTTTAAAGAATATATAATTTATCGTTCATTTGCTTGTAGCATTGAAAAACAATTATTTAAAAAACAAAAATTAAGGGCACAACGTAAATATATATCTAAAAAATTTGAAATGTTTTTGGGAAATTTTCTCAAATTAATTTTTCTGTTGGAGACAACAAGAAGAACAATCACCAGATGTTGTGATTGTAGCAGAGGATCTGAAAAGGAATAAATTTATGAAAAGGTACAAGAACAAGTAAAGAGAAACGAGGACATGAAGAAGAAAAGGGTTCTCCGATAAGTTAAAAATTATCAAGAGAAAATTTGGCTAGGTTGAGAGGCTCATATTAGTGTTCGACACCGTGTCGACGCAGAAGACCCAAGGACAGAAGACCAAAGCCCCAAGAGTATTCTGTCTGTGGGTCTTCTGTCACTTCGCCATTCGACACGTAGGTAGTGCTGCCAGGAACGTTTCGGTACTCTAGGTACTAAAAAATCTCTTTACCTAACACTAGCTCATATAATCCTTCAAAAACATTCGCAAAAACTTACTCCAATTGTTTTGTTTGTAAAATATTTTCATCTTCACCATTATCAATATCCATCATTTCTTCTTTCTCTTCCCTTTTTTCATTTACTTCATTTAATTTATTATCAACTACCATAATTTCATTAATTAATTCTTTTTTGTATTTAATTTCATTTTCTCCATGATTTTCACAAAAGAAGTTTCGCCTTTCATAAAAAAGAACGTAAGGCTCTTGACTGGCTACTTCTTGAGGACTAACTCTTGTTACCTTGAAAATTAATTTTTCATTTATTTAAAAGAACTTTAAGCACAAAATATTTTAAAATAATGAAATTTAAGAAAGCTGTTGAGAAATAGCAATTATCCCTCCCAAAATTCGAAAAATTGTTTAAGCTTTTGATCAAAAAAGTAAAAACCTGAGCATCATCAAATTCGTACCAATCTCCATCAGAAGCATTTCGACAATATGCCACATAATGTCCATCTGAAAAGAAAAATTTTTTTCAATCTTGTTCACCTTAAATTGTATTAAAAACAAAATTTTTAATTGTTTTTGAAAGTAAGATTCGAACTATAACTATCTACGACTGTTAATTGATGTAATGTCCATCAGTGCTGGGTATTGGGCATTTATTGGCTCTGGCTTCGAGCTCTTAAAATCTCGGCTCCGGTTCCGGAGCTAGCTCCCGGAGCCATACCCAAAAATTATTGAAACGAAAAGCCAAAAGAATAAAAGTAAATTAAAAAAAACAAAAATTAATTTAAACAAACATTCAATATTCTGCCCTCTATGTGAAATTAATCCGCTCAAATCATAACAATTAGACAAATTATTTTCTTCTCCGTCTTTAGTCTCTTCAGAACGTACAAACTGGTCCATATCCAAATCATAAAGAGGAAAAGTAATTTTAGTTCTTAATTTTGTGTTGTAATTCCCTTCATGTCGAAAACGTTTTAGATGAATAATTAAAACATTTGGCAGTCGAGTAATTGATGAATGTTTAATTCCATCTTGCAATCTTTTTAGAAAAAATAATTTTTAAAAAAATAAAAAAAGAAAAAAAAACTTTTTGCATTTATCACAGCTATACATATCATCTCCTTTTAAATGATCAATTGAAAACAAAACTCTGAGACAATCTTTTAAAGGTATTGATGTTGAAATTAAATTCTTAACCATTTGTAGAGCTGCATTAAATGGATTTATATAACTGAGAAGGAAGAGAAACCACTGAAAAATTAAAGAAAAATTTTTAAAGGATTTTAATTTTTAGAGATCATTGTGTCGTGAACAACAACATAAAAATTAGTAAAAATACTACCCCATCTAAAAGAAGATACAAAGTTAAATTTGGTACAAGTTAAAGAGAAGACAAAAAATAAAAAAATTAATCGCAAGCGAAAACTTATAAAACTAACAAGGAAAGGTTGGAGGGGACTTTGGAGGGCCATATCTTGGCCAGATCAAAAACGAGCAAAAACGGCTCACAATCCTTGCTAGAAAGGGCACATTCTCTATCGAATGAATCCGGTCTCGACCGTTTTTAGGTCGGACACCTCGCAACCTTTCCTTGTAAAGTGAGAAAGAAAAATTATTTTAAACTTAGCCCTATTTAAAAAGAAAATAAAAAATTTTGTACAAACCGATAAAAATCCATAACTATAATCTATTAAATTTGAAGAAGAGCTTTGCATAGAAGAAACACTATTACTACAACTTTGAGCATCAATAATAGGCAAAGACAAAGATTCTTTTCCAAAACCATTTTCTTCATTATTTAATTGTGTTGATTCATTTTGCAAAGAAAACATTGCTTCTTGTTCATTTGAAGGAATTGGAACAGAAAGAAAACAAAAAGGATCATATTTAATGCTTACATTTTTGCAAACATTGCAAGAAAGTGTTGATCTAAAAATAATTTAATAAAAAAATATTTTTTTACTTCATTTGTCCATGAAATAAATCAACAATAATACTGTTATTTCGTTGTTTATAAAGTCTCCAAGCTTCTGATGCTGTCTAAAATATTTTTAAAAAATTGAGATGAAATTAAATAGTTAAAGGGGGTACAGCCCAAGTAGACGATGTCATAACTTGCCTTAAGATTTCCGAATTCTTCAAAATTTGTTATTAAACGGCTCCTCTCATCAAGCTAGATTGGTACCAAAATACTAAATTGGTACGAAAGTCCAAAAATTTTCCAGGTAGTTATGGCTTTGCGCCTACATGACCGCGCGCCTACTTGGTGTCCCGGTTAAAGGATCAAAAAAATTGTCATACCAAATAAGATATCAAAAAGCGATTGGTAAAAGTCAGAAAATAATGAAAACAAAATTTCACTAAAAAATTTAAAAAATACCTTAGGTTCATTACATACATTAGAATCCTCTTCCTTATTATTTTTAGTTGTTTCAGTAATTCTATTAAGATCCTCGTGCATTCCATCAAGTAAAAATGCTGTCAATTCTTGAGAATCATGTTGGGCATACCCATTAAAACGAGGAGCGAATTGACCGATTACAAGCTGAAAAAAAAATAAAAATTTTCGACTGAAAAATAAGAAACAGAATTTTTTAATAATTTACGGATAATATTGAGCGTACAGACCCCCTTTTTTCCTCCCCAATTTCTCCCCTATACACTGCGTTCCAAAAGTATATGCACCCCTAGTTTTTTGATTTTTTATACATTTTTCTTTGTTATTTTGATTAGATTTTTTGTCTATTTATTCTTCTAGATAAATGTGTATGTTTAAACTAAAAAATAAAAATATCCCATATCAGTTCACTTTTTTATCACCAATTATTCATTTGAGAAATAATGAGTTTAGTTTTTAAGTAACATTTTCATCACTTTTTTGGGGCGTTTGAGTGATTTTTATGACCTGAAAGTTTATCACATTATTTCTCAAAAATTAATTTTTTCTGGATTATGAGATGAAAACTTTCTTGTAGCAAATTTCAAGGGCTTTCAAATAAGCCTAAAATAAAATTTTTATTTTACCTGTAAGGGGTCGAAAATATTTTTTAAAGACGTCTACCCCCTGTTTTCCGTTGATTTTCTAGTTTCAAGATCTCGATGATCGAAAACTAGGGGTGCATATACTTTTGGAACGCAGTGTATTTTGTCAAAATTTTAATTTTTTCCTATATTTTTTATACAGATCAAAAAGCACTTGTATAAAATTAAATAATCCTTTTTGTTTGATTGTAGGCAAAAATTAGAAAAGTAAATTAAATGGAAGAAAGGAAAAAGTCTGACCATTTTGTAAAAATATATGGGGACCTAATTTACGTCAAAATAATAAAATAATTCAAATTAAAAGAATCTCAAAAATAAAAATTATTTTTTAGGTTTAAAAACCCCTTATTAATTATATAAACTTAAACAAACCTTTAACTGTAACGGATTAATAGCCTGAGCCTGTCCAGACCTCAATGAACGCAAAAAAGTAGCATAAGCTTTAACTAGGCGTCCTTGGGTGCCCAGAGGATTTTGCTCATTAATTTCATTTGTGTGCTCGTTATTGAGAAAATAATTGGTTAAAGCTTCAACATTTGCTAATGATTGAAGGGCACTTTAAAGAAAAAAATATTCTTCATTTAAATCTAATTACCTATTCATAAAACAAGTATTGCCAACATTGTGAATTCCACAAACTTCTTGAAAATTGTCTTTTGAATTTGATCTAGAAATTTTTTTTGAAAATTTTAAAAATTGAAAAAAAATTACTTGGCAGATTTTAAGTCAATTTTCTCATTTTTAATAAATTCGTTTTTTGGTCTTTCTTCCAATGTCATTGAAAAAAGGGAGAATAACAAGCTAATATGTTTGTGAATGTGAATAATCTACTAAATTAAATATAAAAAAAATTAATTAATAATTTTAAAAATTAATCCCAAAATTTTATAATGATAGTACCCAGTAAAATCAAGACTATCACGTCATCAGCTTCTGATAAAAATCATGAAAATTTGCGTGAAAAGAAAAAATTAATCCAATTCACAAGAGACTCAAACGCTCTTTTTTGCTGTCATCGAAATAAGAGGCCTTTTTGTTGCGAAATTCGAAACGTCTGCTTCAGTGCCGAGAACTACATTGAATTATAGTAAATAAAAGGTAAATAAATATTTTTTAAAATTTTAAACGAGAGAATAATTCCAGCAGAGGTGGGTCAGAAATGACGAAGGTGTTGGAAATCGGAACTGTCGGTAATCGGAAATGGCTCAAAAGTCGGAACTTGGAAATAAAAATTTTTTTTGGAAATCGGGAGGAAAAAAACGTCGGAAATTCCGACCCACCTCTGAATTCCAGTTAAAATCTGAATTCCAGTTTAATTTATTAAAAGAATATCATTCTCTATAATAAATTAAAAGTAAAATCCCTCTATATTTTTTAATTTTTAGTATTTTTTCCCAATATTTTATTCTTTTTTAACTTTCAATTGTTGAATTATTTAAAGATGATGCAGCGTACCGTGTGAAAAATTTCACATAATAATAATAATCCTCTGATAGAAAATTTTTAAGAAAAAAAGTACTCATTATTTTTGCTATTGTTTTGAAGTATTTCTTTCAGTTATTTTGTCTTTTTGAAAAATGGAGTCTTTTTGAAAAATTAAAATTATTTTTAATTTTAATTATTTTTCTCCCCTGGATTTGAATCCTTGGTTTTTCTTTTAGGTCAATTCTAGAGGCAAGGGTCTGTGCTTATTATCCCAAAAGTTTTAAATCGCTTTAACAATCACTCGCTAGGGAATAGAATCTCACCCAAGGTGCTGCGAACTTTTGCTCAAAATTTTTCCATGCTAATTCAACCGTCTATCCAGGCCAAGGTTGGGTACTTCGAAGATTCTTGATAATATCTGTTCCTTATTTAATTCACTATGATTTAATCTTTATTTAAGCTCATTATTTTTAAATTGAATAAAGTTATGGCATAAAATGTGTGCCACATTACTTTCTTGTCAGCCTGTATTTTTTGACATTTCTTTCTTCTAAATAATTTTTTATACTATGTATTTGTTTTTATATACGTAAAATAATAATTTTATTTATCAATTATCCAATTTTTACCTCAAATAACCCCAATAGCGTGAACATATTTATTAAAAATTCTGCTTAATTAGCTTAACAAAAACAAAAAAGGGAAATCGAGCAAATGCAAATAAATCTTTTATTTTTTTGTTGTCTGCCAATTTAAAGATTGGCCCACGCATTTTTTTGGCTTTTATTCTTGGAAAATGCGTGTAATTGGTATTTTTATTTTTGGTTAATTTTGAAATATGAGAAAGTGCTTTTTAAAGTTGTTATTTTAATTATATATTTGTTTGTTATTAATTTAAAAAAGTACAACCAAGTGTTCCTAACAACCAAGTAAATTTGAGCTTAAAATAAATAAATATAAATAATTTGATTGGACTGTTGAAGTACATATAAGAGATATAAGTTTATTCTCAATTCCTTGAATAATTAAAATACTATTAGAGATCGGAGACCTGAAAATGTCTTGGCGGTTGGTGGTTAGGTAACCAGGTCACCTAACCACAAGGTCATGGTTAACCTTACGACTGTCATATTTTACCGATAAAAACCACCGGTTTGTGGACCTAACCAGCAACTGAATTCTTATTTTACGGTCAATGAATGGGTTGACCTTAAACTTGATTTACTCCACAGAATAATCCAGACTAAGAAACCCAATCTTATTTTGATGAAAAAACGTTAATAAAACGCATAAAATACATATGTAAATTTATAAATTTCCTTCGCCTAATTAATTAAATTAAAATATTCTGTTTCAAGTAAAAATTCTAAAAATTATTTTTTATTTACAATTATTTCCTTAAATTCTCTTTACAAAAATTTAAAATGTCTTCCGGTATGAAATTTCTTTATTATAATCAAAAAACACCTATTCGAAGGACTGTATCCTCTAATCCGTAAATTAATTTTTATTTAAAATAAATATTTTTTTAAATTATTAAAAGTGATGGGCATCGTTTAGAAGAGTTGAAAAGACGTTTTCGTCGTAGTGGAAGTTTAGGTATTCCTTTCTTTCCTGAAGGTGATGATGGAAATGAATTAAAAGTAAAAAATAATTATTTTTTAAAATTTAATAATTATTTTGAAAGGAATTAACAATTGAAGAAGAAACTGAAGAAGATGAAAATATTGGTAATGTTAAGGAGGAAGGGTCTAGATTATTAACAATTGTTGTTCAATCACAAAAAGGAACTCAAAGTTTAATAAATATGATGACTGCAATACCTGTAAAGATTTTTATAAAAATATTTAATTGAAATTAAATAGTAAAGGGGACATGAAGCGGCATAAGGGGACATGAAAAATTGTCGCTTAGGTATTAAAATTGTCTTGGAGTTTAGAGGGACGTTTGTATTACTATCCCGATTTTAGATTTAATATACTTTAGACAGTTAACATTTTAGCTAAAAAATGTTTAACATTTCTATTCTGTAAAATTTCAACTTAAAAGTTCTTTTGGTGAATTTTATTTATCCAGGAGAGATTTAAGATAAGAAAGAATTACTAATTAATTTAAAAGCAAGTATACAGATGAAAGAGGTAGAATAAATAAATAATTTTTGTAGAAAGGCACAATTGTTAGACATTTTGAATCTCGCGATCCAAAAGACGGAGAGAAAAACGAATTGGAAGTTTTATTGGAATTAGAATTGGATTTAACTACAAAAACAGATGAAATGTTTTTTTGCATTCAAAAGGCTGGATTTAATGTTAGAGAAATTAGCAGAACTGTTGCTCCTCATGGAGCTTTAGAACCCTCTGATCCTGGGTCTGCTGGTATGCCCTTATTTTGTTTTGAAATTTATAAAATGAAATTTATGATATAAATTATTTTTACCCAATTTATCAATGCTTGAACTATTTTACTTTTAAAAATAAAAATTATTTTAATGTAAATCCAGTACAAATCTTTTTTTTAATTTTGTTAAAAAATTAATTTATTTTAAATTTATATTTAAGATGCTATTTCTGGAGCTCTTTGGTTTCCAAAAGTAAATATATTTTTTAACTTTTTAAAAATAAATTTTAAAGAGTATTTATGATTTGGATATTTGTTCAAAACGAGTTATAATGTATGGGGCTGGACTTGATGCTGACCATCCGGTTAAATAACAATTTTTTATTTTATAAATTTTCTTTAAAGGGATTTAAAGATAAAGAATATAGAAGTAGAAGAATGATGTTTGCAGATATTGCAATTAATTATAAAATGTTTTTTAATTAAGAATTTTAATTTAAATTATTTTATTTTAAAGGGGAGAACCTATTCCACGAATTGAATTTACTGAAACAGAGAAAAGAACTTGGTATATTTCAAATTAATTTTTAAATTATTTATTTTTTAATTTAAATTTATAGGAAAACTGTTTATCGCAAATTAAGAGAATTGCATGAAAAATAGTAAAAAATTATTATTTAAAAATTAATTATGGAAAATGTAAAAAATCTAGAAAAAAATTAAATTAAAAAAAAAGTGGGAAGGGAAGTAATTAAATATTTTAATGAGTACCCAACTCTGGATTTTTGTTTTTATGAAATTAATTTTGCTATGCATTTATAATTACTTTGATTTTAGTACACTCTGTTAACTAATTATACGCACCCCCTATTTTTTGGGGTTTTCAAACTGAAATTGGAATTTGGTTTTCTAGTTTTTTGTATATTATAGCTTCAAGTTAAAAGCCATCTATTACCACAAAAATTTTAAATTTAAAAATTTCCTTTCAGACTTATGGACATTTTTTTCAATTATTGGTGTTAACTAATTATACGCACCCCCCTCTAAAATTTTTATTTTTCAATCGAAAAATCCAAAAAAATTTATCTGAACATATCTATCAATTTAGATAGGATATACAAAAGAAACGAAGTTCTAATTCGATTCCTTCATCGAGATCTCGAAACTCGAAAATCAACGGAAAACCAGGGTAAATGTCTTTAAAAAATATTTTCGACCCCTTATAGGCTGTATTAAATCTTAAATTTAGACTTTTCTGAAAGCCCTTTAAATTTACTATGTATAAGAAACCTCTAATATTATTAAATGAAAAAAATTTTACATGGGAGTTATTCAGAGTTGATATAATAATCATGAAATTTACTCTTAAAACAAGCTTTTTTACAAATTTGAGATTCAATCCTGTACAACTCAATGAAAAAAAAATTTTTTGAAAAATGAAAATTGGTGGTTTTATAGTAAATTTAAAGGGCTTTCAGAAAAGTCTAAAATTAAGATTTAATACAGCCTATAAGGGGTCGAAAATATTTTTTAAAGACATTTACCCTGGTTTTCCGTTGATTTTCGAGTTTCGAGATCTCGATGAAGGAATCGAATTAGAACTTCGTTTCTTTTGTATATCCTATCTAAATTGATAGATATGTTCAGATAAATTTTTTTGGATTTTTCGATTGAAAAATAAAAATTTTAGAGGGGGTGCGTATAATTAGTTAACACCAATAATTGAAAAAAATGTCCATAAGTCTGAAAGGAAATTTTTAAATTTAAAATTTTTGTGGTAATAGATGGCTTTTAACTTGAAGCTATAATATACAAAAAACTAGAAAACCAAATTCCAATTTCAGTTTGAAAACCCCAAAAAATAGGGGGTGCGTATAATTAGTTAACAGAGTGTAGAAGGGGAGAAAATGGCTACTATATTAAATAATCAAAAAGAAAAAATTAACACTATTAATTATTAATATCAATTTTGAAAAAAAATAAATTAAATTTTCCTTTAGTGCATGTCAAGAATTTTTAGACAATTTTGTTTTATTAGAACGTTATTGTGGTTATTCTGAAAATAATATTCCCCAATTAGAAGATGTTAGTAATTTTTTAAAAGGTAAAAATATTTTTTAAAAAATTTAAAAATATTTTTTTCACAGCAAAAACTGGTTTTCGTGTACGTCCAGTAGCTGGTTATTTAAGTGCTCGGTTATTTAAAATTAATTTTAAAAAATAAATTTATATTTATTTTTTAGTGATTTTTTGGCTGGATTGGCTTGTAAATATTTCTTTAATATTATTATTTAAATTAATTATTATTTCATTAGTTCGTGTCTTTAATTGTACCCAATATATTCGTCATCATGCTGATCCTTATTATACACCCGGTTTTATTTAAATAAAAAAATAAATTTGAAAATTAGCAGAAAAAAATTAAAAATTTTAATTTAAAAACAATTTATAATAATGGAATCATACAAAAATGTTTCAGAAAAAAATATATTTTCCCTTTTTTCATTTAAAAATCAGAACCAGACACAGTTCATGAATTAATGGGGCATATGGCTCTTTTTGCTGATCCTGGTTTTTAAAAAGGATTTATTTTTAAACTATTTATTTTTTAAAGATTTTGCACAATTTTCACAAGAAATTGGATTGGTTTTTTAAAAATATTTTAAAAGAAATTTATTTTTTAGGCTTCATTGGGGGCTTCAGAAGAAGATTTAAGTAAATTAGCGACTGTCAGCTATTTTTTAAATAAATTATTTAATTAAATTTTTATATATTTTTAGCTTTATTTTTTCTCAATTGAATTTGGACTTTGTTCTGATCGTTCACATTCATCTAAAGATAAAATAAATTGTAATAATTCAAATGAAGAAAATAAAATTAAATATAAAGTTTATGGGGCAGGTAATTAAATAGATGTTTTATGTTTTCTAAAATTTTTTAAAAAATATTTAAAGGATTACTTTCAAGTGCTGGGGAATTACAGGTATTTATTTATAATTTTAAAAGTATAAAGGATTAGGAGCTTAAATAGCTTAATATAGTAGAAACCGTTCAACTTTTTTAATCAAGGGAGTAAGGTTGGCGATAGTCGGAAATCTTCGGATATCCGGATCCGAACCGAAAATTTCCGGATATTCGGCCTTTCTTCGGATCGGATCCACCAACCTTACAAGAAATTGAAATTATAAGAGAAATATAAAAAAATTAATTTGTGTTAGAAAATAAAAATGTAACTAAAAGTATTCTTTAAAAAAATTAAGTAAAATTACATATATTTTTATTTAGCACGCAGTAGAAGGAAATTCCCAAATTATCCGTTTCGATCCCGATCGTGTTGTTCAGGCAAAAATTTAAAAAAATATACATATTATGCATACTTTTATTTTTAGCAAGAATGTCTTATAAGTACATTCCAAAGTGCTTATTTCTTTACAAATGATTTTGAAGAAGCCCAACAAAAATTACGGTTATTAAAAGTGTGGAAATTTCTTTTAATATTTTAAATTTTAGAACATTTACATCAAATATGAATAGACCTTTTGTAGTTCGTTATAATCCATATACAGAAAGTGTTGAAGTTTTAAACAATAAACGATCCTTGATGCTAGCTGTTAATTCTGTAGGTTTTCTTTCTGAATAGAGTCGAGAAAAGGAAATACTTGACTTAACTTAGCGGGTGAAATTAACGGGGCTTAGATTTGTGTTTATCGGCGATTCGTGTTTATCGGCAATTATTAACGTTTTATCAGTTTTTACGATATTCAAGTGTTAGGGATAGAATAAAACTTGTAAATAGAACATCGAAAGTTTAAATAGAAATTTAGAGAAAAAAGAGGGTAATTAATTAAGAACAATGAAATAAGATAACAGATAATTCTTAAAAGGTTAGATGCCCCTAATTAATTAAATTTAGCTTCGTTCTGATATTAATTTGTTGGCAGCATCTCTACACAATATTTTATGATGATTTATATATTTTAAAATTTATAAAAAATATTTTGATTAATAACAAAAAATAGGCAATGAAACAATCTATGTAAATTTTTCTAAATTTTTATTAAAATATTTTTAACCTTAAAATAAAAGATCAATTAAATAATTAATTCAGTAATAAATATTTTAAAAAAAGTCTGTGATTTTTATTTAAAATTTATTTGAATGTCCCAATATTTTTGTTAATAAATTGTAGAAATTGTTGTAATTGTTTTATTATCAGCTATCAAAACATGATGGCTGCAGCATTCACGGATACAGCAATGACATGTTTTATTTATTTTAATAAATGATTGAAATTTAAATGGGAACATTTTATATTTAAATGGAAACATTTTAAAAGGGAAGGAAGTATTTCCATAAAGGATTAGAACAATTACACCATTTTGTTAATTTTTTCCACATCCTTGAACTTTGAAAATAATTTAAAATTATTTTCTAAAAACATTTTAGTACCCATTCCATTTTTGTTTACACCAACAAAACAAAACCATCAAACACATTTCCTTTTTTCTCTCAAAACTAATTTTATTAAACTTCTTTTTAAAATAAAAAGTTGCGAAAATAAATAAGTAATAAATCTAAAAACACAATAAATTTAATTCAATTCTTCCCAAAATGTTTGTTGTAATATTTAGCGGCAATTCTGTTTTTTTTATTAAAAAGTCCATCAAAAAATTGGGGAAAAATAATTTATTTAGACAATTTATTTAAAAATTGGCTAGACTGGAGGATAAAAACTTTTTAAATAAATGTTTTTTACATACTTTTTTAATTAGAAATGAGCGGGTTAATCAAAAGAAAGAAGAAAAATTATTTTAATCGAGTAATTTGAGAAGAAGAGGAGCGAAAAGAAAAGTTTTCAAAATTTTCAAAATTTTAACGAGAAAAATCAAAAAAATATTCATAAAACAAATAAATAATTAAAGACTGTGCCTTGTAACAATTTTTAAGTTAAACATTTTTTTATTTTTAGTTATACTTCACAAAATAAATTAAAAAATAAATTTTAATTAAATAATCAACAGAATTATTATTATTAATTTTGATCTTAATCTTGTAATTCTTTATTTAATTCAGGTTGTACGTTCTGATATGCTTTTCTCCATTTTTTCAATAGTAGATTTAAAATTTGGACCATATGTCCATAAATGACCTTTAAATTTTTAAAATATTTTGATTAACATTAAGAGAATGCCTCTTCCAATCTCTTTATGTAATTTTTTGAAATTTCCGCCCACAGATAAAGTATAACAAACAGAATTTTTCCAACCAACATATTCACCACGAAAAAATGCATCTTTTTGATACAAATATTCGTACTTAAATTTTTTTATGAAAATAAAAATATAGAATTTTTACAATCAGCTCTCAATATAAATTTTAATTTAACAAATCTGTCGGTTAGTTTATTTTAGAGCAACTGTATTTTTGAAAAGCCTGGGCCTGTTCCTGGTTTATTGACCTGGGCCTGTAGTCCAGGAAAAACCCAGGAAGGTCAAAAAATGCCTGGGCCTGGACTCTGGGTACAGGAAAAACCCAGGCCTTTGTCCGGACCCAGGCCGATCTCTAGTACTTACCCATTTCCCCCATAATTTTATTTATAAAATTTAAATAAAAATAAATTAAATAATACTCATATATTAAAAAGTTGGAGAACTTACAATTTCATGCAACGTTGCGCATTTGGAATCCTATAAATATTATTTTAAATTAAAATATACTTTAAATAATTTACCTGTTTTTCTATAGCCTCACCAATTAATTCAATACAGGTATCCTCAGGAGGAATTTTGTTCTCAAAATTTATATCCGCAGACTTCTCTATTTGTCTTTCTGTTAATAATTTTCCTGGTGGACTAGTCTTTTTATTAAAATTTATCATTTGATGTAAGTGTTTAAAAATTTATTTTTTTGGTGATTTTTAGGAGGAAGTTGAGAGCAAAAGAGAGAAAGATTAAATTTTTGAGAATGGACGGAATGAATAACTCTTGCCTTTCTTTCTAATTTATATACGATATTACTAAACTTTTTTTTCTCCATCAAAAAATTATTTTAGAAAAATGGCCAGAAAATGAATAAACAAAGCCAAATACTTAGGTTGTGTCATAAATAATTAGCCCCCCTTGAGCAAAGTTAAATAAATATTTATTAAAATTAAACTAAATGTTTTCAGATTTCGAATTATATTTTTCTCTGATCCTAAGAGAGTTGCCTATTTTCTGGCAAAAAATCAGAATCCTAGGATTAGGTTGGCCGGAGTTAGAGGTAAAATACTAAAACGTGTATTTTTGAAACAAGACAAATTCTTTTTGATTTTTCTTTTCAAAATTGATGAGTAAGAATGAAAATTTAAATAGATTCTGATAGAGCAGAATCTGATGAATACAATGATATAAAAAATTCCCCTGGAAAACAACTGGCTGATTTTTTAGAGGGTCGCATTTGTGAAATAGGGGCTAACATTATGCTGCTTTAGGATAACCCTCGCGCGAAAATTCCCAGCGTGGCCAGGCGACCAGATTTTTCGATGGACTCGATCTATATGGGAATAATACAATTTGGGGGTAATAGTTTAGCCAGTTTAAACTAAATTCCAATGATTAACCCGCCGCGACACTACCAAATACATAACAGATCACGCTGTTGGACCAGTCTGGATTAGAGGTCAAAATTGATGGTTATCTGGGATGAGCCGTTCCTTTTTGTTTACAGAATTCATGAAGGCAACCCACACTTCCTCATAGGTTAAAATTTGTTTCAAATAAGGAGCTTCATTGTGGCATTTAAGGGGTTGTTTTGCAAAAGTGACTTAGTGATTTTTTTTGATTTTGCGGCAATTAATGGGGTATCAATCGACTCTTCATAACTTGATACCCGCTTCAAGTAAAATTATGGTAATTTTTGTAAGTGAGCAGGTGAGTGCCTGCCCCAATATACACATTTTATTTTTTGGACTGGCTTTGATTTAGGGGAGAACGGCATTTTATCTATCGTTGGTTGGCATCCAAGATGTTTTTTGTCTTTCAGCTCCTCTCTACCTTTCTTTTATTTGGAGACCTAACTTTTTTCTGTGGAATAGGAGGTAACATCCTCATACTTCGCTATGCATATTTTGCGCCATAATTCCTTTTCCGAATGTCCAAGTTCAATCTCATATTTGAACTGGACGCTAATTTCATAATTTTGCCTTAAGCTTTAAAAATTCATAAAAAATTTTTAAATAAAGAAAAAATTTCAAATCTTTCAGAAAATGAAGAAGGCATTATTGAGAATATATGAAAACAGATGGGAGATCTGAACATTGAGATATACATTTTAAAACTTTAATGATTTAAGGGGGGCTAAATATTTATGACACAACCTAAGTACTAAACGACTAATCGCTTCTTTTTCTCGCTTTTAGTTTTTGGAAAAGGAAAGGGTATTTAGTTTTGCCAGACACTTGAGAGTGGTTTTTGTATGTATATATTATTGTTTTAGATATAATCCTCCAAAATTCCATTTATAAGTATTATAAATATGAATTTATATTTCCAAAATCCTATATTAAATTAATATACTAAGTTTAGATAAAAAGAAAAATTTAATTTTAAAGTTGATTTGGAAGATTCTCAACATTTAAATCATTAATAATTTTAATTCTTTGAAGGCAAAATGTATGACTCTACCTAGTTTTTTCTGGTTTTCTAGCTTCTGATCGTCCAATTAATCTTAAATTTTCATGGGAAATTTATAAACATTATTGGGCATTATATCCACAAAATCTTAAAAAAATTTCACATAATCAGTTTTTATCGAGCTTTTTCTTAATGAGTGTTAAGAAATTATACAAACTCCATCTGAATTGAATTTTGATTTTTACAAAAATATCCGTGAATATATCCATTAATACAGAGTTTAAAAACTAAAGCATCTAAACACCTCTTAAAAATCAACAGGAAATGGGTTAAGGTATTTTAAAAAATATTTCCACAAACTTTTAGTATACACAAAAATTATAATAAAGAGTTGCTTCAAGATACCCTTTATCTCATTTAACAAAAAAATTCCATTTAGAAAACTTTTTAAAACTTTTAATTTGATTTAGAAAGAGTTAAAAGCAATTTAAAGAAAAGAAAGAAAGATTACAATTTGTAAATTAGAAAAATTTTAAAAATAGAAATAGAAAAGTTATATGTATCTGAAAATCTACTACATACATATCATCTTTCAAAAACATTTAATTTTCTTCAACCAATTTCTCAGCTACTAAACAATCATTCATTTTATAATATTCAACATAATTAAATAAAAACATCCATTGCTGCTTTTCTTTAATTAATTCTTCAAATTTATTTTTACAAACTTTTTTAATTTCTCTTAATTTGAAATTATTTAACAAATTATTTTTTGTTTCTTTTATTTTCTCCAAAATATTCCCTTCACTATTTAATTCAAAAAAATAATTTCCATTATGAATTAAAGGGGCTAATGTTGATTTAAAGTAAAGTGCCTTAACAAAATTTAGTTTTTCTTCAAAAGACAGTTCCCCTTCAATAAAGAGTTCTTCTTCCTCATTAAAATTTTTCTGAGTTTTTGAAGCATAAATTTCAATTCCATGTCTAAATAAATTTAATATTTCAATTTCTTCTGTCGTCAAATTTTCAAATATTTTTGAAATACATTTTTCATTTTTATTTTCCATTACTTTAACAAAAAATATAAAATATTTACTATTATTTAAAGATTTTAATTTAATTAAATAATTTCCTTCCTCTTTAAATTTTATACAAATTTTAATAGAATTTTCTTTTTCAATATTTAAAAACATTTTTATTTTAGTTAATTTTGTTTTTTCCGTATCATCATTTCCAATTTCTTTTTTTGGTTCAAAATATACAGAATGACGAAATAAAGGTTCAATTGCTAATACTTGCTAAAGAAATATTAATTACCGTATATTCTCGAATAATTACCCTGGGTAATTATTGTTTCGATCGCTGGAGGGTGTAATTAATCGAGAGGATGTGCTGAATTTATTTTTTGATATTAATTCTTATAATGTTTCAATAATTAAAATTGACAATGATTTTTTAAATTTTTTTTAAAATTAGAGAAGGAAATGGAGGGGGTAATTATTAAAGAGGGTAATTATTTGAGCATTTACGATAAATAAAATAAACTTTCCAAAACTTTTACAAATAATCTCATTCTTCTTTAAATTTTATACAAATTTTAATAAAATTTTCTTTTACATCATTTAAAGTAGAGGTCGGCAAAATCGTGTTTGCGGGATCCCGCGGGATAAAATTTTTTTAAAAATCTTTGCGGGACGGGATCCCGCGGGATAAATCCCGCAAAATCCCGCATTCCCGCAAAATCCCGCATTTTAAATTTGCGGGATCCCGCGCGGGATTGCGGGATTTTCCAAAAATCGTTAAAATTATCAATATCTATTGAAAAAATCGATTTCCTAATCATTAACGTTCATTAACGGTTCTTAACTCGTACTCGTTGCTCGTACACGTATTGTACTTCATACCAATTTACGAGTATAAGTTGGTACAAAGGTATAATCACTTATCCCAGGTCCCCAGTTATCAAAAAATAATAAGGGGCAAGCTCATACATATTCGTCGGAATTGAGCTTGAGCTGAAACAAATGGGATCAATCATCGTGATAAAACAATTTGGGCAATTTTGTTTTGATGAAATAGAGATGATTCCATGCGCGGCAGGCGAAAATTTTGGAAGGCCAAGTATCCAAATTCCTAAATTTTTCAGCGCCGCAGGCAAAAATTTCGAGATTTTAGAAGGCCAGCTAGTCAAAATTCTCCTTTTTCTAGCGCCGCAGGCGAAATTTTTTTGAATTTAGAAGGTTAGGAGCCAAAATCCTCTATTTTCCAAAAATCCCGCAAAATTCAAAATATTTTGCGGGATCCCGCGGGATAAAATTTTTTAAAAATCTTTGCGGGACGGGATCCCGCGGGATAAATCCCGCGGGATAAATCCCGCATTCCCGCAAAATCCCGCAAATCGAAAAAAGTGCGGGATTGCGGGACGGGATCCCGCAAAATCCCGCGCGGGATCCCGTCCCGCGCCGACCTCTAATTTAAAGACTTCATTATTAAAGATAAAATTGTAAAAAATTTAAAATAAACTTTTACAACTTGTAAAAGCATTTAGATTGAATATAAAATATTTATTTATTTAAAATATAGTCCTATTTTTATAATAAAAACAAACAATTCCAAAAGATGGCAAATTTTTTCCAGGTTTATTAATACAAATTAAAATTCTCCTTCTGTAATTATTATTTAAATTTTGAATAAATTGAAATTTAATTATTTCATCGTCAATAATTGGTCTGCCTTCCAAAGAATAAATTTTTGTATTTTCATCTTTCATGCACTCTTCATTTTCTGGGTTTATATAAATTTGTTTGTATTTATTTAAAATTATTGAATTAAATTCAATTGAAATTTTTAACAATTTTTGATCATTATTTTCGTTAATATAAATATTTTTTAAATTAAAATATTTACTATTTCTTCTAATAATGAAATTTTGATTATTTAATGGTTTAATAGAAGAAAAAGAAAAATTAAAAATTAATATAAGAATAAATTGAATAATCATTTATTTTTGTTTAAATTTAATAAAATTAAAAAATTTTAAATTATTTTTTCTAAATAAAATTTATTTATTAAATGAAGGATTTTAAATGTAAAAAAATGTTTTTAAATATACAAAAATGTATACAGACAAAATATTGACGTGATATTATTTCAAAAAAATATTTAAGAAATAATGCCCTTTATCAATTGATCTTTTCTTACTTAAAAGGGAATAGGGCAAGTTTTTTAATTAAAAAAATTATTTCATAATTTATTTTTAAATTAAAAGTGCTTGTATTTCTTGTTTAGCTGTTTTAAAAATTGTTGTAATTAATTAAATTAAGCTACGTTCTGATGACAGAATCTCTACACAATATTTTTTGAAGAACTACTTATATTTTAATTTAATTATTTTTTTAAATTCATAAAAAAATATTTAGATTAATAACAAAAAATATAATAGGCAATAAAATTAAATTTTATTAAAATATTTCTACTCTTTGTCAAAAATTTATTGTAATTATTTTAGGAAACAAAATAGTAGGTAACTGCTTCAAATTGATCAATTTTTAATTTAGAACGTAAAACTAAGTTATTTAACATTCTATGTTTATATTAAACTTTTTTGATAAAATCTAGCCAATTTTGTTTAAATATCCAGTGCATATTTTGCGAAATTTTAGCGCATACTTTGGCCTTTTCATCGAATAAATATGCGCTTATTTGGCGATTTTGCGTGGATATTTTTCACAGCCCTAATTATAAAATAAAATAACGTTTTATCAGCTTTTACGACATTCAAGTGTTTGGGATAGAATAAAACTTGTAAAAAGAACATCGAAAGTTTAAATTAAAAATTTAAAGAAAAAAGAGAGTAATTAATTAAGAACAATTAAATAAGTTGCCAGATAATTTTTAAAGGGTTAGATAACCCTAATTAATTAAATTTAGCTTCGTTCTGATATAAACTTGTTGGCAGCATTTCTTCACAATATTTTATGATGATTTATATAGTTTAAAATTCATAAAAAATATTTTGATTAATAAGAAATAGGCAATGAAACGATCTATGTAAATATCTTCTAAATTTTATTAAAATATTTCAATTTTAAAATAAAAAAAGATCAATGAAACAATTAATTGAATAATAAATATTTAAAAAAGTCTTTGTTAATTTGTTAATAAATTAAATTGTTAATAAATTAGTAGAAATTTTATTAATTAATAAATTAGTAGAATTTATTATCAGCTATCAAAATATGATGGCAAATTTTATTTATTTTCAAAAATGGTTGAAAGTTGTAATTTAAATGGTTGTAATTTTAATTTAATAGGGGAAGGAAGTATTTCTTTTGTGCTACACAGAGGAGTAGAACAATCACTGCATTTTGTTAATTTTTGTTTATTATCCGAACATTTTCTACATCCTGAACTTTAAAAATAATTTTACAATAAATAAAACAAATAAAACAAAAACAAATCTCTCAAATTCTCTTCCCCCTTTTCTTCTCCTTAAAATAAAAAGTTGCGAAAATAAATAATTAATAAATCTAAAAACACAATAAATTTAATTCAATTCTTCCCAAAATATTTGTTGTAATATTTAGCGGCAATCAGTGTTTTTTTAAACTTGATCCATCCAGTATTTGAACGAATCCTTGTTGGGATGAATCCAAGCGCAGCCCTCGACGCGGTGCTGTGTAATTTCGACAGAAGTGAATTGGGCAGTGAAGGGATGAGAGCAGTGAAGTGATGAGGGCAGTGAGTGATCTCGGCAGTGAAGTGATGAGAGCAGTAGTGATTTAGGCAGTAAATTTGCGTTTGTGATACTATAAAAACACACTGATCGTTGATCAAACTATCGTTATTCTGCTTCGAATCTGTAAGTGTTTAGTTTATTTTGTGTTTAATACTAAATTTAGTTTGTTCCAGCTCCTTAGTGTATCTACAACTCTTTATAGTTATTGGTTGAAGTAATTTTGGTTGAACAATGGATGAAGTTGTAATAATTGTTGCGATTATACTATGTCTTCTGTTAGTTTTATATTATAATTTTCTATAATTTATAGTATGATAGATATTTTTAGTTTTATCTTTTTAACCTTCTAAATTTTCAGGCTTTCTGTTATGGCAATTATTTTATTCTTTTGTTTCTGGCAAAAACAAAAACAAACAATACACATTTCAATCGTTGAACAAGCTGCTTGTAAGCAATTGAAAATTTTAGATGAAGGAAAAGCTAATCAAAATAATGAAGAAAATGTCGAAATAATTAATAACTTGCATGAAATGGAAAATAGTCAAAATAATGAAGAAAATGTTGAAATAATTAATAACTTGCATGAAATAAGAAATAGTCAAAATAATGAAGAAAATGTTGAAATAATTAATAATTTGCAAGAAATAGAAGATAGTCAAAAAAATGAAAATATCAAAATTATTAACCACAATCATGAAACAAATTACAACACTGTAAACAAACAAATGAATTCAAAAGAAGCAATGGTAACAACAAGTAGCATTGCGGCTAACAACAATCAAGAAAACAAAAAATTATCAGAACCTGATGAAATGAGGATTGCGTACCATGAATGTGGACATATTATTGTTAGTTGGTCTTTAAGAAACGCTGATCCCCCCAAAAAGGTTACAATAATTGGTGAAGATTGGAAGTTGGGATGCACAACTTTCTCTGAACATGAAAGCAAGTTTTGGAAATTTGAGGAAATGCTAGACAAAATGGCCTCGTTATTAGGTTGGTAGAAAGTTTAACATAAGAAAGTTTTACTAGTTTTTTAGGCGGTTACGCTGTGGAAAAACTATTGTTGGATGGGTTGACTGATGGAAGTACCAGTGACATGGAACAAGCAACTGAAATAGCATACAAACTCGTAATAAAATTCGGAATGGTTAAGGAGATAGGGCCGATCAGAATAAATTATCAAGATTGTTCGGAATATTTAAAAACTAAAATCGACATTGCGGCTAAAAAATTACTAGATGATGCTTTGGAACAGGCCGAAAAAATTGTCAGTGCAAAAAAAAGCGTTATTAAAAAGGTTACATAATAAAAATTCGCCTAAATTTATTTAAAATTTTTAGTTAGCCGACCACTTGCTAAACGTCAAAACAATTGAAGAAGATGAATTAAAACAAGTACTAGGCCCACGAGTATTTTGGCCTGAGAAAGAAGAAACAGATGATGTAACAGCAACACAAATGCAACAGCAAACTGGAGAAACTAAAGAATAAATACTATAATATACATATTCTAATTATGTATTTAATATAATTATGTATTTAATTATTTCCCTTCTAAAACACCTTTCCTTTGTAAAAACCCCTGTACTTTTTAAATGCGAGGTTCGAAAACAATTTTCTTGCCACAAAAAACATTAATTTGATGTACGTATGAGATGATGAGTATAATTTTTCCTTTAATTTACTTCAGAAATTCAATTTATTTAAAAACAGAAATGAGCGGTAAATAAGAAAAATTTTTGTGGGGTAAATCATTCAAAAATAGAAGCAGTCAATTTTCGAGTTAAAGTCGTGCCACAATTAGAGGGACGAGCACATCTATTCTGTCTTTCCTGACTCTCCAATTCTCCATGCAATCGCAGAATATCTGTCCAAATTATGCATTCTTGTCCTCCTTCCATATTTTGACAATGCTTACAACTATTAGTTTCAGAATGATTATCCAAAATTGCAGGTCTCCGTCTAAATGATGGAACGGCAATTTCTACATTTTCAACGTTTTGAATTGTTGGTAGTGGTAATCCAATATCCATTAATTGAGCATCATAATCAAACATAGAAGCACCAAACTCAACATGAGATGAACGACGATTTTCCATCTGTATTAAAAATAAAAAAAGTTAGATAAAAATTTTACAAAAATTTTGTCTAAAAAAACAAAAATTGTACTTACAAGGGAACCTTCAGAACTTTCAGTAAAAATTTTTTAAACAAAAATTATATCATCGTGTAGAGCGTGGTCGATTTTTTGGCTCGATCCCCAAATCGAAAAGTTATAGAAATTCAATTTTACTGACAGTTCGGAAGTTTCCCTTGTTAGAATTATTTAAGAATTTTTTAACCTTTGAAGGTTTAGAACTATAAAGTTTTTTCATCTCTTGATTGTCAAATGTCATACAGCGCCGTTTCTTGTTTGATAAAAAAGTTGGAGAAGGAACAAAATCTCCATCTCCAGGATCATCAGTGTCAGCATCATCTTCTGAATAATTCGAAGCGTGCCTTTTTCTTTTATGTTTGTGGCCTTTTTTGTGAAATGATAGTCTAATTCCTCGTGTTCCTTGTTCATAATGACTATCACTATCCAAAGATGTTTGCTCATCATGAGCATCTTCTATTAAATCATAAAATTTTTGGACAACTTCTTTTCCATTGCTTTGATTAATTATTCGAGCTGTTCTAAATCTAAAAACTCAATTTATAATAAAGTAAAATAACAAAGTAAATACCTTCTCAATTCGACTTCAGGCGAAATAAAACTAATTACATGTAAATATTTCTGAAGTTGGACATCCATTGATATTGCTTAAATTGAAAAATTATTCAAAAAATAAAGCAAAATATATTTTTCTAAATTAAAAAAACCTGAAGGCAATGAAAGTAAACGATGAACAGATTCATCAGTAAAAGAATATTCATAAACACCACATTTTTTATTTGAAATTAATGGGCGAAAAAAGGTGCCATTGCTGCGCCTAAAAATAAAATATATCTAAATAATTACTATTCTAAATAATAGTAACCGAAATACTTAGTTCATGTCTTCGAGTAATAAAAATTCTCAAAAAAAAATTTCAAAAATTTATAAAAATAATTTGACAGAAGAACTAAGAATTTTCGTTATTATGTATTATTTAATAATTATCTAAAAATAATTCAATAACCCAAAATGAAAAATAAATAAAAAAAATTGTTAATTTTAAATAAAATAAATTTCGAAAAAATTCTAAAAATAATTTTACCGAAGAAAAAATAATTTAGATCAAAAAAATTTAGATTTATTATTTTTACAATATTTTATTATTATTCATTATATTAATTTTACATGGAAAAAATCAAAAAAAAAATTCAAAAAAAAATTATTTAAAAATTCCAAAAAAAATTTTGACGAATAAAAAATAATTTTGATAAAGAAAATTTTGTTTATTATTATTTAAATATATATTTAAAAATTTATTTTATTAATTTTACATGGAAAAAAATCGAAAAAAAATATTAAAAATATTTTCAAAAAAATTTCAAAAAATTTCTAAAAATAATTTTACCGAAGAAAAAATAAAAAAAATGAAAAAAATTTAGATTTATTATTTTTACAATATTTTATTTATTATTCATTATATTAATTTTACATGGAAAAAATCAAAAAAAAATTTAAGAAAATTTTCAAAAAAATTCTGAAAATAATTTAACAGAAGGAAAAATAAATTTACTCGAAGACAGAAACTAAGAACTTCGGTTATTATTATTTAGTAATTATTTAAAAATTATTTATTAACCCAAAATGAAAAAAAATAAAATAATTGGATAATTGGAAAAAATTCAAAAAAATTTCGAAAAAATTCTAAAAATAATTTTACCAAAGAAAAAATAAAAAAAATGAAAAAAATTTAGATTTATTATTTTTACAATATTTTATTTATTATTCATTATATTAATTTTACATGGAAAAAATCAAAAAAAAATTTAAGAAAATTTTCAAAAAATTTCAAAAAAATTCTAAAAATAATTTTACCAAAGAAAAAATAAAAAAAATGAAAAAAATTTAGATTTATTATTTTTACAATATTTTATTTATTATTCATTATATTAATTTTACATGGAAAAAATCAAAAAAAATTTTCAAAAAATTTCAAAAAATTTCTAAAAATATTTTTACCAAAGAAAAAATAAAAAAAATGAAAAAAATTTAGATTTATTATTTTTACAATATTTTATTTATTATTCATTATATTAATTTTACATGGAAAAAATCAAAAAAAATTTTCAAAAAATTTCAAAAAATTTCTAAAAATATTTTTACCAAAGAAAAAATAAAAAAAATGAAAAAAATTTAGATTTATTATTTTTACAATATTTTATTTATTATTCATTATATTAATTTTACATGGAAAAAATCAAAAAAAATTTTCAAAAAATTTCTAAAAATAATTTTACCGAAGAAAAAATAAAAAAAATGAAAAAAATTTAGATTTATTATTTTTACTATATTTTATTTATTATTCATTATATTAATTTTACATGGAAAAAATCAAAAAAAAATTTAAGAAAATTTTCAAAAAAATTCTGAAAATAATTTAACAGAAGGAAAAATAAATTTACTCGAAGACAGAAACTAAGAACTTCGGTTATTATTATTTAGTAGTTATTTAAAAATTATTTATTAACCCAAAATGAAAAAAAATAAAATAATTGGATAATTGGAAAAAATTCAAAAAAATTTCGAAAAAATTCTAAAAATAATTTTACCAAAGAAAAAATAAAAAAAATGAAAAAAATTTAGATTTATTATTTTTACAATATTTTATTTATTATTCATTATATTAATTTTACATGGAAAAAATCAAAAAAAAATTTAAGAAAATTTTCGAAAAATTTCAAAAAAATTCTAAAAATAATTTTACCAAAGAAAAAATAAAAAAAATGAAAAAAATTTAGATTTATTATTTTTACAATATTTTATTTATTATTCATTATATTAATTTTACATGGAAAAAATCAAAAAAAAATTTAAGAAAATTTTCAAAAAATTTCAAAAAAATTCTAAAAATAATTTTACCAAAGAAAAAATAAAAAAAATGAAAAAAATTTAGATTTACTATTTTTACAATATTTTATTTATTATTCATTATATTAATTTTACATGGAAAAAATCAAAAAAAATTTTCAAAAAATTTCAAAAAATTTCAAAAAATTTCTAAAAATATTTTTACCAAAGAAAAAATAAAAAAAATGAAAAAAATTTAGATTTATTATTTTTACAATATTTTATTTATTATTCATTATATTAATTTTACATGGAAAAAATCAAAAAAAATTTTCAAAAAATTTCAAAAAATTTCTAAAAATAATTTTACCGAAGAAAAAATAAAAAAAATGAAAAAAATTTAGATTTACTATTTTTACAATATTTTATTTATTATTCATTATATTAATTTTACATGGAAAAAATCAAAAAAAATTTTCAAAAAATTTCAAAAAATTTCTAAAAATAATTTTACCGAAGAAAAAATAAAAAAAATGAAAAAAATTTAGATTTATTATTTTTACAATATTTTATTTATTATTCATTATATTAATTTTACATGGAAAAAATCAAAAAAAATTTTCAAAAAATTTCAAAAAATTTCTAAAAATAATTTTACCGAAGAAAAAATAATTTAGATCAAAAAAGTTTAGATTTATTATTTTTACAATATTTTATTTATTATTCATTATATTAATTTTACATGGAAAAAATCAAAAAAAAAATAAAAGAAAATTTTCAAAAAAATTCTGAAAATAATTTAACAGAAGGAAAAATAAATTTACTCGAAGACAGAAACTAAGAACTTCGGTTATTATTATTTAGTAATTATTTAAAAATTATTTATTAACCCAAAATGAAAAAAAATAAAATAATTGGATAATTGGAAAAAATTCAAAAAAATTTCGAAAAAATTCTAAAAATAATTTTACCAAAGAAAAAATAAAAAAAATGAAAAAAATTTAGATTTATTATTTTTACAATATTTTATTTATTATTCATTATATTAATTTTACATGGAAAAAATCAAAAAAAATTTTCAAAAAATTTCAAAAAATTTCTAAAAATAATTTTACCGAAGAAAAAATAAAAAAAATGAAAAAAATTTAGATTTACTATTTTTACAATATTTTATTTATTATTCATTATATTAATTTTACATGGAAAAAATCAAAAAAAATTTTCAAAAAATTTCAAAAAATTTCTAAAAATAATTTTACCGAAGAAAAAATAAAAAAAATGAAAAAAATTTAGATTTACTATTTTTACAATATTTTATTTATTATTCATTATATTAATTTTACATGGAAAAAATCAAAAAAAATTTTCAAAAAATTTCAAAAAATTTCTAAAAATAATTTTACCGAAGAAAAAATAAAAAAAATGAAAAAAATTTAGATTTATTATTTTTACAATATTTTATTTATTATTCATTATATTAATTTTACATGGAAAAAATCAAAAAAAAATTTAAGAAAATTTTCAAAAAAATTCTGAAAATAATTTAACAGAAGGAAAAATAAATTTACTCGAAGACAGAAACTAAGAACTTCGGTTATTATTATTTAGTAATTATTTAAAAATTATTTATTAACCCAAAATGAAAAAAAATAAAATAATTGGATAATTGGAAAAAATTCAAAAAAATTTCGAAAAAATTCTAAAAATAATTTTACCAAAGAAAAAATAAAAAAAATGAAAAAAATTTAGATTTATTATTTTTACAATATTTTATTTATTATTCATTATATTAATTTTACATGGAAAAAATCAAAAAAAATTTTCAAAAAATTTCAAAAAATTTCTAAAAATAATTTTACCGAAGAAAAAATAAAAAAAATGAAAAAAATTTAGATTTACTATTTTTACAATATTTTATTTATTATTCATTATATTAATTTTACATGGAAAAAATCAAAAAAAAATTTTCAAAAAATTTCAAAAAATTTCTAAAAATAATTTTACCGAAGAAAAAATAAAAAAAATGAAAAAAATTTAGATTTATTATTTTTACAATATTTTATTTATTATTCATTATATTAATTTTACATGGAAAAAATCAAAAAAAATTTTCAAAAAATTTCAAAAAATTTCTAAAAATAATTTTACCGAAGAAAAAATAATTTAGATCAAAAAAATTTAGATTTATTATTTTTACAATATTTTATTTATTATTCATTATATTAATTTTACATGGAAAAAATCAAAAAAAAAAATAAAAGAAAATTTTCAAAAAAATTCTGAAAATAATTTAACAGAAGGAAAAATAAATTTACTCGAAGACAGAAACTAAGAACTTCGGTTATTATTATTTAGTAATTATTTAAAAATTATTTATTAACCCAAAATGAAAAAAAATAAAATAATTGGATAATTGGAAAAAATTCAAAAAAATTTCGAAAAAATTCTAAAAATAATTTTACCGAAGAAAAAATAATTTTGATTAATAGAATAATAAAATACCTGTTAAAGTTGTGAGATAGTAATTGACGTCCAACAACATCATTGCTTCCAGACCTTCTAGCAATTAATGGTCTACAACGGGCACAAGTCATTGAATCAACTTCGTCATCACAAGTATTAACAGGAGATTCAAACATTAAATCTTCTTGTATATTTGAAAGCTATATAATGTAAAAATTGATTTTTAAATTTAAATATTTATTAGTTAACCTGCGATTCTACCCAAAATTGTTTTTGTTCAAGCTCTCGCAACAATCGTTTTGCATGTGCATCTGCGGTCAATATATGAGATCTCTGCTCCAATAGATCGTAGAGTTCAACACTAAAAATAATCAAATATATTAGGAAAAATTTAAGGAAAAAAAGTCCACATATTTTAAAATATAATTCTAGAAACTTATTAGATTTATATTTAATAGCCTAACACCAATTTACTAAATATAAAAATCTCAATCAGTTCAAGGTTTTTTTAATTAAAATAGAAGAAAACTATCTAAAATAAAACAAACCTCATGTTCAATTTACGATCGACAAATTCATCTTCTTCAATGTCAGTATTATCCTATAGTAAATAACAATTATTCAAACAAATGTACAAAATAAACCTCATCAGAAGTTACGACAATTTGCCTAGTAATTGGAGATTTTCTTTTACTTGCCAAAATGTCCGCTTCTTCGCCATTAAGTAATTCCCCAACAGTTTCGGGTAGTTTTTGTTGTTTTGTTGAAATATCAGAGAATACATGTTCTAATACATTAGAAGAGATAAATGATTTGACATCAGATGAACGAGAAAACTTCTTCATTGATAAACAGACTTGGTTCATGGTTGCCAGATTAAACTAGAGATTATTTTATTTGAAGGCATTAATTTAATTTGGGAAAGATTCACAAAATTTATTTCCGAGAAAAAATGTTAGACGGTCAGTAAAACAAGAATCAGTTAAAAATAAGGCAAACTATTCTAACTTGTCTTACTTTAAAATCACAAAATGAACTTACTAGAAAATACAAAAATAACCTGTGGAATGTTAAAGAAAATCCCTCTGGCTTCTTTCATTCGCTCCATCCGTTCGACAAACACTTTACGCTTTGCCACTTCTTTGCCTTTATTGTCCGCATATTTTGTATAACTAAAAATAAAAATAGTATATAAAATTTGAATATGTCAAACCTGATCTTTTGGCCATCAGGTTTATAATCAAAAGCTTCAGAAACCGAATTAGAAGTTCCACAAAAATCCTTAAATTCCCGATATTTTAATTACCTTACTCCTTCAAAACTCACGTTAGTTACAAGATCACTTGGGGATGGACAATTAAAAAGAGATATCTGAAAAACAAAGAAAGAATTAACTGATCATCACATATATATATAGTACTTACACAACTTGGATCAATTTGATTTGAAGTTCCTTCATCCATTTTATTTTGAAAATTAACAACAAAAAAATAAAAGAAAATATTAAATAAATACAGATTAAATAAGTTGAAAACTATTAAAGGTGATATAACCTCTCTTTAAAGATAAATCTAGGTAATTTGAAAACAATTTTATTCCTTTTTAATTGGAATGTAAAATATTTTAAAAATACAAAACAAAAAAGTGTCATTTTAATCATCGTCCTCATACATATTTGCATCTCCATTTTGTCCATTTTGATGCGAATTAGAACCATGAAGGATTTGATTAACACGTTCTACATCTGCCAAAGTTTTTGCGCCCGAAATTAATTCCTATTTAATTAAAAAAATTTTTATTTATTTAAAATAAAAAATCAACCCGAATCTTCTTTTGTTCTTCAGATGGACGTGCTCTGACATGTTCAATGTTTTCAGTAATTGAACCAGTTACTTGTGAACGACGAACGATTTGACGTTTTAGACGAGATCCGGCTTCACCTTTAAACAGTTTTTTGGCGGCGAGACGTTCCTAGGGAAAATGTGTAGTATCTGGTCAGTAATTTAAAATAAAGGGGAAGTTTTAAAGAATTATGAAAAGTAAATTGAATAGAAAAATGGAAAGAAATTTTGATCTACGGCACTTATAAAATTAAATAGAAAAATAACTTACAGCAAGCTTGATCCGTTGATAATCAAGTACTCGAACACTTTTTAATTTGTAAATAACATATTGACGATAGTTTGTGAGTTTAGTCAATGGATTGCCTTGCAAGCTTAAAAATAAACAGAAATTTTTTAAATAAATTACAAATAACCTCAAATATTCAAGTTTAGGGAGGTGTGCCAAACTGTCAATATCACCCAATTCACTTAAATTGTTGTTAGTCAGAGCAAGAGTACTCAATTTTGGTAAATTCTCTCCAATATCCTTCGCTATAAACTCTACACGATTATTATGCACTAATAAAGTCTCAAGACGTTTCAGCTTGGGTAAATTTTCTAATTTTCTTATATTATTGTCAGACAAGTCAATAACGTCGAATTGGTCCTAAAAACAAACAAAGGTAACTTAAAAATTTATTTTAACCTTTGTAACACCCAAATTTTCAATTGTTGGTATTTGAAGGTTTCTTAAAGAAAGTTCACGCTGTTTACAAGGATTTATATACTAAAAATAGAAAACTTTTTTGATAAAAAATAATTCAAAGTTAATAACCTGATATGCTTTATTGACAACATCAACAGAAATCCGTACCATTGCTGTCTCTAAAAATATAGTAAAAAATCAAATATGAGGAAACAATCAAATATTCATTCGAGTAAAACGATTGTAAAAAAGGAAATTAAGTAAAATATTTATAATCAATAAAAAAGAAAAAATAAAGCTATCACAGCAAAGAAAAATAAAGTTGGTAAATATTGTTTCAAGAAACCGCCAAATCTTTAAAAAAAATAAATTTGGTAAGTAGGAAAAATAAATTAATTTACCCAACAAAATGGCCTCCAATATTGAGGTAAAGGACCAATCTGAAAAAAAAGATGAGATTTAATGTCAAATTAATATTTACACAGGAAAATTATAGATTGAGAAAAAAATAAAACCACAAATTTTAGAAAAACTAAAAAGGAAATTTCAGTTTGAGTCTCAAACGATACTCGAAAATTAATTACTTGAACATGTTCCAGTCTGTTCTTCCACCATAATGCATTTTGTTTAAAGCCAAAGCAACAAAAGAATGGCAATTATCACATAAAAGGTTATGCACTCGTTCAAGGTAAACCTGTGAAATTCAAAATAAGAATTGAAAGATAAAGCAAACATTGGATGCTTCATCTATTGCCCTATCCCAAGATTCTGCACCTCCATGAACACTGGTTGGAGAAAATTGTTTGTAAAAGGTTGGCCATCCAAAAGCCATATCATCTTCTGACACAGAGTAACTTCCAGCAAAATCACGAATTACGCCTAAACTGAATTAAATTGCTTGATTCTAACAATAAGACGGGTAATATACCTTTACTTGTTGCAATCCCCATATGTCCAATTAATGGACAAATCCATGAAAGCAAAGGGATGGGAGTCCAAACAACGCAAAATGGAAATCGATGCCTTTCGCTGCAAATTTCCATATGTGTATATAAATATCTAAAATTGAAAGGTGAATAAAATTAAAGCGTAATAAAAAGCACAAAAGGCTCCGTAAACAATGATAACATGACAAAAATTTCTGCAGATCAACTACCCTACAAGTTTCTAATGATTGACCATTTTACAACTTTTCTCACTTCTGACCCTTTTTTCTCAGCAAAAAAGTGAAGCGAGCGAGAGATGTAACAAAACGATGATAGTAGACAGACATTTAAATTAAATGTTGGCATAATGTTTAGGGAACTAATTGAAAAATTTAAATTTATTAATTTTTGATCTAAAAACTAGGCTTTCCTTCGATGCTTTTTCTAATCATTTTAATTAAAATTCAATCCACCAAATAATCTTAAATAAAATGTTAGACGAATCTTTATCATTTTAGTACTAACAAACAGATAAATTAATAAAAAATCTTAAATGTTTAACACATTCTAAAAAGGCCTATTTTTAACTGGTTCCAGTTTTTCACCACATTTGTTGCACGACTTTTGGCAATTACTTATAATCCATTCATAGACAACTACTCTTCTCCACATTTGTGGATTACATAAATTATTGCTTGCCCATATTCCACAATAGACCAGTTTATCCTCACAACCTTTAATTAAATTTAAAAAAAGAATTTTTTACCGAAGGTTAATTACCTGGCATGCAATACATTTTGTTTAGTGCCTCAATATCGGATGTTGATAATCCTTTACGTTGTCCCATCATTGGATCTAGGTATATTAAATGTTTAGAAAGAGAAAACTTTGTTTTTAACCATTCAAAAAGGGAGCTAATTTAGCGGTCATTGTCTTTTTCCCCGGAGATTGTGCAGCAATTGTGTCAGAATAATGCATTATTGAACCATAATCGTAACGAAGACCATAACTGATAAATAAAAATTATACAATTGTTAATATAACGGAAAATTGCCTAGAAAATTTTGTAACGTCGGAAATTGCAAAAAAGTCCAACTAAAAATTATATTTAATTAATATATTGTGGAAATATGTATTACTTGTTGAGGGTTTACATTTTCCCATTGAATCTGAAAAAATGAAAAATTCTTTTGATTTTATCAAATTTTATTAGTTGAATATAAACTATCTAAAACTACTATTTAAAACCTAACAGTAATAAATTGGTCTCTATCAAAACGAAGCTGTTCATGTTGAAAACCTAAAGCATGGAGTGTTTCGTGCAAAGCAATACCCGATCCATTTCCACACATAAACGATAAATAAATTGGATTTGCAGGCAAAATTTGTCCAATATAACTTAGGCCACAACTGAATAAAACAAAAAAATAATTTTAAAAAATCAGAATTATTCCCAGAATTTTAAATAAATTATTAAAAATATTAGCAGAATTATAATCAGAATTAAAATTAGAAAAGAAAGGAAAAATCAGAATTAAAGAAAAACTTAACAAAGTTGGATTCGCAACTTTTGTGTAATATAAATGAGCTCCCGTAGGTTTTGTTTTTGTTTCAATAAATTGTAAGCAAGTTTTTGATTGAATTTCTGATAAAGCTTCTTTTACAGCATTTTGTTCATTTAATGCTTAAAATATTTTTTTAATATTATTATAGATGTTCATTTCTCAATCATATTATTTTCCTTAAAATATTTTTAAAACGAATCCTAACAGAATTTTACTGAATTTTTATAAAAATATTTTCAATAAATTCTATTTGTCAACCATAGACAAAACTTAATTTTAAAAAACATATTTAAATATATTCACCAATATTTTGATCAAATAAATATTGAATTGGCACTCCTAAAGGCCAACGTTGACTTGGTGATGATTCCATAAATACAGCATTTCCTGCCCTTTTTGTTTTGTGTTTTGTAATTGAATTACTTAATTTTTGAGACATTTGTTTTTGTAATTCAACAATTAATGAATTAGCTTGTTCTTCTGTTAATAATAAATCTGCTTGGAAAACACCATTATTTGCTGGCTCTACTTTATCTTTAAAAGAATTACTATTTATTAATTAAAAATTAATTATAAATTTGCCTTCTAATCCAGCACTTTTTAAAATTTCTCTTTTCAATTGAAAAGTTTTGGAAACACGCCTTTCCACTTCATGTTGTACTTGAACTACACTTTTGCCTGGACTTTAATATAAAAATAATTATTTAAAAAATAATTTCCTCGGAATATTTAGTAAATTTAAATAAAATCTTTACGATTCAGAATTTTCTCGAGCTAAAATATAACTTCGTTTCAGTGATTCTTTGAATCGTTTCTAAGAAGGGGCACTTTATCTCTAGAAAGGCATGACTCAGACGAGGGTATCACTCCGAGCCTTCGGGGTCGTGTGTGTCGGGGATCGGGGTGCTACCCTACTAGAAGGACATAAGAAATCACTTCTTTAATGCTACTCTCAATTGGAGATGGAATTAAGGATCGATCGAGATTATAAATTAATATCTTGGAAAATTTCAATCTCGATAACTCTAGATTTTATGTGAAGTATAATTTAAAGAAAACTTTTTTTACTTTAATTTCAACTCAACAGCCTGTTCTTGTTTTACAACAACTGCCCGTTGCTCCTTAAATTCTTGTTTTTGTCCTAAACATTTTCTGTTTGCACAAATTGACTAAAAAATAATTTTTTAAATTAATAATTTTAAAAATAATTTTTTACTTCAATATTCTTTTTAGCAATTTCAGGTAATTTAACAGGTTCTAGCTTTGGAGGGACCATTTGTTTTAATATTTCAGGCGCCCCAACTTTTTCTAATTCTTTACGAATTATTGGGTCTTGTGTTGTTGTTGTTATTTTTTGTGGTAATGTTGTTGTTGGTAAGGCTGTTGTTGCATTTAAAATTAAATTATTATTATTTGTTTCATTTTTTAAATTATTTATTTTATTTTTATTTTCAATTTTTCCAAATTTATTAAATTCATTTTTGTCAATATTTGAAGTATTTTCTTTCAAATTATTTGTATTTAAATTTTCAGTTCTTGTAGTTGATGTCTCATTATTATTTACAAATAATTTATTTTTATTTAATTCATTTTTTTCTTTTGATGATAAATTTTGTTTAGAAGTAGTTTCATTATTTATTTGTGTAGGATTTTTGTGATTCTTTTCTTTTGAGTTATTTAAATTTCTGAAATTATTAATAGTTTTAGAGTGATTTTCTTCATTTGATTTATTTATTTTATTATTTTTTAAATTCTGATTTTTTGTTTGATTTGAAAATAAATTAGTAGGTGTATTAGTGATTATATTTTGTTTTTCTGATTGTTTATTTGATTTATGTTGATGTTGTGAATTAAAAGAATTATTTGAAGATAAGGTAGAAAGGAGTGTTGTTGTGTTTATATTAGAATTTATTTGAGATGGTTGTTGTGTTTGTTGTGTTTGTTGTGAATTTAATGTTTGGGAATTGGTTTCTAATTTATTTTTTATTGGGGAATGAATTGGGGAAGTATTTTGGGAATTATTTTGTTTATGTGGATGTGTTGAGGTTGTTAATAATTGGTTATTATTAATTGTTGATTCTCTTCCATTAAACAATGTTTTTGGCATATTTTGATTAAAATTTTGTTTATTTAATAAATTATTTTTGGATGTTGAAGGGGAGCTACTACTGCTAATTAATTCTTGAGAATTTAATTTTTGTAAATTTGGTGGTAATTTAAAATTTGTCTCTGGAGAATTATTTTGAGGTTGTGTTTGGGGTAATTGATTGTTAATAAATGTTGGTGATTTGTTTGTATTTAATAAAGGATTTGTTGATTGATGTAAATTTTGAGGAGAATTTAATTGAGACGGAATAACTGTATTAGCTAAATGAATATTTTGATTCTGAGAAAAAGAAAGTGGTAAATTGTTAATTAATTTTTGATTATTTAAAGGTAAATTTGTATTCAAATTATTTTGTTGGGTGTTTGAAGGAATGTTTTGATGATTTGAAAATGGTGTTGTTGATTCTCCTTCATTTAAAAAAGATTCTTGTAATGGAATATTAGTAGGTAATAATGGATTTGTTGATTGATGTAAATTTTGAGGAGAATTTAATTGAGAATTTGATGGAATAATTGTATTAGCTAAATTTTGTTGTTGTGGATTTATTGAAAGGGAGGAAGTGTGTGGGGAGACTACTTGGGTATTTTGTAAATTTTGTATCGTTTCTTCATTGGTTGGCCATGAAGGATGTTGTGGAGGGGTTGAAGTATGTTGAGAATGAGTTGGGGTAGTTATTGAAGGATTATTAAATTGTTGTTGTTGGTGGTGGTGGAACTCGGTTGATTTAAGAGGGGTTATTGAATGTGTTTGTAGTTGGTGCGGGGCCAAAGTTGAATGATCCTTCAGACCTACTATTTATTAATATTTTTATTATTAGCGAGGGTTAAAAAACTAGTTTTGAACTTTTCAAGTAAACTAATTCTTCAATATTCTTTTAGTTTACCTGTAGATCCCTGTATTATTTCATTTTGTTTTGTGCCAATATTTTGTTCAACAAATTGAGGATTTGTTGAAGTCTTTTGTAAACTTCTTCCAATAGTAGGTGTTTGTGGAGTAGGTATTTGTCCAAATTGTTCATCTACATTTTGTTTGGTAAATTTAGTTATTTGAGGAGTAGGAGTGAAAAGAGGTTGGAAATTATTTGTTTGTAATTTTTGTGGAAAAGTACTACTACTTTGACTAATTAAAGGTGTAGAAGGTATTTGATTTAAAGAATTTCTCAAAGTACTAGTTTGGCTAGGAGATGAATGTTGAATTTGTTTATTTTGTTCCTCTGATAAAGGGTTTATTGTAGAAAATGGGGAAATTGTTGGAGAAGGTAAATTAAAATTATTATTTAAAGAATTTGTTTGGGATATTGTTGTTGTTGGGAAATGATTATTTAAATGTGTTTGTGTTAAAGGAGGAATATTCCCCCCTAAATGATGGCCATTATTATGTTGAATGGCCATTCTATTTAAATGATTAATTCCAATAGAATAAACAAAATAAACATTAATAAAAACAAAAATAAAAATATTTTTTAAATATTTTATTTTCATTTAAAAAGATATAAAATTGAATTTTTGGTAAGTAAAAGTTGTAAAAATGAAAACATTGGTGTGACTTCTTGATTGATTGTATGGAAATATTTTTAAAAAAACATAAAAGTTGGTTAGGTAATTTCTTTAGTTTATTTTTGTTTAATTTATTATAAGCAAAAGATAAAAAATTAAAGAAAATTGAAATTTCATGTGGACGTAACTCTTAGACTTTTAATATTTACCATATACTAGTTTGGAATGATCCTGAAATTCTCTTAAAAAGACATTAAGAATTTTTCGAAAAATAATTTTAGATTGTTTCACTTTTTTTTAGTTTTATGTAGGTAATAAATTTTTAAATTATTGAGAAAATTATTTGCCTAACGAGAAAAATTCTTTTAAAAGAATTTTTACTCCAATAAAAATACTGACAAATATTCTAAAAAATAATCATTTTATTTTTTCAGAAATTCCAAATAAATTTAAAACAAATACAAACAACAAAATTCAATAACATAAACGATAAGTAATATAACGACCAGCTGTTTCTGATGGACGAATAATTTTAACAACTTGACCACGACGAAGACCAAAATAACGAGCAACAGGATCACTTACTTGAATTCGAGGAAGTTGGCTATCTCTTAATTTACTGAAAGAAAAAAAAATTAATTTTTTATCAATTTCCCATTACTATTTAGCAAGTAATTCAGCTTTTTCCTCAGCACTCATCACAACATGTTCAGGCACCAATTCATGTTCAGTTATGTTAACCATTAATTCAGCTTCTTGAAAATGTTCTAAATTATATTTTGGTGCCATATCAACAATTGCCTAAAAATATTTAAAAAAATCTAAAATTAAATATATTCTTTACTTGTTTAGCAGATGGTGTCATACCAACATGCACAACAATAATTGCTCTTGTAATGTTTTGCTCTTGCATTTGTTGACAAATTTGTTTAATCGTTTTTATGCCAATCTTTGGATCCTCCGGAAAGAAAACATACATTTGATCTGAAAAATTTTTATTTTTTATTAGAAAATTTAAATCCTCCGTAACCTGTTGGATCGTCATTGTGTGCAACCAAAATAGTTAAATCGCCTCTAGATGGTCTTTTCTCACTTGGCCTATCGCCAAAAATTTCTTTAAATTGATCCAAAGTTTGATCCAATTCATCTTGAGTAACTGGAAAAATTAATTATTATTGAAGGTTACCACGAAGAATTCAAATGTTTCTCAATCTAATTTACAGCTGTCTGGGAATTTAATCGCGATTTTCGTTTTTCAACTCATCTAATTTTAATATTCTCCAAAACCTAACTTACTCAAATATCCACGATCATGACACATCTAAAAACAAAATTAAATTTTTTTATCAAAATAATTTTTACCTGCATAACAGTTTTGCGAATGCGCCAAAGCCTGTAAGTTTCATTCTCATCCTCAGTCGACATTGAAATATTTTAAAAACTAAAATTAATTAAAGCTAAAATAATTAAAAATGATTTGTAAATAAATTTGTTTGGTTGTAACCAAAAATTAAATATTTATTTTCATGATAATGATGTTTTTATGTATAAAAAAGTAATTTTTAAATAAAAAGAAAACTAAAAACAATTTTTTCAAACTTAAGAACAAAATTTTCTTTTATTCATCATCTTTATCAGAAGAATCAGATGAAGTACTAGATTCTTCTTCAGAACTCTCAGTTGTTGCACCAACTTCCTCCGCTTCCTCTACCTCAGGTTGTTGAACAACTTGCTGCCCTTCTTCCCCCTCCTCCTCTTCTCCATCCCTATCATTTTGCTCAATCTCTTCGTGATTTTCATTATCATCATCCTCTTTGTTGGATTTTTCTTCGTCAGTTTCCACCTCCTTAGGGGTTGTTGGCTCGGCATCTGCTACCGATTCTGCTTCTTCTTGCTCTTCTTCATCTTTCTCCCCGTGTTCTTCAACCCCTTCATCCTTCTCCTCTTCTTCCTTCTCTTCGTTTTCTTCAGCTTCTTCTTCCTCCTCTTCTTCTTCTTGCAAACCATAAAGCAGATTAGATCTTTGATTCTGAAAAATAAGAGTTATCTTATTTGGTGTGTCGTGAAAAACATTACCATTTGACTCAATTCCTTGCTGTCCAACATTCGATTTGTAACAGAAAGTATTGTGTTCTAAATGATTTAAATTTGTTTTTAAATTAAAAAACGAAAGAAATTACATTTGATGTAGAAGTATTACTTCCCTTAACACGTCTTGCTAATTTGACTCGAGTTTCCAATTCATTATAATAAAAAGTAGAACCACGTAGAACCATAAAATAATTTTCCTAAATTAAAAATATAAAATAATCTAAAATTCTTGATTACCTGTTCATATCCTTTTGTTGCCTTGTTTTGTACAGACCAATTATATTCTCTTTCAAGTTTGTGTTGATACCTTTAAATTAAGTATTTTTTAAATAAAAGAAAAATTTTTTTACTCGAAATCTTCTTTATAAGACCCAATTTCTTTTTTATCATCAGCTAGTCGTTGTTCGAGTGCTTCATCAAAAGGAGAGAAATATCCGACAAATTGATTACCTTCAGAATCAGCCATTCCTCTAAAAAACTTTAAATTAGTTTTTTCAAAAAATTAAAAAAAAAACCTAAGAATTGATAAAGTCAATTTCTCTTGTCTATGATTTTTACAATAAGGTAAAGGATCAGCATCGAATAAAACTTGTGCAAAAGGAAATTTCCACAACTAAAATTAGGCATATTTAATTTTCGATTAAAAAAGAAACATCGAAGTCTGGAAGAATTGGAATTTCTTCAACTGCTGTTACACCAGGACGTGAATAATGTCGTTTAATTGGTTTCTTTGCGTGTTCAAATGTTCTTTCAATTGCTGCAATTTGTGAAGAGCGGTCTTTATAATCGATTGTTTCATCTTTTAACCGATTTTTCGTTCCATAACCAATTTTAGTGTCAGGACGGTCAACTCCTGTTTGGCCAAGACCGTAACGATTGAATTCTGTGCTGATATATTCTGTTTTACGCATCCAAGGGACAACTTTTCTGTGTTGAATTGATCTAAAATGAAAACTTGGAAATTAAACAGAAATATTTTTAAAGGAGAACAAAATCTAATTTTGTATGTAATTTATAAAATTAATCTTTTGAATAACCACTTATAAGTAGAATAGTTATTGAGATACAAGATATTTAGTTTCCAACAAAAACAAATAAACAAACCGTTTTGTATTTAATTGTTGAATACTCTCATCCTCGAGTAATTGTTCATCAATAGGATGTAAATGTGGTTTATCAATCCCATCTAATTGATAAGTTGTCGAAATTAAGTCAATTTTAACATTCAAATCTGGCTCTGTCAAAAGTTCGTATTTGAAGTTTTTTTCTAATGTAGAAGGCTTATAATTTACAAAACTTTAAAGGAAAAATTTCAAAAATTAAATTAAATAATTACCGATTTAATGAAACAAATGGACTTTGCAGAAATTTTGGCTCAAAAGGTAAATCTGGCAATTTATTCGTATATTTAACTTTACATATTAAATCAACACCGGGCCTAAAAATAATTTTAAAGAAAGAAAAATATTTTTTAAATTACTCTTGACGATTTCCACGTGTCGCAGAACGGCCGTGAGAGTGTGAATGTGAACGATGACTTTGAATATTGCTATCTAGATGTAAACTATTGGATGCTGTTGTAGGTCTATCCATTATCTTTAATACAAATAATTAATGAAAGTTGTTAAAATTAAAAAAAATATTTAATAGAAAGATCAAACTACATACTTAATAAAATTCAAAAATATTTTATAGTAACTAATAAAATTTATAAAAAAAAGTATAGCTACAAAAATGTTAATAAAAATTTTTCAAAAATCTTTTTTTAAAAAAGTTCCCGTATTTCTTTTGTTTAGAATTACAATCAATCATTCAGTTGAATCCATTTACGTTTTACAGCACCTCCAGAATTGCTTATTCCAATCGGCTTACTAATTTGAATCTAAAATTTTAATTTAAAAAAATTTTAAAAAATATATTTACATCAACAAAAATTAATCCATTAGTTTTTTTCTTTCCTTCCAAAATTTTATATTGTCCTCGAACAAAAATATTTTGCTCCAATTCTTGTAAAGGAACCTCAGCATGTCCAAATAATTTATCACTTCTAAAGAAGCCTCCTTTTTGAAAGATCTGTCAATAAAAAAATATTCTAAAATGTTAACTTAAAAATACCTCCAATTTAATTGAGCCTCTTTTGCAAAATCTCAAAAATTTATTTTTTCTGTTTATATTCAAATGGAAAACATCAGGAAATTCTAAAAAATATTTATATAAATTAATAAAAAATAATTTAAAAACCTGGTGAAGCTGTTCCTTTAACAACAGAAGTTTTGCCAGTTTGCTGAACTTGTGAATCGATAGAAAAAGCAAATTTATAAGAAACAAATAAATATAAATCTGAAGCTGTCCATCCCTAAAAAATAAAATAATTTAAAAAAATTGATTCTAAAATTACCTTCGGCAATTGTAAATTTGTTATTTTTTCAATTTTTAATTGTAAATGTTCATCTGATATTGAAGGATTAATTTGAATATTCGGAAGAGTTAATTCAACAATTTTAAAACTAAAAAATTAAAATGTTTACAAATTATTTATTAAAAAACCTGGGGAATTCAGCATTTCCCAACATAGCCATTTGAACGCTTTGAAGATTATTCTAAAATTTAAAACAAATAAGCAAATAAATAGAAATAATTACTTTGCACGTTTGTAGCAATGCTTCGTAAAAAAGAGTATTTTTAGAGTCCCCTACTGATTGAAATTGACTAGACTTTTCAGTACATAGAGCAATTTGTTTGAGCAATTCACGTTCTAAAGTCTGGCATTTTTCTTTAAAAACCAATAAAATTTAAGATTATTTCAAAAAATAACTTACTTAAAGTCTCTGGATCCACACTAACTCTTTTTGAAATTTTAGTAGATAACGCTTTAGAAGTAGAAGGCAAACTAGGTATTTGTTGAACATCAATTGGAAGACCACATTCAGCAGCTTCAACCTAAAAATATAATAAATTAAAGTTAATCGAAAAAATGTTAAAATAAGATTAATTCTAAAATGTTAAAAAACCATTGGTTTCATTCTCATTGCCAACGATAATAATTCTTTAGCTGTGTCCATATCGCCTTGGTTTTTAGCAGTTAATGCAGCTTTTTTAAGTTGCATTTGTCTTGATGTGACTAATTTGAGTTCATCACTCATGTAAGGTTCCGCAACAGTTTTTGCTGAAATTTTATTAGATTTCTTTTTAAATGACAAGAAAAAATACCTTTATTATCAGAATGTTTAACAGCAGAAGATTCCGCTTTAATTGGTTTAACCTCTGGTTTGATTAAAGCTGATTTGTAAGGTGGAGGACTTGGAGGTATTTGTTGAATATCTTCCTCAGACAAAGTCACACCCTCATTCATAGCATCTTTGGGAAATAAATTTAAAAAATAAAGAAAAAGTTACCTAATGCTTGATTAAATAATTTAACAGTTTTAAAAGCTTCAACAGCCACAGCTTTATCATTTGCTTCTTTGGCAGCCTTTGATCTTTCCAAGTAAAGTTTACGCCGTCTTGTGAGAAGAGTACGAGCAATAGAATCTAAAGAAGACGAAGGCTGGTTGTCATTTTGAGTTGGCTGGACAGATTCTTCAAGGTTTGGATTGCTAGACTTTTCTTTATTTGATGAAATATCCATTTTTAAAGGAGATTTAATTGTTTCTTTCGATGGAACTGAAAATTAAATAAAAACAATTATCATTCTATATCTTTGTCAAAATCTAACAAATTTAAAGACAAAATACTACCTTCTTCCTCCTCTGATTTAATATCTATAAGTGACTGGCATGAAGCGTGGTTTTGAGTAATATTGGATTGTGGAGTACTTTCTTCGTTGAAATCAACGTCATGATTAGACTGGCTGCCAACCAGACCACCCAATTCTGACTTAAAATTTAAAATATAATTTTATATTAACATTAATTTCCAGCAAAAAATTTAATTTAATAAACACCTACAAGTAAATCCGTATCATTCATGTCTGCTTCAGAAACTTCCATATCAACATCATCATTTTCAAGATTTAAAATATTACTAGGAATAACAAATTCGTGTTTTTGTTGTTTCGGTTTTGGGGCAGTTTTTGGAGGTTGTTTAGGTCTTTTAACTAAATTTATTGTTAAAAAAAATATATCTACAATAATTAATTACCCAATTCAAAATCCTGTAAATTATCACCATTTAAAGCTAATAATTCGGCCATTAATTCTTCATCAGCTTCAATGTCACTATTATCGGATTCATGGCCTATCGCCTTTTTAATTGCATCAAGATCACAATCCATGTTCTAAATTAAGGAGAAATATTAAATTGTTAACAAAAGAGAAGGAACAAAAATAAAAACAATTAAAAAAGCGAGAACCACAAAAATTGAATTCTGCACTGAAAAATCGGCAATGAATCAGTCACTCACTTCAGAATTCCGCCTAGTTCATCACCACTGGTTTTTCGCAACGAATATTTCTGTATTTTATCAGGATTTGTCATTAATTTTCCTAAAGATTAATTAATGGATAATCTCTCATAAATAATGAGAGATTTTTTTGAAGAACCTAAATTTAGTTTGATACACAAGTTGAAAAATCCAAGAATTCTTAGAGTTCAATAAGCATGTGCTCGTTTCTTTACGCTCTCAACCAATCCCAAGGACTGAAACTTTGAATGGCCATACTCGGCCCAAACTAATTTTCCAAGAAAACCCGCTTACTACAATAGTAAATCGATTGTGCTCTATCGAATGGTACAAAAATATACCTATATCAAATTCGCAGTCACAGTAAAATAGTTCCTTGTCAGACCATTTAGCCTAAAATCTTTGATAACAAACTTTATATTTTGTTAAATCCATTTAATATTTCTTAAAATATTTTTTTATTTTTTTATTTAAAATATTTTTGAATTTACACTTTAGTAGACAGTCACTCCTTTTTGCAATTATGAAATAATTCAAGAGTAAACATTAAACTTACTGGTTTTTAGCCTTCAATTTAATTATTGCTCAATTTACTCTTTAAATTTATTTTGAAATAATATTTTTTATTAAAGCTTTTGCTTTAAATTAAAATACACTTTCCCTCTCAAAAACAATTTTATGCAGATTTACAAATAAATATTAAATGTTTTTCAATGAAATCTTATGAGAGTAAAATGGCTATTCCGAGTTTTTGGCTTCAATACTTCTTTTGGCCAGTCTTTTTAAGAGGAGCTGCGGCAGTTAATTATTGTCATTTCTATAAACTAAAAATCTTCAATCTTCAAAAAATATTCTTTAAACTTGTTAACAAAAAGAATTGAAAAATGTTATTAAAATTCTTTTTCCCATTTTTGCTTTTGCTAACCCTTATCTATTTGGGGTGTTCTGAGGAGGATAAGGAAGACATTGCAAATGGTCTTCAGGGTGAGGACATTGCACATGGTCTTCAGGTTTAAATAAAAAAATATATTTGATAAAGTACTAAATTCTTTACAGGAATCTGAGAATCAGGTTGATCAGGAATTGGTTAGATTGAAGAGAGATGATGAAGAAGAGGACAAGGCTGAGGATGCTGAGAATGCAGAGGAGGGAGATAAGGCTGAAGATGCTGAGAATGCAGAAGAAGATAAAGGAGATGCTGATGCGGAAGAAAAAAAGAGTGAAGATGAAGATAAGAAGAGTGGAGATGAAGAAGAAAAAGCGGAAGGTGATGAAGAAGAAAAAAAGGATGGAACTGAGGAAGAAAAGAAAGAAGAAGCTGAAGAAGAGAAGAAAGATGACGATGAAGAAAAAAAGGACGATGAAGAAAAAAAGGATGATGAAGAAGAAAACGGAGATAAAGAAGAAAAGAATGATGATGCGGAAGAGAAAGAGGATAAACATTCAAAGGATAAAAGTAAGAAGAAGGGTAGTAAGTCCGTTCAAAAGGATAAAAAGGACGAGAAGGGTGAGAAAAGTTATAATTTTTATTTAAATTAACTAATTTCCCGTTAAGAGAAAAAGGAAAAAAGTTCAAGTGGTGATAGTTCTAAACCAGATAAATCAGATAATCAAAAACGTAAGATCTTATCAAACTAATTTGATACTTTGCCTTATTGAAAATAATTCTTGTAAATAGAATTATTTTTCTAATTTGAATGATTTTAAGCAGACAGCAATGAACCATGTAGTGAGGATGCTGCTCACAACTGTCCTAAATTATCAGGCCTTTGTGAATCAAAAATTCAAGTACAAAAAGAATTCATGGGTAAACATTGTTGCGCTACATGCAAAAATAAGGCTCCTGCTGCGAAGAAAGGTCCATAATGTTTTTAAAAAATAAACAGCTCGTTATTAAGATATAAAACCCTATTGCAATGATTTGGCTGATAATTGTGATCAAATAGCATCCACCTGTGAAGAACCGGTTATTAATTATACTCGTTTCTCCAAAAAATAATCTTTAGGCGTGGCAAGAGCTTGTGGTTTCTGATTGTGCTGTGACCTGCGATAAGTGTGATGAACATTTTCAAATGTTGGAGAAGAGACTTGCAGCTGCTGCTGCTTAAAATTTTGAAAGGGAAAGAATTTTTATCAAAAATATATGTGTATCATATTCACTAATCAAATTTTCTTTGATTTTCACACCTTTAAACGTAAAATTTCAATTTATTCATCGGTATTTCTCGTAATTATATTTTATTAATTTGTTTCGAAATTTAGTAAAATTGCTTTAAAATGTTTAAGTATACGCTATACAATAAATAAAAATCCCTTAAATATCTACTTCCTTTGAAGATTTCACTTGAAATGGCTTAAGATCATTACTTTTTTAATTCTGTAATAGGATACTGTAAAAATGAGTCATTTGAAATTTTGTATTATGCCAAATTGTCATTTTATGATAAATTTGGCATTACGTCATTTTTGCAAAAATTTTCTAAAATTTTCATTCTCTTTATTTTTTTCTTTTTTTTTACTTTTTTAGGAGATTTCTTTAAAAGATAAATAAAGACGAATTAAATTTGCAGTTACTTTAATAATTTGGACGAAATAATAATGGTAATTTTTTCTGGAATTTATGTTTGTACTTACATTATATTTTAGGCAAGTGATTTGCGTCTTGATGCTTGTCTAGATTTGATGAGAAGGTGTATGTATTTTTGTTGAATATTTGCTTGTTCAAAATTTTTAAAAATATTTTTAGTGCCCCCACAAGGATGTGAAAAACATTTGAGTGATCTTGTTGCTTTGGCACCTGAACTTTGTGATTCTCTTCTTCAAGCTGTTGATCAGCCTTTAAAAGTAGCTAAAGGTTTGTAGAAATAAACTTTAAATTTTAAAGCGAATGTTTTTGAATTTTTATTCGAATTAAAGTACTAGATTGGAACTTATTTTTGGCAAGTTTTCGATCCTGATTGGTTTTTTTATTAAATCGGTTTCCCGTTTACTTCAAATGAATCCAGATTATTTTTTCACATCTCTTAAAATATTTCATAATTTTTTAGATAAAACAACTGGTCGCGAGTATTTATTATGCGGTATTTATTTTTTGTACCTCTTTTTTTTTACTTTTTTATTTTTAAGACTACAATCGAGATAGTGACAGTTATAGGCAAGAAATTCTTCCTTAATTTAGACAAAAAATATTTTTAGATCTCCATGGACTAATACTTATGATCCTCCTTTAGAAGATGGAATTATGCCTTCAGACAAATTGCGAAAACTTGAAATTGAAGTTAATGCTGCGTTTGAGGCTTACAGAGACATGTAAATTAATTTAAAATAAATTGAAAAAAATATTTTTTAAAAGGTATTTTGAGGGAGGCGTTTCTAGTGTTTATTTTTGGGATATTGATAATGGATTTGCTGGTGTTGTTTTGTTAAAAAAGGAGACTGATGGTGCTATAAATGCGAAAGAGGATGTTAAAGGTTGTTGGGACTCTATTCATGTTGTGGAATGTAACGAGAGAAAGGTTATTTTTTATTTAGAAATATGGATTTGCGAGGGGCGAAGGAATTTTTTGAATTGTTTAATTTATGGGTACTACTGAAGAAAAGGGTGCTTTTTCTGCGGACTTATTTTGCGGACTTTTCCTTTCTTTCTTTTTTAATGTTTTGGTTGTTTTGCTTGTAGCGAGTTTTGCTTGTAGCAACTAACTGTCAAAGGATTAATTTTTATGCCAATTTGAAAAATATGTGTTCACCATTAATTTGAACATCATAAACGATGATGAATGAATTTCAACTATGGATCACTGATCTCGGAATGCTTCATAGAAAAAGAATATGTGATTGTGGATCAAAATACGGGTAATTTCAAACCTTGTCCCCCCCCCTCCATTATTTTTATTACCTAAGATTGTACAAAATGGTCAGATTTCCTTCTTCCTCTCTTTCCTCTATTTGAGCTTGGCATATTCAAACCAGAAACATTGTTAAAGAGAATAATAAAATTAATTGAGTTGTTCAATATTGAGTTGAATTTTTTTTAAGTTGTTAAATTAGTTTTAAATATAAGTAAGAATGTAATGTTTTTACACAGAAATTCATAATGTTATAGACTAAATCAATTTTATTTAATTCTTTTTTTGTTTAACATCGTTTTCGGAGGCAAAAAATAAGTGTATGACTATAAAATTAATCTTCTCTTTATCAATGTCTCTTGTTTGAATATGCCACAGGGCAAATAGAGGAAGGAGGGGAAGAAGAAAATTTGACCTTTATGTACAATCTTAGGTAAGAAAAATAATAGGGTGGAGGGCCTTTGACAGTTAGTTGCTATAAGTAAAACATGTAAAGGAAAGGAAAAGTCCGCAAAATAAGTCCGCAGAAAAAGCACCCTTTTCTTCAGTAGTACCAATTTATGTTAGTCTGTCTTAATTTTTCATTGATTTTGAAAATGTTTTTGAACTGTGAGATTTTTCTGATTTAATTTTTTGTCCCTATCTCTACAGCAAACTTTCCTTAATTCTAAAAATTTATTCAAGTAGAAATTATTTAAAATGTTTTAAAATTTTTAAAGTCATCTAAACATGTGAAATATAAATTGACTAGCACTGTAATGCTTTGGCTTCAAACACAAAATGTAGCAACTACAGGGACTATGAATTTGGGTGGGTCTTTGACACGTCAGACAGAGCAAGATGTCGTTATTAGTGAACAAAGTCCTCATTTGGCAAATATTGGAAAAATGATTGAGGTTTTTTCTTATTTTTAATTTCAAGTCGGACCTTGGTTTTTTAGACACTCTTTGAGGTGAATCTATATAAAAATGAGAAGTGCTTAACATAAGGGTACGGGGTAACATACAATTTTGCATTTATCCCCACCATTCCCCCACCACCTCCAAAATTCTTATAAAAATTGAATTCTTTTCCTTTTTCTATTCAAAACTAAAAATTTTAGGACCAAGAAAATAAAATGAGAGCAATATTAAATGAAGTTTATTTTGGAAAAGCTCGACAAATTGTTGGTGAATTACGTTCTGTTGAGAGCACAACAGAAATTAAAAGTCGAGATGAATTGGGTAATTTTTTAATTAAAAAATTTTTTTTAATTTTAAAAATATTCTAGTTGATGATATTAAACGAGCAGTTGCAAGTAAAAAAGGAAAAGATGAAGTATAAAATATTAAAAAATAATTTTTTTTTGGTGCTTACACCTAAATATAATATAATAAACATTCTGAAACCAGACGCTTTTTTTTTATTTAATTTTTATTTTTTTTGGTAAAAAATTTTTTTTGATTTTTTTTTGTGAATATTTGGGGTTTTATATTTTTCAAATATTTGTGGTGTCCTTTTTTACTTTATTTAAAATTTATTTAAATTGATAGATTTAAAGTAGCGTCCTAAATTAGTTAAGATATCCATTTTTAATTAAATTTACAACGGATTAATAAGTACTTAACATGAAGGGGAGGTGTAACATACAGATACGCATTTATCTCCCCCATTCCTTACCACCTCCAAAATTATTTTCCTCTTTTACAAAAGTTCAAAATATTTTTGTTCTTTATTTTCTTTCCTTCAGTTAATAAATCCAAGTACATCATGTGTGGGAGTATACTAAATTGTTTAAAAAAATTCTTGCATAAAATTTTAAGTTTCCATTCTGACAAAATATTTGTATGTCAAAAATGAGTAAATGATTCTTTCTTTTTGTTTATTTTGGTCTATGTGCAATCGAAATTTTTGGTGAATAATTCTAAAATAATCCGTAAATTTTTATTTAAAAAATTACAAAAATATTTTTATTTCTTTCTCCTTTTTTAAATTAATTTAAAAAATATAAAAATTGATTATCACGAAAATATAAAATTTCCTCTTGTCTTCTATACAAAAGTTCATTCAAAAAAGGCATATCACCCACCAACATTTACTTCATTGTTTCTATGGCAACAATAAATTTCCAATTCTTTTTTATTTTTAAAAATTCCCCCTTTCCTCTTCATTATTTTCCCCATTTTTTCAATTAATTTGTTTCAACAGAAAATTTAAATTAACAAAAAAATGGTTTGTTTTATTTTAATTTTTTATTTAAATTTTTTAATTTATGGAAGGGTTTAATTGGAATATTACGAAAATTAAAACAAAAACAAGGAAGAGAACTTAGAATTCTTTTATTGGTTTTTAATTTATAAATATTTCTTTAAAAAAAATAAAAATTTAGGGCCTTGATAATGCTGGGAAAACAACAATTTTAAAAAAATTAGCTGCAGAAGATGTAACACATATTACGCCTACACAGGGATTTAATATTAAAAGGTGCTGTTTTTTCTTAATATTTTAAATGAATTTGGAAAAATTATTTTGACAATAAAAGAGCAATTATTTTAAAAATTAATTGTAGTAGCTAGAAAGGTGATAAGAGGAGAAGAATGGTCATTTACTGCTCCTTAAGACGTTTTCTATTAGAGTTTTTTCCTCAAGTTTATGCCTAATCCTAAAAAATCTTTTCTTTATTAACGAAACTTGGGGAATATCCTTTAATGTTTTGTTAAAGAAAATTTGTAATACTTATAAGAAAATTTGTTTGGAATTTTAAGATCAGAAAAAAATATTTTTAAAGTGTTATGGCTGATGATGTTCGTTTAAATGTTTGGGACATTGGTGGTCAGCGAAAGATTAGGCCTTATTGGAAAAATTATTTTGATAATACAGATGTACTTTTAATTTTTAAATTAAAAAAATATTTTTTAAAAAAAGGTATTAATTTATGTAATTGATAGTAGTGACAGAAAAAGATTTGATGAAACAGCTATGGTCTTTTTTGTTTTAATTTTATTTTTAAAAAATTAATTTTTAAAGGAATTGTCTGAATTGTTGGAGGAAGAAAAATTAAAAAATGTTCCTGTTAGTTTAGAAATTAATTTTAATGTTGCTTAAAATAATTTTTAATATTTCTTAGATGCTTGTTTTTGCGAACAAACAAGTAGTTTTTGTTAACTTAAAAAGATTTTTTTATTTTCTAGGATTTGTTAACTTCAGCAAAGGCTAGTGAAATTGCTGGAGGTTTACAGGTAGAGAAATATTGTAAAGCATATACCTAGCTATTTAATTCCTAAGGCTGGGCAGTAGGCGGCGTGGGGTAATAGATAACACATTAGTCCGTCTGCTGAAGATGCTGGTTCGCACCCAGCAGCCGAATAACCTTTTGCACTAGCTAAAGGAGAGAAATAGCTACTATAGTCCAGCTGCTTTACTATATATTAACAGAAAATATTTCCAAATATCTCACAACTCCCAATTTAATAATTTTATTTAATTTAATTAAGCTAGTTAAAATAAGAGACAGATCTTGGCAAATCCAAGCATGTTCAGCACTTTCTGGTGAAGGAATTAAAGTAAATTAATTTAAATTTAAATTAAAAAAATATTTTTTCTTAAAAAAGGATGGAATGGAATGGATATCAAAAAATATAAAGAATGACGGAATTATTAAACAAGGAGGACAAACATCTGAATAAATATTTTTGTGAATTAAAGAAATTTAAAAATTATTGAAAATTGTTTTTACAGAAAAATTGATTAAAATAAATAAATAAATAATTATTATTAATTATTGCCAACCTTAGCAAGACAAGATTTAGTTAATTATCTTCTGTTTAGACAAACACAAAAACATTTAGTACATATGTTTTTAAAACAATTTAATTTTATTGCTTTCTTGTTTTAATTTAAAACATTTGGGGGACTTGTGTAAATAAAATTTTATTTATTTATTGAATGTAAAAAGATGGACATAAATAATTTTAGTTATTTAAGACCACCCCCTTCCCCAATGGCCCAAAAATGTGTTTTTGGTTGTTTCCTCTTTTCTTCACATTCTCCATGCCCCATTACTTTTTTTCATTCTTCCCTTCCATTTGAAAAAAAAATTATTTTCTAAAAATATTCTTAAATAAATAAATCTTTATGTTTTTTTATGAATTTTCTTAAATTTTTACAATATACGCAACCCACTTTACCTTTCCATGCCCAATTGCTTTTGGTTTTTTAAATAAATTTAAACGACTATTTGCACTTTTTAATACAGCAAAATCACATTTTGTTGTAGGGAAAATAAATAATCTTTTATAAAATACCGTGTTTCCTCTAATACAACCCCGTCTTGAATCTTTACTATTTAATTCCCCTTTGGAGGGTAATTGACGTATTAAGAGAAATACGGTAATCAAAAAAACTGGACTCCAATACTTGACTCAATTTAGAACAGAAGTTTTTAATGTTAAAATTTGTTTTTAAAATTTTTAGTTTCTTTGTGCTATAAATTTTTTTCATTCGAAAAAAAATTCTCCATCTTCCCCCTCTAACCTTCAAATTACTTCTACCTACTCTTTTTAAAATCAACTGTTATATATATTCGCCCAACGATTTATTTCAAATAAATACAAGCTACTTATATATTTAATTACTAATTTATTTCTTCTTTTTATTTCTTTTAATTATAGCCGATAATTACAAAAGAATTAATTTATTTTTTGTATTTTTTAATGAATTTTAGTGAAAATTTGTCAATAAATACAGAAAAGGAGAAATTGGTTATTTAAATTTTTAAAAATTAAAAGAAAAAATATTAATTTTAATGTTAAATTTAAAAAAAATTATTTTTTTTAAATTTTTCTTTTAAACAATTCCAAAATTAATTGCTAAATTTAAATTAATTTTTAATATATGTATGTAAATAATTATTTTTAGAATTTTACATACACTTTCTCACATAAATTTATTTGTTATTTTTATTTCTTTCTACAAATATATTATTCAAATAATTGCTAACATTTTTTAAAAAATTGTTTAAATAATTTTAATTTAAAAATATTTTTAAATTTTAAAAATAAAATCAAGTTTTTTTAAATCCAAGTAAATTTTGATTTCCAGCTGTGACCTATTTTTTTAAAAACAAAATAATAATATTTCCCATTCTCCCATATTTTTTTGTATTACCTAAACTTGTTTTTCATTTAAAAAATTTTTTAAAAATTAAAAAAATTATTTTTAAAGTTTATTTTCAATAAAAAATGTATAATTATTATCCCAATTTCTTTCAATTATTTATTTTATTTAATTTTTTAATTTTATTTATAAATTCCCAACAACACACTTCCTCTATTTTTGAAAGAGTTAAGGTGTCCTTTAAATTAATTTATTTTTAATTTAAATATTTATTTAAAGCAATCTATTTGTCAGCCAATAATTAATTTACCTTTGTGTGAAAATATTCCTTATAACAAAACTATTTATCCAAATCCGTTTATTGAAATTGATCAAATAAATGTTTGTTTTTATTTTTAAAATAATTAGAAAGTAAGGACTCCAAATCCTCAATAGTTTTCTTTGAAGTTTATTCTTTTCCTAAGATTTTTAATTGGCATTGGTAGAGCCCAATTAAATTTATTTTTAAAAAGAAAAGGGGATGTGAATTAGTAGAATCCTCCTCCATATCTCCCCAATATCTCACTAAATGCTTGAATAAGAAATCAGAAAAGTATTTTTGGGATTCTGGTTTGAAATTCTGGATATTGGTCTAGTTGAGGTATACTTCCCCTCCTTTTTTATTTCCTACCCTTCACTTCCTTTTTCTTCCTTTTATCTTTATGCTTAGAAGAGGAGGAGGTGAAAAAGGATAAATTTTTTCCATAACAAAAAAATTTTTCATATTTTTGTAAAATCAAAAAAAAATTTTTAAAGCTTCAATCACAAATAAATCACTTTAAACCTTTAATACATACAAAATGTTCTCCAAATATTCTTTTATTTGTTTGTTCTGCATTTGCTCCAATGTGTTGGGTTTTTATAAATTTTTATGAAAAACAAGGAATAAATTCTAAATAATTTTTAAAAATAATTTAAAGGCCCCGATCAGATGCCACAAGCCATAACCTCTTGTAAATCTGTAAATATATAATTTTAAAATATTTTTAAAAATAAAAAATATTTGTTTTTAAAGGTTTGTGAAGAAGTTTATAATGATTGTATTAAAATATTTAATGAATTTGATTTTCCTTGGTTTTTATTTTAAAATTAATTAATTTACAATTATTTTTAGGCCTCCAATGCTTAATTGTTCTCGTTTCCCCTCTCCCCCAACAATTTGTATGAAACCCGAACCTTTAAATAATAAAAATATTTTTTCTTCTAATTTTAATGAAAAAACAATGCCTTCCTCAATGTTTTTTTGAAAATATTTTTTAAAAATATTTCCTTCTTTAAAGTTTATCAACAACAAAATTGCCAGAATGCCCTTTAGATTTAGTTGATTTAGAACCAACAGATTCAACGGCTAAATGTGCTTTTAGATGTGAAAAAACGACAATGTTTAGAAAAGTATTAATTTAAATTTAAATAAAAATTACAAAGAAAATACAGAAAATTGAAAAAAAAATTAATGAATTTTTTGACTTAAAAATTTAAAAGATTAAATGAATTAATTAAAAACTTTAAAAAAGGATCAAAAAGAGCAAATCCGTTTGTGGCTTTTTTGTTGGTCAATGTTAAATTCATTAATTGCTTTATTTACTGTTTGTTTTTTTTGGATAGATCGACAAAGATTCCGTTTTCCAGAGAGGTAGATAAATTATAAGATAATATACAGGCTTGGTAATGGGTACGGATTTTTGGTATCCATATCCGGATATATCCGTGAATTCGATCCGTAATCCAAATAATTCTTAAATTTATTTTAAATTTAAATTCTTTTATTTTTTTTCTCCGTTAATTAGGACCCACACACAACAATTTCTTTTTATTTTAACAAATAAAAATAAATTAAGTCCTTATTTTTTTATTTGAATCGGCAATAAAAGAAAGCTTTTTTTACAAATAAACGAGAAGCAAAACCAATCCAATTTTAAATTGTTTTTATAAAATATTGCTTTTCTTTTTAAGAAAATTTTGGGGAGAAAAGAAAGGGGAAAAATATAAAAAAAATATTTTTAGCAATAAAATTTTATAAAATATTTGTGTTTAAAATAATATGTATGTAATGGAAAGAAAAGTTGAAAAGGAGATTATAAATTTGAAATAAAAATATTAAAATTTTGAATTAATAGCAGATATGTTTTCAAATAAATTAACATAAAAAATTTATAAATTAATTTAAATAAACTTCGGATTTTTTACTATCTTTACTCTTTACTATCCTAATTTTTACATTTTCATTTACCGTATTTCCTAAAATAGTACTCCCCCCTGAATTAGCACTCCCCCCTTAAATAATACTCCCCTTTGGAGGAGGGTTGAAAAATAGTACTCCCCCCTGAATTAGTACTCCCCCTAAAATAGTACTCCCCCCTAAAATATTTTTCCCCTATATTTGAAAAAATTATAAAAGACTCATTAAATTATTTCATTTACTCTAATTATGGTTGTCGGTTTCAATTAATTCTGTGTTAACCGAAACCGAACCGAAAACCCGAACCGAAACTTCCTGTTAACCGAAATCGAACCGTAAATTTGTTGAGGATTAAGGAGATAGGTATATTGTGATTAAGTGGCTGGATAAAAGTGGATTTGAGGGATATAAGTGTATTGATATCGGGTGATAAAAGGGGTTCTGAATTGATCAGGCGAGTTAAAAGATATCATTGGATTAAAGGCGGATAAAGGAATTTGAGGGAATAATGACGGATGAGTCATATTAGTAGTTTTTTGTTGATTAAGCGTGATTAAGATAAAATTGAATCATGAATCCTCCTCAACCCAACGATTTTATTTCGATACCTCTAATTCAAGAATTTTCAGATATCCAACTCACTGATCTCCAACTTACATAATTTGATCCCTTGATATTACGCCAAATATGGATATCATAAGATTCGAAGGGATATCGGAAGAACAAAAGTGATGTATCAATTTTCGATATCCACCTTAGTCCAAAGCATGCTTCACTCTTAATTGTTTAAATCCCCTTATAGCTTAAATCCCCACTCCAAATCCACTGATATATACTTCTTGATATCCCTCAATAATCCTTATTTTAAGTCACTTGTGTTTAAATGTCCTGCCATGTGCTCAATTTTATAATAATTTGGATATTTTTTGCGAATTATAAAGGAATTTTTTTGAAAATCTATGTACGGATCCAGCATTTTTCAAATTAAGAAATCTAATTGATTTAGACATTTAGAATTTTGAAATAAATTTTCACAAGATAAATCAGTGAGGAAGGTTGAAAAATAGTACTCCCCCCTGAATTAGCACTCCCCCCTTAAATAGTACTCCCCTTTGGAGGAGGGTTGAAAAATAGTACTCCCGGGAGTACTATTTTAGGAAATACGGTATTTTCTCCAATCAGATCTCCTGGATATTGTTTAAACTTCTTTGTATAGTAGGCTTAATTTCATTCCCTTTATGTTCATTATACCGAGAGTATAAAATAATTTTTTGAGTTTTTTGTCTCCGCAACTTGTTACTAATTAGTGGAAATGGAAGAATTCTACAAATTTAACCCCCTCCCCTTTTTTTTAAATTTTATTCTTTAAATTTCTTCAAAATCTTATATTTTTTTAAATTTTAAAGGTCAATCGGGTTTCTTGCATTTTGTTCACTTTTATCAAATATACCTCATTTGACACGACCAATTATTGGATTTGATGAAGTTTTTATTTTAAAATAATTATTTAAAAAATAATTATTTATTTTCAGATGGCTTGTAATTCTTTAATTTCCGGTGTTCGTTATTTAATTATTGAAGGACCTCATGAAAATAAAATTTGTTTTTTGAATTTTATATTTTTTTATTTTGGGTAATTTTTTCTAAGAAAAAATATTTTTTAATTAATTGATTAATAGTTCAATTGCTGGAAATTGTTGGTGGTTAATACTTGGGTTTACTTGGTTTGTTTTTTTTCGAGTAATTAAAAAAAGACGATATGTAATTTCCTAGAAGGAATTTTTAAAAAATTTTATTAAATAAAGAGCCACTTAATAATTACACTGACAATGATTAATTATTGTTTGACCTCACGCTGGAGAATGTAATTAATTGAGGGGTAGAGGTGTGCTAGATGTTCTAGATTTGGTCTGTATCTCAATAAATTGAGGATGAAATTTACCTATTATTTTTTTAACTATTATCCTTAAAAATGTTACAATAATTAAAATTGAGTCAATGATTTTTTATTATTTTTAAAATTAGTGTAGGAAAATGGGTGTAATTATTAAAGAGGGTTATTATTTGAGAGAGGATAATTAATTATTTGAGCTCAAACTATCTCTCAGGATTGGGTGTAAAGGCAATTTTAAATATTTTAAGGTATTTATCAGCCTCTCGTAAATGGGTAGAAGAAGAAATTGGTAAAAGAAGTATTTTATTACATCTTTTTGCTTGGGGATTTCCTTTATTGTTGGTTATTATTTGTTTAAGTAATAATTTGGTAGATGCTTCTGAATTAACTGGAATATGTTCTTTAGGTAAAAAAATAATATTTTTCTGGGCTTGATATTTTTGGCAAAAGCTTAAACCGATAATTAATGAAATTGAATGATTTTTTAAAAAATCCCCTAAAAATGAAATTAATTTTTAACAGGAACTGGAAATGAAGACTGGGGAGTTCTTTATACATAACAGAGATTGTTCGGGTCGAGAATAAAGGCGGATCGGATTTCGGATCTGGTTTTAAAAATTCTTAGGATCGGGTTTCGGATATCGGGTCGAAAAAAGGCCGTGTCTCGGCTCTCGGATCGGGTTGTTCCTCTTCTTAGAAAACTCTGTGGAATTATCAGTTTTAAACAATCAAAAACAAAAATAATAATTTTTCTTCAAAATTATTTTAAGGTAATTTCAATCCCCTAACATTATTTTGGTTTTGGATAATCCCTCGTTTATTAATTATTTTAATTGGATTTTTTCTTCTTTTGGCTGGATTTTCTTCAATGTGTAAAGAAAGAAATAAATTTAAGTAAAAAATATTTTTAATTTAAATTAATTTATTTTAAATTAAAAAAAAAAAGAAATAAAGGAACAGATACTTCTAGATTAGAAAAATTTCTTTTAAAAATGGGAATATTTTCTTTAATTTATTTATTTTCAATATTATTAAATTCTTTGTGTGATTTACATCATTTAATTGTTCTTTCTGAATGGCAACCAAACACGTAAAAATTTAAAAAAAATTATGTAAAGGTTAGGGGGAATGTGTACTATGTTTTTTTAATTTATATTAAATAATTCTAAAAAATATCAAAACTTTATGAGAATTACTGAGTGTTGCGTCGGAACCGGAACTGAAATTTTGACGGATCCGGAACCAAAAAATCCCGGAACTTCCGGCGCAACACTACTGCATATATGTACAAAAATTAAAAAATATATTCTAACATAATCCATAAGTCACTAGAAGTAGGGTTGACGGATCAGGATAAATCCGAATGTCCCCCCCCCCTCCCCCCTATTATCCGCCAACACCAATCAGGGGAACTTTGATTCTTTTAGTGAAACTTTTTTAATTTTTTAAATAATTATTTTATTTTTAAAGAATTAATTGCAAAACAAAAGGAGGTGCTTTTTCTGGTAATTGTATTAGACCAGAACAACCGGAACCAAAATTGGTTAATTTATACTAATTATTTTTTGTTTTAATTTTTTCTAAATAAAAAGTATGTTTTTGGACAAACAATGGGAATGGCTACTGGTAATTAATTATTTTTTTTTGGAAATTAAAATTTATAAAATAAAATTTTAAAGGTTTAGCTGTTGGTTTATGTATATTTTCTCCGAAAACATTGGCTACGGTAATTGGAGAAAATTATTTAATTAAATATTATAAAATTTGATGGTACTTTTCCGTTATACGACCGCAAACGGAGTGCCATCCGACTTTGATCTTCTATAACTTTTTAATGCTTGATCCAATACAAATGAATTTTATATCAATCGAAAGCCCTCGATAAGCGGTATCTTTTACAAACTTGATTAATCAGGGCTGATCACCAAGCAAAAAGTTATTTGCTGATAAATGCGAAAAACAGCAAATATCTTATTGATGCCGATCCGATCGGCTGGCACTTAGTTTGCAGTCGTATAACGGAAAAGTTTCAATTTAACCAAATTGTTATTTAAAATTTAAATATTTATTTCCATTCTTTAAATAGATGTCCTCACTTTCTAGTTGGAAAAATGCCTTAATATGTTGCCGGTCTTTACAAATAAAAAAGTCAACAATAATTAATTCTTCATTTAAAAGTATTTTTATTTTTAAAAATATTCTTCTAAAAAAATTTTTTTAGAAACAAAACAACAAACATTATTAATCCCTCCCCCTCCTTCTTTTCCTCCTCAAAGTCCAAAAAATAATTTAGTACCCCCTACTTCTTCAATTACTATTTACAATTCACAACAAAATAATCAAAATTTAAATACCAAACAATATATTCCTCTTTCCATTTTAAGTAAAAAAGAAACAAAAAATAATGAGGTGAATAATGGGATAAAATATTAAAAAAATATTTTTTAAGCAAATTTATGAACACCAAAATGTTGGAGGGATTAGACAACAAATTATATTAGAAGAACAATCATCAAATGCTGCTTATTTATAATTTTAATAATTAAATTTTTAATTTAAAAAAATATATTTGTAAATAAGCTAAATACAGGGCCCCGATTTCTGCGGATTTTGCGGTTTTTTGAAGGTCGATGAGGATTATTTTTAAAAAATGCGGGTTTTTAAAAATTCGAGATTGGAGCCCTGGATAGATATAATATTAGTAGATTAAAAAAGAATTTTCTTCATTCTTTCTCTAATAAATACCCTATACATATTTTTTAAAGTCTAGATTTATTTTTTAGATGAGTTCTTTTTCAGTATGTAGGGAATCCTCCAAAAATTTTTAAGCTATATTCGGTTGTCCACGTCATCGACAGCCTTTACAACATAATTTGGGGGGTTTAAACTGACGACGACCTCAATCCGCCCAAGTAATGTTAACCACCTAAAGTTACAGCGGTTAATGCCGCCAGCAGACAACATAAACTTTCTCTTAATATTTATAAAGAATTCTGAATCTAATGTTGAAATTAATTAAATTGAACCGAATGTATTTAATAATCTGAAGAACTAACAAAATTACTCAAAAATTCCTTTACAATTTCTGATAATTAAAATATACGGAAATAATAAAGAAATATTTTAATTATCGTGGATACATAATTTATAAATAGATAATATATAGTTGAGTAGCAAAATAGTTAGAAATCAAAATGTAAAGAAATAAAAGATTGAAGTTTGTTCAAGACTATTAGTGGTGAACTAAAAAAAAGAGAAGTTAAGACAAAAATATGTTTGACGGGAGGAAAAACAAACTTAAAATTTGATTATTTTTTTTGGTAATTTCAAAACATAAAAACAAACAAAAATTCAATCAATCTGAAGAACTAGAAGCAGTTTGGAAAGAAGTCAAAACTCTTTCAATATTGCTAACTGTGCTCGCTTTCAAATTCTGAATTTTTAAATATTTTTTAAAAATATATTTTCAATAACAGGACTACCGTAATGCGCATAAAATCCAAGAAACGCTCTAATTGTTCCAACATTTGGGTAATATCCTTGTTTGGCATAAGTGCTTTCACTTGACTAGCTAACACCTAAAGAATAATTTAAAGGTAAAATATTTTTAAATCAACATACACTATCTGTGCCGACAACAATTGCAACGACTAATGAACAATAAGAAGCCACCATACCTGAAATTTTAAAGAAATTTTTAAGTTTGGAAATTACAAATGAACAAAGCGAGCCTTCCTACTTCACCGAAATACCAACCGAGGGGTTCCCAATTCTCTAAAACAAATTCCACACTTACTATCTTCCATATGAGTTGACGCTTTATTCATCAATGTCTGAATAGCAGTAAGCACCTCGTCTTGAGACATATTCGCCGCTTTCTCTTGACCATTCTCATTACCGCCATCTTCATCCTGTGGTTCTTCATTTAGCAATTCGTTATCAAATTCCTCGTCAATAACCTTCGCTGCAGAATCATGATGAATGAACAACTTAAAACAAATTTAAAAAGTGGTTGACATTTATAAAGGGAAAAATTTTTAGGAAATCCTTTGGCAATGAGTATGCTCTAGAAACGAGCTAGGACCAAGGCCTGGATTTTTCCTGTACCCAGAGTCAGGCCCAGGCTTTTCAAAAATCTCGATCTCTAGTATATACTTTACTAAAACTAAAAATAACCTTTGTCAAAATATCCAAAGACGAAGCTTCTACTCCTTGTTGTCCCAGAACTAAAGTTTTGTCAATAAATTCAGATTTTAAATTTATAAATTTGCGACGATTAGCTGGACATTTTTCTAACAAATTAACCAGAAGGCCATACATCTATAAAAAGGGGGATTAAAAATTAGAAAATATTAACAAATTTACCATAACAGCAAGATCAAAAAATTTCTCTTTAGGCGCATAATTTGAATGTTTAGCCAAAACATTGAGACAATTTTGAAGAAAACCAGCAGCTTGTCCAATTTTGAGTGCCCCATTCTCACTTTCATGGCTTACATTCATTAAAACTCGACAGAGAAGGCAAATACATTCAAAAATTTTGTTACAATCATTTTGAGCAGTTGATGACAGATTTTTCTTTTCTTGTTTTCCCTCAGTTTGGTGAACGTTCTCAATGAAGTTAAGCGAATAATTGAGGAATTTTGCACAAGAGAATATAAGCAAATTATTCCTATGCTGCACAAGATATACTTGATTTTTCGTGTCAAAAGCGGCAGCCTAAAAATTTTGAAATAAATTTAAAAAAATATTATTTGGACAACAAACATTTTCTAAAATTCTATAGCAACGCTCAACAACTTTTAATTTTGTACTTGTTGTCATTGTCGAATCAGTTGTTGTTGTTGTTAACACTCCTTGATTTGAATGTACCAATTCAAGAACAGCTTTATCCAATTTTGCCACAATAGTTGTAAGACACCCAGAATTGTACATTTCCGATTTAAACATTTTGCTTTGCTCCTTTAACGCAATGTAGGCAAGCGCTTCCAAAGTAAGAAAGGGAACAGACAAATTATCCTCCGTAACATCAAATTTTACGCTTTTTGATGACTTATTTAACCAAAAACGAAGCCAATCTTGCATTACCGACCAAATCTAAAGAAAGGACAATTTCAATAAATTTATTAAGAGAAAATAAACAAACCAAGACAAGATGCTTTTTGTATTCCTCATCTGCTTTTATGCGTTGATTATCCTGCTTAAGAAGTTGTGCGATCAGACGGATACATTGCTAAAAATTTGTTATTTTTAAAAAACAAGGTTTTTAAAAAACAACCTCAGAAACAGGAATTCCCTTTCTGTCTCTCGCCATAAAATATAAAAGACAGGCAGAAGAGAGTGAAATTGTCTGAAATTTACTTATTTTGATAGAATAACAAAAATAAAAACCGGCGAAATGGCAACCAACTCTGCCAGATTAGTAAAAAGTCTGTTCATGTGCGACGATTGTATGCGCAAAAAATCTCTGAATTCCAAAGAGACAGACTTTCTGACAAGTTGCATAAGACTAAAAAAGTATTTAGAAATTTTACAAGAATCACAAAGAATTACCTCAGTTGTTTCAAATTAATGCTGGATTTCTCGTCAAGTAAAGTTGTTAGTAAATAATGAAAATCGCCTTTGAAATCTTTAATTTAAAATTTTTAGTTAAGAAACTTGATATTAAAAAAAACCATGCATTAATCCTTTCTCAGCTGTTATTTTATTTGTGGTAGTATTTTGATAAGTTTTTCGATAAGGTGCATAGCAGGGCTGTCGACGTTGTAATTTTGTAGAAGGCGTAAATTCTCTAAAATAAAAATTAAATGGAAATTTAAACTTGTAACAAACTCTTCTTGTTCTTCTGGCTCAAAACTGCTAGCACACCTTCGCTTCGAATTACCGACATTGCATTCAACTTAAATTGAAAAAAACAATAATTTTTTAAATTAATGAGAAAATCATACCGTGATTTGATGAGACACTGACGTCGTTAAAAGATGACATTATTTTTTCAAAATCAACCCTTGATTAGCTAATTAAAAAAAATAAAAGTATGGACAAAAAATAAATAAAAAACCGACGTGGGAAAATTAAAAACTCGCTTAAAAAGTAGAGACTAGAATTTTGAAAAAAAAACAGGAAACGGGAAATTGTAGCAGAAGGAACCCTGTCAGGACCCGGAACCCGGCATCTTCAAAAAAAGCCGGGAAAAGTAGCGGGAAGCCGGGAAAAATGAGCGGGAAACCGGGAAACGGGACCGACCGTGTACCAATCCCGTTCCGGTCTCTATTAAAAAGTAAAAGCTAACATAAGGATCAACTGGCCCCTTCTCCACTTTGATATAATTTCATTTTTACCGAGGCGGGCATTTTTTATTTGAAAATTAATTCAAATTTTTTTAAATTTTCTTGTGCCTGACTTTTAAACAAATCTTAAAGTTTTTTATTTAAAAGATGAGTGACACAGGCGATAATGAAAGTGTTGCACAAAGTCGAGACGGACAAGAACAAGCTGATGATAATGTAGTTCCTGCTTCTGACAACGAAGAAGAGGATCCAATTGCTGAACTTTATGGTGATGAACGAGAAGAATATGAAGAAGAGGATGCTAATGGTGAAGATTTGTTTAGAGATGATATGCTAAGGTTTTTAAAGTTATTTTTAATTAAATTATTGAATAATTAGGGATTATCGTGATCAGCCAGAACTTGATAATCTTTCCGCATCTGGGATAGATGATACATCTGACATCACAGAGCTTTCCTTTGATGCCCGAAGACGTGCTGAAATTGCTATGGCTAGACGGGATCAATTGTCGATGGAAGATGAGGTTAAATCTTTTATAAGAATCATCTGAAAATTATTTGTAGCTTTACTGGGAAGATGGGGATGAGTCAGCTGCTTCTCTTGCGCGGCGACGAAAACGCCTAGTTCCCAGACAGCCTGAAGAGGATATTGACGAGGATGATGGCGAAGTTCCTATTGATATTTTGGAGAACTACCATGACCGATCAGCACGTGATCATTGCAGTGATGAGGCTGTTGGGCGCGAGATTTTTAGACGGTTTATTTAAATTTCTTTAGCTTTTTGATTAATCTATTTTAGTTTCAAAAAATTTCTAAACTTCTTCAAAGAGCCAGTTACAAATCAAAACAAATATATTCTTGCCATTCGACATATGGTAGCTGAAAATCGTTTATCTCTTGAAGTCGACTATAACGATTTATCTAATGAGAATGGTGAACCACATATTGCATTTTTGTTGCCAGAAGCGCCTGTTCAAGTATACAAATTTCTAAAATAAGATTAAATGCTTTAAATTATAAATTAGGTTCTTGAACGTTTGGACCAAGCTGCTACTGCTGTAGTAACGAGGATTTTTCCTTGGTACAAAAGGGTAACAAATGAAGTTAAAGTCCGGGTTAAAAATTTGCCGTCGGAAGAAGACATTCGACTTTTGAGACAAATTCACTTAAATATGTTAATTAAAACGTCTGGCGTTGTTACGGTTACTACTGGAATTCTACCTCAATTGAGTGTTTTAAAATATGACTGCAAATCTTGTTCATTTGTGCTCGGTCCTTTTGTTCAACGCCAGGATGAAGAGACAAAGCCAACAACTTGTCCATCATGCCAAAGTCGTGGGCCTTTTGAATTAAATACGGAAGAGGTTTTTGTCTTTAATTTGACAAAAAAAATTTCATTTTAAGACAATTTACCATAATTATCAACGAATTACTATTCAAGAAAGTCCAAATTTGGTAGCCGCTGGTCGTTTACCTCGTTCGAAAGAAGTTATTCTTTTGGGTGATTTGTGTGATTCTTGTAAGCCTGGAGACGAAATTGTTGGTTTTAAACTATTTAATCTAAATTTTTTTAATTTTAAGGAACTAACCGGAATTTATACAAACAGTTATGATGGATCTTTAAATACTCGACAGGTTTTTTTTTAATGACTTGTACTAAAAGTTCTAGTATTTTTTAATTTTTAGGGATTCCCAGTTTTCAACACAGTTATAATTGCAAATCATATTGTTAGAAAGGATCGATTAGGTTTATTTTATTTTCCTCAATTATTAAAAAATTCTTTAAAGAATCTGACTCTTTAACTGACGAAGACATTAAAGCTATTCGTGAACTAGCAAAACACCCACAAATTGCACAACGAATTTTTGCCAGTATTGCACCTACTATTTATGGACATGATGATGTAAAACAAGCCGTTGGACTTGCATTATTTCGTGGACAAGCAAAAAATCCACAAGGAAAACACCGAATTAGAGGTTGACGATATAATCTTTGAAAATTATATCCGATTAGGTGATATTAATGTGCTTCTTTGTGGTGACCCTGGGACTGCAAAATCCCAATTTCTTCGATATGTTGCGCATCTTGCACCTCGTTCTATTCTCACAACTGGTCAGGGAGCTTCTGCTGTCGGATTAACTGGTAGTTTTTAATAAAAATTAATCGATTGAAATTGTACACAACTTTTCATTTAGCATATGTCCAACGTCATCCAGTGACACGAGAATGGACTTTAGAAGTATTCTTTTTAATTCGGTTTCATTAAATAATAAATCAATTAAAATGTTAGGCTGGAGCAATGGTTTTAGCTGACACTGGTGTCTGTCTCATTGATGAATTTGATAAGATGAACGAACAAGACAGGACTAGTATCCATGAAGCTATGGAACAACAGTCCATTTCAATTTCAAAGGCTGGGATTGTCACTTCTTTAAAAGCGCGGTGCACTGTCATTGCAGCTGCTAACCCTATTGGTTTTTTGACAATTTTAACTAAAAATTTTGAATAACTATTAAGGTGGTCGTTATGATTCTTCTAGAACATTTGCTGCAAATGTTGACTTGTCTGAGCCTATTTTGAGTCGTTTCGACATTTTCTGCGTTATTCGTGATCAACCGGATCCTGTTGACGATGAACACATGGCCGATTTTATAATTAAAACACACAAACGTTTACATCCTGATGTTCTACAAGCAATGCAGGAAACAGCTGAAGAACAAAAGGCCGAGACCGTTAGTTTATTTTAATTTTAAGATTATTTATTTTTCGATTTAATTTTAGGAAATTGATCCTTCGACCGGTCTTGAACTCATTCCACATTCACTTCTTCGCAAGTATATAATTTATGCACGCGAACACATTCACCCAGTTTTAAATATTGATGATGAAAGGATTTCTCGTTTATATAGCGATTTACGCAAGGAATCTGGGGTTGTCTTTTTTTCAAAAATCTTTTCAATTTATTTTTTAGGAGACTGGCTCTATGGTTATTACAATTCGAAATGTTGAATCAATGATTAGAATGGCTGAAGCAAATGCCAAAATACATTTACGTACTTATGTTGATGAAAATGATGTTGCTTTTGCTACAAAAGTGATGCTACAATGCTTTATTAACACTCAAAAGGTTTTGAATTATTTAATTTTTTATTAGAATTTTTTTTATTTTAAAGGCTTCCGTTATGCAACATATGAAGAAGGTAAATAATTTTTTCATAAGATTTTTGAAAGTTTATTAAATTTAGAAGTTTTGGAAGCAATTGAGCTATAAAAGAGATAATAATGAATTGTTATTATTTACACTTAAACAATTGGTGAATGAACAAATTGTTTATGAAAGAGCTAGACATGGAGGTTCTGCTTCAGAAGATATTGGTATTGACACAATTTCTGTTTCAGAAGAAGATTTGGTTGAAAAGGTTAAAATCTTGTTTTTTATTAAAGTTTTATTTTAATTAATTAATAGGCTCGTCAATTACGAATTGATGCAGTTGCAGTAAGAGCATTCTTTAAAAGCAAACAATTTATTTACAATAAATTCAATTTTGATGCCCAACGGAAAATTATTGTCAAAACAATTGCTTAATTTATTAATTTTTATTTTAATATTTTGATAATTTTTACAGTGCGTTACATAAACATACGTTCACCCCTATTTTTTACCTAACTCCATTTAGAATAGTCGGATTTACTTCAAATTTCGCGAAAATATAACAAATTTGATTATAATTTGAAAAATTATTGTCAAAATTTCAAAGCAATTTTGAAAAAAATTTTATTTCAAATTTTTGATAAAAATAGTGTTACATAAATATACGTTCACCCAGTAAAAACTTAGTTTCTACTTATTATAAAATTCTACAAAAAATACAGTAAACATCTCTATCGATATTCTAGAAAATAAAAAAAGAATTAGGCCCATATCTCATTCCAGTGCCGAGATCTCGATAGCCTGAAAATCAACGTAAAACAGGGTTTTTCAACTTCAAAAAATATTTTCGACCCCTTAGTGTCTGTATAAAATTTTTATTCTAGGCTTATTCGAAAGCCCTTAAAATTTGCTACAAGATAGGAAAAATCTTATTTCCCAGAAAAAATAGTTTGGTAAGTTATTAAGTGTCTAATTTCAATGTCAAGAAAAAACGCCTAAATGCCCCATAAAATGCCTTTTATGATAGCCTCGGAAGATTAACGGCATATATCTCTCAGTAGAATTTTTTCTGGGAAATAAGATTTTTCCTATCTTGTAGCAAATTTTAAGGGCTTTCGAATAAGCCTAGAATAAAAATTTTATACAGACACTAAGGGGTCGAAAATATTTTTTGAAGTTGAAAAACCCTGTTTTACGTTGATTTTCAGGCTATCGAGATCTCGGCACTGGAATGAGATATGGGCCTAATTCTTTTTTTATTTTCTAGAATATCGATAGAGATGTTTACTGTATTTTTTGTAGAATTTTATAATAAGTAGAAACTAAGTTTTTACTGGGTGAACGTATATTTATGTAACACTATTTTTATCAAAAATTTGAAATAAAATTTTTTTCAAAATTGCTTTGAAATTTTGACAATAATTTTTCAAATTATAATCAAATTTGTTATATTTTCGCGAAATTTGAAGTAAATCCGACTATTCTAAATGGAGTTAGGTAAAAAATAGGGGTGAACGTATGTTTATGTAACGCACCATAAATAAAATAAATATTTTGTTTTCATCTTGAGTTTGAACTCTAAATATATTTTAAAAAGTTTTTCTTCAAAATTTTTGATTTATTTCTTTGTTAAGAATGGAATTTGGAAGTCGTTCAGTCATTCGACGCACTAACAAAAAACAGGAAACTTCTAACGTTTTACAAGATTCAAGTAACATCCAACATGTAACAATTGTAGTAGACGAAACTGATAATTACAATTTGAGTTTTTATAACCTGCCACCTTCTGAAGTTATAACTGTTGAAGAATTTCAAAAATTGGGAATGGAGAGAATGAATGTGTTACGAGAATTGGAGTCGTTAAAAGAAAAATATGCAGCAGATCCCAGGAAATATATGGAACAATTTATTGAGGTTAAGTGATCATTTAAAAATTAAAATTTATTTTTTTATGAATAGAAGTCATTTATCATATAGAATTTTAACAAAAATTTTTAGGAAATAGGCCGAATTGAGCCATTTTTCACCAATGGATTGCTTTCTAGCCAACTCCGTGAAGCACGTCGAAAAGATAGAATAGCTCATTTTATATTACGCCTTGCATTTTGCCAATCTCAAGAAATGTCTCAATGGTTTGTTAAACAGGAAACTGAATTATTTCGAATGAGATTTCAATTGGAAGCACCAAGTAAAATGCTACAATTTCTAAAAGCAAACAATATAAATCCACAAGAGGTCTGGTTATTTTAATTGAAGTTAAAAAATATTTTCATAGGTGGGCGAAACTGAAAAAAGTAAAATGCTTAAAGATCTTTCCCAAGCTCTTACAATACCTCAAGATTCTTTAACCAAATCGGCTATATTTAAAGTTTGTTTAATATTCTTTTTTATAATTTTTTTAAATTTTTTGGGTAAATTGTTGGGATGTTATTGAACTTTTTGCCGGTCATCGTCTCTTTCTTAAAGAAGGTCTTGCATATATTAGCAGTAATGAATTGATCTCTCTGGTGGCACCACAATTTAAAGAAAATATTAATTCTTCACTTGATAATGCTCGCAAAAAAGTTGGTGCAATTCTGATGCAACAAAAATTAGTTCCGTTGTTGAGACATATTGTTGGCACTGGTACTTCTAAACATGCGAATAGGTTTGTTTAAAATTTATATAGTTCTTAATTCTTCTTATAGGGATCAGAGCTCTGGTTCTTCTGTCGCTCCAGAAGATTTGGATACTTTAGCTATCGAATCATTTCCACTTTGCATGCAAGAAATTCATTCTCATTTACGTAAAGAACATCACCTTCGGTACAATGCTCGTAATCAATATGGTCTTTTCTTAAAGGTATATCTAAACTCTTGGATGCTAAATGATACAAATTTCAGGGAATTGGGCTTTCATTGGAAGGAGCACTCGAATTTTTCCGTTCCGAGTTTACAAAGAGAATGGAGGGTGATCAATTCACTAAACAATATCGCTACAATATTCGTCATATGTATGGAATGGAAGGAAATAGAATTGACAAAAAGCCGCTTTCTTGTTCTTCAATAATTCTTGGAGCGGCGCCAAATGGAATAGATTGTCATGGATGTCCTTTTAGACATATGGAATCTGAATTATTAACTAAAAAATTAAATAATATTGGATTGAATGAGGATCAAGTTGCAGAAATAATGTATTCCTCAAAATGTCATCGTTATGATAAAGTAAAAATTAAAAGCGTTTCTTTTTTGTAATCACATTTTAGGCATGTACAAAATATTTTGAATTTGTGCATAAAATCCCAGACTTGGAAGAATTGATAACACATCCAAATCAATATTATTCTTTATCCAGAAAAGCTCGCAGAGGTGAATTAATAATTAAAAATGAGGAAGTAGTAGATGAAGAAATTCCGGAAATAAACGATAATCTAGAGGAAATGGAAATGTGGGAAGAAGAATAACAATTTTTATTGTAAATTTACATTTTTAGACAAATATTTTTATATAATATTTTGTGTTATAAAGAAGAAAATTGATATTATTTGGAATTTAAATTAATTTTCTCAAATAGGACAGAAAAGTTTTGCTTGCGATTTACAAAATAGGAGGTGGTCTCTATAATTTTAATAAACCTATTTTGCTGTCCTTTAGGGACACGCCCAAAATGGCGCCCGGTAATGGCGCAAAGCCATAACTTCCTTCAAGATTTCCCAATCGTACCAAATTTAATATTAAACGATTCCTCTCATCGAGCTAAGGAGATTGGTTCTAAAGCTGATAAAGACCAGACAAAGACCAGACACCCGTTTTTTAAATTTGTATCATTTCAAAAAACTAGGAAATATTTAGTCGCCATCGGTAAAAATGAGGTCATAATCTAGTTCATAACGCAAAACGTGACCTTTACTATAAGTTAAAGTTCATTCTTTTGTTAAATTTAAATGTATTAAATAGTGCTAAAAATTTGTTTTTCTCTCTGCTCTCTTCTCTTTTTATACTTTTCTCGTTTTATTGTTAACTTATCGAATTTATTCCAGACTTGACTATTCTTAATTCATTCACGTGTTTGCATTGAAAATTTCTTTGTCTTTTTGTATTAAAATATGGAAATTTAGAGCTTATAAATAAAAAAATTTTTATATTTTAATTTCAACGAAAAAATGCCAGCTGTACAGGATCATTACAGAAAAAGAGTAAAATTAATTTTTAAAATTAATTTTTAAAAATATTAGGTTGCCTATTACTACGATTGTAATGTCGGTAATTATTATTACGGACAAGGACATGTTATGAAACCTCATCGAATTCGAATGACACACCATTTACTTTTAAATTATGGAATTTATCGATATTTGGATGTTTATGTTTGTTTAGAATTTTTTCTGAAAATTTTTTTTGAAAAATTTTAGAGGCCATTCCCAGCAACATTTGAGGAAATGACACGATTTCATGGTGAAGATTATATGGATTTCTTAAGAAAAGCAACACCGGAGAATTTGAAACAATACAATAAACAAATGCTTAAATGTTTTTTATTGAAAATTATTCAATTTTAATTTTTTAAAGTTAATGTTGGAGAGGATTGTCCAGTTTTCGATGGATTATTTGAATTTTGTCAGTTATCTAGTGGTGGATCGCTTGGTAGTTAAAATAGTTTTTTTAGAGTTCGACGCGGAGCGGATTTTTCGGGGTAATAATGAACCGGACAGATCCCCTTTTTCCCTACCCAATTTTCCCCCTATATTTTTGCAAAATGGTCAGACTTTTTCCTTTCTTCCATCCAAAAATCAGGGAGGAAAAATGTGAAATAAAAATATCAAAAACAATCCTTTCTGTTGATTGTAGGCAAAAATTAGAAAGGCAATTTGGATGGAAGAAAGGGAAAAGTCTGACCATTTTGCAAAAATATAGGGGGAAAATTGAGTAGGAAAAAATGGGGTCTGTCCGGTCCAATATTACCTTTTCGGGCACGGAAACGGGATGTCTTGATAAAATTCGTTTTTTTTTCGGGGGTTCGAGGTTTTAGCCCTGAAAATTCGGCCTGGGTCAGTTTAAAAGAAAGAAAACTGTATGCCTGTTGGGCAATTTGAGTATGTCGACCTCTAAATTTATTTATTTAAGCTGCTGCTGTTAAATTGAATAAACAAAAGGCTGATATTGCAATTAATTGGATGGGTGGTCTACACCATGCAAAGAAATCCGGTAACAATTTCTGTGAATTTTACTTTATCTTTTTTTTTAATTTTAGAGGCTTCTGGTTTTTGCTATACAAATGATATTGTTTTGGGAATTTTGGAGCTTTTGAAATACCACAAGAGGTAATTTTTAATTTTATTTTTTTTAAATCTATTTTTAGAGTTTTGTATGTTGATATTGATGTTCATCACGGAGATGGTTTCAATTTAATTTTAAAGTAAAAATCCTATTCAATTTTTTAGGCGTCGAAGAAGCTTTTTTCACTACAGATCGAGTTATGACTGTTTCTTTTCACAAATATGGAGATTTCTTTCCTGGGACAGGAGAATTAAAGGTTCCTTAAAATTATTTTACTAAAAAATTGGAAAAAATATTTTTAGGACGTTGGCGCCGGCAAAGGACGTTATTATGCTGTTAATGTCCCTTTAAAGGATGGAATGACAGACCAAGCTTATCAACAGATTTACACTCCTGTTAGTCTCTAAATTAATTTAAACCAAAATTTTTTAAGATAATGAAAAAAGTAATGGAAGTATTTCAACCTGGGGCTGTTGTACTTCAATGCGGAGCTGATTCTTTAAATGGTGATAGACTTGGGCCGTTTAATTTAACTTTAAGAGGGCATGGAAAATGTGTGGAATTTATGCGGGATTATAATGTACCTTTAATGCTTCTTGGTGGTGGGGGGTAAGAAAATTTTTAATTTTTTTTATTTAAAAATAGAATGATTTTTTTGAATTAATAAATCATTTTCTAAATTTTTAACATAAATTTCTAGATATACACCAAAAAATGTCGCACGATGTTGGACTTACGAAACCTCATTAGCTGTAAATATAGACATTCCTGATGGTTTTTGTATTTTCATTTTTTATTTTTAAATTCATTTTTTAGAAATTCCTTTCAATGATTATTTTGAATATTTTGCACCAAATTACAGGTAAATTTAAAAAATTTTATAAAAAATAATTTTTTAGACTACATATTGATGCATCAAATGTTCCAAATGATAATACTCCAGAATATCTCCAGTCTGTTATGTAAGTTTTTAAAAAAATTTTTTACTTAATTTGAGTTCAAAATTTAGAACTTTCAGTTTAATTTTCTTTTTCAATCTTTAAATTATTCTAAAAAATATTTGTCTTATTCACATCTATACCAGGGTTTAGAAAAGTCGGGCCAAGTTTTAACATTTTTCTTCGGATCGAGATTTGGGTAAAAAAGGCCATGTATCCGGTAATCCGACCCATCCCTGATCCATACTTGTTTAATTGCTAATAATTTAATTGCAGGCAAGAAGTATTGGAAAGCCTTAGTAAACTACCTCCAGTTCCCAGTGTTCAAATGCAAGGTTATTTACCAAAGAAAATTTTTAATCCTCCCATTATTTTATAGCAATTCCAAATGATTATATACAGTTTGATGAAACATTAGAAATTGATCAAGCAGATCCCGATAAACGTCTTACAAGTATTTATTTTTTTGAATTATTTAAAATTTTTAATTTTGAAAATTTTGTAGGAGCAATTACAGACAGAATGATTGCCCATCCAGGTGATTTTTATGATGGAGAAAATGAGGGGGATGACCGAAGAAATAGACAAGATTGTAAACGAAGGCAACAACAAAACTCTTCTGAAGAAATTATAATTGAAAATGATACACAAGAAAATACAAAAAGAATGAGAGTTGAAAGAGGGGAACAAAAACAGCGCCGGTGAAAGGAAAGAGAAAATTAGAAAAAAATTCTTTAAAGTAAAATGCAGAATCTCTTAACCTCATAATTTCTTTTTGTAATTTCTAGATTCAATTATTTTACTCCAATATTTTAAAGTTTTGAGATTATTAAAATGTAGCTAGCAATAAATTGGACAAAACTTTTTTTAAAGGCTAAAATTTTAATTTGCTTTTAAGTGTCTTTGGTAAAATAATTAGAAAATCAGCCCAGTTTTGTCCAATTCTCTATTATAGATTTTGCCTCTATCATTATATAACCCTCAGAATTAATACTTTTTGGCCTGGATAATCTTGAAGTTTTGCTTTTCTTATTTTTTGGTTAAATGTTCGATGAATTTTTACAAGGAATATAAATAAAACATCAATGATTGTCCAAAGCAATAGTCTTAACCAGGGCTCGCATTCCTACTTTTTTAAAAGTATTCTACTTTTAAATCGACCTCAATGCTTACGGAATTGAATTTATACTTTTTTGAAAGTATATACTTTTTTTTGATTGAAAATGAAATTGGGGAAGGGATTGGGCAAAAAAGTGAATTTCCTGGCCTACGGCCTCCAAAATTCTCAAAATTTTCGCCTGCGGCGCAAAAAATGGAAGAAATCTGGCTTAAGGACCTCCAAAATTCTCAAAATTTTCGCCTGCGGCGCAAAAAATAGATTTTTTGGTGCATTGAAATTTACAAAATGCTCAGTTGAAACAAGAAATTATTAGAAAAGATTCATTTAGGAGAAAAATATGAAAGATTTGAGGACGAATAAATATTTTCTAATTTAATTTTGAGACTACTTTTTTTTTGCAAAATTTCTCCCTATATACTTTTTAATCAAGATTCTGATACTTTTGAGTAGCATTTTGTCGATGCGAGCCCTGGTCTTAACAAAAACCCCCATTTTTCTCTAAATTTTTTTTGAGATACTCTAGGCCCATTAGGGAAATTATTCAGTGTAAAAATAAATAATTTGCTTGATTATAAAAATAATTTTCTAGTTTTGAATAAATACCTAAAATTTTAAAAATTAAAACAATAAACTTTTAAATCTTTATATAAAAATAAGGACAATCGAAAAATCTCTTTTTAAATGAAAGTTGGATATCTGAATTTATTTTTTAAGTTTTTTTTAAATTTTATGTCTGCGGGCAAGTTAAAAGATATGAGTGCTAAAAGGCAAAATAGGGGTTTTAAAATATATTTGGTGAAGAGTTAAACTGAAATGTGTACATATTTTTAAGTGAGACGCAAAACGGAATGAACGGAAATTGATATATTTAGATTTGTGGTTTTTGAAAGTCATGAAAATAAACGTTTATTTTTAGTTGAATTTCTTTAAATAATTTTTTTAGAATTTTCCATGACTTTTAAAATATAACAAAACAAAAATAAGGCGATAAACAAACAAAACTCATGCTTTAAAAATTTAATGAAGAGCATTTTGACCTAAAAAGTCATAGGAGTAGCTTCCAAATAAAAAAATTACAGAAAAATTCTACTAAAAACAAGTTTGTCAGCTACTTCTAGGCTACCGCAAAAAAATTAAAAAAACATTTTTAATAGAAATAGGGCGGCAACCCTTATAATCCTCAAATTATTTTATATTTTAATTTTAAAGAAAATTCGGGTCACAAAAAAATAAAATTTGGATTTATAACAAATTTAGGTCCATATTTTATGATAAATATTATTTTTTAAATTATTTCCCACTAACCCTAAACACATAAATTAAATAAACAGACCTAAATTCCCAAAATTGCCATAAATGTAAACAATGTATATAATTAACATTCACAAATCGGAAATGTTGTCGATCTAGTCCAATCTCATATAACATCCAAACTTCTTATAAAAAATCTTCAGAGCGCCGCCATTTTACCTTATATCCTCTTCACATATTTTCATATTGGTCAATGCGCCTTTTAGTGTTACCACAGCGGATCTGTCGCAGAGTTTTGTATCTGTCCCGTCCTTGCCGCTAAAAAAAGAATGTCATTTTACATGATTCTTTGTAGGAAATTTACCCTATTCTCCATGTGAAGAATGTCAAAATCAGTAATTGCCTGCTGGTTCCTAGCATTATCCAGCTCTTTTGTAAGCATCTAAAAATAAATATAAAATATATCAAAATAATAAACAAAACCTCAAGCTTTTTCTTCAATGACTGATTCTGATCAGTAACATTTTGCCGATCCAACTCTCTTTGAGGATAATTATTTTCCTCTGCTTCATATGTCAACTCTTAAAAATTAAATATTTAACATATTTTAGATTCATTAAAAATTTAAAAAATCTAACCAACGTGTGCATTAGTCAAATCCCCCGGGTCGTTAAACTCTCTAGGCAAATGTCCATTTCCTCCATTCGCATTATTGTCATAAATTCCTGTGTGGACATGAGTAACCGCAGTATTTGGAACAAATTTCTTGTTTTGACCTTTTTCAACCTCTTCTTTAAGTTTATTCATCTTATCAGTTTTAATCTGGACTTCCGAGCGCATTGCCGTAACCTGATTCTCTTGTGCAGCAATTTCTCTAAGAAGACGATTACGTTCCTCCGTACTCATCTAAATAAAAATATTTAAATTTTAATAAAATCAAACCGCTCGTTCAGATTGCATTTGTCTGTTAAGTTCGTGCAATTCTTCTTCCTTTTGTTCCAGAAGACGTTTTGCCTAAAATTTGTTTTTATTTGAGAAAGGAAAATTATTCTAGCACCTGATTTAATTCATAAAGTTCATCCTCCAAACGACGAATACGATCCTGAGCTGCTTCCAATTCTTTATGTGTCTGCTCCATCTCATCTTGCATACTCAACATTTTCGCTTTATACTCAAGCTGTTTCTGTTCAGCCGCTTCACGAGCCTTCATTTCTTTTTGAAGCCTGATTTTTTAATTTTCTTTCAAATTTTATTAAAACGTTAAAAACCTTTCTTGTTCCATTTGTCGTTGAATTCGTTCTTCTTTTGCTTGTTGCTTCATTTGCTGAACTTCAATAGAATCAGGCTTTCGACGTCGCATATAAAGCTCATGATTTCCCATACAAAGAGCCTTAAAATAAAAATAAAAAAATATTTTAATCGCATTACCAAAATTCTTTTGTTGATTCGTAAACGAGGAGCATAAAAAACAAAGTCCTGAATTTAAAAAATTTTTTATCTGAAAATCATAAAAGGAACCTGTGATTTCTTATCCACTGGTTTAATCACAAACTTTTTATCATTAAAAGAAATATTTCGAATTTCAGACCATGGAAAGCCAACTTTTGGACTTAATTTATCCGCTTTGTCATAAATATTGAGTCCAAGAGAATCAACTCCAAGATACAATTCAGTGTCCTTTTTGTTTCGAATTTCAAAATACTAAATGATACATAATTTTAAAAAATTGAAAAAATTCTCTCACATTAACTCCATACATATCCAAATCTTGAGCAATTTTAAGATACTCGATCATTGCAGTTTCTCTGTTCATTCCTCGATGGTCTTGCCACCAATTCATTACACGATGTTCCCATTCGTTTATATTCATTTTAAACTTTTAATTGAAAGCAAAATTAAATAAAAAAATTTCTAATTAAAAAATACTTGATTAAGAACACGTTGAGGAAGTAAACGATCATTTGCCAAAGTTCCAGGCAAATGCTTATCCTAAATAAAACAGGGTTCCCTTCAAAAACGAAATAATTTTTAAACCTTAAGATAATCGCCATATTTCGCTTGCATAGCATACGAGGCAAGAAGAACGGCTTGGTCTGGCGGACAATAAACTTCGTCAGAAAGAATTAAATCTTTAACTTGCAAATAGAAAAGACGCTAAATTTTGAGGAATTATTTATTTTATTAAAACTTATTTTAATAACCAAAGTAACATCCTGAATAATTTCCTCAGCAACATCTTCTGGATAAAACTTGGCACGGAACTTGAATTGCAAAATAGGTTCCTTTTTCACATCCTGCTTGAGCACTTTCTGAATTTAAAAATTAAAATTTAAAGCTTGAAGCTAAAGAAACTTTGTTAAGTTTGAGCCAAGTAGAGAATCCCTTGTTATCCGTGTATTGAAGACCAAAATACCAAATCTCTCGAAGATTTATTGTTTTCACAACCTGATCAAATAACTGTTTTCCAGATGTTGAAGATTGAATGGAAAATTCAAGTTCTAAAAGGAAATAAAATTTAAAAATTTTTTAAAAATCTTTAAAAAAAACCCGCATCCATAGTAATAACGCGGACATTTATCTAAAAAAATTAATCTTTAATCTCTTAAATTTTTGAATGACTCACCGGATTTTTTGACATAATTACTTGATTTTGAAAGAAATTAAATATGCAATAAATAAATATTTATAAAATAGGACAACTGTAAAAAGAAGATAAAAAATATTTTTATCGAAGTCCTAGTTTTACAATTTAATCGCAGTCATTCTCAACTATAAATAAAATGTTGGCCATTTTTGTGTGGTGTACAGTCCTTAGTTGCCTCTTATGTAATAAACAATGTTTATATTGATCGATTGCAGGTGCAGAAAAGGATTGAAAGGAAAAACTCAACCAAGCCAAACCCCTAAATAAGTGTTAATTCCTTAACATGGTTCTGCTTAAAGAAGGAAAGTTAAAGGGAAAAAATACAAAGTATAGAGAATGTACTCAATTAAGCTAATAACTTTTATGGTTTTCGTGTTAGAATTAAAGGATTTAATAAAAAAATTGTGCGTTATTACAATTTAATAAATTAAGTAGTTGGACGCCTATGTACATAGAGGAAAAAATAAATATGGGAAAACCTGCATATAATTAATGATTTTTTGATCAATTCATTCAGCGGTTAGAAAAGAATTTGCTTTTTGCTTGATGTATGGAAAAGAAAATGAAAAAAAGGAGAAAGAGGAAGGAATACTATATTTGGCAACAATCTATCGCGCTTTGATTTTCTATTCGTAAAAGAAAATGTCATCGTTTACACCTGGCAATAAAAAAATTGGAAATATTTAACATATCAATTACGAACGGATGGGTTACATGAAATAGAATTTTTTTTTATCATTTCTCCTCTTTTATCATGATTTATACCGGCTGAAAATTCCACAAATGCACACAAGTGGTTGTGTAGAGACAGGAAAGGAGAGGGGATTTTAATATGAACATACAAAAATTCATGGAAAGATTACAACAAAATAGGAACAATTTAATGAGATTAAAGAAGCTTACAGAACCCCAAATTCATGAAAAAATAAAAATTTGCGAAAATTTGTGTTAGAATCTCTGGCATAATGTGAAATATTTTTTGGCGTAATGCAGAAGAAAATTCAAACAAAACAATCTCGATAAATCAGGCTAAAAGATCCGTTCCTTGTTTTCTAACTTGAGTTATGTAAAAATTAGGGAATACGAACAGACTGTTAGAAAACAATTTAAGAAAGTATTAAATAAATAAGCACTATTCGTTTTTACAAGTAAAATTTTTTGTTTAGTTCATAAAAAATTTTATCGAAATGAAGAAATTGTGGCCCGTTAAAAATTATTTGCACTGATAAATTAGGAATTTTATATTTATATATATTAGAAAGCAATAGGTATTAAAAGGTCTAGCCATTCATTCAAAATTAGTGGAATTTTTGTTATCTCAGGAATTTTCTTTTTTTTTGAAATTTTTTGAATAGGAAATAATTAGTAGTACATTTTTGAGACAATAATTAGTAATTAATTAATCATTACTTTCCTTCCATTTGAGTCCTCATTTCTTTAACAAATAATTTTAGGTTTTAAATATTTTCTCAAAAATGATTTTACGACAAATAAATCGTTTTGGACTTGGCCAGTTTCGCGGATTATTTTCCTCAGCTACACAAACCAACACATTTCGTTCAAGTTTGGAAGCATCTCCCTTAACTCAATTAAGCGAAGAAGAAGTTGCTTTTCAAGATTCTGGTATTTCTTTCTTTATTTTTTTTTCAAATAAAAATAAAATTTTCTTTTTAAAGTCAAGAATTTTTCGAATAATGTAATAAAACCTCTTGTTAGAGAAATGGATGAAAATTCAAAAATGGACCAAAAAGTTATTGAGGGAACTTTTTCTAATGGAGTTTAGAAAATATTAAAGATTTTAAAATTAATTTTTAATTTTTTTAGTTGATGGGAATTGAAATTGAACAAAAATATGGAGGGCCAGAATCAACTTTTTTTAATCTTATTCTTGTAATTGAACAATTGGCTAAAGTGGTTAGGGGTTTTTTTTTTTAAATTTTTTGTTTAAAAATATTCTTTCTAATTTTAAAGGACCCTTCTGTTGCTGTACTTGTAGAAGTTCAAAATACATTAGTGGCCTCTATAATATCTGAATTTGGGAATGAGGAACAAAAAAAGAAATATCTACCTAGAATATGCACAGATTGGGTAAAATTAGGAATTTTCTTTAAAATTAATTTAAAGGTTGGATCTTTTTGTTTGTCCGAAGTTGGAAGTGGTTCTGATGCTTTTGCATTAAAAACCGTTGCTGTGCCAAAAGGAGATGATTTTTTAATTTCTGGCACAAAAATGTGGATAACCAATGCTGGACATGCAAAATTCTTTTTGGTAAAGATTTTTTAATTTTATTAAAAATATTTTTAAAAAGGTTATGGCTAATGCTGATCCTTCAAAAGGATATAAAGGAATTACTTGTTTTTTGGTTGATAGAGATTCTCCAGGTTTTTTTGAAAAAAATAAAATTTTAAGAATTCCATTTAAAGGTCTAACTGTCGCCAGACATGAAGATAAATTAGGAATTCGGGCAAGTTCAACATGCCCAGTCCATTTCGATGAAGTTAGAGTTCCAAAAAGTTCAATTCTTGGAGAATATGGAAAAGGTTTTTTATTTTAATTTAATTTTTAAAAAATTATTTTTAGGTTATAAAATGGCAATTAATTGTTTAAATGCTGGTAAATTGTTAAGAAATATTTTTAAATTTCAATTTCTAAAAAGGACGTATTGGAATTGGTGCCCAAATGCTTGGTTTGGCTGCTGGATGTTTTGATTTAACCGTTCCTTATTTACAAGAAAGAAAACAATTTGGGAAAAGAATTATCGATTTTCAGGTAATTGAGTTTTTTTAATTTTTGAAAAAGAATATTTTTGTTATTCAAAAACTGTCAAATATTTTTCAACTTTTTACATTTTTTAATAATTTTATTTTTTTTTGTTTTTTCCAAGGGGAAATTTTTAGTTCTATATTTTTGATCATTTTTTTGAATAAAAAAATATTTTATTCCATTTTCTGCTGGGTTTCAGGGCCAGCACGTCAGGGATCCTGCCGAACCGATTTCCCGAAATAGGAAAATTTATTTTTGCCGGGAATCTCGAAATCAGGAATTTTGTTTGTTTTTATCGGCAGGGTCTCTGGTACACATAGCCTCCAGTTTCATGTCTTTCACTTTTTTAATTTTTTCGTCTAACTCTATCAGCTCCCATAGAAATTTAAAATTTTTAACACAAATAATTAAAATAAATTAAAAAGAGTGTTCAACATCAATTGGCAGATTTAGCCTGTGAAATAGAAGCAACTCGTCTTTTAGTTTATAATGCTGCTCGTTTAGCAGAGGCTAATCAATCTTTTATAAAAGAAGCAGCTATAGCTAAATTATATTCTTCAAATGTTGCCACAAAAGTTACAAGTAAATGTGTGGAATTGTTGGGAGGGGTTGGATTTACAAAAGAATTTCCAATTGAAAAATTTTATAGAGACTGTAAAATTGGTAAAAGAAAAAATTAAAAATATTTTTAGAAAAAAATTATTTTTAAAGGAACAATATATGAGGGAACTTCAAATATTCAATTAAATACAATTGCTAAATTTATAGATGATGAACATAAAAATTAAAATTGTAAAAAGAAAAAGGGAAAAGGATTACATAATAACGATAATATTGCCTTTATATAAACACCATAAATCCACTAATTGAAGCACAGTGCTCCTATTTTCAATCCTCTCGTAGCGTGTGCTTCTTTTAGAGGATTTACGTTATGTAAATTTATATATTTTTGTAATTTTTAAGAAAAAAATAAAATAGTTAGAAATTTTTAAAAATAAATTTATTTTTTCAATCTACAATTTTGTAAATTTAATTAAACTTATCTGACTATTTAATTATTGTTTTAAGTTCCAAAAAATTAATTAAAATTATTATTTTAATTTATTTAGCCTTTAAACATTAGGAAATTCTTTAGAAAATGGCTGAAGAAGGGTCATCGAATTCTGATTGGATTTTGGTTGAAAAAGAGAAAAATGATTTGGAAAAACTTCAAACTAATTTTGACAAACTTCAAAAAAATCTTGGTGAAGAGAAGGAAAGGACTGTTAATTTAGAAAATGAATTGAAGGAAATGGATAAAGTTTGTTTATTTTTCTAATAAATTTTTAAAATAATTTTAGAAAATTCATCAAATTAATTTTGATCATAAAAATGAACTTGAAGAAATGAGGCAAAATTTTCAGAAATTAATTGAAGAAAATAAACAATTAAAAACTGAATATGATGTTTCTTTAAGGCAAAAAGACGAGAAAATTAATTCTTTGGAAGAGGAAATTAAAAAGGTAAATAAAAAATACTCTGCGCGGTCATTCAAGTTTTTGAATTTTTTTGGATTTAAATTACGGGGTAGGTAAATAATACTTATATTTTTTCGTTAGTTAAAGCTCAAATTTTTTGAAAGTTTTAATTTTTATTCCGACTGGGGCCAAATCCTTTGGTTAACCGAAACTAAAGTTTATACATATGTATATAATTTTGTAAATTTTAAAGATAGCTTCTAACAATCAAAATAAAATTGGAGAAATGAAACAGGATTTTAAAAAATTAATTGAAGAAAATATTAAACAAGTAAAAGATGATTATGATGTCTGTTTAAAGAAAACAGACGAGAAAATTAATTTTTTAGAGGAAGAAATTAAAAAGGTAAATAAAAATATTAATTAAGTGTAGTATTTGACAAATGGGGTTTTTCGGTCCGAATAGTACCGAAAAGTAAAACAAGTAACGTACGGTTCTGGTATTACCGAAGTTAATACCGGTACTACCGACAGTGTCGTACACTAATTGAGTTCTAAAGATCGTATTTCCTCGTTTTTTCTTACTCTATAATTCCCCTTTATAAACGTCTTTGGAAAGTTCAAAATGAATTAATAAAGAGGGAATTGTGGAGCAAATAAAATGAGGAAACATAAAATTCAAGTTTACTGGTAGTTTTTTCTTAAAAATTTAAATTATATTGATGCTTGGGCTAACTTTACAATACATACTGCTTAGGAATATTAGGGACAGAATATACTAGGTCATTCGAAATAGTCTTGATGATGTTACGTATTGTAAAGTTTAGCCTAATTTAATTTATAATAGGCAAATGATTTATTTGGCAAAAAGATTCGTGTTTTAAATAAATTGAATAATTTGACTTACATATATGCGGTTAGTTTATAATTGAATAAATTATTTATAAAAATTTTTTAAAGGATTTTGTTAAAATTAAAAATAAATGGAGCAACTTTGATAATGGATACAAATGTTGTGACAATAAATGTATAAATGCAGACAATCCTATTGACAATTGTATTGAAGGAAATGGATTTGGAAATTTACTTGACGATGAAAATATTAAATATGTTAATTGTTTGAAGGGTAATCGAAGTAAAAAATTAAATTTCAATTTTAACAAATATTTTTAGGATGTAATAAATTAGTTGCCATTTGTGCTGAAAATACATTCAAAAAACCACAAAATTGTTTAAATTATTCTTTATTCTATTTTGAAATTAAATGTAAATTTGAAAGAAAGTATTATGGAAAATTTATGAATATTGGTCTTCAAAAGTGTGGTAAAAATAAATATATTAGGTATCGTGCAAAGTATTCTATGATTAAAAATGAGAAAAATGAAGAATTTAAACTCTTACAAACACTTCCTTGGAATGAAGATGATATTTTTGGTTGTGGACTAGTTTATCCTTCAACTAATAAGTTAAATGAAGTATTTCCTTATGTTTTCTTTACACAAAATGGAAAACAAATTGGTAAAAAAATTATTTTTTTTTTAATTTTAAAGACAATTTTAAAATATAAAACAATTCTGAATAAAAATTTAATTAAAAAATATTTTTTCAAAATTATTTTCTAGGTAAGGCTATATTAGTAATGGAAAGTAATGACTTGTACAGCCCATATGTATTGCTGAAATGTTGTTCAATTGAGGCTAATTTTGGGAATGATTTGGAGAATAAGCCGTTTAAATATGATATTTCAGAACATTTAATTTGTGATGAATTTTATTGAAAATTTGTTTTGATTAATTTATTTGTTTTTACTTCTCCACAAAAAATAAAATTGTTAGAAATTTTTAAAAATAAATTTATTTAAGGAATATTTTTTAATAAATTATTTAAGATTTCCTATAGGGTTCAAAATATTTTTCGCATCGATTTTCATTTTTAGGAACTGGAAAAGCTTTATAAGACGCGCTAATTTAAAAAGGAAATAAATAAAAGATCTGTCTCGGAGAATTAAAAAAGAAATTGTGATTTTTTATTACCAGCTGCGCATGTTAATTCTGTTTTTTTGAGTGGTTTGATTTTTTGGTGTAAATAAAATAAAAATGTTTGTAGGTAGAAAAGTTGGAAAAGATTACCAATAATTGTTATTTTTGGATTAGTTAATGCCGTATTTCCTTTACCCTGGGGAATTATTGTTTCAACTTATCGTTGGGGGATTACTCTAGGTTCTACGGTATTGATAAATCTATTTTTTTACTTATTATCTGGCTAGAATAATTAAAGATAAGATTTAATAAAACAAAAATACATAAGAATAAAATACATTTAATAAAAATAAATTTTGAAAGAAAAGGTTTTTTTGATAGCTTGTTGTGGTCATCTAAAAATAGCACGAAAAAAAATTCTTTTCGTCTTGCGCATTGACTTTTGCGTGTTCTCCTTCCTTTTTTCGCCATTCATTTACACATATATCCTTATAAATAAAAATCCATGAATTCCTCTAATAATTCTTCTTTTAATTTATTTTCAACGGCAGAATGTTTATTTTCAAATTTTTCCCAATTATTTCCAAATACTTCTTTAGCTTCTCGTCTCTATCAAAGATTAGATTTAACAAATTTAAGATTAATTTTTTATTTGACAACACCTTGGGAGTTTGTTTTTAAAAATTAAATAAAAAATATACTTCTATTTTAAGATCAACTTTTGATAATATTAATGATGTCCCCAATTATAATGTTCAAGTAAAGAAATAATTTAGAAAAAATATTTTTCCAAAAAATTAATTTTTGAGGTTTCTGCCTGGTGGATGGTGTTAATATTTTTAGAATTTATAATTCTTACAATTACTGGGCATTCTGATCGGTTAGAAATTTAAAATATTATTTAAATTAGGGACATGAATTATAGTAAGAAAGAGAGGAGAGCTTGCCGACTGAGCTACCAGGGCTAAACTATTACCTCTCAGATATATTTCTTCAATTCCATAACGATAATTAAAAGATTAAAATTCACATTGCCTTTAAATATTGTTTGGATTTTTAAAGCTTTGCTCGCTGAGTTTGTTTTTTCATGATTTTTTAGAAAAAATAAAAACTTCCCCTTTAATTACATAATTTATTTTTACTAAATTTAACTTTTTTCCCTATTTTAATAAAAAAATTTTAAAGTTTTGCTTTAAATGATTCAATTACTTCAGTCTGTGCCGGAATGCTTTCCCAATGTTTTAAGTATTTTTATAATTTTATTTAAATTTTAAAATATCAAAAAAAAAAGATTTGGAGGTCGTGCAATTGCTATTTTTGGTTATATTTGGATTTGGGAGAATTTTAGAATAATTGAATTACCTTTAAATATTGCTTGGATTTGGGGAATGTAAATTGACATTAAAATTAAAATTAAATTTTTTTATTTCAAAAGTTGTTTAATTACTCAAGATTTTGTTTATTATTTGGGGCATAGAGCAATACACGGTTTTGGAAAATTAAAAGAATTTTTTAAAATAAATTCTTTTAGAGGCCGGCGTTTTTTGGGGATTACACACAATTCACCATTCCAGCCAATATTTTAATTTATCTACAGCACTTAGACAAGCTGCTATACAGGCTTGAGAAATTATTGAAAATAAATATTTTTTAAATTTATTTTTAGGATGTTGGATTGGCTGTTTATGATATTTTACAGGTAAATACATAAAATCTCTTTAATTTATCGAATCTTTTTTCAATATTTTAATTCAAAATTATCTTGGATTGTATTAGTTCGATTTTCATTCCTTCAATACCTCTCTCTAGATTCTCAAATAAGATACTTTGAAGGGTGTATAGATGAGGGAACATTCCGTCCCGATTCTCGATCACAAAAATAGGGAATTCCAGACGTTTTCGGGTGGAGAAGCGTTCACTTATTTAATTAATTTTTAAAATATATTTTTAAATTTCCTTCCCTTTTAAAGGCATTCTTTATTCCCCCACCAATTTTCCTTGTTCATCGATATTTTTCTGAAATTTTTCAATTTTGGATGCATACAAGTGTTTGTCTTTTTCTAATAATATTTTTTAAAAATAATTGTTTTTTCAGTTACTTGGTTCTCTCGGTCCTTTAGGTTATATATTAAATACACCTTCACATCATAGAGTATTTTAATTTCTAATTTTTCCTTTAAAATTAAATTAAAAAAGGTTCATCATGGACGTAATCCTTATTGTATTGATAGAAATTATGGAGGTTTACCTAATAAATTTTCTTTTCCTCCAAAAAATAATTTAAAGGTGTTTTAATTATTTGGGATAGAATATTTGGGACTTTTGAAGAAGAACGTTTAGAAGATCCTCCAATTTATGGATTAATTAAAAATGAAAATAATTTTAATCAATTATGGCTACAATTCCATACTTTGGGGGAATTACTTTTTTGTAAATGGAGGGAAAAAGATGAGGAGAATAAAAATTTAAAAATATTTCCAAAATTTGTTGATAAATTGAAGGTACAAAAATACAAATTTTTTAAAAAAAATATTTTTTAGGCTTTATATTTTCCTCCTGGTTGGTATCCAGGCGTTAAGGTATTTAAAATTATATTTTTTAGAATAATTATTATTTAATTAAAAATTCTTTTCCTTGGTAAAAATTATTTTTGTTTCATTCTCAATCGTTTATTCCATAATTAGGTACCTTTTTGATTGAAGTATTGACAACCGGTGTTTTTCGAGAGTCGATATAAATCTCGAAAAATCTCTCAAAAATCTTGGAATATCTCTAAAAATTACGCAGGATTATCGTTAAAAGCTTATATATTTGAAGACCGAAATTTGTAGGGAGATTTAAATTTAAAATTTTTTTATTTATTTTTCAAGATGAAAAAAACTCCCTTACTTTTTTAAAATTATCTCAAAATTTATTTAAATTTAATTTTAAAAAGGTTAAATTATTCTTTCATTGGGCAACTTTATGTAATTCTTCATATAATGTACCAGAACCAGAAAAACCTCCAATCATTTATAATCCAACAATTTCTCGTTGGTTAAAAGCTTATATTTTGGGACATTTTTTGTTACTTCTTTGTATATTTTTACATTTTGAATATGACAGACTGGAAATTGGATGGATTGATTTTATTCTAAAAATTTTATTTTTTATTTGTACAAGTAAGTTTTTGAAATTATAAAAAGTTGGGGTTGCTTACAGAAAACCTCAAATTTATAAAAACCTCAAAAACCCTTGGAAAGATTTGAGCGGGGGCAGCAAATCTGTGACCACTCCAATTATAAAGACTCGAATATATATTTCACAATAATATCGAAGGACTCTCTCAAGATAACTCCGAGGGGGTGAATATAAATATAATGATTAAAGACTTGTAATAATCTGATTATTCATTCTAAATAGAGGAAATAATTAAATTATTTAATTACTAAAAATTCTCCTCAATCCTCCAATTATTATTAATTAACCCCTTTCTAGGCCTTAATATTTAAATAATGGAATTTAATTTACTTATAAGCTAAGGAAAACCTTTTAGGAATTAATTTAATTTTTTAGCAATTTTAAATGGAAAACATTTAATATTAGTTTAAGTAATAAGTTTTGTCGGTTTAGAATATTTTTGGATGAATACTTTATATATGTTCTATATACCATTTGAAAGCTCAATTTATATCTCTTTTGACATGTTTCAGCATTTAAAAAAATTAAGATTTCTGAGATATACGCGGGTAAAAAGGCCAAACTTCTTGCTCAACCAAATAAAAGTCTTTAAAAAATTAAAATATTATTTTAAAAGAAATTTTTTTAATTTAAAAGTGTCCATGTTTGGAGCATTTTTTGATATTTGTGAATGGGCACCTTTAATAGAATTATTTAGAATATTTGGAGTTATTATTTATTATTTAACAAAAATAATTTTTGAACAAAATGGATTAAAGTAATAAATATTTTTTAATTAAAAAAATAATTATTTCAAAGATTAAACCGTTTATTTGTCATTTCTTTATTTATTTTATCTGGATTATTTTGGTTAATTTATTTATTTTTACAAAAATTTAAAAAAATAAATGAAAGAAGAAAAATTGTTTGTGATAATCAAAAAATAAATAAAAATAATAATAAGGAAATATTTAAAGAAGAAAAGGAAGAAAAACAAAAAAGAGAAAGAGCTTAAATTATAAATTTGAGAGATATTAAATAAATAAAATGTTTAAACTCAGACTTGGTACGGAAATGGATTTTTGGTATCCATATTCTGATATTTACGGAGGATAAAGTCGGGTATTCGCAAACATTTTGAAATTATCTGTATCCATTACTAGGTCTGATTAAAATAAATATAAATTGTTTTCTGAATAAAAAAGTACGTATTTTTTGTTTTTACCAAAAATTTTGAGGTTTATGACTAGAATTGGTCAAGACCGATTTGCCCCATAAAACTGTTATTATCCTTATCCTGATAAATTATAATAACAAAATAAAAATAATATATTATTTGTTAATATACATATTGTTGTGGATTATTTGTTTTTATTAAAGAAATTTAAGGTTAAATACTACAATTGGTCACTACCGATTTTGAAAATGAACATTTTGTGTTTTTTTGTTTAAATCAAACTGATTTCTTTAAAAAATTTAAAAACTGAAAATTAAAAAAAGCAATGATTTTCTTTAACATTTCCCCATAAAATCGTTATTTGGCCAAAAAATAAAACCTTTACCCAAGCTACTGGGTTTAAAAAGATGTATTTTGATCAATCACTTTTATCAAAAATTTTCTTGGTTTAAATTCTTTAATTTAAAAAAATATGTCTTTGGCCAAACACATTTTAAAATTTAAAACAAAATTAAAATCGGGTGCACCCCCGGCTTGGCCTTTTGAAACAATTGTTCGCCAAATGAAACAATTTAAATATATTTTTTAAAATATTTTTTGTTTAATTTCTTTTTATAAAAACAAGTTTTTTTAATTATTTTTTCTAAAATTTTTAAAATTTATTTAAATAAAAACTCAATTCATATTTATTCAATTCATTCAAAAAATATTATTAAATAAAATAATTGGAAATTTCTTTAATTTTTTTAAATAAATTAATTAATATTTAATTTTTAATTAAATTGGTTAACTTTTTTGTTAAAAACCTCAAAAAATACATATCGTATAACCCGTATTAATTGTCCTCCCCCAAATAATTACCCCACCTCCATTAATTACCCCATTCAGCGATTGATTGAAACGACAATTACCTCCAACAAATACCCTAAAACACGTTCAAATTTCAAATCTCGTATAATTACCCGTCCTTGATTAATTACTCCCTCCAGCGTCAGGTTGAAACAATAATTACCCAGGGTAGTTATTAAAGGATATACAGTACACATATTTAATCTAAATTAATATTTAAATTAATTTTTTTGTTATTTTAGATTAATTTTCTAATAAAAATGTCAAAACAATATTTAATTTTTAATTTATTTTTCCACCTTTTCTTACTTCTTTTATTTATTTCATTCTCAAAAAGCCAAATTCCTTTTCTTGGTAATGGTGGTGGCAACTCTGGTTTCAATTTAAATGGACTTTCAGGTATGTTTAGAAATTTTGGTGGCCAACAAGGAGGGAATTATGGAGGCTTCTTGGGATAAAAGAAAGATGGGAAGAAGACGAAAATAAAATTTGATTTGTTTTTTATGAAAAGTTGATGAAAGGAAATGAAAGAATGGCCACACACGATTTTAATATTTTGAACAATAAAAATATAATTCCTGTATATTTTATATATTAAATAAATAAATATAAAAAGGAAAAATTTGAAATTTTTTTAAAGTTTTGACATTTATTGGGAATTATATAGATGTTTTTTAAATGTTAGTATATTTTAATAAAAAAAATTTTTCTGAAAAATACCTCCTCTATCTGTCAGCTATTCATTCCCCTTAATATTAAAGGGGCCCACAACAATTTACATATGATTTAAAATATATTGATGATCTTCCGCGGCAGTTAGAGATAGGTACAGAAATTATTTAAGTAAAGAGGTCACAAATTCCCCAAATTTTTGAGAGGATGGAGAACACCACAACCCTTTAAAAAATTTTTTTTTATCTTGATTTTGAAAAAGTGTGGTCTTATAATAATTTCTTAATAATTTCACAATAATTTTTACATATTTTTTAAATAAAACAAAATTGCAATAAAAAAATTTATACAAAAAATTCCTTAAAATTATTTTTGTTTAAATTAAAATATATTTATTTAATTTAAATATTTGTCAATTAATTAATTTTATTAATTTTTGATAAGCACAGAAAAAAAATAAAAAAAGGGAAGAGATGTCACAATTTTAATTATTTTTTATTAATTAAATACCATATTTTTTTTTTTTGTTCTCCATAATTCATTATTATTTTCCTTACTTTCTCAAATTTAAGAAATATTTTCCAATAATTGCTTTTTTGTTCAAATGATTAAAAAATCAAAAAATCCTCCCAATTAAATTATTTACTTAAATTTACTAATTTCTTACTGTTTTGGGGTTTGGATAATTATTTAATATGTAGTATCCGATAATTTAGAAAAAAAAACTTTGATTTTTATATAAATAGTTGAGCATTAGGGTTATCAGTTCCTGGAAAATCTTCGGATATCCGGATCCGAACCGAAGAACCGAACCGAAAAATCGTCGGTTCTTCGATTCGTTTCGGTCCAGAACCGACAACCCTATTGAGCATTCTTTGTAGAATTAATCAAAATTTAACAAAAAAATCCAAAAATTAAAATTTAATTTAATTTAATGCCGGAGTTTCAAAATTTAATAAATTTATTTTTATTTATTTTTTATTAAAAGAGCAAAAAAATTTGGGTGGTCTTTTCGTTTGAAGGAGGCGCAGAATAGGAAAAATTAAATTAAGCCACCGACAAATTTTTATTGAAGAGAAGCTTTCAATTCTTAAAAATTTGAAAGTTTTTTTATTCTTATTTTTGTGTGAAATTGATGAATTGGTGGGATTTAGTTGAAAAATATTTTTTTGGAGTTTTTAAGAAATAATAAATAAAAATAAAAGTATTTATTTTATTTTAAAATCAACAAAATATTAAAAGAATTAATTAACTCAAAGAGATAAATGCCCCAATTACACACAGTCTGTCCAGATTAAATCCAATATTAGACATCAGGTTTGCCGGAAAAATCTCCGGATATCCTTAAAGCGTACCGAAAAATCCTTGGTTTTCTGATGCGGTTAGGTAAAGTTTCGAGCCCAGCCCCTACTGGATACACAATTTAAGGGGAATTTTAAAATCTAATTGGATAATTGATAATTAATTTTGTTATTATTTCAGAAAGAATTTAGCAAAAGTTTAGCCACCTGCGACCTCCTGACAGACACTGCTACGCGCTTCCGCTCACCATATACAGGAGCTCTACCACTGAGCTCGTTTAACCCCCGCCTAAACGTAAATACTCTAGGTAAATCATCCTGACATTTCTAAAGAGTTACCTTTTCCTTTATTTTAACAAAGATGGGTGGCCTAAATTAATTTTTAAATATTTAATATTTTTTATAAAAATTTTAGAAAATAATTTAGCAAATAATGTTTAATAATAATAATTTATTTAAATGTAATTCAACACAACCATGGCGTCCATTGGGGAAATTATTGGATTTATATATTTTACCAATAATTTGTATTTTTGGTTTATTCTTAAATATTTCGTGTATTTTTGTTTTTCTTAAAAGAAAAAATATAAATTATTTAAATAAACAACAAAAAGAATTTGCAAGTAAAAGAAAATATTCTCCAGCAACATTTTCTGAATTTGGAGGGGGAGGAAATAATAATAATCAACAACAATTAATTGCTAATTTAGATACTAAAAGTATAACTGGATCATCTACAACAATTTTTAGAAATGAATCTTTTGCTTTACAATTATTTAAACAAAAACGGTTAAACGAAAAAAATTTTAATTTGAGGTTAAAAAAATGAATAAGTGTAAAGCATATAGCTATTTAATTCCTAAGGCACTATTTAATTCCACACATCAGTCCGGTCTACTGAAGATGTTTTCAGCCGCCGAATAACTTTTTGCACTAGCTAAAGGAGAAAAATAACTAAATATAGCCCAGCTGCTTTACTTAAGTAATAAATATGTAAAAAGAAATAAGAGGACTTTAAGATATAAGAATATTGGAAGTTGAATTAAATTAAAATTTAGTGTATTGATAAACTAAATCCGAGAATGGATACATTCCCAGTAGCCAATAAAATTAAAAAAAAGTAACTTAAATTGAGGTTTTTGTCTCCTTTAGCTTATAAATTTAAAAGGAATTTAACTAAATTATATGTACCGTAAGTACTCTAATAGAAGCCCTGGGCTTATATGTTTCAATGGTGCTTCTACAAGACGTGGGCTTCTATTAGAGTATTTACGTTATCTCTATCTAAGTATCCATCCCCAACAAATAATGTTTTTTTTAAATTTTAGTAATGAAGGATCACATCCACTTGTACCTGTTCTAATTGTTTTATGTTGCTGTGATTCGGTAATTATTTAAATAAAAATATTTTTATTTTAATTTAATTTTTTAAATAAAAAGTTGCAATTAATATTTTCTATGCTTGTTTTGTATTTACCTGCTTTACATGATCATCTTGAAATGGATCCATTGGGGTTGGTAGCTCAACTAGCATATTTGGCTACTGGTGGATTAGCAGGGGGTTTATTAGCTGCTAATTGTGCTTCTATTTGGACTATGTAAATTAAAAAAAATAGCGTTAACTTAAATTATAATTTAAAAATTAAATCCAATATTTAAAAAAAGTTCTCATAATATATTTTAAAAGAGATTTAAGAGAATTGAATTTATGTACAAACACCTTAGTTGAAAAATTATTATAATAACTAATGACATGTAAAATCGATTTTTCCGGACCCAGATACGGATTTGCAACTTTAGCCGGACCGGATCCAGTCCGGCCCGGTCACTAATAACAACCAAACTCTTCCAAAAGAATCTAATAATTAAACTTCTCCAACCAACAATTTCAATTTAAATTTAAAAAATAATTTCCATCCAAAGGTGTTATATCTCCCTTCAACGTCACAAAGCTATATTAAATCCATTAGCTAGTATGTCTTCATCTAAATCAACAAATCATTTTTATTTATTTTTAATTCCAATTTGTGCATTAATTTTTAATTCTCCCGTTTGGTTTGAATTTAAATGGGCAATTAATATTATTAAATTAAATAATGGAGGGAAAAGAATTATTATATGGTTATTTATTTTTAAATATTTATTTTTTTAATTTATTCAAAATTAAAAGGCATGAAAGGTCGGCTTTAGCTAAAAATGAGCAATATATATTTTTGGTAAATAAATAATTATTAAATTTTTAATTAAAAAATAAATTAACTAGATGCATAAAGTATTATATCCAGTATGTGTTTATTTGGTTAGTTTATTTTTAAAATAAATTCTGTTAGAATTATATTGTTAACTCGAAAATACCTGGTTGAGTAGCTAGTAAAGATCGGAATTTTTGAAAAACCTGAGCCTGTTCCTGGGTTCCGGGTTTGATTTATTGACATGGGCCGGGTCCTGGGCCTGTAGCCCAGGAAAAATCCAGGCCCAGGAAAAACCCAGGAATGGCAAAAAATGTTTGGGCCTGGACTCTGGGACAGGAAAAACCCAGGCCGATCTCTAGTATCTACATAGTATCTTTCATTAAATTATCGAGTAAATACTAGAGACTAAAACAAATCTTTTATATTAAATATGAGGGATTTTGAGGAATGCTTATCAAATTTATAAAAAAATAATTTAAATTTTAGATTCCCTTAATACTAATTTCTGTATTAAACATTCGAATGTTAGCATCTATCCGTAAAGCTTCAAGAAGATTAGCATCTGCTGGACAACGGAAACGAATGGAAAGGGAAAAACGTTCTGTTAGATTATTAATTGCTATTGTTTTGTTATTCTTTTTATGCCATACTGGTTAGTAGAATTGAGAAATTAATTTAAAATTAAAGTTAACAAAACATTAAAAAAAAAGAAATATTTTTATTTTTTGGCATTAATCTAAAAAATTTTAGATGGACAAACATTTGTTCATAAACATATTGACAACATTGTCCATAACATGGGTGGGGAGATCTAGACCGGGTTTTAATTATTATAATGATGTTGGATTTTAGTGAAACTAAGGTATTTTACAGCGGATGAACTGAGTATTTGGACCGCCGTTTTTTATTACCGATTTATTTTTATTTAGTTTTATTGTGAGGGATTTTATTAATAAATCGTTGTTGTCCATAAACATATGACTATTTTCTAAAATTATTTTCTCACTATTTTCTAAAAATTCAATTCAAATTTTCAATCAAAAAATTTAAAAATTAAAAATAATTATTTAAATTTAAAGGTGGTTTAATTATTCGATTTGTTGATTTAAGACAACATGGAAATGAACCGGTAAATTAATTTAAAAGAAATCTCAAATTAATTTAATTTTTAAAGTGTTTTGTTTTTGCAAAAGATTTGGTTAATTTTTTGTTTAATATAAATTCTTTTGCTAATCCAATGCTTTACTTCTTTTTTACAAAACAATTTAAAGATTTAAGAACAACATATAAAGAAGCTAAAATATCTAATAATATTATTGGAATTAACAGAACAAATAGTTTATTAAATAAATTAATTTTATTAAAAAAGAATTAAATTCTAGAAAAAAATAAATTTAAATTATTTTTTTGTTTTTTTAGATATTTAAATTTATTAAATAATAATGAAGGAAATAAATTTTAAAAATTATTTAAAAAATTTTATCTTGATACACCGTTAAATTTTGGAATTTGTAGAGTTCAAAAATAAATAACGCCAAATAGTCGGCGCCGAAATGGCAAAAACGATTTCCCCTATAAAACCTATACCTTTTGGTTTCAAGTTTTTACGCCCAAAAATGCTCCAAGTTTTGTATGGGAGGCGAAAGTGGACAACTAGGCGCGCTGCCGATTTGGCGCCAATCATTTTCTTTGCCAATAATTTTTTGTTTCAAATAATTTTAGTAAAATTTAATAAATTAATTGAAAGGACACGATGTATACCTAAATACTTTTCCTAAGAAAATTTGAAATTTAGAACAGTTTTGGTTAAAAAATACTCTGCGTCAAAAAATGACGGCGCCGAAAAACCGTCTTCAATCCAAAAGGTTTAGGCTTTCAAAGGTTTAGGCTTTATTTGAACATTTCGGCGCCGCCAATCTGAGGCGCCTATTTTTTGCTTATAATTTTATTCGTTTTCTAGTTCGTGGCATTATTGAAATCGAGTTGTTTATAAAATAAAATTTAGTAGTTTTTTAAACTTTATTTATTAATTATTATTTACATACTTTTAAAACAAACAAAAATTAATTTAAAAAAATAATTACAAAAACAAAAAATAATAAAATATTTAAATAATTATTTCTGATTGTACCACTTAACTCAGCACTATTTACATCATCATGATTATTACATTCATCTGTACCACAACTACAAACTCTGACTAATTCTCTTTAAAAAATAGAATTAAATTAATTTTTTATTTAAATTAACTTTACATTTCCCCATAAAAAAGCGAAAGGGAAATCTTGAAAGGGGCAAGGGAATGAGCGAAAAAAATAATATTTGGATAAATCGGAAAAATTAGAAAGATTTTGTAAGATCTGATAATATACTTGAGTAAATATTTATTTATGCCCAAATTAAAAAATCTTTTCCCCAACTTCACAACCCCCTCCCCATATTTATCTCCCTACCTATTATTATTGTCTACACCACCAAGTAAAGGCCATATTCTCCCAATAGGTAATTCAATACAAGCTTGTGCTCTATGTAAATATTCAATTTCTGCAGGTACTCCAATATTACCAGATGTAGCTATAGCTAATTCAAAAATATCAGAAGCACATCCCCTCACAAAAGAAAAGGGTCTTCTCTCGTTTTGAACACCTTTTTTTATTTAAAATCGATGAAGAAAAAATTTTGAAAGAAACCTCCAAAATATTGAGGCTCTAAAACACTAATACAAGCTGTATCACAAGGAACTAATGCTGATGGACTGAGAGAAACTAAATCTATTCGATTATCACATAAACGGTCAAAAAGTAATGGACGACCAAAAAGTGCTGAATTTTTAGAACGTTGAAAGATTTTTTCATATTCCTTTTTTAATTAAATATTTATTTAAATTTATTTTTAATAATTACCTCAGAGGCGCAAGAAAAACAACTAAAATAAATACTATAATTTAAAAATAAAGGATTAGGTATATTGAATGATCTCCTAAAAAATCCCATTAACTTTTCCAACATCAAGTTTTCAGAGGGGAGAGATTTAATGATAATTTGGTTATTAATTAGTTCTTTTTTAATTTTCTGCCTAATTCTGTTATTAGGGGGAATTTTTTGAATCAACAGTTTTCTAAAATTTTCAAATTTTTATTAGTGTCCCTTAAATTCTTCGCCATAAATGGCAAAATTTCCGATTTTAAAATCGGTCTTGGACAACTCAATTAATTAAATTGAATCTTTCAGCTGTGAAAAATGTTTTGCCCCAAAAGGGGCTTTGATACCAAAATCCAAATTAAAAATATTTTTTTCAAAAATTTTAATTTTATAAATATTTACTAATTTTAAAAAATTATAATTTTTTATAAAATATGTACTACCTTATAAACGGATATTCTGGCAACGATGGACTAATTAAAGGTTGTAAATATAAAATAAATAAAAATATAATTTTAATTAATTTAAAAATATTTAGAAAATAACATTTTTTGTTCATCAGTCATATTACTAAAAATTATTTTTAAAAAAATTATTTTCTTTAAAAAAGCACCTGTCAAATAAGGAAAGGTGTAAAACAATAAATACTCTAATAAAAAATCTGAGAAAATTAAATTAATTGGAGGGTGTTGCGCAGAAAAAATACTAAAAAATGTTAAGATATTGTGAGAATATGTATATTTAATGTTAATAATGTGAGAAATTAAATGAAAAGATATTGGGAAGGGGGTGGGGGATGTTAAGGCGTTTTTAGTTCCAAATATAAACTTAAAAACCGAGAGAAAAAACCCTTTTGCGCCGTAACGTTGTTAATCACTTAAAAAAAGCAAGTAACGTTTGTAACAGGGATGGCACTCGACTAATATCTCGTGAATCTCGTGTCTCGTATTTTGTGGTACTTGCGCCACCCCTGGTTTGTAAGTAAAGGGAAAATGCCGCGCAAAATGAGAAAAACTTTTAATAAAAAATAAATCTTTATAAGAAAGTATTTGAGAAAATAAGTAAAAAAAGGGAGAAATAAAAAAAGTTGGAAGGAAATATATTTTTGAGTAAAAAATTTTTATTTTTGTTCAAGTAATTGGGGAAAAAAGGAGAAGCCCTTAAAAGGGTGACAAATAAATATATTTAGTACTTAAGACAAAAAGTAGGGGGGAAGGATAAGTAAAAATAAAGGAAAGGAAGGAAAAGGTTGTTTATTGGTGCCAAGTTTATTTTTAAAAGCAAATGAGAGTTAAGAAATTCAATCTGTGTGAATTTTTAGAGAATGAATGTAGTAACACACTTAGAATTGCCAATTAAAGAGAAATTGATAGAAAAAATAAATTTTATAAAAATAAATTTAATTATTAAATTTAATTAAATAAATAAAGAAAAAAATATTTACCTACATATATTATTTTAATAAAGTTTGTTCGAGAATTTGAGGAAAAAAAGAAGAGGAAACTATCTTTCTATACAAGATTTAAAAATAATTTTCTTATGATTTAAGAAAATATGGTGAAACTAATTTTTAAATAATTAAAAAATAATGGGAAAAATTGGCCTAGTCCTTTAGGGTTTCTCGGTAGGGACGGTAAGGTGAAGAACAACACTAATCAAATTGCTGAATCCTTGCTGATCCTCGTTGTGTTAACAATATCAATCTCAAATTGTTTGTGTGAGAGTTAAATTTTTTTTAGAAATAAAAACTATTTAACTAAGGAAAAGCAAAAATTCTTCTTTTTTCCTTCCTAACAATAAGCCTTTCAGTTAAAAAAACTTTAAAAAGTATATTCATTCCTTAATTCCCTTCAACAAAAAGAAAATGATGAAGATGAAAAACAAGGGGCGAGAAAATGCAACCATTACCACCAAAAAGACGAAAAAGGAAGTAAAAATAAAAAGAAGAAAGTCGTTAAGCTTAACAAATTTAGCAAAAGAATTTATGGCTGATTTATTTTTAAAAATATAACAAATTGGTTTCTTTTGTTTAAAAAATTTTTTTGGAAAAATAAAAATATTATTTGAAAATATGTATTAAAATTGAATTATATATTTATTTTTTAAATTAATTTTTTTAAATAATTTTTAATATTAAATCATTCAAAAATTGGGGCTTTAAATTTTTTTTTCTCCTTTAATATTTAACCATATGTTTATTTTTTTGAAACACATTTTTGGAATTCTTATTAAAGATTTATTATTTTAAATATTACTAGTAAAATTAGAATTCTATTTTATAAAATTCTTTTAACATAACGTTTCTCGGATAGTTTAAATTATGGTAGCACCCCGAGCCTTCGGGGGCGGATATGTCGTGTTTCGGGGTTTGCTGGAGTAGGGCCTTCGGGGTTCGGGCCGTGGGTTTCATAAAAATTCGTCCGAATCGGGGTGCTACCCTAGTTTAAATATTCAAAACAATATTTTTTATTTTTAAAAATAATTTAATATTATTTTTTCAACTAAATCCACATCCTCTAAAAAATCAAGTAAAGAATTTGAAAATAAATTTAAATTTATTACATTAACGCTGATTTATAACAATAAATCTATTTTTACATTTTAATTGTACATGTTTATTATTTTTTAACTTACATCAATAAATTTATATCTATATTTTTATATTAAAAATGAATAAAAATAATTAATTAATTTATCTAATTTAATATTATTTTGTAATTCTTTTTGAAATAAATAAATAATAATAGCCTCTAAAATACCAAGTAAAGAACCTTTAAAAAATTAAAAAAAAATATTTTAAAATAATTTAAATAAAAATACCAGCAATAACATCAGAAAAGAAATGTCTTCCACTCAATACACGCGAAAATAACAAAATTGAAGAAAAAAGAATAAATAAATAATTTAAATAATTATTATATTTAAATACTTCGTTTGGCTAAAAAATTATTTTAATTAAGAGAAATTGTAAAAAATTGGAAAATAATTTAGTTCTTTGTTAGAGATTTGTCTTGGAGAGTAATATCTTGTTTTAAACCCAAAATTTAGATTGGGGAAGGAAAAAAGGAAAAAAATTAGAGGCGGATAACCGAGGCCAATCAAATATTTAATCGTTTATTTTCTAAAAAAATTTTCCTTACTTTAACACAAATAAAAATAATGACAAGCATTATAGTTCGGGAAGTATGTCCAGAAGGAAAAGAAAAATCATCAATAATTGGAGCACCAAGAATTATCTAAAAAAAATTATTTTTGACTTGATTTTAATTGAATATTTTCACCTTTCCTTTATTATATTTAGGCCTGTCTCGTCTAAATATTATTTTCAATATCCCCACCAAAGCCAAATCAAAAAATAAAGCAATAGCCAATAAATTTAAAAAATCAATTTCTGTATTAGACCAATTAACATAATGAGCCAAAATGATTAGAATAAAAACACCTAAAAATTAAAATAATTTTTGTATGTAAAAAGTCTTTAATTCCTCCCACAACAGTGAATGGCCCAGAGGACTTTTAGATATAATAAAAAAATGCTAACACAATTTAGGAAAAAATTAATTAGTTTAATCCAGAAATTGACTACAGAAACTTTCGTCCCTCATTCAAAATTAGGCGATTATATTTTTGAAAAGCCGGATAAGGTCCTAACCACACAATAGCCGTACTCGTTTGCCCCTTTCAAATATATATAAAATCACCCAATTTTGAAAAGGGAAATTTTAAAGATTTAGCAAATAGAAAATTTTTACCTAAAATCCACGGAATTCCATGCATAATCCATTCCAAAATTTGACAAATTTTATCTAATTTTAACTTTCTCCCAATTTCATTTGATCCAATTTTTGCAAAATATTCACTTAAATTTCTGTCATGTTCAAAAAGCTTTTCACTAATTAAATTCATATTAAATTTTAAAAAGTAAAAATTCAAAAAATGTTTAAAAAATAAATGGGAAATTCCAAAATAAATTTATATAAAAATATTTAAAAAATATTTTTAACAAAAAAATGCAAAACAAAATGAAAATTTTGAACTTCTCTAGATTGCCAAAATAATAAATTAAATATCCGTAATTTATTTAAAGAGCCATTTGCATCTTTATTGAGCCATAAGGATTATAACCTTCAATAATTATACTTTCTGCTGTAAAGTCTTCAATATTTAAAATTTCTTTTCCATCAGGCAATTCAAATCTATTTTGAAAATAATTTATTGAAAATTATTTGTAATAAAAAGCTCTATTTGAATGAATTTTTATGAATTCTATAAAAAAAAATTTCCGTATTTCCGAAAATAAAACCGTACCCTAGATAGAGCCCACTTTGGAGGGTAGCTAAAAATAGAGCCCATGGGGTTCTATTTTCTGAAATACGGTATATGCTTCCTTCAAATAAAACCGTTTAAATTAGATTAAAAGCAAACTAACCTAATTTTGGGAAAAGGTCTTGGCTTTCTTTGTAACTAAAAAAATAATTTTTTATTTTAATTTTTTAATTAACAAAGACTTGTGTTTTTAAAGCTTCTAAATGTGTAGAATAAATATGAGCATCACCAAGTGTATGAATAAATTCACCCGCTTTAAGTCCTGTTACATGAGCGATCATATGGGTAAGTAATGAATAACTGGCTATATTGAAAGGAACGCCTAAACCCTGAAAAGAAAATGAAATTTTTGAAATTTATTTTATATTTCCCCCTCTAACCATATCTCCACTACGCTGGTAAAGTTGACAAGAAAGTTCACCTTTATTTACATAAAATTGGCAAAGGAGATGACAGGGCTAAAAATAAAATTTTTAAGAAATAAAAAAAAGAAAATTAAAAGAAAATAAAATTTAAATAACCGGTAAAGCCATTTGAGGAACATCTAAAAAATTGTTTTTCAAAATAATTTCAAAAATTTATTAAAAAACCTTTAACATTCCAAGAACACATAATTATTCTTCTACTATCCGGTTCTTCTTTAATTTGTTGGATAACTTGAGATAATTGGTCTATACCTTCATTTTTGTAATTTTCATTCATTCCTTTATATTCCGCGCCAAAATGTCTCCACTAAAAATTTTTTGAATTAAAAATTAAAGAAAAAACCTGAAATCCGTAAATTGGCCCCAAATCACCTTCAGGCCTGTCAAAATGTCCAATAGAATCCAAAAATTGTCTTGAACCATTGGCATCCCAAATTTTCACACCTCGGTCAGAAAGCGTTTTAGAATTAGTCTCACCACGAATAAACCAAAGCAATTCCTTTAAAATTTTAAAAGGGGAATATTTTTATTTAATAATTTTTTAAAATTCAAATACCTCAACAATTCCTTTCCAAAAAACACGTTTTGTAGTAAGTAGAGGAATGACACCTAAATAATAAAATAATTTTTTCTAGGCAAAATCCACAAGATCAAGCAAATATTCTGATCTTATTTGTGGATAATTGTTTTCATTTCCCATACCATTTCGAAGATTGTAACGAGCCTGCATTCCAAAAATTGAAATTGTACCTAAAAATTGTAATCACTTTTTTAAAACTCCAAATCTAGTTGTCGATTTAATTACCGACACTAACACTAAATCCTATTTTAAATTAAAATTTTGAAAAAATACAAACCAGTTCCAGTTCTATCAGACTTTAGAATACCATTATCCATAATTTCTTTAATTTGACTTAAATATTTCATTTCATCAACATTCTCTTCTTCCTCCTTTTCATTATTTGGATTATTATTTAAATTTCCCTCATTGTGTTGAGTACACTCAATTTTAGATTGATTATTAAGTTCCATTCAAAATTTAAAACCTAAAAAATATGTAATCTTCGAAGCGGTATGGAATCTTAATTTTAAATAAAAATATCGTTATACACCTTTTGGGCAAGGAAAATAAAGGGGAAATGCAAAACTGGAAATTATCTACTTATGTCAGGATTTAAATTATATGATCAGCCAGAAAAATTTTTAAAAATATTTACTTATCATTATTAAATAATTTATAGTCTTCAAAAAAGAACAAAAAATATTTTTATTTTCCGAAAATAAATAAAAAAAATTCAAAATTAGCCAGAATATCCAAAAACTCTCAATGAAGGTTGTTGATCTCTATCTCTGTCCAATCCTCCACTCGATGTACTCGTTGCATAAGCTAGTAAATAAAGACGTGGATGCCAACAAACGTCATAACATTCTGCAGAAAGAGGTATTTCTGCAACCCTGGGAAAATAAGAAAATTTTTAATTATAAAAATAATTTCAAAAAAATTTACTTTTCTCCTGTTAAAAGCCACGAAACATCAATAACACGGTCTTCACTTCCTGAAGCTACCAAATTACTACAATGACTAAAATATTTTGGTAAAATTTAAATTTTCAAAAATTCGTAAACCTAAACGAAACACTTCGTACTGGATAATCAAGCCTTTAATTTAAGAAAAATAATTCAAAAATAAAATTTGGTAATAGTGTAGCTACCGGGCCCTTTTTTTCTCCTCTAGTTCTTTCCTATATATTCATCCAGAATGGTCACTTTTTTATCCTTGTGAAGAAACTGAATAAGAAATTAATTCTTTTTGATTGTTTGTAAACAAAATATAGAAAGGCAACTGGGAGGGAAGAAAAGAAAGTCTGACCATTCTGTATGAATATATAGGATGAACTAGAGGAGAAAAAAGGGGGCCCGGTAACTACACTATTACCTAAAATTTAAGCAACCTTGTAAGTGTTTTTATACAAATAAGGTCATTCAATTCCCAAATAGAGCAAGATGCGTCAGAAGCTCCAATCACAAGAAAACGCTCATTTGGAGAAATATCCATACTCAAACAAGTAGAAAGGGGTGGATGAGCTTGTATTGTTCGAACACGTTTAAGGGCTGGCAAACTTAAAAATTTAAATTTAAATAAAATATAATAAAACTGAAAAATCAGAATTTTATAATATACCTAAAAATCTCCAACTTTCCCTGATCAGTAGCAATAAAAATAAATTGTCCGCTTGGATGACAAAGGAATTCATTAATCTCATCCTTAAAAGAATTTTGAACCAAAATTTTCATTGCTCTAGCATCAATAAGCCCCAAATTGTCATTTTTGTCACCAAAAGCAATATAATTTCCACAATGTGACCATGTTACAAATAAATTTGACCCTGTTGTAGGCAATTTTGTGTGACTGTCTGGCACACGTAAATCCCAAAGACGAACAGATTTATCGCTAGAACACGAAGCCATAAGCTTGAAAAAGAAAATTTAAAATTCCCAATCTAATTTACCATATCATTATGTTTTGAGAATTCAATAGCCTCCACAATATCCTCATGTCCATACCCAACAAAAACTTGCTTCTTAATTTTTAGTTATTTATTTATTTACATTGATAAAAGAAGAACCAAGCGACAAGAGTGTGGATCAAGATTACCAACAGAAACAACTTTATTATCTGCTCCACTAGCCAAAGATGTACCGCTCACATTCCAAGACAGTGTTCTAACACCCGAAACCTGAAAATAAAATTTAAAGGAAATTAAACCTTTCAAAAATTCACGTTTGGCATATCATAAGTTTTTGATCGATCTTTGCGTTTAAAGAAGTCCCTCGCACCATTTGCACTTCTAAAAAAATCATCTGGAAGTATTTCTCGATTAGAAGGATTTTCTTTTGCCAAACTCATCTCGAAATTGTAAAAAATAAAATTTAAAAATATTCGAAAAACAGAATGCCAAATTTTATTGACTTCTTTTCTTACTGTAAATCTCAGATCTTCTTTTCCTTCTGTAGATCCTATCTTTTTTCTTCCACGTTTCTTCTTTGTCTTAATTTTGTCCTAATTTTTTTTAAATTTAGTAATTGTTACAAATCTTTTTTTATTTTAGAAGATTTAATAAACGATAAATAATTATTTTGATGTCAGCGGCACCAAGTAAGTTCTTTTAATCTTTAGTCGGCCTTTAAAAACTTTCTTGTAGCGTATCAATATGGTGCTGATATGAGCCAACAAGCTCAGGGCGCTTTTGATCCTCAGGTTTTTATATTTTTATCTTTCTTTTTTACATACTTTAATTGAGCTGGCGCAGAAACAATATGAGGCTTGGCAACAATACTATGCACAGGGTGGAGCGGCACCTCCGGTACAACAAGTTCAACCTGGCCAGGAGGTATTTTTTAGTTTTGTGAATCCATACGTTAAGGGTTCTTTTGCTTATAAGGCTTACTATGACCAAACTGGTGCGTCTATGCAGCAACCTGTCCAACAAGCGTATGCTCAACCTGATCCATATGGCAATCCTCAAATGGCTATGGGTAGTCAGTATGGCGCTCCTGCCGGAAATGCTCCAGTTTTTCCTCCACCGCAAGCTAGTGCACCACCAATGCAAGGACGTGGAGGTCCAGGTGGTTGGGGACCACCGCCACCTCAGGGTGGACCTCTTCCTTTGAATTCGTTTGTTGGTGGACCACCTGCCGGTTATCCTCCATATGGAGGCGGTTATGGAATGGATCAACGTGGAGGATGGGGACGTCAAGATCGTGGCGGAAGAAACAGATATAATGGAGGGTATGCAATTATTTTTTTATTTATCTAAACTGGGAATTTGTGTTTGGTCTATACCTTTATACTGATTTGGGAGTTGAGTATTCTATCGATATTCCTCTCAGGTTTTCTTTTACGGACCTAAATTTACAGGCTTGTAGCATAGACTTCATTTTTTACTCTCGAGTGGTTAAAAGTGTATAAATTTCCTCTATATGTAATATTAATACTTCCTGGTACTTTTGCTTGTTACGAGCCTGAACGGTTTATCACAATGAGTAGTTTTGGGTTATACATATTCTCTCTTTGCCTTTGTTTCAGGGATTTTTCTTCAAAATCATTGTGTTTAGTAAAATTTTGTTTAAATTAACACGTTTTTATATCAGGGTTTAAATCATCAATAACTGGTGATATGCATATACTCGGTTATAAATTGAGTAAGAGTTATCGTCAGAAATTCGGTATGCATTCACACAGTTGTTGATTAAACAGAGACAGGCTCCCATGGTGAAAGAGAGATGAAGAGTACAACATTGGGGTTCAAGCTTTATGTCTTTCATTCATTTAATGATTTGCGTTCTTTTCAGACCCGGTGATTTTCCGGGCCGACAGTCAGGATACAGAGGTATTTGTGTTGTTTGGTAAAAAATAAGGGTTGGGAAAAACAAAATTTAATTTCGAATTTTATTATTGGAATATTTTTATTAAAAATTATGTTATATAAATACTGGATATTGCGTTATTTTTTATAAATCCTTGGAGTATTTCGAGTCAAAAGGGTTATGAATCACGAGTCAAAGTTAATGCTGATTGAAACAGTTCTCCTAAAACATTTTCCTTGTCCATTTGGTAATTCTCAGAGGTTATCTAGTGTATTGGTAATTATTTGGTCCAACACGTGTGGGTAAATAAAAGGAAATAATGCAAGATCGGTATTGTTTCAGAGTAAATTCCGATAATAATCTGAGGAAATCAGAATTCCTCTTTTCTAATCACAAACATTACTATTAATATTCAAAATTAAATGAAGGAAGCTTTTACCTTTGATTAAATATTTTATTTTGTATAGGTGGCGGTGACAGACGAAGTGGCGGTGGAGGTGGTGGACGTAGTGGAGGTGGTGGCGGCGGCGGAGGATATAGAGATCGAGAGCCACAACAAAGCAAAAACGTTCTCTTTTTTTCTGGACTTCCGCTTAAGTGAATTTTTGTGTTTTTTTTGAATTCATTCTAAACTTTAGTGCGAATGAACAATTCATTAACGATGTCTTCACTATGGAGCAAGGTGACATTGAAGTTGGACCAAATGGAGAACCCAAAATCAAAATCTACAAAGAAGCAGGCCATTCAAAAGGCGAATGTACAATCATATTTCGTGATGAAACTGTTGCGCAGCGCGTTCTGAGCACATATAATGGTTCGGTTATTTCTAACATAAAGTATAGTTCACAATTCAGGTCAACCATTTCCGGGAAGTGATAGCCAGATGAACATATCTTTCGCAAAATTCGATGAAAAATCAGGTGGAGAAAGATCCGGCGGTGGTGGTGGTGGAAGAGGTGGAGGTGGACGAAATGGTGGTGGTGGATATGGAGGGCGTGATGATAGAGGAGGAGGCGGTAAATTTTCATTTCCATTTTGATATTAAATTCAAAATTTAAGGACGTGGTGGTGGACGAAGAGGTGGAGGAGGCGGAGGTGGACGCGGTGGTGGTGGAGGCCGTGGAGGAGGTGGACGTGGTGGTGGCGGCGGCGGAGGCCGTTTTGGTGGTGGAGGGGGCCGTGGTGGTGATAAGGGAAGAAATTTCGAAATGCGAAAGGGTGATTGGACATGCGGGTTAGTTTTTCTTTTATGTTTAAGTTATTTTTTTATAAAATTTAAGTTGCGGAAATATCAATTTTGCTTTTCGTCGTGAATGCAATTCGTGTAAAGCACCAAAACAAGATGGACCTGGTGAAGGTGGACCTGGAGGACCTCCCCCACCATACAACGGTGGTGGTGGAGATGCTGGTGGGCCAATGCGCATGGGCGGAAGAGGTGGAGGTTTTGGTGGTGGCGGAGCAGATCGTTCGCGTCCATATTGATCGTTAGATGACAGTTCATTTTGAGCATTTTTTCGTTTTCCTACAACAATTTATTTTTATTTTTACAATATTTCCAACAGAAAAAGGAGATTTCCACGATTAAAAAAATTAATTTTGTTCTCTATTTTAATATTTTAGTATTACAATTCGTGTTTGGTAATTTAACTGGCTATTTTGGATGTTTGATAAAATTGCTTAAAATAAATTGATTTTTACTGTTAATTGTTGATTAGATTATTCAATTCTTTTTTTAGATAGAGAATTCTTAATTAGAGCATTTTATCGTTTAATCTTGAAAAATGTTTAGTATATGTCTCTTACCAATTCTTTAAAAAAATTACAACGTAAGGAAGAGCTTGAGAAAGATTTTGTGGAAAGCGGGGAAAGAGGTATAAATTTCTGATTAGTTAAACGCAGCTATAGGTGGTGGATCGGGAGGGGTATTAAAGTTTCTGTCTTTTTTTGGAAAAATTTCTGAAACGTCTTGTGCTCTCAAAAAAGATTTATAATTTTAATTCAGTTATTTTCTAGATAGAGTTGAAGAAATTGTTGTGAGACGTTTAGAAGAAACTGGATGGACACAACAAGTGGAAGGGATGTGTAGAGAGTATATTTCAAAAAATGTTTGTTTTCTTTAAAATAAAATATATAGTAATTATTAATTTTTAGGGATGTGAACGAATTGAACTAAAAAAGATGGTAGACGAATTGAAAGATAATTCAAGAAAAATTGTCCCAGATGAAGTTAAACGGTTAGAATATTGTTTAAAAATTGAATATTTAAAAGAAATTTTTTCAGTGAATTGATGAAACTTATTCAAGACTTTGTGAACAGTAAAACAGGGGAGGAAGGTGGAGGAGATTAATTCTTAATTTTTTGAATTATTTTTTTTGTTTTTTATTTGCAAGAAAAATGTATATTTTTTAAATAAATGTTAATTTATTATTAAAAAATCTTTTTTTTTTGTTTGTAACAAAATATTTTTTTTTAATTTTTTTTCTCAATTTTTAAAAAATTACCAGAAATGAGGATAACTTTAATTTCACTTTATTTGCGTAATTCTTTATTTTGCCGTTCACATGCTTCTAGTTGCAAACTTCAACAATTTCGAAATTTAGCAGCAGGAAATACTGCCACAACGGTAGAAGAAAATGAGGAAGAGCCTTGGGTGGATCCCTATAATAAAGCTTTGCCTGAGAAAAGTAAGAATTTTTTGTAATAAAAATTTTTGACCGCATGGGTAACTAAAAATGGGCTCTCGACACATTTCTTAACAGACATTTTAAATTTTAATGAAATAACCTTTTTAATAAATTTAAATTTTAGAGGAAACATTTAGCGATTTTCGTGAAGTAAAAGTAGATTGGAGTTATGTAGAGCGTTTACTTCCTTGCAAATTTGTTCCCGAAAGGAAAGTTGGGGGATATATTACACCAAGTGGTTGGAGAGCTCCGAGAGGTTTTTAAATAAATTTTTTGTTTAAAATTTTGTTTTTTAGAAAATCCTCCAGATTTGCCTTACTATATTGCTAGAGGAATAGATAATATGCCAAGAATATTTTTGGAATTAAGAAGGGACGAATTAAATCCAAAAACTATGGATTTTGAACATGTTGACGTTGTTGTTTTAAGAGAAATTTATGGGGATATTTTTGTATGTTTTTTTTTAATTTTTAATTAAATTTTTTTTAATTTTTAAGGCTTGTGAGAGGGATTTGCGTATTTATTTAGAAAAATATTTGGGACATCCAATAGCAACAAATGTTGACGAATTAAAAGGAATTATTAGGATTAAGGGAGCTGATAGAGCTTTGGTTGAACAATTTGTTTATGATTATGAAGAGGAATTTACACTTTTGGATAATTGAAAAGAAAAGTTTATTTATTTTAATAAAATTTTTAAAAAATATTTGAAAAATTTGTTAATGAATTTGATTACAATTGGGCCTCATTTTAAGATACATTCTTGGTAGTGACAAGGAAAAGTTGTTTGTTGGTGTATTTTAAAGAGTAGGGGAATATTAGCAATTTCCCCACCTAAAAAAGGTACATCTTAAATTGAAATTCGAAGGGTGCCTTTCGAAGAAGGATGATGCCATTTTTTCAAAATAAGGATGCCTTTTGGACGTATCTTATATAGAGGTCGATTGTATTACAAGTTTTTTTTCTTTATATCTTTTGAATTGTGCCATCTTTTATTAATTTAAAGTTTTTAGAATTTTTTAAATTTAAATTTCAAAATGCCTTTTATGCGAGGAGTGATGCCGCTTCGGCGGACCTATTATTATATGGAACAGGTTGTGAATTTTATTTTAGATTAAATTAATTAATTTTATAGGGAAAAATTATTTTTCGGAATGAAGTTAAGATATTTACTATTGCTTACCACAGAATGCCTAATGAAGCACAAAAAGGAGCTAGTGATTTTGTATATTGGCATTGGAATCAATTGTTATTTAAAAACCCAGAAATTCAATTTGTTAGACAGGACAACATAAGCATTGCCCCATTTGCTATTGCTTTCTTAGGTATTTTATTTAAATGGGCTTGGTGAAATATGCAGGGATTGCACTTTGAGGGTGGAGGTGGACCCCAAATCGACGTAGGAATAGTTCTTACATAAATGATTTTAATTCGGTCAGACCTTGTACGTTTGTGGTTTAGTGGTAGAGTTCTAGGTTTTTTTGGATGAAAGTTCGAATCTCAACGTCGATAAATATTCCTATACTTATTTCATTTGTTCTCTTAAACTTTTTTAAACTCTTTGAGTACATCTCAAGCTGTCCTTTTTATTTTTTATAAAAACAAAAAATATCCAGAGTATTTTTATTAATTTCAAAATATTTCAGGGGATGGTCGAGAAGTTCCCTTTGATTTGGAATGGATGACACATCAAGAAATAGGCGGTATTTTTTATATCTATAATTACTTAAAATATTTTAAAAATTTAGATGTACTTCGTAAAACACTTGGCAAATCGACTTTAGTTCGAAAAGCAGAGGAGCTTGAAAAAATGGCAAAATGTCACCCTGCTGATTTTGGAGAGAATTGTCAAAGGGTTTATTTTCTGTTAAAATTTACAAAAATATTTTTCTTTTTTGAAGCAATGTATTTGTGAAGTTCAAGGCCAACATCCATGTACTTCGTTAATATATGCCCCAAAACATATTTCTGAAAGTTGGCGATGTGATCATGAAAATTACGATCCGGAAAAGCCTACAATTTATCCAAAACAAAAATTTGTTGATTCTGATTTAGTTGAAAGAGATCCACCAGGAAGACAATAAATTAGTAAATTATTTTTAAATAAATTTGTTTTTGATATTTGATAAACTTAACAAAAAAAAATTATTTTAAATTCTTTCCAAAAATTATTTTCTCTTCTCATTTCCACTTTTTCTTCTTTCCTTTCTAATTTTTCGAAAATCAGCATCATCAGGCCTAATAAAAAAAGATTAAAAAATATTTTTTTTCTTTTTCATACCCTCTCCTGTGTCTTTTAATTGCCAATTTGCTAATATCAGCAATTTCTGAAGTAAATGAAGATTCTAAAAAATTAAATTGAGATAAAATATTTAAAAATATTTTAATTACTTTCTCGTTTTCCTTTTACTTTTAAATTCAAATTTATTTTTTCTGATTTATTTCCTTTTAATGCCTCCTCATATTTTGCATTTTTCTTTTCTTCTCGTTTTCTTCCCTTTGATTTAGTTGGTCGTTTATTTTTTGAATCAAAATTTAATTTTTTTCCTCCTTTTAGCCATTTATCTGATTTAAAATATTTTTTCTTCTGAAAAAAGAATTTTTTTAATTTATATAAAACGATACTTATCGGTTACACACCCACAAACTGAGTGCCATCCGATATTAACTTCTCTGATCTTTATACAATTCAAATAAATCTTAAATCATTGAGACTTTTTAACGAGTGATTAGACTTGATCCATTAAGTTGGAAAAAAGATTCCTCATATCGATTTAAGATTTAATTGAATTGGATCAAGCATAAAAGAGTTAATGCCGATAAAATTCGGTTGGCACTTAGTTTGTGGGCGTATAACCGATAAGTACCAATAAAATTTACTTCTTTAATTCCTCTCTTCATTAATTTATTAACAACATTTCCCCCCTCAGTTTTAACAATTGGTTTTTCTTGTTTTTGTAAAATTATTTTTTCAATCTTTTCATCTTCAATTAATTTTTCTATACTTGATTCTAATTGTTTAATTTTCTTTAAAAATAAATTAATAATTTCTGGAGGAATACTTCTTTGAATTATATTTGAGGAATTTGTTGTTTTTTCTTTTAATATTTCTTTTGCAAGTTTTCTGTCGTTTTCTCCAATCATTGATATTGCTCTTCCTGTTTTGCCAGCGCGAGCTGTTCGTCCAACTCGATGAATATAATTTTTTATTGTATTTGGCATATGCATATTTATTACCTTTAAATTTTTAGAAAATAAAAGAATATTTATTTTAAAAATAATAGAGAAAGATTGGAACTGTTGAATTCCAAAAAAGGAAATTTTTTTAATCTAGATAAATTTTTGACAAAAATTACTTATTATAAACTATTTTTACTAAAAAGTTTAATGCAAAACAACCAGAAGTTTCATTTTTTAATTTATTTATTTCAAATAGGGGGTTAATTTTTGCTGGTATCGGCTAAAATTCTCTTTTTCGTCTTCTTTCTATTTGAGCTACCACAGGCCAAAATTAACCGGGCGTGACCAATCCTACTTTTAAATAATCCATAAAAAATTAAATAAACTAACCGTCATAACTCCTTCAATATCCAATCCACGGGCAGCCAAATCAGTTGCACAAAGAATTTTTACATCTATTTGTTTTCTAAATGAATGAAGTGCTTGTACTCTTTGAACTTTAATTAAATTAAAGTAATTTTATTTTTCGAAGAAAAACCTTGATTAAGCCCTCCATGTAACTGTCCAGTTTTTAATCCCATTAAGGCTAATAAAATACATAAACGTTCACATTCATGTTTTGTACGAACAAAAATAATTGTTCGTTCAGAAAAGTTTCGAGTTACAAGAGCTTTAGGGAAAAATAATTTTTATTTTGGGGAAAATTTTTTTTATTTTAATTTTTTATAGAAATCCTTAGAAAATAAAAGAATTTTTATTTTTTTAAATTAAAAAAAATTCAAAAATAGTTTAGAAATTAATTAATTTTTACCAGCAACCATAGCCTCTCTGAGAGAATTTTCTTCTTCATTTCCTCCTCTAATTCTAACAAATTCTTGACGTAAATTCAAAGCAACATCAGTATTTTCATTAACAAATAGTTTAATTGGTTTATCCAAAGAAAGACGTGCCAAATCCTCAACCGCTTCACTGAGTGTTGCAGAGAAAAGCATTGTTTGTCTATTTCGAGCACACAATTTAATTATTTCACTAAGTTGTTCCATAAATTGTTCTTCAAGCATTCGATCAGCTTCATCGAGAACTAAAACCTTTAAAAAACAATTTTTATTGAATAAACAAATAAAATTACTTCAATATCTAACAAAGAAAAATTCGGTGAATTGTGTAGATGGTCAATTAAACGTCCAGGTGTTGCTATTACCTTGTGTTTAAATAAATAATTATTTTCTAAAATAAAATTTAAAATTATTTAGACTAATTTTATATTTGCTCCCAAAAATATCCTGTCAGTAAAGAAAATATTTTAGAGAATTTTTCCAAGAAATAAGAAATTCGATCAGCCTATATTGTCAGACTCATTATAAGATACCAACGGAATTAGAGATACTCCTAATTTTAATTTTTTTAATTTGGTTAGCCATGGATGAGGGGAGTTGCAAAAGCGATATTCCTTCTTCAAAATACAACTCATTATAAAATAATTTTCAGCCCTAATGGCTTATAGTGATATTCGACTAATTGTTAACAATTTTATTTCTAAAAATACAAATTCAAAAATATTTACCACATCGAGACCCATTCGAAGAGCTGCCTCTTGAGCTCGTACATCAAGCCCTCCTAAAAAAATAAAATTTAAATTCAAAGTTTAATTTAAAATAATTTTTATTTAGACCAATAACTATTTAGCCAGTGTAATTTGCTTATGTATGTTTGTACAGCAGTTATTATTATAGCGATAAAAAATGAGAGAAAAAAGGAAAGAAAATCATTGCCACGCTCTACAACACAAAAATGCTTACAACAATTGCTTTTAGAGAATATTCTCATTTTTTTTAAAAATAAATTTTTTCCAATCAATTTTTAGTCTCGAAAAGGAAATTTTCAGGAGAAAATTTTGGGTATTATTTAAAGAATTTTTTAAATTAAAAATTATTTAAGGAATAAAAATATTTAAAATGTTTTCAAAAATAAATGTAAATTCTCTTTATTCCTAGCCCAAAATTCAAAAAAATCAATTTAAGGATCGATCGCCTCTCAAAAATTCAATTTTTTTTTTATAAATTGACCCACATTAAAAATATAATTCCTTTTTTTCAGATAAATGTTTTCACAAAAAGGAGGAAATAAACTAAAATGGACAGTATTAATTGTTTGTTGTCTCTCTTCTAGTTTCGAACAATGGACACGTGTAATGTTTCCTTTTGCCCTTTGGAGCCTTAAACCTCGACCAGAATTTTCTGAAGCTTTAATGATTAATGCTTTAGGGGGTGTAGCTACATTAATTGGAACCTTTTTTGTGGCTAATATGGTTAGTAAAATTGTTACTTTTTTGAACTAAATTTTTTTTTATAATTTCAGATAGACACAATAGGTTCACGAAAAACAGCTTTAATAAGTGTTATATTTGTTTGTATTTTCCAAGCCGGATATTCTTGGATTACTAACTATTATCTTTTTATTCTTTTCCAACTTTTAATGTTATTTAATCACATGCCAACAGTTGTGGATGCAACAATTACACAATTGGCAAATGAAATTGCTGATGTTAAACAAAAAGCTCGTTTAATGGCCCAAACAGCAATACCAACAAGTATTGCGTTTGCTTTAGGTCCTTTAATTGCTGTACAAGTAAAAACAAAATTTGTTCTTATTAAAATATTCTTTTTATCAAGCTTTTCTATACAACAAATTTACAACTTCATTTTATTCAGTCCATTTGTGGAATCTTTCATTTATTTACAGTATTACCTATTATATTTTTCTTTTTTCCAAAAAATCATGATTTTAGTACCGAAAAAGGTTGGAGAATTTTTTTAAATTAGAATAAAATATTTAAAATTTAGGAACAAATATTTTTAAAATGTTTGGAGAAATATTGAGAAAACCTGGAAATAAATTTACACTGCTCTTCATTTTAGTAAGGAATTTTTTAAAATAGGAATATTTTGAAATTGTTAAAACCCCACTCCAATTAATATCAATTTCTTACTTGGAAAAATTCTAAAAAAATTTTTAAAGTTAATTTCTGGCACCTGGAATACCTATGACTCAACAATTCGATTACATTTAACCGGCACAATGCTTACACAACCCGCTCAAATGGCTAAATTGGTTGGATTATTCTTAAGAAAATTTTTGGAAAGAAATAAAAATTTTTCAGGCTTTACTTCTCGGGGCCGCTTCAATAATTGCAAATTTTGTGTTTTTACCCCTCTTACAAAAAAGTATTACAACTAAAAGAATAGTACAAATTTCGCTTGTTATAATGACTATTTCTTATTTTTATTTAACAAAAGTTACAGAATTTGATGAAATTATTATTGGAATGCCTTTCCAGGTTAATTAAAAAAATAAAGAATTTAATTTTAAAATTTTAAGGTTGTCGGTGTTTGCCTAGCATTGGGACCCCTTTCAGCACAAGTATTTCATTTTATTTCTTTTTTAATATTTAAGAATATTTGTTTAGATACTCGGATCTGTCCCAGCTTCCCATGCAGGCAAATCAGCAGCATTAAATCGAATAGCCCAAATTAGTGCCACAGCATTAGCTCCATTAATTACCGGTGCTTATACTGATCACGAAGAGGCTTATTTACTTTGTTATATAAATATTGGAATTTGTATAGTTACTTTTATATTAATTGAAATATATGGAAACTTTATGGGAAAATGTACGAATAATCTGCCTTGGAGTATTTCGCAAGCTTCTATTGAAAGAGTTGATTAAGAAAATAATGGATTTTTTAAATCATAGGCATAATTAAACAGAAAAAAGTAAGAAAAAAAAACAAATTAATATCTCCAAAAAATTGGGCAAAAAATCCCCTAAAATATTTTTTAAAAATTTACATGCCTATGATTTACTTTATTTGTTTACAAAAATGTTTTGTTTATTTTAAAAAAAATACCCTAATTTATAAATAATTAATTGATGTAAAACATGATCCTATTTAAGGGCAAGTAATTAATTATATTAACAGAAAAGTGTTCTTCAACTAAAAATAAATTGCAATAAAATACTTGAAAAAAATAATTTGATCATTTCATGTATAATAAAAGAACCAGAAAAACTGGGCAAAAGAGAAAAGAAAACTAGATTAGTTAGTATAATAATAATATCCTTCGATCGACAGCTGTTCAATCGAGTGATAGCTTGTTTTTTCGGTCGCGCAATTCCTTTTTTTATGGGAGAAACGGTTAAAATCAAGTAATTCCTTCAAAATCATCTTATGAACTAAATTCGCTCGCCTGCGCGAAAACAACCAAAGTCAGACACAAAGAAAAAGTTAGTCGATCCTTCCTCACTCCCCTTCTAGCATTCCCCCAAAATACTATTCAATTCTTCCCCTTTCTACAAATCCATTCACCTTCTTCGATTTATTAAAAACTAAAAAGCAACATTTAATCCTATTAAATAAATTTTTAATTGAAAAATGTGGCACTTTGATAAAAATCAAAGGGCCGTAGGAATTTTATGCCTTATCTATGGAATTTGGCATTTTGGAACTAACTGGACAACTACGTTAATTTCTTTCCTACAGTGGGATACTACTGAAACTTTGTCAATTGTAGACTTGGCTTATATACAAGGTAAGAACAAAAGATAGCTAGAGCAAGGATTTTCGCGTATTTTTTAAATTCTGCTCAAGTGTTGTGAAATTATTTTAAAATTATTAAGCATTTGGAAGTCTTTGTAATGCTGTAGGATCACTTGCAATTGGGCAGGTATTGTTCTAAAATAATCCCCCAGAATTATTTGAGTTACAGATGACTGACTCCATCGGACCAAAAATAATGTTCCTTTTCTCAACAATTTTGACATCGATATATTTTGTTGGGCTTGGATTGTGCCGCACATGGATAACATTTTTTCTATTACAAGTAAATATTTAAAAAAGGAAACTAGCTAAAAAATTCTCAACAGATTCTTCGAGTTGGTTATCAACTAGACAGCACAGCTGAAATGTATTTAGCAACAGTTACGACTGAAAGGGAGAGAACGGGTGCTTTGATGATTTTGTCAATTCCTCAGGCTATTTCCATGTTTTTTGCTCCTATAGGTAATTAATCCATCCCTTTGCTAAGAATCTTAACTAATTTTTGTAGTTGGTAGTAGAATTGCAAGTTATACAACATTGAGAGCTTCACAAATGATTTGTGGAGGAGTAATGCCTATTGTTTTAATTCCTGTTGTTTTGTTCCTTTTACCAACAACACATTCAATTCCAAGACTTGCTACTGCAAAACTTAGACCCCAGGCAATTTTTTAAAAGTCCAAAATTGATTTTCCTTCTCAACAGGATTATTGGCCAATGGTTACAAAAAATCAAGCTTTACGTGAAGGATTAATTTTAAGAGCCCTACTTATTGTTGCTTATGTTTGTTATGAATTAATTGCGCGCAATTTTGTACTTCGCTCCTATATGCATTTGACTAGCGAAAATGCAGAAGTAATGGTCACAATGGGGTAAAAATAAAAAATAAAATTTAAAAAAATAAAATTAAAAATATTTAAAATATAGAGGGTCATTGGTCGTCACTCAATTCTTAATTTTACCATTCTTACAACGACATGTTAGCCCAAGAACGTTATTACAGGTTTTATTGGAAACTAAAAATTTCTTTCAATAATAATTTAAAGCTTGCATGTATTGCTTTATTTTTTGCTTATGGGGGTATAATATTTACTAGTTCCTTTTATGAGTATCTTCTTGTAACGGCTATTCATACTGGAGCATATGCAATAGCCTATGCAGAATCATCAACACAAATTACAGGGTAAATTAATTTAAGATTCAGAAAAAATATTTTGAAGGGCTCAAAAATTTCCCAAGAAAATAAAAAAAACATTTTTCAGTGCCGTTGAAATTGGCGATCTTGGAAAAGCAACAGGACTTGCTTCAATGGTCCAATGGACATCTCACTTTTTAATTCCCTTATATACTTCCCATATAGTCAATTCTTGGCATTACACTTATGCATTCTATTCAAGCAGTTTACTTGCTCTAATTACTTTGGGCTATATAACTGTATATACTAAACAAACAAATGCGCGGTGCAGAACGTTACTTCCCCAATTAATAACAACATAAATATATTTTAGAAAATATGGAAAAAAAATATTTTTTTAAACCAGAAAATTAATTTTTTATTTTCATTAAAGAAAAAATAAAATTTTTTCTGTCCATTTTAATCCAAAATAATTTTAATTGTCTGGGTTATTTCGTTAAAAAATTGAATTGTACAATGCTCATATAATCGTTTAAATAAAATAAGCAAATTACACAGTGGCAAGAAAGGAAATTGAAAAAGTTTGGACTTGTAAAAACCAAAGAAACCCAAAAAAATGGAATCCCACCCACATTCCCGTTTTAAATATTTTTTACTTTAAAAAATTCTATAAAAATAAACCAACCAGCAACTAAGCACATTTCAACACTCGTGTATTTTGCCAATCTTTTGCTCACTTGGAAGACTTGTATAGCAAGTTCACGGGTAGGGACAAGTACCAAAACTCTCGTTGTAGGCCGTTTTCCCTGTGGCCTTTAAAAATAAAAGAAAAATAAAAATTAAAATAAATATAAACTTGTAAAGAAGACGTTCAAATATTGGAAGCATAAAAGCTGCAGTTTTGCCTGTACCTGTTGCAGAACATGCACAAATATCACGGCCAGCAAGTGCAACAGGAATACATGCAGCTTGAATGGGAGTAGGGAGTTGAAAACCACATTCCAAAATTGCCTAGAGAAAATTAAAAATACAAAAAAGTCCCAAAATGTAAGAAATATTTCCAAAAAAATTTTTGACCGACCCATAACCTAAAAATTTAAAGCTCCAAAAATACCTTTAAAATTGGTCTACTCAAATTTAACTCGTCAAAAGATGAAACTTTTTGTTCTAGTTGATCAGAACTTTTCTCAAAAAATTGTTTGCTTCCAAGCTGTTTTAAACGAAGTTTATCTAAAAATTTTGGAAATTAATATTTAAATAAAAAATTTTTAACCATTTTTTATTTCCTTTTCGGTTAATTCCATAGGAAATGGAGTTGATGTTGTTTCTTCTTCGTCTTTGAATGTATCCTTAAATATTTAATTTGTGTTGCTGTTGGCGATTATTATTAAAATTATTTCAGTTGGTTGAGAGTTAAGACAATTTATTTTTTAAAAGTGCTCACTTCCCCAATTTCCATTAAAGCATCAATATTACTTTTCTGCCCAATTCTTTTTCTTTCCATTTCAATTTTTTCAGCAAGTGTTGACATTCTATTTTGATTTTTCTTTAAAAAAGTTGTCAATCCTTCCAAATCATTATTTTGTTTATTATCATCCTCATCAATTCCTTCATCCACTTCAAAATGAAAATTTGAAGAAATTTCACCAACAGCGTCCTCTACAATTTCTTGACTGAGTTTCTTCTTTTTCTTTTTTGCTTTACTAATTTTATTTTCCGGTAATTTCTAAAAAACAGAATTATTTTTTAAATATTTTTAAACCTTTTTAATATTCAAATCCTCTTCCTCATCTCCACTTATACACTCATCCACCTTAAAATCGTCATTTCCTGGTGTTGGATAAAGCATAATTTAAAGTGGTGTGAAACTGAGAATAAAAAAAGTAAAAATTTTCTTTTTAATTCTAAAATCCTCAAAAATATTATATATTCATTAATTCAAAAATAAAATCTAATTGTCAAAAAACGCAACAAAAATTTATTTTTACTAAAAAATAATTTTTAAAAGCTTTAATTAAGAAAAATCGGTACTTAACGGTTATCTCCCCACATTATCTTCTTTTTTATTTCCTTTGCTCCTTCTAACTTAAAGTTACAAAATTGTAAAAGGAAAATAATGTTATCATTTTACCTTTATACCGATAAGTACCCAACTCTGGTTTTAGAACCGGTACTTCTATTTTCCGATACCTATATTTTTACTTTTAGGCAGAAGGAGCAAAGGAAATAAAAGAGACGAAAATATGGAGAGATAACCGATAAGTACCGAAAAATCAAAAATAATAAAAAATCTTTTAATTAAAATTCAAGTCTCCTTCGCGTAAATGGAGGTTCTTCTCCATTTGCAATTTTTTCTTTTAATGATATTTGTTGTTGTTTTCGTTTACGTTGTTGTTTAACTATCGGCAATTCAGAATCGTCACAAGCATAGGGTAAAGATTTAAAATATTGTGAATGAAGTGCTTGTGTTGCCGTTAATCTCTTTAATGGATCAAAAAGTAAACAACCAAAAATTAATTCTAAAAGGTCATCACTAGCTGCCGGAAATACATTTTTGAGTTCATAGCCTTGACCACAATTTTGTAATTGGATATAATCGGGCAAAGAAGTAAGTCCCTAAAAATATAAAAATTACTAAAAAAATAATTTTTAAATTTTAATACAGGCCAAGTCTCTTCAGTAGGCATACCAAGAACATTATAAATCTTAACCAATTGATCGAGATCAGATTCGCCTGGGAATATGGGAACCTGAAAAAAATTTTTAAATAAAAGAGTTAAATTATTAAATAAAAAAATAGTTGAAAGAGAATTCGGTAATATTGAACCTGACAGACCACATTTCTTCCTCCCAATTTTTTTACTATATACATATCTACAGACTGGTCAAACTTTTTTCTTTCTTCCATCCCAATTGCACTTCTACAAACAATCAAGATAAATTAATTTTGTTCCCCTTTGATGGAAAAAAGGAAGAAGTCTGACAATTCTGCAAATATATAGGAAGAAACTTGGGGAGGAGAAAATGGGGTCTGTCAGGTTCAATATTACCGAAAATTCAAATAAGACTTTCCGAAGTTTTATTTAATAGGATTGAAAAAATAAATAATTTTCTTAAAAAATCAAAACTCACTCTCAAAAGTAATTCTGCAATTATACAACCCATTGCCCAAGTATCAACTCCAACTCCATAGGCCCTAGCTCCGTACAGAAGTTCTGGAGCTCTATACTAAAAAATAAATTTTAAAAAATTAAATTTTTAATTAAAAAAAATACCCATCGTGTAACAACTTGATGTGTATATATTCTTGTAGGAGAGCCAAAATAACGTGCCAATCCAAAATCAGCAATTTTTATTCTTCCATTTAAATTCATTAATAAATTATTTGGTTTCAAATCCTTAAAAATAAAAATTAAAAAATATTTTTAAGACAAACTCGGTGCAAAATAAAATTTAAATGAAGAAATTCCAATCCCAAAAATACTTGTAAAAGAATATTTTTAATATGGGAATGTTGAAGAATTGTATTGTTGTCTTTAATTAAATTCTAAAAAATCTTTTTTAATATTAAAAAAGTTCCCAAACCTCCAAATCTGTCTCCATAAAATCAAAAACAAGTTGAATACTCGTTCTGTGCCCTATAACGTCCAACAAAGCTATTACATTGTCGTGATACAATTCTGTCAGCAACTTAATCTCACGGATTGCAGTTCGATTAATGCCGTCACGAGCTTCGTGTCTTGAACCGAGTTTAATCTAAAATTTAAAAATTGACTGAAAATAAAGAAAAATTAGAAAGAAAGAAAAAAAAACGAGAAAAGAACCTTTTTAATTGCAACAATTTTTCCTGTATAAAGATCCTTAGCCTGATACACATTTGCAAACTAAAAGCACCTCAAAGATTTTTAAATAAATTTTTTAACAAAATTATATTTCAAATTAACCTGTCCTTCACCCAAATGTTTAATTTTCTCATATTTATTTTTTCTAGGTTTCATCAACGACGACATTTCAAAATTATTGTTTACAAATGTAAATACTCAAACTTCCTAAAAAGAAACAAAATTATTTAAAATAAATTACTTTCTCTATTTCTCTAACTAATAATCAGTAATTTTTATTTTTCTCTAATTATTAAACATTTTTTGTAAAAAATTTAATTAATGGCATAATGTAAAGTTTGTTTGAGTCTTGTTAAGGATTTTTGGTTTGGTTGGTTTGTCTTTTTTTCCTTTTATTTATTTGACATCACTTTATTTACTATTTGTTAAGACTTTTAAATTCCTTCTAAACATTTCAGAAAAATATACAAATTTTTATTTTCTTTTTTAAATTTTCAAACAATTTTTCACAATTGTACCAACACAATGCCCTCAACAACAAGCACTGAATCTTCAATAAAAGTACCTTCTAGCACCCATTCGCAAGGAATTCATTTCCATGATCATTTTAGTCGAAATCAATTTGAAAAAGTTATACTTATTTTTAATTCTAATTAAATTTATTTTTTTGCAGCTTATCAATTTAAAATTAAAAACTCTGAATTGTCACGATGTTAAATGTAAAAAAGAAAAAGATTTTATGAAGAAATCAATTTCCCGTTTGGCTCAAACTTTTACTGAAATTTTTGCTTTGTATGAAAAACAAGTATTTTTGGATTTTTTATTTTAATTTTCTATCAATTTTTAGCGTAAAGACATGATGATTATTTACAATTTGTATAACAAATTATGTGAAGAATTTGCTTTGCCTTATAAAATTGAAAAACCGATGGAATATGAAAGTAGAAGACTTGCTCAAATTGCGGAAATGGTTACTTTTTGAGAGAATTTTTTAATTAAAAATTATTTTTCTGAACAGATTAGAGGAATTTTTTTAAAGAAAAATGATGAATTTAAACATGAACATTCAACGGAGAATTTGTTTTCAGATAAACAATCTAAACAAAATAACTTAAATACTTCAACTTCTTTGAATAATGGATTCAATGGAGGTTGGATATTTTTAAATAATTTTTTTTCTTGTTAATCTGGCTAAAATTTTTATAAATTTTATGATGGAATTCAAGGTACAATGTTATAATGCAAAAAGCTCGAAATGCCAAACCGTAGAAAAAAAACTTGAATTACCAAATAAATACCAAACTAAATTTTTTGTTAGTGTTTTTTATTTTTCCAGGCTATAAATTTTTTTGTTTGTTCCAACAGTAAGGATATTACTTCTTTGCGGCCGTACTGTTGGAACAACATCCCCCGTTGATGGAACAGCATTTGTTATTTCAAAAGCTTTTGGGGATTTGGTATTTCAAGCTTTTGGCAGTATAAAACGTGCCGGAATTTAATGATTGAAAATTGAATTTATTCAGATTAAAAAAATATTCATTTACAATGAAAAACTCCCTTTTATTAATTTTACATATTCTCTTTCAATTTTATTTTTAAAGGTCCACAACCACCAAATTCTCACAATCAACAATTTCAAAATAAAAATGTTAAAATAATTCAAAATGGACAAATAAAAATTGATTTAAATGAAAATAATCGAAAAAGACGATCAACTCCAATTATTTTAAATAAATCTCCATCAATTTCTGCTAGTCTCTCAGTTCAACCTCCTTCAACTTCTGCCAAATTGCCAACATTTTTGAAAGAAACTTTTTGTCCTTCTCCAATTGTTTCAATTAATTTAAATTCTCCCCAAGCAAACAATTTAAATCAAATGAGGCAATGGAAGATACCAAAAACTGTCAATTGTAATAACAACACTAATGGTTATAAAAACAATACACAACAACAAATTGTTAATGGAAATATACATATGGTTAGTTTATTTAATAAATAGACTTTAAATAATTTTTCAATGTTTAAATTTAAACTTGCGTCTAATAAAATAACTCTTACAAAGACAAACTATTCCTAGTCAAGCTAAAAATATTTTTTATATCGTTGCTCTTAAACGGCGGTTGATCTCTAGGGTGTTCCTTTAGGTTCCGGTTGACCTCGAGAACAAAACTTAATTCAATTTAAAAAAATTTCTTATCTTTTGAATACTTTTGTAAATTAAAGAATTAAAATTCTTTGTTTTAGCCCTTAACTAAATTTTGTTTCTTCAGAATAATCACCACCCCAACAACCATCAACAACAGCATTATTTGTCACAAACAACAACTCCTCAAATAAATCCTCCAATAAATGTTAATTCTTCTAAATTACAATATAAAAATCAAAAAGTTCCACAACAACAACAACAACCAAACAACAATCCACATTTTCTTCGTTCTTCTTCAAATATTCAAAATTCTTCAAATAAACAACAATTTACTACCCCGACAGCCTCTGCTTTAGTTGTTTCTGGACAAGAACTGTTATTGCACCAATTATTGGGAGTAAGCGAGAAAAGGGCGAAATTTACTACTAGAAAGGCTACGTGTGATGAAATTGAAATTATTGAACTGGATGACGATTGAAAGGAAGGGAAAGAGAAGGTTGTTTATTTTATTTTTTTAGATTTTCCAAAAAATTTTCTCATCATTTTTCTTTTTCGAAAAATCCAAAAAATTATTTAGACCCTTCAAACTCTTCCAAAAATTTTCTTTTTAATGTTATAGCATTTTTAAAAAAACATTTAAATAGGAGAATGATTGATTTTATTTGTTTTGCTGGAAAATTTAAAAAAAGTGCTATAACTTCATAAAAGTATTTTTCGAATATTTTGGGTAGCTTATGTCAATAATGTGCGATAAATTTTGTCAATAAATTTTGGGGAATATAAAGTGTTCTAATTACATTTAAAATTCAAGTCTGCGCATTATTGACAACCATTCACATTGGGTTCTAGGGATTTCTTCCTGGTTTAGTCCAAATTTAGTGAATATTCTTTATGGTATTTATACATTGTAGTTGATATATTTTCGCATGTTCATTATTTTTAAAAAATATTATTCCCATTTATTACAAAGTCAGGTCAACAATTTAAAAGAATTTTTTAACCGATCAGCTTTTGTGAGAATTGTAATTAAAATTTCCCCAAAATTGTGATCTGACTTTAAGCATTTCTATGCAATGCTTTTTAAATTATTTCCTTGTTATTTTCATTGTCATATACATTTTTTGTAGTAAAATGTTTTTCCTTTCAATTTAAAAATATTTTATTTTCAAGCAAAAAAAACATTTAAATTAATTTTAATAAAATACATATATAGAATAATTAATTGGAATTATCGGCAGCATTTTTGTAAAAAAAAATTGTGCGTAAAAATTTAAAAAATAGGAAAGATGCACATTATATGGAATTTTTTGTAGTCATTTCATTGTCGATTATTGAACATTTTGGCAATTTCATTACATATTTGTTGTGTCAACTCTGTCCGAAATTTTGAAAGCTCTGCTGAAAATGCTTCCATCATTTCAACTTTAAATCGTGCCAAGTCTTCAGTTGTTACGAATGTTTTTTGTGTTGATCCATTTTCATTGCTAGTGCTAGGGATTTCTTCCTGGCTAGCAATTGATGAACCACTTGATATTCTTTTTAAAAAGTGATTTTTTTTATTTTGCCATTCTAGATAAAAATAGTAGAAAGAGTACGGGACCCCAAATTATTTCCAGGAATACAAGTAGAATTGGCCAAATTATATTTAAATCCAAAAAAACTCCCGGGGTTTCCCTGAATAAAGCCTAAAATTAAAATAACCAACTTTTGAGATATTGCTGGACCATTCTTTAGCTGTACACTGGCATTCTGTTGACTTCCTTGTATATTTCCACAAACTTGGGACTTATTTTGATTAACAACACCTTAAAATATTTTAAAAAAATTATTTTAAAAATTAAAAAAACAATTTTTTGTTCCTCCAACTTCCACAGGTTTATTCAAATTTATTTCATTATTCCCTTCTGCTGCACAATTCATCTTTCGTTTATTTAAACGATCAGCTAATTCACTTATTAAATCTTGTTTGCCACCAATTGGATTTTTTGGCCCATTTTCACGAGAACTGTTGTTTGTTGTTGTCGAAGATGAAGGTTTAATACTATTTGTATTATCATTTCCTTTAAATATTTTTTTGGTTAAAATTTTAGCTAATTATAAAATGTAATAAAAAGAGGGAGGACCAAAATCCCAAAGATTTCCCTGATTAAAAACTAAAATTAAAACCCCTTGTATGTAATAAGTCTTGAATGTCCTTAAATGTAATAAGGGGCCTCGAAAAAAAATTTTTTCAATTAAATAAAAATTTGCCAACCTTTCGCACCACTTTTACTTGATTGGACCAACCGAAGCTGTTCAGAAAAACTTTTTTGTTTAGCAGACAAAATATTTTTTAATTCAGGTGGGGGCGGTGGTGGAGGAGGGGGAGGCGGTGGAGCTATATTATTTTGTGTGTTGTTGTTGTTGTTCATAGTATTTTGTTGATAATTACTATTTGGAGGTGGGGGAGGCAAATGGGAAGTTTGTTGTTGTTGCTCAACATTTGAAGAATATAAATTATTATTATTAGAGTTTATTTCATTTAAATTATTGTTATTTGAATAAGTAGTGTTTTGTGAAGGAATGACTAGTACCTTAAAAATGTGAAATTTTTTTTAATCTAAAAAACTAAAAAAGGTAGTCTATCCTGTCATTTTACCTTTATCATCGACAGCAACCCAAAAAATTTAAAAAATACATATACTACTATCATCAATTTTAGCTTGTCTAAGATAAAAAGGTTTGGGCGGAGAGAACAAAATTAAAATTCCCCCTAACCCCAACCGATATTCATTTCAAATTAACATTCTAAATTTTTATGGAGAAAAGAGAATTTCTTTGATATTATTTTTAAAATATAATTTTTCTTTTAAATAAAGAAAAAATGTGTAAGTTTATTTTTTAATATTTTTCCTTTCAAATGTTCTTTTTAACTATAAGTCTTTAAGTCTCCTCACTACAATCAAAAATAGTAAATTTTCTCCAGATGTGCGATCTTTACAATATTTTTTATTGTAAAATTACAACAATATTTTTATATAAAGTTAGACTTTAGCTGTGAGAATAAGTTGTAAATCATGCTTTTGAAAGTGACTTTAAAATTAATTTTTAAGACGAAATTGAAAAAGTATTAGGGTTGCTGTCAAATTAATTAATGGCGAACGGGTCTAACAAAGGAATGCCGGAATCCAATCTTTCCTTTCTTCCTCGAATGGAAAAGAAAATGTTAATTTGATTTTTGACATAGGGTAAAATTGAGCAAAAAATCAAGCCTAAGCAAAAAATCAAGTCTAATAAAAATTATTTTTTACTTGTTGTCCATAAGGTCCAGGTAAACTACCACCAGTGCTAGAACTAATATTCGAGCCTTGAGAAGCACGCCGAATTAAATTATTTTGTTGTTGATTTGTTGTAATCTGTCCCTGATTATTGACATATTTTTGACCATAAATTCTTTTAAAAATTAAAAAATATTTTTTTAACAAATAAAAGAAACCTTTGGTTGTTATTATTTTCATAACATCCATTTGTTTGTGACGAAATAATTTTTCCATTATTTGGTTCAATATAACAAGTATTGACTTCTTCAACGTGATTAGCACCATTGGAATAAATATCTTGTTGTTGACAATTATAATTATGGAAATTTTGGGGGTCTTGATATGTAGATGTATCAACTTTAAAAAAAAGAAATATAAAGAAAGAAATGACACATTATTATGGAGCCATTACTTTTCCCATTACTAATCATTAAGGTGAGGATTTATAGGCAAATGCCTGTTTTTTCTGAATACTTGGGATATATAATACGTTAAAAAAACGTGGTTTTAGCTTGGTCCGAAGAGAGACAAAAAGGAGAAAAAAGAATCACAGAATTCAAAATTACACCTCAATGGGTTTCGATTACCAAAACAACCAAAATCACTCTCAATTAACAGTTTAGCTTAATTCATTTGAATTCCACAGTTCCTAGTTCAATTCACAAATGCGGTTCTCAATGGAGAAACGCCCAAAATCCTTCCGGACACTTTATCCAAAACTAAAGGCACCAAAACCCTCTTTTAAAAAATAACCTTGATTAGACGTAGGTACACTAACAAATTGCTGTTGAATGCTAACAAGACTATCTAATGCTTGTCTAACTCCAGAATAAAAATGTCGGGCTTCCTGTGTATTTGTAAAACTTAAACCAATAACTTGTTTGTGTTCATTTCGCCATTGATGAAAGGATGGAGTTGCTTCTTTATATTTTAAACGTTGAAATATAACTTGATCGACAATTCGTTTATTATCCTAAAATTAAGAAAATAATTTGAAAATTAAAAAAATTTTTTTTACAATATTCCTGATGGCAATAATTCTATAAATTGCTTCATTTATTGATTTAACCAATTTTATTGAAGAAAGCCCAGAATGACTAAAAATTGACAAAAATTAATTTAAATTAATTTATTTTAAATTTTTACCCATTCATATTATTATCCATTCTAATCCAATTTGCCCCATCATGAAAAAGCACTTCAGCAGTAACAGACAATAAAATAGAGCCTCTTTAAAAAATTAAATTTAATTAATTAAAAAATATTAAAAAATTACTCAGCCATCCTCGCCATCACAAAAAGTCAAAAATAAATAAATGATTCGTCGGAAATGATAACCATCAATATTTGGAAGAAAATTTTACAAATAAAAAATATATGCAAGTAACTAATACTTTTTTTACAAAATTATTTTTTACTATTTAAAAGTATTTAATTTGTAGAGAATTTATGTAAATATTTATATAAATGTAATTGTATTGATTTAAAATGACATGTGAAAATAAACAAAAGAAAATTGATATCAGAAAAGATAATAAAAAAATAAAAGATTAAAAAGTAAAAACTAATTGTAAAAAAAATAATAAAGGAAAAGATTGGATGATGGGAAAAATCTTGGTGAAAAATAGAGAAATAGCCGTATCACATCAAAACTCTAACAAAAAAAATTTAGTTTTAAAAATGAAATCTCGAAAATCTTATTGAAAAGTACAAACAAGGTGAGGTTGCGAGGTGTCCGACCTAAAATCAGTCGAGACCGGGCTCATTCGATAGAGAATGTGCCCTTTCTAGCAAGGATTTTGAGCCGTTTTTGCCTGTTTTTTGATCTGGCCAAGATATGGACCTCCAAAGTCCCAAAATTACAGATTTGTGCTAACAATAAGGAATATTTAAATAATTCCAAAGAAATTTTTGCGGGAAAATATGTACTAAAATTTTTCGCGGAAGGACCTCACACACGAAAACAATTAATGTGAGAAAATTTTAGAAGATAGGGGGGGAACACTTTTAAAAAGATTAATATAAAGAAAAGTGCCAATAGAATTGAAAAAAATTTTATTTTGGAGCGTTTTGTGTGTTTGTGTGCGTATTGGTCATTTTTTCCTCTATTCTCATCTCCTATATTGTGAATGAGTGACTAAGCCAAATGGAAAATCGAATTCGTCCCCCTTGTCCTCTTCACCCGACCACTACCGCCCTTCTTTTTTTCTTCTTCTTTTTCTCTTCCATAGTCCCTCTATCCCCATTCCCACAATACACATTAAGAAGCAAAAGCAGCAAAAATAGAAGGATCGGAGAGAACCGCTAGCTATTGCTTGGTCTCTGCCGTTGTTAAATTAGGAAGAGGAAAAAACAGAGAAGTAGCAAGATGGACAGAAGATGGCCGTCGTCTGCCTTATCCCCATACTATTGCCCTTTTCAATTTTATTTTGAGGAAAAGGACCATCTGAGTGCACAATGACTGCCCAATTGAAACTCTTTTGAGGACAAACGGAAAAAAGAGTTGCAAGGATTTGTGTCAAAAATTGAAAGACACACACACAAGGGGGAACATTCCCAGAAAAACTTAAAAATTATTTAAACCTCTAACGTTTGCTAACACATGTTTGCGTGAAAACAGTGCATTACAAATGAGAAAACAGCTGGCGGTGTCCTGTGACAAACAATAAAAAAACAAACAGGAGAAGCCACTTAATGATGCATTGCGCTTATTGCAGCTTTTGCCTCAAAAAGCATTTTTTGTTAGCGCAAGAATAATGTAGAAAGAAAAGCCTGACAATGAGGAAGAAACAATTTTTTATTGATTGAGTGACCAGATTTATGTTTTTGGAAGGAATTAAACTAAAAATCAAAAATAATTTGAATGAAAAAATATTTTTAACTAAACAAAAAGTAATCAGATTATGATAAAATTAACATAAAAATTTTCAAAAACAGACAATTTATTCATAAAATAGGTCAAAATAATCAATATTTAATAACATTTATAATTTGTTTGAGCAATTTGGGGTTCGAGATCAATACAATTTGAAAGACGTCTTAATATCCAGAAATCAGTCGAACCAAAACCATCTCTTCAGGGCCAGCTGACATGAGTCAAGACAGGTTACTCAACAAGAGTTAGTCTAAATATAAAGTGAAAAAATTAGTCTATTTTGATAGGATCCAAGTAGTCAATGAATTCCTGACACACAAAACTAGTATTTACAAGACTAGGTTCCAAAATTTAACGCCCGGTAAAGCAGAAACAGAAAAACAATCCTTACGAATCCACTCACTAACCGCGACACAAAAATACTAAAACTTAAGAAAGTTATGTTAATACCAAATCAGCTAAAGTTTAACAAATTTATATGATTATTAAAATAATCAGCAACAAAACAAAGACATTAAAAATATCTATTTAATGCTTCAATCAAATAATCCGAATCCCATATCGTCATCACTTTCCTCTTTTGGCTCTTCCTTCTTTTTCTTCTCCTCTGCAGCCGGCGCAGCAGCCTTTTCTGCCGCTGCAGGAGCAGCAGCTCCAGCCGAAGCGGCAGCACCTCCACCAGATCCAATTCCAGAACCAATGTTTGAAATCAATGCCTAAATTTTTAAAGTTAATAAAGAATGAAAAACATTTGACGTAAACTGGGTTTTGTAAAAGGTTACATGTTATATTACTTTAGATGAGTTAACACTTATCCCAACAGCGAGTCCCAAGCCTAACCAATCAATAGTCAACAAAAAGTTAAATTTTAACCTTGACATCAACACCCTCAAGCGCTTTAGCATAAAGCCCAGCCCAAAAAGCTTCGACTTCAACACCAGCTGCTTTCAGAATGGTCAGAATCTTTTCTCCGGTAATCGGCACTCCATCATCTTGAAGAGCAAGAGCCGCATAAATACAAGCTAATTCTTGATTTGAAGCCATCGCAGTGAAAGTTGTCTATTAATGACCTTAGCTCGAAATGAGAACAGTTCACTTTCTACTAAGTAAAAATTGTTAAAAGAAACAAGCTAACAAATGATACAATAATTATGGTATATAACCAATAAATAAATAAATTCTCAATCAACAATATTTTTATTCTCAAAACAGACAAAAACGTTAAGAGCAACAATTTAAACATTTCATATTTATGCGACCAAAACACAAGCGCCGCCAACTTTCTTGATCTTCTCTTCTGCAGTATGCGAAAAGAATCTTGCTTTGACAATGACTGGCTGTTTTGGCAATAAACCTTTGCCTAAAACTTTGTGGTAACCAGCACGACAAACATCAATCACTGGAGCGCGGTCTTTAACGTCAGCATACTTCTTACGCGTTTCTTCAGTAACTAAAGTCCAAATTTTGTCCAAATTGATTACTGGGCAATAGTAACTGTTCTTTCGTAGATGGTAATTACGCATTCCAACCTTTAAAATTTATATGGTAAAAGCTTTCTAGAAAATTTAAACCTTTCCAAAATATCCAGGATGATATTTGTCAAAATTAATTCGATGGTGATGCATACCACCAGCATTTCCTCGACCTCCGGGGTGCTTGCGATGTTTCCCAACTCTTCCATGTCCATGAGAAACATGTCCTCTAAGCTTTCTTGTCTTCTTTTTTGTCGTGGCCATTAGCAAATGAAAATAATACACTCCTAAAAATCAAGGGTTAATCACAAAAATTATCTTAAAAAATAGCCGGAGTCAGAAATTCGGTGAAGATTTGGAAGAATTTCTTTACACATCGCCCATTTTCCTTTTGGTCAAAAAAGAGAAAATTGTATTATGGTAATTCTTTCGTTTCGAAAAATAAAAATATTTTATTTCAAAATGGAAAATCTCGTTTTGAAGATTTTTGTTTGACCGCTTTGCGACATCTTTTGCAAAAGATGTTTTTTAATTTTGTAATATTTTTTATTTTGCTTTATTTTTTTGCAGGAAAAAGTAATATTAAAAAATGTCTCAACGTCTTTTGGGAGCACTTGGTCAGATTGGTATTGGATTGGCAATTGCTGGTGGAGTTGCTCAATCAGCGCTTTACAATGGTTAATTTCTTTAAAAATATTTCTACGAATTTTTTTTCATTCAGTTGATGCTGGTCAACGTGCCGTTATATTTGACCGATTTGCTGGTGTAAAGCCTGACGTTATTGGAGAGGGAACCCATTTTATAATTCCATGGGTTCAAAAACCAATTATTTTTGATATTCGTTCAACGCCAAGAACTGTTAGTACTGTGACTGGTAGTAAAGGTTAAATTAAAAATTTTTAAAAATTAAAATGAATGAAAAAATATTTTTAGACCTTCAAACTGTTTCGATAACTTTACGTATTTTGCATAGACCGGATCCAGTTAAATTGCCGACAATTTACAATACAATTGGACAGGATTATGCTGAACGTGTTTTGCCTTCAATTACGAATGAGATCCTTAAGGCTGTCGTTGTAAGTTTTTAAATTAAATTTTTGTTAGGGCCTAATTTTGATTTTATATTTAAAAAATGCCTATTTTTTCCTTATTTCAAGGCCCAATTTGATGCTCATGAAATGATTACTCAACGTGAGTCTGTCAGTCATCGTGTTTCACTCGAATTGGCTGAACGTGCAAAAACTTTTGGAATGATGCTTGATGACATTTCTATTGTAATTTTAAAAATTATTTTTTGATAAAAAATTTTTATTTTTAGACACATCTTTCCTTTGGACGCGAATTTACTGAAGCTGTTGAAATGAAACAAGTTGCACAACAAGAGGCTGAACGTGCGCGTTATTTGGTTAGATAAATGGTTTTTACTGTAAGATTTTAAAATTTAATTTAGGTAGAAAAAGCGGAACAGATGAAGTTGGCTGCGATTACAACGGCAGAGGGAGATGCGCAAGCATCTAAGGTCATTATTTTCTTTTTCTATTTCATCTCAAAATTTAAATTTATTTTCAGATGCTCGCCCAAGTATTTTCGCAAGTCGGTGATGGACTCATTGAACTCCGTAAATTAGAAGCGGCAGAAGAGATCGCCGAGTTACTTGCATCTTCCAAAAACGTTACTTATTTGCCTAAGGACATCAACCCTTTGATTTCTTTGCCATCGTAATTTTGACAATTGGAGAAAAGGTTATTTATCTCAAATTTAAAGAACTATTTTCACTTTGTTAGTTGTTTTTTGATGTTATCGTCTTTTTAAAGAGATAAAATTTTAAAAGTAAATTATTTAAAAATTACGTTTAAGGTAAAAAATAAATTTATTTTTTCTGATAACAAGAAAGAATATCAAAAAAATTAAAACATTCACAACAAAAATATTTAAATTTTCATTAATTAACATTAGTCCCATCCTCGGAGAAAATACCTCAATCTAGTACAATATTTTTGACAGATTTCTCTCATCTGGCACTGGGAACTTCTATATTTATTGGAAAATACTTTTTAAAAATAATGGGTATCTTAGGTGTCAGCGCTCCCACCCCACAGTGGCCAAATGAATTAAAGATTTTTCGTGGTAACTAAATTTGAGGTATGACTGTATATTATTTTTTAAATTTGCCTCCCAATCCTGGCTCTTCTGGTACAGCTTCTTCATTAACTGGTGGCAATGCTGCTGCTGCTTGATGATGTTTTGATGATAATGGAGATAATTTTGGAGGTCTTGGTCCAAGTATGTCGTAAAGTCTATCACCTTCCGAAATAGTTTCTCGTAATAAAAGCTCGAAAGATGTTAATGATTCTTGTTTTGAAAACGCAATGACAATGGTCAAGAAAAAATAATTCTATAAAATAAATTGAAAATTTAAAATAATCCTATAAAATAAATTGAAAATTTAAAATAATCCTATAAAATAAATTGAAAATTTATTTATAGAATTATTTTTTCTTGACCATTGTCATTGCGTTTTCAAAACAAGAATCATTAACATCTTTCGAGCTTTTATTACGAGAAACTATTTCGGAAGGTGATAGACTTTACGACATACTTGGACCAAGACCTCCAAAATTATCTCCATTATCATCAAAACATCATCAAGCAGCAGCAGCATTGCCACCAGTTAATGAAGAAGCTGTACCAGAAGAGCCAGGATTGGGAGGCAAATTTAAAAAATAATATACAGTCATACCTCAAATTTAGTTACCACGAAAAATCTTTTTAATTCATTTGGCCACTGTGGAGTGGGAGCGCTGACACATAAAATACCCATTATTTTTAAAAAGTATTTTCCAATAAATATAGAAGTTCCCGGCGCCAGATGAGAGAAATATGTCCAAAAATATTGTGCTAGATTGAGCTATTTTCTCTGATGATGGGGATGATGTTAATTAATAAAAATTTAAATATTTTTGTTGTGAATGTTTTAATTTTTTTTTGATTTTCCTTCTTGTTATCAGAAAAAAATTAATTTATTTTTTACCTTAAACGAAACTTTTAAATAATTTATGCATAGCTTGATTTTGCTAAAAAAAGTTTTAAATTCAATTTTCTCTTTACTATGCTTATACTAAAATCTAGGCTTATTATTAGTTTAAGATAGGGTTGCGCCCCGAGCCTTCGGGGTTGAAAAAGTCGGGGGTCGGGGTTTTCGGGGTTGACAAAGTCGGGGTCGGGGTCGGGGTTGCTCAAATTGTTCGGGGTCGGGGTCGGGGCTGAAAATCATGTCGGGGTTCGGGGTCGGGGGTCGGGGTTGAAGTGAAAATTTACAAAATCCAGCATTTTTATCCAATATTACTGTGCAAAATCAACATTTTTATTAAAAAATCAACTTAATCTTCATTATCTTCACTTTCTAAATCTAATTCGTTATTAGTTGAAGGCGCAAGAAGTACTTTATCCAAGTTATCCTTCATAATCCCCAAACCCACAAGGTAACTCTTACTCCCCCTCTTAAAGGGAGTGAGGGGATATGAAGGCATATCAGAGGATTAAGATGGATATAATGGGATTTAGAGGGATTTGAAGAGATATCGGGGATTTGCAAGTATAACTGGAGAAATCCATCTATCCATCAATTTCTCCTAAAGCCTCTGTATCCCTTCATTGAGTTTAGCGCCGCAGGCAAAAATTTTGAGAATTTTGGAAGGTCAAGAGCCAGATCTCTTCCATTTTCTGCGCCGCAGGCGAAAATTTTTAGAATTTAGGAAGGCCAAGAGACAGATTTCTTCCATTTTCTACGCAACAGGTGAAAATTTTGGAAAATTCATGACTAGTTTAAAATTTCTAAAATTTTTTCAGGTTTAAAATATTAAAAAAAATAAATTTGCATATTTAAAATCAAGATCAAAGTTTAAAAATATTTATTTTTGAGAAGAAAAATTTTCTCAGTCTCATTTCAATCGATGTATTCGAACACCATACCTATCAAAATAGCTAGATGGGTGAAGTCAGTTAACCTAACCACTCGCCCACCGACCAACAAAAGGAAATAGGAGAAAATATAAATATTCATTTCCCTTTTCCTTCATATATTTAACATCAAAGTCCCGATCCCGTTCCGATCTCTAGTTAATTAATGCAGTTTGAGTCGGGGTCATAAAAATTTTTCGGGGTTCGGGGTCGTCGGGGTCGAACTTTCGGGGGTCGGGGTTTTCGGGGTTGGGAATGTCGGGGTCGGGGTCGGGGTTTTAGGTCAAAAAGTGTCGGGGTTCGGGGTCGGGGTCGGGGTTAGTCGGGGTCGGGGCGCAACCCTAGTTTAAGATATAAGATTGAACAAACATTTTTATAACGAATTTATTTTAATTGTTTACTTTACTACAATAGTCAACATTTTATTTTAATAACAGGAAGCGTGTCCATAAGTAAAAATCCCAGCAAAATTTTTAAATATATAATGTTAATCTCTGAATCTACCATAAATAAGTTGGGTTCAACAATTAGCTTAATATCAAAATTCTTTTAATTGGTTGGATTGGTCTATAAAAATTATTTCTTTGTAAACTACAAAAATTCTAATATTGCCTACAAAATTTCAGTCAAAATTTTATAGACCAACTCATAAAAATATTATAATGATCGTTCAACAAATAATTGGTAACAAATAATTATATCAGATAAAGCCTACACGTGTGAATTAGACTTAAGAAGTGTAGAGAAAACAGAACAAAATAGTAATTAGAGACTATGATTGATATTTAATATTAATCATGCCCAAAAAGTCAGATAAATTTTAGAAATAGGGAGATATGCTTAATTAAATATTTTTTTGGTTTTGCGTAGGTTTACCAACAATGTGAGTATAAAATTAATACACTAGAAGCTGAGACATTCACTGACCGGAATCGAAAATTTACGGGAATGATATACCACCAACAAACGATTTTCTGTGAAATCAAGTCTTCCAACGCACCTCTAGTGTAATAATAGAAAAATAAGTATTAACTTTAATATCAAAAAAGCATCCAATTAGAATTAGCACTCTTTTAATTTTTCGTTGCTTTTGTTTTAACGCAATGAATCCTGCAACTCTGGGTTGGCAAGAATACTTTCACTTAAATCTGGCAAATCCTCAGCAATTACCTTTAGAAAAATTTTTTTTAAAAATAAACCTTAAAAATTTTGAAATTTACCCCAGAGACAGCATTCTTTTTGGACTCTTCTACAAGAGTATTTAATTGAATTTTACATCCACTTTTTCCTCCTTCCAATAATTCATTACCATTACATTCCTTAGCTGACTTTTCATTAACACCTTCATTTTCTTTTGCAAAAAACCAACTTTCTAACATCCAGAGGAGATGGTCCTTTTAAATAATTAAAAAATTAAAATATTTAAAAATTAAAAGAAAAACATTTCCAAACATTGGGACCAAATGCTCATCTTTGTCCCATTCTTCACGATCAGGAATTTCAGCAACTTTTAATTCCTTTGTTGGTGAACGAGTATTGTAGGTCTAAATTAAACAATAACTTTATCTAATCAAAATATTAGAAAAATACCTGTTTTCTAATAAAATTGACAAATTTCATTCGATCATATAATTCCATCTTTTGTTCGTCGATATAAGCAAAAATGTCAAATTTATGGTCATCTTTCATGTGCTCCACAATTTCATCCAACTCTATATTTGCATGGTCACAAAATAGACATAAACCAAGTAAGTCTTCATCAGTATTATCTTGCTAAAAAATTTGTTTTTTTAGAGCTCAAATAATTTTAAAAAACTTCAAATTCTTCCCAAGAATCCTCTTCTTCTTCATCAGAGTCCATAAATGAAGGCATTGTATCCTAAACAAATAAGTTTTCGGAGCTTATCAAAATAAACCTCAAAATCCTCAGCCAAAACATCAAGCCACCGCTTACCCAATTCCAAATAATTAATAATATAAAACTAAAAAAATAATTTGAGAAAAAAACAAAAATACCAACCTTATCATAATAATTATTTTTTGGATTAACTTCTTTGTGGTTCTTTTTACGCATATGATCCATTAAAGTAATTCGATCAGCAAATGTTTTTTCACAATAAATACACTCGTTACGAGTCATTTTATCCCGTAAATGTTCGATGTATTCAATAACCTTTTTAAAAAAATTATCAAAATAAAATTTAATTAGAAAAAATATACAAAAACAAGATTGTCAGGAGAACCCAAATTTAAGTGATGTATAGTGTACAAATGATGAATAATTTTAGCTCGATTTCCTTTTGCAATATATCGACTAAAAAGTTTTTAAATAAAATCAAATCCAAAAAATTACCAAAAAAGACATTGTGTCATAAAAGCATGATCTTCACGTTCACGTTGCTGACAGGCCAATGCCTCCTCTAAGCGACGCATTGCAAGACGTTGACGTAACCCGTAATCTAGAAAGACGAGTTAAAAAGTGCAATCAAATTAAATATACCTTCTTTAACTTCCTCGGTCATTTTATAGTAGAAATCCACCTGAACAGAAAGATTTATAAAATAAATTGTTTTTCGAAAATGAGAGCCGTCGCGAAAAATCAATTTTTAAAAAATAACCTTTCCGTGTAGTGGATGTCCTTCTTCTGGAATAATCTTTGGAAAAACGTCTTCAATTTTACAAGTATTAAATTGTTGTCGCCAATGTTCTAAATTTTAAAATATTAAAAATTAAAAATAATTTAAACGAACCAACATAGCGTTTCAAATCAACAATAATGTCCATATCATCAATAACGACTTTATGCTCATTTAATAAATGAGTAGAAAAAGAATCCATCATTTCAGGTAATTGAAAAAATTGGAGGCATTTCAGACACATTGTTGGCCCACCCCAATGAGGCGAATAACCGACTGGTGGAATTGTGCCTGATATGGGATTCGTTTAAAATTAAAAAATATTCATAAAACCCGAAAGAGAGCGAATCCTTCCACGAGGAATTACCAAACATGGTTTTTGTGCAGCACGACGACGTGCAGCGCTTTCATCCTCAGATTCAGAGAAAGGCTCATCAAGATCCACTAAAAATTTTTAATTGAAAAATGTAACAGTTTATTTGAGTTTTAGTTAATAAAAATTAAAAAACAAACTTTCTTCATAATCAAAACTTTCGCCATTTGTTGCCAAAGAATTATTACTCGTTCCAATATCCGCTAAATATTAAACAGAATAAAAACATTAATTTTAGAAATATTTTACTTGCTGACTTTCTGTGTCTATGGTCTTTGCGATCCTTTTTAAACACTTCATTAAGCCCTCCAGGTACTTCTAATTTTGTAGGAGGAGGTGCTGTATTTGTTGAAAGAGAACGCGTCTTTTGCTGCCATGATCGGCTAGACTTATCAGATGGCCGTCCACCTCCTCTATTACTGGAATTGCCCTGAGGCTGACTTTGCATTCGACCTGCTGCAAAATCATTGCGTTTGTCAGCAACAGATAATGGTTGTTGCTGTGAAAAGAGAAAAATTTAATTTAAAAAAAATAAAATTTACAAATTGTTTTTGGTTATAGTAAATACGCTGACGGTTTGAATGAAGTCGAACATCTTCTGATGCCCGACGATTTTGTTTATGCTGAACAGGTTTGTCTTTGTCTTGTTTTTCTGGTGAGTTGGAAGAAGTTTTGACTACATTTTTTGAATCGGCAGATTTTTGTTGGTCATTTTCTTTAGCACTATCCCCCAGTTGAGGTTCACTCATTGTAGAAAAATTTGAAGAATTATTTTTGTTTATTATTTTACCTAAAAATAAAAATTATTTTAGTCACACTTTTAGTAAATAAATATAGCAAAACTTCCACGCATTTTTCTTCAAAAAACAATTAAAAATTGAAAAAAAAATTTTTTTTTGACAAAAATTTTTCATTTACCAAAATTTCATTTGATCGAAACGAGAAGTTTGTTTCATATTGGTAAAACCATTTTGCCACAAACCACTTGGCAACAACCTTCAAATTATCTCATTTAGTAGTTCATTATGGAATTAGGCTGGTAAACCAGAATTTTATTAATTTTGATTAAGCCATTCTGCATTGATTGTCAATTTGCTCAGTTATTTACTTCTCAATTATATCCAGTAATTTAATATTAAAATTATTTTTAGCAAATAAATTTACTTAAAAAGTACTACCTATGTCTAATTTTATCGACAACGAGGCAGAGCTTTCCGATCAGGCGGAATCAGCTGCATCAGAAACTTCAGAACCTGCACCAAAACGATCAAGAAAATTAAAAGAAAAGAAAAGACGTCATCAAATAAGGTTTTTTTCATAAATTATTTTATGATTTTTTAAATTTTAGTAGTGACGAGGAGGATGAAGAAGACGATGCAGAGGATGAGGATCGTGCTCGAGAAGAGATGAAAGGATTTGTTGTTGATGATGAAGATGAGGATGACGAAGAAGGGGGTGATGGTGGAGATGCTGGTGATGATGAGGTATAATAAAGAAAAAAATTTTTATTTTTGTTTTAAAAATTTAGAGTAGCAAAGCAGGTTCTGATGATGATTTGTTGGAAGATGATTTGGATCTCCTTAACGAAAATATTGGCCATAATGTACGCGGACGAGTGGAAATTAGCGATGATGAAGATGATCGTGAACGAATTAAAGGACAGCTCTTTGGAACTGTAAATTTAACAAATCTTTAATCATTTTTAGAATATTTTCCAGTCTGATTTTGTTGATGATGGCCGTACAAACGAACCAGAATATCAGCAACGAGCATATACTGATGCTGGGTCAAGAAGTGAATCAGAACAATCCGGTTGTTTTTAGTTGTCTGTAAAATATAATTCATTCTTTTAGAAGACCCGTTTATTGTACAAGATGAAGGACAACGTCGACGACATCGCAAAAAGGGTACAAAACGTGAATATAGTGATCAGGTCCTTGATGAAGCGAAGGATATTTTTGGTGTGGAAGATTTGGATGAATTTTATGAAGATGAAGGTTTATTTTTTTTCTTAGATAATTACTGTTATTTTTAATTTCAGAAGTACTTGAGGAGGAACTTGAAGAGGGTGAAGAAAGCATTCGAACAACGAGACCAAGGGGTGCCAAGGTCACATTATTGGATACAATTGAACCTTCAGAACTTGAAAAGGGTTTTGTTAGGGCAGAGGATAAGAAAATTATTTGCGAGGACCGGCCAGAACGTTTTCAGGTATTTCTATATTTTTGACAAAACTTTTTATTTTTTTAGATTCGCAAAATTCCAGTCACCGAAATTGATGATCACGATCTACAGCTTGAAGCCCTCTGGATTTTAGAATTTGCATTCAAGGCTCAAACTCTTTCTCAACAAGTCTAATTATTATATGTTTTTTATCCTTCACTTTTACAATTTTCAGACTGATACTGGCCTCAGTATTTACAAGCATGGAAAAGGGACATTAGAAGTTAATACGGCAGAGGAGGAAGCTCCTGAAAAAATACGAGAAGCAATTCGTTTCATTCGGAACCAACTTTTTGAGGTGCCTTTTATTGCCTTTTATCGCAAAGAATATGTTGAGTCTTCTCTGTTGATGCCTGATTTATGGAAAGTTTATCAATTTGATGAAAAGGTTTTAATTTTTTATTTCAAAGATTATTTTTCTTTAGTGGTGTCGACTTCAAATGCGAAAAGTTCGTATAGCTGATTTACTTAAACGTGTACAAAAATATATAACTGAATCTGGTTATGATGAGGCAGCTGTATTACAACGTGTTACAGATAAAGACTTTAGAGAGTAAGGAATTTATTTGATTTTAATTAATTTTTTAAAGAATTCTTGGTGTTCAAACAAATGAAGAATTGTCTGATGTTTATGCACATTTTCAATTATATTATGGAAGTGAGATGAGGCGAATTGTCGAATGGGAAAGGATAATCATTTTACAAGAGCCACAGAGCGAAGTAGAGATTACTTCTCGTTTCAAACTTGGAAGCCGGACAGATAAATATATGGTGAATTTTTTTAATTTTGATTTTAAATTAGCATTTGGATCTCCTTTAAGTCCTGCCTATTCTTGAATATTTTAGATTACTTACCTCCTCTAACGATTAAAACAATTACCCTTACTCAAATGTTTAACACTTATTTTTTAGCTTTGTATCCAATGTGGTCTTTCGCCTATGGCTGATGCTTTCGGTTTAACACCGGAAGAATTCGCAGAAAATTACACAGAATATGTCAAGCACGAGGTGAGACAAAGTACAAAGGAGCCTAATGATGATGCAAAAGAATATATTACAGAGTTTGTTTTTATTTAACTATTTATTAGATATTTTTAAAATTTTAGAACATTCCCAACGCCAGAAAAGGTTAATTATTTTTTAAATTCAGTAACAAATTTGTTAAAATAAAACAGGTTGTTCAAGGTGCAATGTATTTACTTGCAATGCGCTTTAGTCGTGAACCTGCAGTTAGAAAGAAACTTCGACAAATTTATCGCCAAAATTTACTTCTTTCCATTTATCCTACAAAAAAAGGGCGCAACGAAATAGATGAAAGCCACGTTATTTTTGTTATATTTTTATTACAAATTTTTGTTTTAGTGGCTTTATGGTCGTCACTATATTAAAGACAAGCCTGTTAACGAATTGAAGGAAGATGAGTATTTACATTATGTTAAGGTAGGCTTTATTGACCTTTCTATTTTTTAAAATCTTAAATATACGTTCATTATTTATTTATCTAGGCAAAGAATGATGATTTAATTGAAATCGATTTACACATTGAAACCGATGCGACAGGAGAAACAAATTGTATGTTGCTTAGTTTAACTCGAGAGCCAATATTCAGCCGAGAAGAGTACTTTTACATAACTGAAGAATGGAATAAATTACGAAAGGAAGTGCTTCGGCAATGTGTTTGTGATATTTTAATACCTATTTTTCAACGTGAAGCACATGAAAGGTTATTGGAGGAGGCACGAGATTGTGTTATTCGAGTAAATTATTTAAAGGGTTTCAATTTATAAATTTTTTCTAGAAAGCCTCCCTTCGTTTAAATCATTTAATTTCTACGGAGGCTTATAGAAAGACATTTTCTTATGAAGAGGAAGATGATGATATGCCTGATTTGGGCACACGTGTTGCATCAATTTGTTATTCTGCTGATAGGGCGGAAGCTACTTTTGCAGTTGTTATTGATGAAAACGGTTATTTCTTTGTTGACTTTTTTAAAATTTTTATTTTAAAGGAATGGTAATTGAATTTATGAGATTGGTTCATTTTACAAAGGGCATGCGATCAAAGTTTCCTGACGATGTATTACTCAAGGTAGAAATTTGCCAAAATTTTTAACATTTTTTGCTAATTTCTTTAATATTGAAAAATTATTTTTGTTTACAGAAAAAGGATTTGAGAGAACTTTTCTATTTAATTCAAAGACGACGACCTCATTTGATTGTTCTTAACAGCGAAAATATGGATGCAATTCGTTTGGCCGAAGATATTCGTAATATGCTAAAAACGGAAGTAGAGGTCAATAAGACTTTTCCTGTCCAAATCCCTGTTGAAATTACTAATAGTGATGCAGCAAAAGTTTATATGAATAGTCGAATGTCAACGGTTCCCATTCTAAAAATTATTTAAAAACTTAATTTATTTTTAGCAAGAATTTGTTGAATTCCCTCCTCTTTTGAGACAAGCAGTCTCTTTAGGCCGTTTTGCCCTCGATCCACTTAATGAAATTTGCCATTTATGTAATGCTGAAGATGATATTTTATACATGAAATTTCATCCTTTGCAAAATGAAATTGGCAAATCAGACTTATTATTTGCATTGCAACTTGAGTGTATAAATCGTGTTAATGAGGTTTTATTCAAATTTTATTATAATTTTTTAATTGTAATATTTTAGGTTGGTGTTGACATTAACCGTTGTTTGGAATTTCCTCACACGGCTGGCCTTTTACAATTCGTTTGTGGACTTGGCCCGAGAAAAGCCCTTCATTTGCTCAAAATTCTCAAGCAAAATGATAATTTACTTGAAAGCCGTACTAAATTGGTTACATTTTGTCGAATGGGTCCAAAAGTTTTTATGAATGCTGCTGGATTTATTAAAATTGATACTGCAAAAATTGCTGAAAGAACCGATTCTTATGTCGAGTATGTTTTAAAACATGAGCTTTTTTGAGACCGAAATATTCTGTTTTTAGAGTATTGGATGGTTCTCGTGTTCACCCTGAAACATACGAATGGGCAAGAAAGATGGCTGTTGATGCATTAGAGTTGGACGATGCTGTCGATCAAACGGTGGCTTTAGAGGAGATTTTAAAGGCTCCAGAAAAACTCAAAGAATTAGATTTGGATGCGTTTGCTGAAGAATTAACTAGACAGGTTCGAAAATTAATTTTTATATTTCATTTTCTAAATACTTTAGGGCTTTGGCAACAAAAACATTACACTCTATGATATTCGTGCTGAACTTAACTATCGTTACAAAGATTTGCGTATGCCTCATATGCCCCCAAATGGTGAAGAATTGGCTCAAATGTTGTTGCACGATGACATATCAAACGTTCAAGGTTTTCTGATTTATCTTCTTTTCGAAAGAAAAATTTATTTTTAAGGAAAACTTGTGCTTGGACAAATTCTTTCTGTTGCATATAGAAAAATTAATGAAAAGGAAACTAATTTAAAAGCACGTTGGAATGACTTTACTTCTACTTGGGTGTGCCCATGTTGTAAACGCGACAATTTCAAGGTTAAAAACTTTTGTTAAATTCTCTTTTAACTTTATTCTATTTAGGAACCAACAGATGTGTCAAATCATTTTGGTGAATTTACTGGTATTCGCGAATGCCCTGGTGTTCCTGTTGGTCTACGCGTTAGATTAGACAATGGATTGATGGGATTTGTTGGAATGAGAAATATTTCTGATCAATTTGAGAAAATTACTGATCCAACGAAATTATTTAAAGTAAACTGAATTATATTTTATTCCATTTTTTTAAATTTTAGCCCGGCCAAAACCAATATTTTCGCGTCATTGAGTTTAAACCAGATCGTTTAGAATGTGATCTTTCTTGTAAATCAAGTGATTTAAGAGGAGAAGAAGATAGACGTGACAAATATTTCGATAGTGATCGTTTCCAAGAAGACAATATTGCTGACGAAAAAGCGAGGAAAGCAGCACATGAAAAACGACATATGAATAGTCGCGTTACTTCTCATCCATGTTTCCATAATGTTACATTTAAGGATGCTGAGCGTATGTTAAGGAAAATGGATTTGGTTATTATTTTTTGGAATCTTTTATATAAATGTTTATCTTTTAGGGAGAGGCTATAATCCGTCCTTCTGGTAAATCTCCTGATCATTTAACGGTTAGAGTTCTTTAAATTTTTTTTCGCTAAATTCTCCTTTCGATATAAAATTATTTTTAAGGTCACATGGAAAGTACTTGATGATATTTATCAACATATTCAAGTAGAAGAACGCGAAAAGAAGAGACAATTTGAGATTGGCAAAAAATTAATAATTAATGGAGATGTACAAATTTATCATTTTCTTCCCAAATATTTTTAAATTTTCAGGAATTTGAAGATTTAGATGAAATTTTAGCACGACATATTCAACCTATGACTGCAGTTGTTCGTGACATTATGAGCTTTAAATATTATTTGGCATCAGTTGCTGCTGAGAGTGTTCAAGTTATTGATAATGTTCTTCGTACACAAAAAAAGAATGCTCCACAGAGAATACCGTATAATTTTTATTTAAATTTTGCTGATGTTTTTCGTAAATATATGTGTGGGTTGGCTAGGGATTATATTCCGTTCCCAAAAAATTGAACGGTTCCTTGGTTGCGGTTCCTTGCAGTTCCATTATTTCAGCGGTTCTGGGGACTGCTTCATGAAAAGTGGAGGTTGAAGTCCCTCAGGGAGTGATAAGTTTTTCTCTTTAAATTCATTCCTCTTTCATAAGATCTTTTGGAAGTCATTTTTGGAAGATTTTACTTTTTTTAATTCTAAAATTTTTTCATTTAGTTATTGTATAACGGCAAGCAAAAAATATCCTGGGAAATTTGTACTTTCTTACCTGGCACAATCGAAGATACGTAATGAATATATGAGTGTTACTCCAGAAGGATTACGTTTTCGAAAACAACTATTTAACAGTACAGAGGATTGTGTTAATTGGTTTAAGGTAAAAATTTGTTTAAAAAGATTTAAAACATTTTTTTTTATTTTTAGGCAAATTTTGCTCAACGGCCAGCTTAAATATATTTGAATAAAAATACTCGATTCTAGACTCATTCCTTATTTGTTTTTAACCTGTCTCGGTTTCCTTATAAAATAATTTTATGGGTTTTTATTTGCCCTCCCAGAGTTGTGTACAAAAGTTTTTATTTTTAATAAAATTAATTTGGTGAATATTTTTGTATAAAAAGTAGAAAAATACAAAAAAAAATTAAATTTTGTCTGATAATTTATTTTCTTATAATTTCTGGTTAGTATTATTTGAAAATTAATAATCGTAACAAGCTCGGTCTCTGTGCAAAATAAATAATTCTTAACGAAATAAAAATTTATTATTTTTAAAAATTGATTCAAAAATATATTGGTTATTGAGCGAAATTAAAAATAAAAGTTTATAGAGAACTTAAGATGAATTTCTATTTACTTAAAGATACATACAATTGTTGAAATTGTGTGGTCACAATATTTACCCACAAAATACTTGATCATTTACCCCAAATTTAGTTTTGTACATTTAAAAATTATTTTTGATTTCCCCCCAACTACGTTTTTCAACTTTAATATTTTTTTACTTTTATTGACAATTGACACAACGGAATTGCAATTATAGAATACAAAAGTAGGATGGTTGCGCATCGTTAGATAATGTCAAAAAATTCCTAAAAAATAATAATTGCTCACATATCTTTATAAAATCATGGTGAAAGCGAAAATATTTTTTCAAAAAAATTCTATTTTATTTTCAAAAGAAAAAATAAATAAAAATGTTCTACAATATTCATCTATTATTTTTATATTTTATTTTAATTGGAATAATTATTAATAAAGAAAATTTAAAAAATAATAATGAAAATGCCTGTGCTTCTCCTGTATTTATTCCATCTCAAGACCCTTCTTGTAAATTATATACTTAGTAATTTTTATAATTTTTTTCCTAATTATTAAGCTATGTCAAATGCTAGATGTTCCGATTTAATAATTTATCCAATAAATGCTGTTGATCAATCAGATCAATATAGGTAATTGTGGGTAGTTAATGAATTGAATAAATTAATTTCTGTTAAAAGATTTGACTATAGCGATGTTGGATTTGGTAATACACACGGATTGGGGGCTTCTGTGACGGTTATAATGATTTCCAAAAAAATTTATTTAAAGAAAATCTTTAAAGGTAACATGCACAACTGATAGTCAACCAGCTACTGTTGAGGGATATGATCAACAAAGGGCTTCTATAACATCATCCCCTGCGTTAATAGCTAGTTGTTCTCAAGTAGAAGGATCACAATATACTTGGGTAAATATTAGAGCTTCACCGGAAGTTCTAGTTCCGTAGGCCGGAAGTTTCGGGATTTTTTGGTTCCTGTTCCGGTTTGAAAAGTTCCGGCCCGGAACCAAAATACATATAGTACTAATTATTTTGTTAATTAATTTCTTATATTTTTAGACAGTTCATACAAAAATTCTTCAATTTGTAGACTGCCGTGTTTGAGAGACGAAATCTTAATTAAATTAAAAAATAAAAAAATTTGACAGTCCACTTTTTTCTGATTATGATCTCCATTTCATTCAATTTGTTTAGAAAACAAAGTTAATATATCGTATTTTATTCTAGAACCAATGTCTCTAATATACCACCCCTAAATGGTGGGTCTGAAAAATAGAAACACTGGTGGTTCTATTAGAATAAATACGGTATTACAGTAAATAAGCTGTGAAAATATTTAAAATTCTCTCTCTGTATAAGAGGAAAACGAAATTATTTTCAAAAAAATTTTTTGTATTTTGTCAAAATAAAATTATGCAGAGATTAAGATATCTCGATTATTGTACCAGAGGTGGGTCGAAATTCCGATTTCCGATGTTTTTTTCTTCCGATTTCCGAAAAAATTTTTATTTCTGATTTCCGAGTTCCGACTTTTCAGCCAGTTCCTATTTCAGGCTCTTCCGATTTCCAACACCTCTGACTGTTCCGACCCACCTCTGTATTGTACTAACATAGTAAGTAATATAAATTTATTATTAATAACCTTATTAAAAAATTAATAACTCTATTTATTTTACTAAAAATACCTTTTATTTTCATTCATTCATTCAACTATTTTAATCCAATAAAGTAAATCTATTTTTATTGAAAGAATATCTATTTTATTCAAAGTCACAACTACTATTTAGTCCTTTCCATCTTCCAATCCCTTTTAAATAAGAAAAAGCAATTCACAATCATTCAAGTATTTCCCCTTCGGCGCTAAAAAAAGAATTTAAGGATATACTTCTAGCTATTTGAAAGCTGTCTATTCAAATGGAGGAAGAAAATATATGCGCAACTAGAATATTCCAAATAAATATTTTATTTTTGTCTTTTAATTTATAATTTTAAATTTATATATTAGGAAATGGACCTTCCACACTTTTGGAAGAAAATAAAAAATCGGAAGCGAAAAGTCACCGGAAGTCATTCTGCCACATTCAGACCTCGAATTTATATAAATCCAAAATTAGATACATCTCGATTTTAGAAACGTTTTCTAGGATTTATTGGCTATTTTACGCCGGATGAGCTTCCTAAGCCCTACCCTCAGTTCAAAATACCCCGAATTTTTAAATACGATATTTTCAGAACCGAGGGATATTTAAAATTGAGGAAGCTGTTTTATTTAATTTTTTTCTAAAAATTAAATTTATTTAAATAAATGTCAACAACAACACAAGAGCAACATTCCTCTGTAAATTCCTCAAATATTATAGGAATTCCAACAAACGGAGAGGATGATGGAGATATTTGTTTAGAATTAGAAGGGCGTTGTAAAGCCTATAAATTCGTTGCTTATGCAGCAATTATATTTTCGGTTGTTGCAATTATTTCTGTTTGTATATCTTTACCTATGGTTTATACTTATGTTAAATATGTTAGAAAACAATTACATAATGAATTGGATTATTGTAAGGTAAGAAAAGAATAAATTGGAAAATTCTTAAAAATGAATGGCATATTATTAAATAATTTAGGATTCTGCACAAGACATTCTTTCTGAAGTAAATGAAATTAAACACTTCTTCCCTTCAAATAGCAGCAAAAGAACTGCTAGACAAACATATCCAGATGGAAATTCTGGAACAGCAACAGCACCAAATAGTGAAGGGGGAGGTTATTCTAATTCAGCATGCGAGGCTTGTTGTGTTCCTGGCCCGCCGGGAGTGCCAGGCAATTAATCTTTTAATTAAAAATGTTGTAAACTTAAATATTTTTTATAAAGGTACCCCGGGAAGGCCCGGTCGACCAGGAAAACCTGGGGCACCAGGTATTCCTGGAATACCCGGAAGACCGCCAGCACAGCCTTGTGAACCAATTACTCCTGTAATTATAATAAAATAATTATTAAATTTATTTTAAATTAACAGCCACCATGTAAACCATGTCCGCAAGGCCCGCCTGGACCTCAAGGTCCTCCCGGACCGCCAGGGGATCCTGGCCAGCCCGGAGCTCCTGGAAATCCAGGACAGGATGCTGCGCCAGGAGTGAGTTATTTTATGATGTATAAATATTTATTTCTTTAATTAGGAACCCGGTCCAAAAGGACCTCCTGGCCCACCCGGTGAACCGGGCCAACCGGGTCCACCGGGGGATCCAGGATTGCCAGCAGTTAGTGAAGAAGCAATACCAGGAGAGCCAGGATTGCCAGGTAAATTTAAAATCTTATAGTATATAAACTTTATAAAAAATAATATTTAGGTGATCCAGGCCCGCCGGGCCCGCCAGGACCGCCTGGATTGCCTGGAAGTGAGTTTAAATAAATTTAGATAATTAAAATCAAACTGATTTCTAAGGTGATGGAGCTCCAGGTCCAGCAGGCCCCAAGGGACCGCCAGGACCAGACGGAATTCCAGGAAATGATGGTAGGAAATAAATTGATTAATTTAACTATATTTAAATAAATGAAGGAATCCCCGGCCCTCCTGGACCTCCAGGTGCACCTGGTGCTCCAGGCGAGAGAGGCATCTGTCCTAAATATTGTGCTATAGACGGGGGTGTGTTCTTTGAGGATGGGACAAGACGTTAAAAATGAAAAGTAAATTTAAAAAATATTTTTGTTATGAAAGTATAAATTAATTATTTTTAAATAATTATTTTTTTTTTTAATTTTTTTTCTTGCTATCGAAATTATTTATCACTTTTTTAAATTACATAAATAAAATTTTTATAAATTAATTTTTGAATAATTAATAATTACAGTTATGGCGTAATGTATATATTTTTGCGAAGATTTCTTTTTTAAATTTATTTTGATTTATTAACTTTTAGCAAAAAACTTCAAGAAGATTTAAATTTATGGTTATATAAATAAAATGTTTAATTTATAAAATGAAAATTATTATGGGACAAGACTTATTTCCCTTACTAATTTTTCTTTGTCTTCTTCCTTGTACTTCTTTTTCGATTGTAGCATACATGACAATAATATTGTCCAGGTTGTGAATGATGGTACCAATATACTGATTTTGTATTTCCGCAAATATAGCAATTACGATTAATTGAAATTTGCTATAAAATATTAATATTAGTAATTTAATTGATGCGCTTGGAATTTTGAAAATTTCTTATATATTTGAATAATATTTTTGGTGCAATTATATATCTTTGATTTATTCTTGATGTATAAGAACTCTTGTATTTTAATTTCTTACCAAAAAATAAGAGTTCCCTTAATTGATTATAATTCAAGAAATTATAAAATATTTGTGAAATATTTTAAATGTTAATTTAAAGTTGATAACTAATTAAAATATTTTAAAAGTTTTATTATTAATTATTTTAAAAAAGAATTGATAAACCTTCCGAGTTTTACCCCACATTTCTTTTGGTCTAAACTTTCCAAATTTTAGTTTATATATGCGACAAACGTGGCACAAATATTCTTTTAGATAATTAGCCCATTCATTACTTTGTGAAGTTCCGCAATTGAAACAATGTCGGATTTTTCTTTTATTAATTCCGCCTTTAATAATTAAAAATAAAACATTTTGTTATTCAAATGAAGGGAAAATAAAAATTTAATAATTACTTATTTTATTGCCAATATAAATAATTTTGCTTTTTAATTCTTCCTTTGGATATTCTCCAACTTTTTGTTTTTCTAATAAATTAATTTTATACGAAGTTAAATTAATCTCTGTCCAGTAACTTGATAAAAATTTGTCTTTAAAATTTTCTATATTTGCCCCAATTGATTTTGAATTATTATTATTTTCTAAATTCTCGTCTAATATAGAAGTTGTATAATAATTATTTTTGTTAATAAAATTATTATTTCGAAGTATCTTAAATTTATTTTAAAGTAAAGGTAGATTTTTGGAAAATCGTCGGATATACTGATAATGGTCTAATATCCGAAACATAAATTTAAGTTTCCCCGAACTAAATCATTAATTTAAAAGTGAATGCTGTTAATAAGTCAAATAGAAATATAAATAGGATTTTAGGACTAGAAGTTCACTGAAAAATTTTAGAAACCCCAAAAATTAAATTCCTAACTATAATAGAGAATACAAAGGCTGCTTTCCAGTGGTAGAATCGGCCGAGGCGAAATTTTCAGATCCCATTCATTTTTAATTTCCACTTCGATCATTTTGTTAATTCAACCTTATACCCCAGTTTGTGTAGAATATTCGAATATTTAAAATATAAAAAATACCCGTTTTTCAAATCCCGGCAAAAAATTTTGAATAATTTCATTATTGCCAATCTCAATCAAAACTTTTCTTTTTAATTGAACAGACGGAATATATGACCTGTCATTTATTCGAACATTAAAAATATTTTTTTCAATGTTTATTTCAACTGGATGCAAATATTCATCTATATTATAATTTGGGCTAAAATATCTATTAATGCTTTTTTCAATTGTTTTTAATACAAAACGTTCTTTTATTTCAACATTTTTTAAATAAATAAATTCTCTTTTTTCCTCCCAATCATCTTCTATTTTAACTTTAATTTTAATTAACTTCCCAGAACATTTAATATTCAATAAAATAATTAAATATAAGAAAGGAATAATGATTTTAATCATCGGAAATATTAAAAATATTGTTAATCTTTAAATAAATGTAAAAGATATAAAACAACGAAAGCAACCTAAATCAACACAAAAATATTTTTGATATTAAACGAGGTAGATATATTCTGTAAAACTGGAGATATTTATTTCCTAATTCCGCCATTTCTGGCCTAATTTATGTTCAAAATGACCCCTTATAAGTCTAATAAATCTCTATAAGTTAGAACAGAGTCCCACTTCGTTTCGTTAGTTAACTCTTAATTTTTTTGAACATATGCCAAAAAATATTATGTACACTACCACAAACAAAACAAACCACTCTTTACTCATCTAACAATAAGAAGGATGATTGAGGCTTGTTTCACGTCATAACCGAAAATTTTCAGTGTTCGTGGTTAGGTGAAAATTTCATTTTTGTCTAAACTCAAAGGATAAACCAAAATCCGCTACGTTTTTTATTACTAAAATCTTCTTATTTTTTGATTTTAAATAAATATTAAGTGAAAAGGGGAGACACAAAAAAATTTCATCGGCCAATCATAACTCATGGCAAGCAATTAAAATTGTAAAAGTGTAAATTTTGTTATTTTACTTTGTCGGAAAATAAACAAAAAAAAACAAAAATTTTGAAATCTTTGTCTATCAAAAAAATATTTAAGTGCATATAAACATCCTGATCTGGTTCAGATACTTATCCTAATCTAAAAGGATCTAAACTGATAGTGTCAGGGGAGCGCCATGAATGTAGCATCGTTTCTTCGCCTAATTTTAGAATTCGAATATTTTCTCTCCCCACTGATTAATTACCTTATCCAGTGAAAGTTTGAAAAAATAATGTGAGCCTATAATTTAAATATTAATCACAGTGTTCTCCAATGTAAATTTTTCCGTATAGCGAGATAGATACATCAAGATAATTATAATTTCAATTAAACGAGAAAATCAAAAATAATTAAATAAATTTAGTTATTTATTTAATAAAATTACTTGGTAAAAATTATTTTTTAGAAAGAATTTAAACTCTTCTTATTTTTTGATTTTAAACACATATTAAATTAAAGGGGGGAGGGAGACTTAACAAAATTTCATCGACTGATCATAACTCGTGACAAGCAAATTTTCGTATAATTTAGTGTAAATCTCTCTCAAAAATTACCTAAATATTTACCTCTTCCAAATTTTTTATTTAAAAATTATTTTCTTTGTTTAAAAATCCCTTTCTTTTTATTTAAAAAAATATTTTTTTTTATAATTTTTGTGGTCAACAAAAACAAGCTTCTCAATTATATATTTTTCTAGTAGTTTTTAATTGAAGAAAAAGAGAAAGTTTCTAAGAAACGTCAAAAACAAGAAACATCCAAAAATGACAATAAAAGAAGAAGAAAAGCTAATAAATAAATATGTAGATATATATTTACTAAAGAAAGTTAATTTGGGGATGTTGTTAAAAAGGCTAAAATAAATAAATATGTGTATATATTTATTTGTGACTTTAAATAATTTACACTTATTTTATTTTTTATTTTTTGCTTGTTCAAGAAATTAAAAAAATATTTTGTTTATAAAATTAAATAAGTTTATTACAATTAGCTTTCGATATAATTACCCTTATATTAACGAAATATCAATTTAATGAACCTGAATTTACTAAAATAATTCAATAATAAATCCTTTAAGTCGTTAAAGATTTAGTAAATTTTCAAATATATATTTTTTAATTCTCGATTAAAGTTTCAGCATAAGGAACAATAAAATCTTACAACAAACCCGAGGGGATTAAGGAGAAAAGTTTGTTAAATAGAGCCGTTTTAATGAGAAATCCTACATTGACCAGGCGTTCTGTGCGGTCGTTAGGTTTCGGCTGTAAAATATTTATTATAAAAAATATTAAAAAATATTTAATCTCTACATTAATTTCTATAAATTAAAATATTTAATTAAAATCGGAGAAGCATTCTTCGGTAAAGTTAGCGGAAGATAAAGATAAAAGATACGCGAAAGAGAAAATTTATTATTGCAAAACCAGAAAAGAAAAGATTATTTTTGATATATTTAGTAAACAAAGAATTAAAAAAAATAATATATTTTTTTAGATTATTTAATTTAAATTTAAATAATTAAATAATTTTATTTTTTAAAAAAAATGCTGAATTGTAAAAATTGTCAAAATAATTTTATTTCAACAAATTCTAAATTATCAACAGATTTAAAGAAAAATGATAAACAATCGAATAGAAGAATATTACTTTTAGCTTGTATGTAATATATAATTAAAATATATTTAGTTATCTGTTTAGCCAAGGATTGGATAAATGTTTGATAAGAATTATTACCTCTCTAAAAAATAAAGACAGTTATTTAGAGAAGTAGTTAAATCAAAGGTTTTTAAGAAAATAAATTTAGCCTCTAAATAGCAGCTCAAATTTAAGTTCAGATAGATTCTATTCTATTCATGTTCTGCTTGGATGGGAGATGGAATAGTACCATCATGGAATGAGCCCAGACCGAAGCACAATCGACTGTGCTACCATCCAACTCCACAATGGGTTATTTATTTACATTTACATATATTCTTTCCGCAAGTGCGGTCACAACAGATTTCTAAACTCTGAACTAGCAAAGTAGACCTTAACAAAAGTAAATGATCCTTAATTTAGACCTAGTTAGACCTTAACAAACCTTAACAACCCTTCCCTAAAAAATTAGTGATGATTTAATGAATTTAGCAGATTTATTAATTATTTATATTTATTTATTTAAGCATTATTTGGCTCTTTATCTTTTACTTTAATGTTAATTATTGCCTTACAATTTCGTCTGATTGAATTTTTTGAAATTAATTTAAATAATAAAAATAATATTTTCTCTGAAATTAAAATAAAATTAAAAGAAAATGATGGAAATCAGACAGAAGAATTTTCAATTTTTGGTCGTCGATTAGCTTTGGGAAGTGGAGATTATTTTTTGGATATTCCCTATGCTTTGGGAACACAAAGATTTGAAGTAAGAAATTTTATAAGTCTCTTACTTGGGTTGTCTCTGTTAGGTGGAGTTGCCAAAATTTAATTTAAATGATGGTGAGTTTGCAATTAAAACTCAAGTAGAGGCTTGGGTTTATGGAAATTGCTTATTTTTCATCAAAAAAGGAAACAATTTCCCTAAAAAATTCATATTACTTTGCCAAGTCAATCATTAAGAGAAAAGTATATCTCAATAGAGGACCTCACTTGAGGGACTATTGTGTAAGAAAAATTGTTTTTTTAAATGAGGTCCGAATATGTACATGTGAGGTCCTTTAAGTGAGGTCCGAATGTATATGATAAATATTAGCCCTGTTAATTTTATTTCCCTAGCAAGCAAAATTAGCTCCATTACCAAAAAACTTTTATGCAATTAATTATGGAAATGGCTGTCCTAATGGGTTTATTTTTAAATATAATTTATAAATAAATTCCTTTAAAAAAAGATTTATTCACACTCGAGCACTTCCCGATTTAAATTGGAATCCCCCTCCTTTAGAAATAATTTCCTCATCAGAACAATGCCATACTTTAAATATTTATCGTTGCTCTACTACAAATATTAAAAATAATTTACCGATACTTGTTGTTATAAATGAAGGGAATTGGCTAAAGAGAAGTAATGCCAATTTAGAACCGACTTCGATTATTAATAATTTTGCTTGTAATAAAAATAGTGATAATGGAATTATTGTTGTGTCAATTAATTATAGAATGGGATTTTATGGTAAACAAATAAATATTTTTGGGTATTGATGATAAATGAATCCGATATCTGAATTTTTTTTTGAATTCGGATCAGAGGTGGATCGGAATTCCGACTTCGACTTTTGAGCCATTTCCGATTTCCGATAGTTTCGATTTCAGGCACCTTCGTCATTTCCGACTCACCTTGCTCCAGATATCCAACCTTCTACCATTGAGTTGGAAAATTAATCATATTTTCTTGACATTTCTCATAACTTTGAACAATTTTGAATAAAAATAAGAACGATCTAATTTATTTAATTTAAAGGAAAAATACAAAAATTTTATGAAAATTTTAACTTAAAATTTGTTAAGTTGAGTTAAATGACAAGAAATAATTTAAATGTAATATTTGTGAATTTATTGTGACTTCTTAAAAAACTATTTAAATTAAAAATATTTTTTACAGGAAATTTTTATTTGCCTGGTTGGCCAGAAAATAAAAGAAATTTTGCTTTATGGGATATTAAAACAGGATTAGAATGGGTTAAACAAAATATTGGGTATTTTGGAGGAAATGGAGAAGAAATAACTGTTATGGCTAGTGGAGAAAGTGTTAAATTAATTTCTTTACTTGGAATTTTAGAAGAAGGGAAATGTAAGCTTTGTTTAATAAATAAATTAATTAACTCATTACTACCAACAAAAATATTTTGTTAATTACCAACTTTATAATTAATGTCCGCTACAACCTTTTTTAATAAATAATAGACCTTTGATAAAAAGTAATTTTGAATACAGGAAAGTGGATAGCCCTTCCTTTCCATCAAATAAGTAATCCAAGTATGTAGTGTTCGGCACGGTTCAATACTCCCGCAGTACTCCCAAAAGTATTGACTCGGTCCTCCTGCTATTCGTTTGAAAAAAATCCATTTGTCGAACACTAAATCCAATTAATGTTGGGGGCTGAGAGGAAGACAAAAATGTTTTTTCTCGAGGTCTAAAAATTTTTATAGCTTGTGTCTATTTTTAAATAAATTTTAGAATTTATTTATAATTTTTGTTAGTTTAAAAAAATTAATTTCCAGCATTATTTAAAAAACAAATATTTATTTCTGGATCATTATTTTCTCCAACAATTTTTCAATCCGATATTAAAAATATAAATAATACAAATAATTATAATATTAAATTTTTAATTTCTTCAAATTGTTTAAATGAAAATGAATTAAATAATGAAGAATTAAAAAATAATTCTTTAAAATTAGAAGAATGTTTAAATAAATTAAATCAACAAGTAAATAAATAATTTTTAAATAAAAATTAATTAATTTAAAATTAAAAAAGGAAATAATTTCTATTGAAAATAAAATTAAAAATTTACAACAAAATTGGCCAATAATTACTTCTTCTTCTTTAATTAATAAAGACAAGAATTTTTATATTCCAGAAGATCCTTTTTCTGTTAATATTCCAGCAATTCCTAGTATTATTGGGGTTTGTACTTTTCCCAAAAATTTTGAAAAGGAAAAAGAAGTTGTGAGTGCAAATTTAAATTTTCTAAATATTAATTAATAAATAAAATTTTTCAAAATTTTATTCCTTCCAAAAATTATTTTGCCCATCCAAATGATTGAGATTATTCAAAGGAATTTTATAAATAACTTGGAAAAATACCTGAAAAGTCGCTTCCTTTTAATTAGTATCAAAAAAATTTTTTTAAAAAGAGAAGAACATATTTAATTTTCTTAGTTTTAATTAGAGACCGGATCGAGACGTGATCTCAATCAAAAATCTCGGTTATCGAGATCTAAAATTTTTCGAGATCTTGATTCTCGTACGACACTCTAGTTCGGTCGTTAGTTTTAATTGTATATATTAAAGATATTATTAATTAAATATTTTTTAGAAAAAACCAGAAAGTTTATCGAGTCAAGCATTCCATTACAAAATTAACAATGCAATAAAGGATGAATTAACAGAAAATTTACGTCAAATGCATAATTTAAAAAAAACTTTAGAAAATTATTGGGGAGAAATTGAAAGCGAAGAATTTTTAAAATATTATTTAAATGAAGGGGAAAAACAAAAAATGGATGAATTATTAAATGAATTTAATAATGGGGAAATTATGGAGAATCCAGAGGAAATAATTAGAAGGGTAAGGAAAATTTAAATTGAATGGTGGAGGTTTTTACTGTATAGAAAAATATTAGAAAAATTCTGGTAATTACAAGTCAATAATCACTAAAATGCTCAGATTCTCATGTACCAGGGGTAGATCGGAATTCCGATTTCCGACTTACGATTTCCGAAAATTTAGGCTGGTTTCCGATTTCCTAATTCCGACTTTTGAGCCATTTCAGATTTCCGACAGTTCCGAAACCTACGCCTCTATCGACCCCAATGCTATCTGAAGTTATGTGGATATTTTCTGGAATTTGAGTTAAATATTTATGTTATACTCACATAATTATCCTGAGTAATTATTATTTCAACCTCTCCCTGTAGGGGATAATTAATTGTCTGAGGGTGTGAAATAAACAATAAATACAGAGATAATTTAATTTTATATCCAGATTCACACAGACTTCTCAATTGTTGGACCAATAGTTTTAGAATGGTTTGTACGTTCAAAACTTTTTAATTCACGAGTTTATGGATTTGTATTTGAATATCTAACAAATTTAAATATCTCCAAAGTAGACAAAGCAGAGGAAGGATCTCGCCAAACAAATGCTTGGGCATCTGGACAACCAGCTTGTTTAGACGAATTATTATTTAATTTAATTCCTGAAGAATTCGAAGAAAAAAAGACTGGAAAGGAAATTGGTGATTTTGCTGATAGATTGTCTTTGTTTATTAATTTTGGGTAAAATAAAGGGAATCCTTTCAAAGAAATATTTTTTTAATTTAAAGTGATCCAAATTATGACGAAGAAAATGTTAAAGAAAATAAAGGAAGATCGTTAATTGAATGGCCAACAGTATTTCCAAGATTATTATTTAATTTGAAAAAACAAGGAGAAGGTAAAAAGAATAGAAAAATATAATTTTGGGCAATTAAAATTTTAATAAAATTTTAATTAAGAACAAAATTGGCCAAAATGGTTGAACATTTCTAGTGGACAAATTGAGGAGGGAGCATTGAATAAATTTTTGATTGGAGATCCACAGCTTTGGTTATGTAAATTACCTAAATTGAGATTTAAAGAGAAATTAATTAATAATAAAATAGATTCGTTATGTAAAAATTAAAAAGATATCCAATATTTGATGCAAATCATTCCATTGAGAATATATTTTTACAAAATTATTTCTCAATTTCTTTTCTGATTGAATTCAGCTCGAAATTTTATTGTTCCATCCAAACAATGATTTTTGTAAATTTGTAATTGTTAAAACGAGATGATTCGGCTGTATCTTTATTGTTTAATTATCTGATATCTAAATATAAAAATAATTTTTTAATCTAAATTTTTGATTTATATGTAGATGAATCCAATTTTTATTTTATCACAGAAACACCAAATTATTAAAAATTAATAATTAGATGTTTCTTTGATAAAAACATAATTTTAAAATAAAAAGTACATATTAAAAATATTTAAATATTTTAAATTATATATTAAATTATTTTATATTTTAAATTATTTTAAATATTTAAATATTCTAAATAATTTTACTATTTATTTAAATAGTTTTATTATTTATATACTACATATGTAAAATATTTATTTGTATATCCACTTAAATATTTTTTGCCTAAAGGGATCACCATCACAATAAGATGAGATACTTGAGAATTTATTTTTAATAAGTATTATTAAATATACTTTTTGTGTGTAAATATTTACCTTTAAAGTAAAAAAGAAAATACAAATCTGTTAAATATCTTCCTTTTTTCATCATTTTTAGGATTAAATATTTAATAACTAATAAATACATCATTTTTTTAGTATTTTTGTGTTAAATTCCTTTAGTTTTTTCACTAAATTTAAATAAAAATATTTTTAAATAAATATTTTCCTAAAAATGTTTAAAATTTTTTATATTACTAAAACAACGATAAATTGATTTTTGAGGGAGATTAAGTAAAGGAGCTCTTAATAAAAATAATTTTTAGTTTTTATTAAAATACTTTAATGGGCGCTTCAAAATCATTTTGATACATATTAGCTTTGTAACATTTTTTAATAAACTCTGTGACAGGGAGCCTGCCAATATAAAAATAAATTCGCGATTTTAGTTGATGGGAACGTCAGGATTCCTAGTATGATGTGAACATTAAATAATTAATTTAATTATTTATTTCTTCTCAAAAAATAGAATTATTGTAGAATTATATTTATTAAAATTATGTCATTTCCTGGTATTTCACCTTATCCCTCGTATTTTAAAAATTCAATGATCATTAGATTATTAAAAGAATTTTTTAAATTTAATTTTCAAACGTTAAAAAGGATAACTGTTTGAATTAAAAAATATTTTTTATTTTTCCTTGATTTTTCCCGATTATTCTTCATTTTCATGGTGGTCAAGGTCTTTTCTTCCTCCTTGTCTCTTTCTCGAAGGACATATCAAAATATTAGAGTAACAACATTTTTTTAATAAACTTTTAGTTTTATTAACCAAATATATATTTAGTTTTATATTTTAATTTAAATTAATTGAAGGAAAGGAAGGGATTAAATGTTAGAAAGATTAAAGTAAAGGAGTCTTTACTAAAACAATTTCTTATTTAAAATATTTTTTTAATGTTCATTATTTAAATAGATTTTCACAATTTTTTCTAAAATTTTTAAATGAAAATATTTAAGAATTAAAATTAATAAAAAAAACTAGAATTAAACTTGAAACTAGAATTGTTTCCCATCCCCTAAGTCGGGGAATTTGAGTTTTTTTTTTGAAAATTTCACGTCCCCATACTCCCCCCCCCTCGTGACTTATTTTCTAGTTAATTATGCTTTAGTTTCATAGGAACGAATTTAAAGGAACGAATTTAAATGAGATAATGCAAGAAAGCGGCGCAAAAAATTTTTTGATTCCCCGAAATTAGCCAGAGTTATACATAGGACTAACAAAAGTTTTATTTCTAAAAAACGGCTGATCCTATTCATCGATATATATTTATTAATTTAATTATAAATTTCTGTTTATATTTAAATATTTAAAATTATTTTTATAAAAATTCCTCCACAAAATTCTATTAAAAATTATTTTTCTTTTTTCGATCATTAAATATTTAAGAAGAAAATCCTGCTTTTTCTTTTAGAGAAAAGCTTTTACTTATTTAATGAAAGGAAAAAAGTAAATCGGAAGAAGCCTGAAAAAATTGGATTCAGTGATTGTACAATAAATTAATAAATATATTTTTTGATAAAAAATAATTTTACTTTTTTATTTTTTAAAAAGTTTATGGTTGTAGAAATGAAAACCAGAGGTGGGTCGGAATTCCGATTTCCGACATCTCTGCCTGTTCCGACCCACTTCTGATGAAAACCAAAAGAAATTATTAAATTTTCATTAAAAAATTTCTTTTGAAATCTTAGTTCACAAGAAAATCAATTTCCAGAATTATTAGGCATTTTAAAAAAAAATACAAATATACAAAACTTTCCTTCCCTAAAAAGAAAAATTTAAAAAAAACTGGAGGGACCATCTAAATTTAAATTTCAGGTATTACTAAATATTATTACTATTATTATTTTTTAAAGCTACTAAACAAATTTCAATGTTATTAATATTTTTATCAAATATTTTTAATTATTTTCTCTTCAAAAATTTAATTAGATCAACACCTTCTTATCCCTCCCATTCTCCACATAAAATAACAAGACATTCAGCATTAATTATCACTTTTTTATTTTTAATTCAGTCAATTTCCTCAACAAAAACAAATTTATGTCATTCTTGTTTAGCTCAATGTAAATTAATTGAAGGCGGAAAAATTGATCCAATTAAATGTGATTGTGGAGGAAATAATGATAATGAAAATGAAACTTGTATAGCTGAAAATTGTTTTGTAAAAATTGAACTTTTTCTTGAAGAAATGATTGGAATTGTGCAGGTAAATTGAAATTTAAAGAAATTGAAATAAATAAATAAAATATTATTTTTGTGGCAATAATTGAATAATTTATAAATGGGAGGCCAATGGTAAAAAATGGGAGACCAACGAATTTTTTGTTTTGGACACAGGATCCGGATATCTGAAGATTTCCAACTATCCGACAACCTTAATGGTTACAAGTCCGTTTGTGTTTATATCTAGGCAATTTTAATAAATATTTTTTATTGTAATCCATCCTTCCTTTCAAATAAATCATATACCTAATAGCTACTCGAAACGATCATATTTTTGGTTTTGAGAAAAATTAAGAATTTCTCTAGGGTGTATTTATTGAAAGATCAGATATATTTTAGACCGCTGATTTAAATTAAAGTTTCTCAGTTATAAACTTTCCAATTTTATTTGGATATAATTCCATAACTGTTTCACCACAAATCCTTTTTAAATTGACTAGAAAATTCAAAATCTCGATATTTATTTTTTTATTATTTTATTAAATACATATTCTTTAAATATGTAATCTGATTTTATACTTTCTTAACGGCCATTCGGCCCCTTTTCATTTTCATTGTTTCTGAATGTCCCATCATTTTCATATTTCCAGCACCCTTAGAATGTGTAGCTGCTGCACGTGCTTTTTTCAATGCTGCTGTGGCTTGAAGTTTATATTGTTTTTCAGAAGTTGTAGGACTGGCATTAACTTCATTTCCGGCGTTGGAAGTAGAGGAAGTGGAACCTCGAGGTGGACATGGACAACTAAAATATTTTGTAGATTTATTTTATGTTTAAAATTAACAACAAACTATTCTCCATCACCACCAGATGTTCCATCTTTGCCATTACCTCCACCCTGTCCAGGATTTCCTGATGGTCCAGGCGGGCCCGGTGGGCCTGATGGTCCGGGCGGGCCTGGTGGTGCAGCACCAGATGGAGGTGCAGGTCCTCCAGGCGGTCCTGGTGGACCGCCTGGTCCAGGTGGACCTTTTGGCCCAGGCTGTAAATTTAATCAATTAAATAATTTATTCTATTACAAAGCATACCAATCCTCTGCCTCCAGTTCCAGGATTTCCAGCCGGCCCTGGTGGGCCATTTCCGCCAGGAGGGCCAGGTGGTCCTCCATCACCTGGCGGACCAGGTGGACCTGGTTTTGGTCCACCACCTCCAGAGCCAGGTGCACCAGGATTTCCATCTGGTCCGGGTGGTCCAGGAGGTCCTCCACTTCCAGGAGGTCCAGGTGGGCCAGCTGGACAAGTAGTGCATCCTCCTCCCCCTCCACCTCCTCCTCCATAACCACCACCACCTCCTCCTCCTCCACCACCTCCCCCGCTTCCTCCTCCTCCACATGATGAGCCTCCTCCGCCATATCCTCCTTTAAATTTATTAAAGTTTTCGATTCCTCTACAAATTTCCTACCTTCTCCACCGCCACCAGCAGACGCGCTTGATCCAGGAGGACCTGCACGTCCAGGTTGTCCATCCCCTCCGGGAGATCCCGGCTGTCCTGGTGGTCCAGGTGGGCCTGGACGAGGAACGCATTGCGAAGCACGATTGTTTTGAATTGCTTGGTTAGATTTTGTTGCATAACCACCACCACCACCACCACTTTTGGCATAACCTCCTCCACCTCCTCCACCACCTCCTCCTCTTCCAACACCTGAAGAGTAGCTTCCACCTCCTTTGGCGTAACCTCCTCCTCCTCCTCCCCCACCACCTCCTCTTCCTCCAGAATAGCCTCCACCTCCTCCACCACCACTTCGTCCGCCTCCAGAATAGCCTCCACCACCTCCACCACCGCTACCACCTGAATAACCTCCTCCGCCATGGGACGTTCCTCTACGTTCACGTATCATCTCAAGGAAATCTCGACCTATAGCAGCCGCTGTTGCAGCCTTTCCGCCAGCTAATTGTAATTGCACAATTTGCATTTGACTCCAAGCATCATTAGCCATAACTTTAAAATCATCCATTTCTGCTATAACTTCATCATAAAGAGAGCTAATGTCCTTAATATTAATTTTATTTATTAACCTCTTAAATTAATTTTTATCTTCTTTTAATTAAAGAAAACACCTTAAGTATTAATCCAATAAATCCAAGGGCAATAACAACAAATATTGCAGAAATGCCAGAAATTCCTCTAATAAAAATATGTTTAATTTCCATTTTTTTTTATAAAAATGGAAAGTTTATTTTAAATTTTTATAAAATTATTTTCTATTTATATATTGAGGACAAACGTTAAATTATTAAAAAAACTTTCATTTAATGTTTAAATAAAACATTTCTTTTCTCGCAAAAACCAGTCACAGTTTTTCTTTTTTCATACACGACAATATTTAAACAATGGAAAGATGGGGAAATAAAATAAAATAATGACCTATAATTTTGGAACAATTAATTCGAGACAATTAAAATATTTTCTTTTTTCGAAAGTAAAATTGAAAAATAATTTTTTCTCGCAAATTAATTAATTTAATAATAAACATTTTTAAATAAAAGAATGTTTTTTCGAATAAAATTTAAATTTGTTTAAGAATCACGAAGTAACGAAGGGGTACTGAGGGGGAAAGTAAAAAAATTTCGTTTTTGGCTACGAAAATAAGAAGAGTTTTGCTTTTAACAAAAGAAAATATTTGTCTCAGGATTGATATTGTGTCTATAAACTTATTGAGCTTTGGATATCCTTGATATCTCATATATTTCCCCAAAAATAATTTTAATACAGAAAATTAAAAAATTTTTTTAATACGGATAATTATTTTTATATTTCCCCCCAAAAATTTTTAATGAAAAAATTTTTTTAAATACAATTGAACGTTCATTTTTAGATGATTGAGAGAGGGGAAGGAGGGGACTTAATTTTGGGGGTATCTAAAAATGAAAGTCTGACTGTACAATGTTCATTTATTAACCAAATTTTCAGAAAGGTTGTGTTAATGGTCTCCCTAAAACAACAGATGGGTGTAGTTATTCTGGACAGACCGAGTCTATACATTGTTATTGTCAAGGAGAATTATGCAATGAAAGAATAAAGTTAAATAATTATTTGCCTGCAAAATTACCTTTAATTGAATGTTGTGAATGTGGAGGGGGAGAACAACAAGATCAATGTCCAAATACAGATAATACTTTACTTTCTTCTGAAGTTAAATCATCCTCTGGTGCGTGTTCACGTGTTTGTAGAGGAAATTATTGTCTTGTAGATTTTGGAGGAAATGAACAAGGATGTGGACAGGGGGTTCCACGGCTGCAAAATTTTCTCAGAATATCTGATTATTTAAATAAATTACAAGGACAATTAGTTTGTGCTTACTATCAGGCATCAACTGAGACAATTGTTAATGGTTGGGAATTTAATATATTCTTAAATTCTTAATTATAGAATTAGCGATTCTTTTTATTAATTAAAGTTATTAAAAATCCTCTCTTCGGTTATGGGTTGAGAATAGGTGTTCTAAGAAATTTTCCGAATTTTCGGAACTGACTCGATAAACTGAACCGAAAGCTTTGTATGTAGAGGTCTAGGCTATAACTTTTAAAATTATCGCATCTCCAACATTTTGTTATTGCTGATTTAAGTTGATTTAATAATTTTAAATGGGTTATATCCCTGCAGTAAATACTCCAAATTTTTTTTTGCTATTTTTGGCATTAGTTCTGCTTTTTACTTTGATTTCTAATTTTCCAAAAAAATTAATTTAAATTAATTCAAAGGTTGTGTATGTACAGAACCCAGTGGGAACTGTAATCAAAGAAACCGAACATGGAATCATCAAATGGAAAAAGTTTTGGGTCGTCGAACGGATGATTTAAATTATTGTTATAGTTTACATGGACGTAGTGATGATGAACCAATAAATGAAAATATTTATAAAAAGTTTTTTTTAATTTAAATTTTAATAAAGAAAATTTAAAAAGGTCAGAAACTTGTGAAGGCCATTTTTGTTTTGTTAGTTTATCTACTAGAGAAATGGCTGTAGAACCTGAAATTTTAAATGATGAAAGTTCTTCTACTACAAGTATTAGCACAAATTCTTTTGTTGGTGTGTCTAAGCAACGATTTGAATTGTTGGGAGGGTGTTTAAAAGTTGATGATGATAATGTAAATATTTAAATAATTGGAATATTTTAAAAAAAAAGTTTAATCTAATATGCCTAGTTTTATTTTAACTAGAGTTAGCGGTATCGGTATTTCGAGAAAAAATCGGTATCGGGATTCATAACGTCCGATATCGGTCGGGATCACGATACCGCTCAACCTTAATTTTAACTCTTAACCACCTCAAAGATCTTCAATTAAATAAACAATCAGAAACTTTTTTTAAATAAAATCAGTAAACTCAGTTATTTTTTTGGTTCCATATACAGAAGGACTATTGAGGGGGTGAAGGAGGCAGCATTAATACTAGAAGACGTTGTTGATCTTCAGTCTTATTAGCCAGTCCCCCTTCATTCAATTAAAATTAACCTTATCTTTAAAGAAAGTTGGTATTGGATGTACCATTGAATACCTAAATAATTCTTCTACACCTTTGTCTGTTCATTGTATTTGTAATTCACATTTATGTAATTATTTCGAAATTTTGGATAAAGCAACAAATGGAAAATTAAAAATTCAAAAAGTAATTTTAAAAAGCGTTTTTAAAAACATTTTTTTAATTTTTAGATTCAATCCTCTTCAGACACAAATTTAAAAGACTCCTCATTTAATGATTTACAATTAGAAATTAATTCAAATAAAAAAAGAAATATTTTTAATTTAATTTTAATATTAAAATTTTTAATTATTTTTTATATATTTTCAGATATTTTATTTTAAAAATAAATATTTTTAAAAAATATTACTTTAATAAATTACTTATTATTTTTAAAAATATTCTTTAGTAATTATAATTTAATTAATTCCAACTCCAAATATCAACGGCCATAAAGACCAACATAAATTTAAAAAATGATTTTATTTAAGAAAAAAATTGAAATTGCTAGTCGTTCTTAAAGCTAGGTTTACATTGAAAACGTTTTACAGATAAAAATAACATTTAAAAAAGGAAGAAAAATCACTTCTCTCATTGATAAATTTTTAAAATTTAGTTTTAATTTTAGATAAATATTGAAATTGTTTAATGATGAAAATGGATGAAGAATTTTCCAAAATTCTTGAATAACTTGCATTTAATAACAATTCAATCCTCTTTTATTTTGGACGGTTTTCTAAAGTCCCCATTTCCTCGAACCTCTTGATTATTTCATCAACAGTTTGTTTTTTTATTCCAAGTTCACGTGCAATGCTGCCTTATTTCTATTATTTTTGTAGTAAAACATTTCGATAACTTTAGCTCTTGCCCTTCTTTCCTCAAAATAAAAACAGTATAAAAAACAGTATTTCGTACCTGCTTATTTTTAGCCTCGTACCTCGTACTCGTACCACCCCTATTTTACAAAAATTCATGAAAAGGAAAGAGATTTTTGATTTTTTCAATAATTCTCAAATGGACATTTGCCTTTACGCAAATTTGGCGATTTTGCATGCATATATATCCCCGCCCTAGTTATAATGGTAATTTACCTCATCGGATAAGATACATGATTTATAGGAAAGAGATTTTTGATTTTTTCAATAATTCTCAAATGGACATTTGCCTTTACGCAAATTTGGCGATTTTGCGTGCATATTTGTCCCCGCCCTAGTTATAATGGTAATTTACCTCATCGGATAAGATACATGATTTATATCCCTTCCCTTTATTTTCCAAATCTTCAAAATCCTTAATATAAACACCAGTATATTGAAGACTTTCCAACATTGAAACTTTAATAATTTCAAAACCAATTTTGTTATTAACAAATTTTTTAATAATTTCATTCCATTTAATTACAAATTCATCCATTTTAATTTTCTTTCTACTAGTGTATAATGAAAGTTTAAGACATTCATTATGGTCATTTATACATTGCTTAATCTTATTTTTAACAAGTTCAATTCTTTCTTCATATTTTCGATTAAAATATCCCAATTTTTGTGATAATGGTTTGTACATCTCCAATAACGTTATTAAATTTAATAAAGTCATCAAACTTTTCCAAATAGTATCATTATTTTCTAAACTTTTATCTCAAATAGAATGTATGTATGTACTCAATTTAAGGAGTATGTTAGGTTTTGGAAAGGACCCAAAATAAAGCACAACCGACGGTGCAAAGCCGTAACTTCCTAGAAAATGTTGGTCTTCATCAATTTTGGTAGCAATCTCCTTAGCTCGTTGAGTGGAATCGTTTGATACCAAATTTAGTAAGATTAGACTTGAAGTAAGTTATGGTTTTGCACTGTTACTTCCAATTTTAAGTCGAAATTACAGGGTGCGCCATAAGTAATTGCACACTTGTTTTCTCTCATAACTTTATTAAAACACAATCAAATAAAATCGAAATACAATCAAATGATAGAGAATTAAATAAGGAACAAAAATAATCAAGAAGATTCGGTGTGCCCACCCTTGGCTTTGATACAGAGGCGAAGGCGCGAAGAAAAATTTTCGCATATAGCACGCACCTCTTTGAGTGTAATTAAGTGCCACTCCCGGCTGAGAGAATGGCGCTGAGACTCCAAACTTTTGTGAGGCTTAGCACAGGCCCTGGACTCCAAAATTGACCAAACAGAATAATCCATCGGGTTTAAATCGGGGGAGTAGGGCGACCATTCCTGAGCGCTAATGAACCCAGGAAAATTGGCCTTGCACTAGTCCTGAACTTCTTTCGCCTTGTGTGCCGGAGCAGAGTCCTGTTGGAAAATCCAGACTATGCGACCGAAATGGCTCTTGAACCGAGGCTTCAGAACACGCTAAAAAAATTCTCGCAAGTAATAGTCTTTGTTGACTTTTACACCAAAATCCACGAAAAAAAGGGGTTTTTTGACTGACGCGCAAATACCGGCCCAAATCATGACAGATTGGGGATGTTGGAAATGAGTGATAAGCTCATCGGAAAGAGGAGATTCTGTAGTCCAGATTCTATAATTTTGATGGTTGTGTACGATTTTTATTGTAAAAATTTTTTCGTCTGAGAAGGGAATGTCCGGACATGCGTGCCACTGAAGGAGCAGTTTGCATCTTTCAAGCCTAACTTTTTTGGTTTTTTCTCTTAGCAGTTGTGCTTTTTGGATTTTGTAGGGCTTTAACCCAAGTTTATTTTTAGCTATTCGTCTGACGGTCATCTCACTTATTCCGGTTTCACGGGCCAATTTTCTCACGGAGGGTCGATAATTGAGATGACCCTCATTTTGATCATTTTTATATTCTTGGAAGTGCTGACGGAACCAGGTCTTTCACTTTTTTGTAAGTTCTTAGTTGTGCCATATTACTAAATTAATTTCAAAAAAAATTTTCTCCCAAAAAATTTTCACCAGAATTTTTTGATTGTGTCTTGTACAGTGCTTTTTGGGACATCCAAAAGAGGTGAAATATTGGGGACTGAATTTTTTTGCAAAAAAAGTGAGATTATAGAATCACGTTGACTAGCCATAATAGAGAATTGAATGAGCTAAAAAATAAGCCTAAAATCAATTAAAAATTTTGACAACAAAAAAAGTTATAAGGAATTTAAAAGTGTGCAATTACTTATGGCGCACCCTGTATATTTAAATATTTTATTATAAAAATTTAATTTAGAAATAATTATTTGAATAATTTGGTTAGGTATTTACCTAAAGACAACAAATTTTTTCCTTCTTTTTCTAAAACTTTAAACAAATTTTCTTTTCCGATTTCATTTAAAGCATTGAATTTGCTATATCTATTGGCTAACAAATTAATTGTTTGTAAAACAGATTTATTCGTTGTATAGCCATAAATAACTTGCAGAATATTCCCCCTACGATTGTGGATGTAATAAACTAATCTTTGTATAAGATAGGCAATTTCAACCAATAACCAATTTGCTTCGTTTATACCCAAACGAATTATATATTTTTCTAAAATTACTTTTTAAAAATGACAATACATAACAATATTTATTTTGGCCCGTTCTTCGATTAAATATATTGACCTTGCCTCGGAATGGTTGGCTCGAAGCACGCTCCGATTGGAGCCGTAGCTAATATTTTGAAGACCTCGGAACCTGAATATTTAACCCCGGAATATTTAAATATTAACCATTTTGTATCATTCCATTATATTCTTGATTAATTTCTGTCAATAATCTCATTTTCTCGTTTAAGGTAAATTCTGACATTTCATCATTTAAAACAACAATTCTCGATTTTACAGGGTGCGGCATAAGTAACCGGACACTTGTTTTCTCTCATAACTTTATTAAAACACAATCAAATAAAATCGAAATACAATCAAATGATAGAGAATTAAATAAGGAACAATAATAATCAAGACGATTCGAAATGCCCACCCTTGGCTTTGATACAGAGGCGAAGGCGCGAAGAAAAATTTTCGCCGAAATGGCTCTTGAACCGAGGCTTCAGAACACGCTAAAAAAATTCTCGCAAGTAATAGTCTTTGTTGACTTTTACACCAAAATCCACGAAAAAAAGGGGTTTTTTGACTGACGCGCAAATACCGGCCCAAACCATGACAGATTGGAGATGTTGGAAATGAGTGATAAGCTTATCGGAAAGAGGAGATTCTGTAGTCCAGATTCTATAATTTTGATGGTTGTGTACGATTTTTATTGTAAAAATTTTTTCGTCTGTGAAGGGAATGTCTGGACATGCGTGCCACTGAAGGAGCAGTTTGCATCTTTCAAGCCTAATTTTTTTGGTTTTTTCTGTTAGCAGTTTTGCATTTTGGATTTTGTAGGGTTATAACCCAAGTTTATTTTTGGCTATTCGTCTGACAGTCATCTCACTTATTCCGGTTTCACGAGCCAATTTTCTCACGGAGGGTCGATAATTGAGATGACCCTCATTTTGATCATTTTTATATTCTTGGAAGTGCTGACGGAACCAGGTCTTCCACTTTTTTGTAAGTTCTTAGTTGTGCCATCATTACTAAATTAATTTCAAAAAAATTTTCTCCCAAAAAATTTTCACCAGAATTTTTTGATTGTGTATTGTCAGTGCTATTTGGGACATTCAAAAGAGTTGAAATTTTCGGACTGAATTTTTTTGCGAAAAAAGTGAAACTATGGAATCACGTTGACTAGCCATAATAGAGAATTGAATGAGCTAAAAAATAAGCCTAAAATCAATTAAAAATATTGACAACAAAAAAAGTTATAAGGAATTTAAAAGTGTCCGGTTACTTATGCCGCACCCTGTAATTCAACTTCTTTCAAATTATTTTCCACATAAATTTTCTTCAAAATATTTATATTTTCGTTAATTTGTTCTACTTGTTTCTCTTTAATTTTAGATTCTTTGGGAATAAAAATATTATTTCCCAAAATTGAAATTTGATATTCTCCATTTTTATATTTTATATCGTCCTCGTTAAATAATTTTCGACAGATTTTCTAGAAAAATAAAAATAAATTTTAGAAATTTATTATACAAAAAAGCGCCAAAAGAGTATTTACAAAATATGTCAGACTATATTTATTACTTTTTAAAAATACAATACGACAAAATTTTATAGCGTGTCGCCGCTTTTTGTTTAAATTTAAAAGGTTTTACTGGAGACTGAACAGAGGGGTCAGTCGTACGAGAATCGCTGATATCTCCAAAAATCTAGGAGAGGATTTAATCCCTCATAGAGATTCTTATACAAGGAAATCAACCCTAATTTTTACCCCTTTTTGTATCCAAGGAATTATTTCAATCAAAATTGGATGTTTTTGTATTTCACAACAAAATTGTGTAAATTCATTATTTTC